AAGGTTTAAATTATAAAAGCACATAAACTTATAGTTACTAAAAATCAAATGAAGAAATGAGAAGAATATTAGAATGTGATGGATATTAGAATCTCAAATTAAATGAGTATTAAAAGATTATTGAATATACAATTGATAATTCAATGTAAATCAAATTAAGTTTATTACTTTATTTATAAGTAACCACATTTATATATTATATAGGAAATTGAATTTATACGATTAAGTATTGCTTAAAATATTCAATTATGTTTAGATATTTTAATGAAATACAAATAACTCAAAGAATTAAATATTTAACATAATTATTTAAATTCTGATAGAATTATATTAAATATAACAGATAGATAATCATAAATTACAATATTACCACAAAAACTTAATTATACAATACATTTTGTAGGATATGATTGTCCTTTTTATGAAAGACCTGATTATATTAATACATTCAAAAATGATGATTAATCTATTAAAGAAATCATTATTAACATTTTGTAATTCAATAAAAGGGTAAGGTTGATTATGAAAGATAAATAAATGACTATGGGAGATGGAAATATAGAGGAAAAACAAAAAAAATATTTCGATGAAAAATACAAAGACCTTCAATTAATTTTCAAAGGTTTGTTGGATGAAGGAATATTTAAATCATTTGATTAGTTTATTGAAGCATCTAATTTGATCTTTGAAAAATATAATAATCAAAACAATAAAAATTAAATATTATCTGGTGTTGACAAAAGTTTGAAAGTAATTTATTCTAAGAGATCAAGAAGAATAGATAATGTTTAAGATAATTTAATAAAGATTTAATAATGTCATTATAAAGAAGGATAATCTTATGAATTTTAATAAATCTTATAATTAGCATTCCCCTTAATTGCCAAAGAATTAAAAAAATCAAAAATATATTATTCAAATTAATATCCTGCAATAAATGATGATTATATTAATTTAAAGTAACAATTATAATTTGATAATAAAATGATTGAATAGATGATAAATGAAAATAAAGAAGAAATCATGAAAGATTTCAAGTTTGATTTAGATTTCGAACTAATCAAAGAAGATATTTGTTCATAATTAAGTGATAATAAATAACAAATACTCAATTATTTTCTTAATGATGTAAAGTTTTCTATTTTAAAAAATAAAGAGATTTAAATATAAATTGATAAACTAAAATAACATATGGTTAAAGAAGTAACTATATAATCATTGCAAAATTATTTAGAATTAAAGATATTATAATTAAATGAAGATTTATTATGAAATTATGTATCTTTAAATAAATTAACTATTATAATGAAAAAAATTTATATTATTCCTACTATTTTTTTAAGAAAGACAAACTTTACCATCTTTGAGTTAAAATATATTAAATTTATAACCTCATTAAAAATCTAATTGTTCTATTAATGAGTAATTTTATTATCGTTATAATTAATAACTTATCAGTTTAAGGATGTTTCTTCCAGCCTATTACCTTATCCAATTCATTCCGATATATAAAATTAATTCATGATTGGAAGAGCATAATACAGAACATCATGAAAAGAATTCCTAAAATAAAAAAAAATTAACTCCATTTAAGATAATTTTAGGCAAAACTCTATTTTTGTTGAAACAAAATAGGACCCATCTTATTATAGATGTAAATAGAAAAATTGGTAAATATTCTAAGCTACCCTAAAATTTTGAAACTAACTAGAAAGTATCGACTCAGGATTAACCATAAATCCAAAATACAAAGACTTTAAATTTATTACAAATAATTATGGTCTTTATTTGAAAATTAAACTGATATGTTAAACTAACATTCATTTATACTACCCTCACATTTTAAATAACAATCAATAAAATTCTTTAAAACAACAATTACTTCATGATTTTTAGGAAAAGTTAAAAATATTTTATATAAAATTTTAGTAGAATTAATCAGATAGTTAATTTAACTAACATCTAGTTGATTTTAAATTCATGTATTTCATTCAATATTCCTTCGAGCGAACTCTGATTATGAAAGATCTCACTATTTTTTTTATTTTGCTAAACATCTGATACAATCCGACCTGTTACAAATGTTTATAAGGGGAAAAAATAAATATTAAGTTCTCATTATTAAAATTTCCCAATTTTTATAAAGATTTAATAAAAATATGGCTCCAAATTTGTAAATCTGAATGTATTCATGCATTAATTGTTTTATTCTCTTGGCATCAATTGTATGATGATTTCATCTAAAAAAGAGAGTAAAAATATTAAATTTATATCCAGGATTAGTTAAAAGGAAATTTTGAATAATAGGTTTAATTTCTATCTTTTAATTAACAGTTTTTCAGAATTTTCAATATATTAGATTTTAAGCTAAATCGGTAATTAATTTAAGTATAATTTTTTAAGAATAAATATTATAAAATTCAGTAGTAATCTGTTATTTTATAGATTATTTTTCAAAATAACGAATAAATAATCTATTTTAAGAGACTTTAATGATACCATAAGTTTCTAACCCTTTGAGGCAAATTATTGTAAAAGTGTATTAATTAAAGTATCCTTCTTTGGATATCAAACCAAATCTATCAGTTTCAAATTAACTATTTTCAATGATATAATATTGATATATTTAGAAAGATCTCATTTTTTTCATAAAGCTTTGAATTAGTAAGGTAAATCTCTATATAATGTTCTTAAAGAAGGGATTCATTAATAGTTCTTTTAATTATTATTTTAGTGACTTTTTTCCCATAATTCTTTCCTTTTTGTTTTACACAATTTCATTTGGAAGGATGGAGGCTTCTTAAATTTTTACACTTTTCTAATAACGGATCGTTATATATTTCATAGCATCTCAATCTTAAATTAGTTTTTTAGAGTTTTTAATCTCTTTATTCAAATATCTTAGATATCAATTTAATTAAAATTACTTTATTAGAGAGGTTGTATTTGTTTTTTCTTTATATAGAGTATCTTATTTAAAAAAAGATACTAATTTTTATCTAATTATAATGAATTATCTTCAATGAGTTCTCTTTTAGAAATAATAGAGAGATCATTATATATTAATTATTAATCTAATCTTGAAATATTCTATAAATATATTTATTAGATGTAATACATTTTCGAGGGTTTATGTACATTAAAATACTAATAACTTTTCATGCTTTGAATATTATTTTAGAGATGTAATGATACCCAAAATTTTGCAATATGATAAAAAGAATTAGACCTTAAAATATCCATGTTGAGTTTCATAATCTATTAGATACATAAAAAAATGTTTTAGCATCATAAGATATAATTAATAAATAAATCTGAGGATTGGGGTTGGATTAAAATATCATAAATAAATATCTAATTATTTATTATTGAGGCGAATTAAATGATAAAACAATTTACCTTAATTTAAAGGGACAACTTAAGATTTTTTTAATTTAAAAGGCATATCAAATTATTGATTAAAATTAATTATTTATATATATTTAAAGTTTATAAATATTAATTTTTAGGGCTATGATTTGATCAATTTAATTTTTAGCTTTGATTTTTTTTAATAATTTATGATAATTAATTCCCTGAGTCTATTTATATTAATTATTATTCTTTAATTAATGTTTTTATATTATAATTCAATAAGCAGCTATAATATTTAATATTTGATTATATTTTCCTTTCTATTAACAAGAACTAATAGATTGAAATTAATTGATTTATTTTTATATTGATTGTAAATCATATTAGTTTTATAAGTAATTTATGTCTAACAATTTTAGTATGAATATTTGACATTCAATAACCCAATCAGCACAAATAGCTACAACAACATGAGCATTATATGAAAAATACAGTAATTTGTAACTTCATAGAATACAAAAATTTGTACTGTCTATTATGTTTTATAAATATATATATAATTCATTTGTCACATTTGCAATTGCTTATGAGTTATTAAAATGAACTCAAAAACGTGTGCAAAATTTCCTTTGCTTCTGGAAAGAGAGGGCTATTCTCTATAACAGAACTCATTTATTTATGTTGGGGCCATAAATTTAAAATTTTCCTACCAATAATTCTTGACTCATTTTTGTTTGAAAGTAGTTCTTCTTCAATTTCTTTTGGAATTTCTTGAGATTCAATATATCGTAGAGACTTATAGTATCTATTTTTAATCATATTGACTGTTTTGCCGGAGAAATACCTTGTTATTTTGTTGAATTTAGGTCCTAATTTCTTAACAAGCAAGATTAGGATTCGATCCTCTTCTGCAGAGAATTAAGAAATTTAAGCTCTTGGTTTGTAATCAAGAAAGGCCTTTTGCTTTTCTTTGATGTACTTATAGATGGCGCTGCTTCTATCTTTCTATCCATATTGAATAGTTTTTCTTCTTTATCTAAATTACTTTGACTTAAAAATTCCATCTTCCTATTAGGAATGCGGTTGATGATGGAATTTTGTTTAGTAAGAGCTATCGTCTTCATTTGAGGTTAAATTAGAGTTAGGTTCTTAAGAGACTTTAGAAATCATTTACTTTCAAAAAAATATTAAATCCTTTTTTTTATAGTATCCCACATAAATTGCACATAAGATCATATAAAATTTTAGAATAAATTTTATGAAATTATCATTTTAATTGCCAAAAAACTGATTTTTCTGTCTAAAATTTTAAACAGCATTAATGTTTTTGAAGATTTTCATAAAATTTATTAGAGTATAATTACTAAATTTTATGTAATAAATTAAATCTTAGATAAGTAAACATAATAAAGCTTAAGAATTAAAAATTCATAAATAATATATTTTTCAATAATAAAATAGGGATAAAGGGTGTTTTCAATGAGGCATTTGTAATTTTTTCACAAATGTATCTATGTCTATTCTGAATGTCTATCAGATATTTAAATATTGTATATTCTAAGATTTAAAGAATATTCTTAACAATTTCAAATGAATATCTATATTTTAGTCTTAATAATTATAAGGATTGTTAATAATGTGGACTATAATTCTGAAAATCATAAGATAATGAAAGAGAGACTAGTTTTTAAATTGTAGATTGATAAAAGTAGAAATGAATGAGACATTTAAGTTAATCTATATTTCATAAAAATTGAATTATTGTATATGTAAAATTAGCATATTAGAACTTATTTGGTCTACGGAGATTCTGGATCTGGGAAGTCAACTTTTATCAATAGTTTAGGAGGAATAGATTAAGATAATCAAAAGCCATAAACAGGTGGACTTGGAGTGGCTGTCACAATTGACCCTGGAAGAATTTATTATATTTAGGATGAAGTTCTTGGAAATATGTAATTGATTGATACAAGAGGAACTTGGGATCCTGGTTAAATTAATAATGATTAAATTCTTTAAAATTTAGTTAAGACTTTACTCGATTATAGTGTTCATGAGATGAGTTAATAAGGTAATAAGCTTAATATTTATAAAAGTCAATCCAATATAATAATTAGATGGAATACTTTATATACATAATAGTTTCATAGATCGTTATGCAAGAGACACTAGGATAAAGTAATTAGGAATATTGATTGGCAGCAATTTGCATACTTCAACATTGACTATTATGACAAGATGTAAGGAAATATAGAATACAAATTTAAAATTCAATTTCTACGAATGGAATAAGAAATTACATAATAGCGAAATAGAATATATTCATTGGGACAGTGTAAATCCTTTAGAAAATTAAAAAGAAAAATTAAAAGAATTACTACTTAATTTGAAACCCATACCTTTGAGTAATATAAAGGATGCAAATCAAGAGATTATTAAATTAGCAAAAGAATTGCAATTAAAAGATTTGATTGAAATTGAGGAGCCTAGAGTTAGAACTATAATAAAATAGTATACAAAAGAGAAATTAAAAAAAAAAACATCTTATACTAATGTAACATTAACGATCAACCCTCCAAAAGGCATTATGAATTAGATTGGAGGTAATAAAATTTAAATAGAATCTAGGTTGGGTTCCCATAAAAATACCATATTTATCAGGAGGTGGAAATCTAACAACAACTTCAATAAGAATTGATGCAGATTTCCCTTCATATTCATTACCTCCTAAACTCATATTATATTGTGATCTTGATAAAAGTTTAAATGAAATAAAAGGATAAAATTTGGAGATAATCAAACATGAATTTATAAACAATGGTGATTATTATGATGCTAACTTTTAATACAGATGGAATGGTATCAATAATGAAAATGTTGGAAGAGTAGATTTAAAAATAAAAATGATCATTTAATATAGATAAATCAAATAAAAATAAAGGGAAGATAAGGAAGAGTATTTTGAAAAAGTGATGAAACCAAGATATTCAGATGAAAAAGTATTTTCTTTATTTAATTTTAATAGCCATATATATAATAAGCTATGGAATAACAATTTGATAATTTATATGAAGGAATTAAAAGGAATTTTGAAAAATAATGAAAAACTATTAAATTATTATTATTATTTTTTATAAAATCAATTTAGATGGACTCTGGAGGTGCAAATACATTTGTTATAGAACCTAAAGATGAAGAAAAGTGATTTTTTAATTAATCTAATTAGATTCTATCCATCTAAAGTGAAAAAATTAATTTAAGAAATCATGGATGATAAATTAAAAAACGAAACTTATGATGCTAATAACACTCCTAATTTAGCAGAAGAATTAGTAAAAAGAATAAGAAGTAAAGTTAGAGAATGTAAATGAATTATTTTATATTATTCTAAAGCTATCAAAATGCCAAGATTTAAAATTGCAGTTTAAGTTATAATTGGAGAAGTCAAAGGATAGGGATGTAAAGTAACTTCCAAAAATCTTTGGGATCCAACTTGGGATAATTATGCATCATATGCATTTCAAAATGTAATTCCTTTTTATCATAATTAAATAAATAGGAGAATATCTATGGTGTAGCAATAGTATTTGGAGTTTATTATGAATGAATTGATATTAGATAGTAATCGATATCATTTATTATAAATTTTATGAAACTCAAACAACATTTATTACATTGATAAGATTTTTGAAAGTTATAATTCTAATAGAGTTGGCATATATCATATCTTATATATTCAATAATAACTTTAGATTATAATTTTATTTCTAATATTGATTGCCATTCTATTTATTTGTAAATCTACTAATAATTTAATAATTCTTTCAATCTTATATTCTGGAAAGAAGACTAATTTATTTAATCCTTTTAAAATAAATAATCTTCATTTATTAAATCAAATAATAATTAATTATTTTTTTTAAAGAAGGTTAACCGATAATTCTTTTTCAAACTATGAAAATATTCCAAATTATATAATCTAGAAATAATGATGCATTTAAGTATTAAATAGATCAAATAAAAATTGAATAAAAATACAGATGGCTTTAATTCGTCTAATATGTTATTCCTAATTATAAAACAAAGAGAATCATGATTAAAAGATAATAAAAAAAGGAAAAGATATCAAATATTCGTTGAATATTGATCAAAATATATTTCATTGTGTTTTAGACCAGTATATCAACTTAAAAGTAAATAAATAAATTACTCATATTATTCTATATTGCAATAATATCAACCAAATAATTTATAGAATATATGAAAGTATATCTAGACAAGGAGATTAATTTAGATGTAGTTTAATGTCAATACAGTTTTATTTAATAAATTCATAATTTTTTAAAGTCAATATTCTTCTTTGATAATCAATTAAATTATGAAATATTAGTCAAATACATATTATTAAATAATTATTACTGATTTTTTCATATTGACCTATTTTATTAATAAATGAAATAATAAAGATGTTATCTTACATCATGGTTGTATACTAAATAAAAGGAAGACTTGTCCTTAGTTCGAATCTTGTAGATGACATTTATTCTAAAATTATTTAATATTATTATTGTTTTTATTATCAGTGAATATAAATATTTAAGTCATTATTAGACCAATAATGATAGTAATATACTAGTTTTTATTTCTAAATGTATTATTTTAGCATTCATTTTATAGTTTTATTTATTTTAAGAAAGAAGGAAAGAAGAGTAGAAATTAAATTAAATATGGAAGAGTTTTAAATAGTTTAAGAACAAGAAATTTAGTAGATATTGCTGGGTTCATAAAATGATTGTATTAAATTAAATATATATAGTCTAAGAAATATCTAGAAAATAATTGTTCTGATAAAATTTAATTTAAGGTAATTAATTCACCTATTTTAAATTGTTCCGTGAATCTTAAAAAAATTTCATTAATAATTTTAATAAAAAAAGTTTTCAAAATGCCAAGAAGAAGTGGATCAGCATCAAGATCAACAGCTAGCCCATCAAGAAGTACAGCAACAGCTGCTAGACCAGCTCCATAAGTTTAAGCTCCTCTTTAAACTCCAGCAAAATCTGGAGGTATGTTTTCAGGACTTGGATCAACTTTGATGTAAGGAATGGCCTTTGGAGCAGGTTCAGAAGTAGCTCATTAAGCAATTAGATCTGTAATGGGTGGATAAAGTATAATTGAAAATTTAATTTAAATAGGTCATTCTTAACCAGCTGAATAATAAACTCAATAATAAGCTCCTCAATAATAATAATAAACTTGTTAGAGTGAAAGCCAAATGTTTTCGAATGTAAGATTTTCAATTAAATTTTTAGTGTTTATAAACTAACTAAGATATCACAAGATGTCAACCATATATGGATATATTCAAAGAATGCTAAAAGAAATACAACTTATGATGATTTATTATAGATTTAAATAGCAATAATTATATAATATATTTTCATTAATTTGTTTAATTTGTTTATTTCAATTTCAATTATTTTTACAATTAATCTATTATTTGTTTCTCTCTCTTAACCTTTTATTCATAATTGAATATCATCAAAGCCTTTCCTTATTCAGCATTAAGAATTTGCATTTCCTTTCTTTATCTAACAGCATTCATTTTTCGATGTTTGTTTCCAGACATTACATATCCTAATCCTTCATACTTTTCTATGTCTTCAGAAGTCAAACCAACCTCTCCTCTTCTGGGTATACGTTTTCCTGATTAAATATAATATGCAATTGCAGCTCCTTCTCCAGGTAATAATTGACTACCATAATTGGTTCTATGCTATAAGTTTTTATCGAATAATAGAGGCATAGGACCTATTTAACAAGATTTATCATTTTCTTCTTTCTTTTTCTGCATTTCTTCATTTAATTTTCTAACCTTTTCAGCAAAAGAATCATCAGAGTCTGTTTCTGAATAACTTGAAGAATATATTTCAAATTTTACTATTATTCTTCTTCATCTTGTTCTTAATCAATTTCTTCTTATTAATTAACTACTTCCTCTTAAATTACAATCTCTTTTGGTTCAGATTATTATTCTCTTTCTTATGATTTAGATGGTAGTACTTTTTGTAAATGTTCTCCTTTCATAATGGCATCCAATTTAGCTCTCCTTAATTTATCTTCTTCTTATTTCATTTATTCTTCTATAATATATCTTTGTTATCTTCTTTGTTCTTTCATAGTTTCCAAATCTAAATATATTATAAACTTATTACCTTTACGAACTTCTTCAGAATCACTATTGAATTGCCAAATGTTTGATTTTTTTATTGATTCTCTTCTTTATTTTCTTTGAAGCAAGTACTCTTAATATGAAACTTTAGAACGTTAATTCTTAACTTCATCTTCTCTACTCCTTGAAGTAGATGAAGATGATGATGAACTTCTATTTTACCATTTTTTCTTCATTTATATAATTATTTATATATTATTATATATATAAATTTAATTATCTAATATAAATGAAGATTTTAATGTATTTTTATTTCTGCTAAAAATATTAAAAATAAAACCTATTTATTTATTTGGATTATCTTTTAAATGATTAACTATTTACTTTAGTGAATAAAAAATTTATATAAAAATGCATTATTGTTTAAATAAAATTTAAATTCAACAACAATCTATTTATAAAAGCATCATCTCAAATTAAATAGATCTAAATTGGTTTAACATGTATTTTAATTGTAATTTTAAACCCCTTCCATTTCTAAAATACATCTTCAAAATTAACAATTTATTAATAGATAATTTTTTTTAAAGATACTTCAGTAGTTAATATCAAAATTATTGCTTTTTGAGGACAATAAAAAAAATAGTTTGAATATTTCATCAAATAAATTCAGATCACGAGTTACTTCAATAGATTTAGTTAAAATCTCTATTTACTAGTTCAACAACCAATAGAATAAATATGGAACTAAAAAATATCAGGAACCTCTTAATATTAATTAAAATCTTAATAATTAATTTGCTCTCCAAATTTATTTCTGTATTATTAAATATAACTATAATAGTTTAAAATTTATTTATATATTTTAAATTCAAAATAAGTAGATTTTAATAAATTTAATATAGTAAATATTTTTTAATGCAAAATAATTCTATTTTAGAAAATCTTATTGGAGGAAATTTATTAGAATCACCACCAAATTTTGAAATGGCATAAAATCATAATGTAAATTTTGATTATATTATAATAAAGAAAGCTCAAATTATCTACAAAGAAATCATTAGAAATTCAGAAAGATGTCCTTGTTGCAATTAATGTATCTAAACCATCAAGTATCCACTATCAACCGATATAAATGTCTTTAGTGAGTATGGTACCTCATACAAATACTTTAATTTAGTGAAAATTAAATTTATTCTACTAAGTATATTTTTGTAAGAATGATAACTTATTAAATAGCATTATAGCTGGTTTATACAATTTGATCTAAAACTCTAAAGGAGACTTATGTATTAAGAGTTAGACTTGTAAAAAAAGTTTAAATAATTATTTATCACTTTTAAATAGATTTGATCCTGAAAAGTATTTTATACTTATAATCATTAGTTACTAAGATGACGTTTTGGATACATTATATACAATTGCAATAATTGTATAATTAGTTTTCATTCGATATATTTCATATAATATCAATGATTATTATAATGTGGATCATGACTACGATTGCGAAAAAACAATATAAAAATGTTCCTTGAAAATTTCATTAATACATCCTAATTCGTCAAGAGACGGGATAATTCATCATTTTTCAAATGGCATATTGAGATAAAACCAAGTGCAATATTAAATTGTTGATTGTTGTTTAATTTATGATATTTCTCATTTAGAAACTTAATTGAAATTATAAATAATATAAGCCTTAAAAGAAGATTAAGATAGGTTAAATTTTAATTAATTTATAGGTCATTAAAAGATATTGTAAGGAGAACAGTAAATTAGTTTTCAATTTTGAGAGATAGAAATAGATATTTGAAGTTTTCAGGTAGTGTATATATAACTCTTTCTTATGAAGTAATACATTTTATTCTATTATTAAGTAAGAAGCCATTAATTTTAAAAATTCGTTTAAATTAAATTTTGATGTGGAAAACTGCCCTAGACCTTCTGATGTATATTGGAAAGTAAAATAATTAAAAGGCAATTAAACATTAGAATTTATCAAATGTTCAATTGCATTTTGTGGATGGTTACCTAACATAGGAATTTAAGTGGCTAAAAATAATTATATTATGTCAAATTCTGGAAAAACTCAAGATTAATTATACATTAATACATTATTGAGTTTGGTTATTGCTATTATTTACTATATTTCTACAAAAATTTGTACTTAAACCATCTAAAATTATATCCGATAAATTTCAGTGAATTCAAAGCGTAAGTTTTGGAAAGATTATCTATAAACAAATGAAGTTGCTATAAATATTATGTTTTATTTGTGGCCCCCTATATTTATAGCTGTATACTCAGGTGTAGGTACTCGATAAGAAAAGCTTTGGAGATCTGGAGGGTTAAGTGAAGATATTATAATGATATTTCTGACGAATGCTGGTTTGTAGATTATATTTACTATATGTGATGTAGATTATGCTTGGTAATTAATTAGAATTATTTATTACAAATATTTCAATAAATAATCAAATTTAACATAATATGAAGCAAATGAATTATTTTCAAAAGATTTAAATTTCAATAAAAAGAGGATTGATCTAACTAATTTAATTCTACTATGTTCCTATTATGGTTATTTGTTTCCAATATGCTATCCTATAACTCTCATTTCAATTTTGATTATCTATTGGTTAGATAAATATTAATTTATAAATAATGGGATTAATGAGAAAATCTAATTTAAATATCGATTACAAAAATTTATCATAATGATGACCATATTTTCTTAACTTGGATCTACTCAAATGATAAAGATTACTTTCTTAGGTTATACATCTAGTAATGCTTTTAATTATATTTATTATGTTTAAGGAATTATTCTAATGTATATATTATTTTACAAAAAAGAATGGATTTTTAAAAAGCGAATCTAAACTCCTATTACACAAATTGAATTAAATAGAAGTCTTTAAAATAATGAATTATACAACGAATATAATCCAATTATTGATGATAAGATATGGTCTATCTAAGGGGAAGAATAATAAGTTAATGAATAATAATTATTAAGGAAATTATAATAAAGTAGATTTTCAAGATAAGAAAAATTTTACAATGCTCTCTAAATAAAATTACTGAGAGAAATTGAATAGATATAGAAAAAGGAAAGAGCAGGCATAGCCTAAATATAGCCTATCTAAAATGATATCATTTGATAATTTTTCAAATTATTAGGATAATTATATTAATAATAATTTGGTAAATATAAGATATTTTATTTTTTCTAAGTTGTAATGAAATAAATTTTATCATTTTTTAACATTTAATATTGATGTACTTAACTTCTTTTTTATTTTATATTTTATCAATAAAATATTTAATAAAAGTAGTAGTATATTTTCATTAAATGCTTTAAAAAATTTAATTGTTAAATAGAGATTATGGAATTCTTGTATTATTTAATTTATATATTTTGTATATATTTAATTAATATGAATCATTCTATCGAGTATTATAATCTATAGTAACACAAACTTTATGAATACATGGTTGGATTAACTTAGAATGTAACAGGAGTAGAGAAGATTGTAATTATACTAAATAATTTAAGTTTGCAGAGTTGATAGCATGCCTCCTTGATTTTAGTTCATAAATTTCAAGTATTGGACAAAAGTTTCACACATAAATTAGTAGTGGAAATGAACCAGATATATTAGTTTGTTTATATTAATAAGTGAGTAATTACTTATTAAGATTATCTTAAAATTGGGATAATACAGCTTAAAAAATTAAGAGTGAAATTGCAGAGCCTTATACTTAATTCGTTATAAATTTCAGATAGACTAATAGAAATTTAAATAGTGAATCAAAAAAGCAAGTATCTGAAATATTAGAAACAAGAAAAGAGATGTGTAAAACTTAAGAGGAATATTGGAGATTAATGAAATTATTTGAATAGAAATCTGAACAGGCATAATAAATGATAGATCATATTGAAAAAGGTCATGCAACTAAAGATGATTTTCAAAAATTATTTAACAATTCTCTAAGAGTTTAAGAATTAGCAGATGGAATGGAAAAGGATTATAAGAAATTATTATAAATTACAAATGAAAGATGGAAATAGTTTCATTAAGAATGGGATTCCATATTTACCAATGTTGGTTTAAATGAATAGAGTAGGTAAAATATAAGATATAATATAGAATAATGTTTACTAAGTAGACTGTTAGTTCATTATTAAAATTATTGCCTTTTGATTAGGATTAATCAGAATTTGAAGAAAAAATATCAGATTTAGAACTTAAATTGAAATAAGATCCAAAAATACCTATTAAGAAGTTGATTGAAAAAAGAATGTAAATCTAAGAAGGTTGTATGATATTTAATTATTTGCATAGCATTTAAATTTTAATTTGAAGAATTTGTAAGTTATGAATAGTGGAAAAAGAATCACCAAAATCATGATTAAGTACATCCATTATAATAAGTATAAAATTAATGGATAATTGTTGGAGATAAAATATCAGAAGAAGAGAAAAAACTTATGGATAAATATTTATTATCATTATTTTAAATTGATTTATCAGATAAATGCGAATAAATAATAAAAATTAAGTAAATTCTTTAAAAATCTGCTGGCAGAAATTATTTTATTACTTAGTTGAATAAATTATAGACTAAATCAAATTAAGATAAATAAGCAAGTAAATATATCTATTATTTTAGGATTCTATTTAACATTAACTACAGAATAATTTATGGAATTGTTATAATTAATTAGACATTGGTTAAATTATATTGATTTAAATGAAATCTATGAATCAGAAGATATTTATGATTTATTATTAAAAGCTATTAGAATTGTAAGAATAGATGGAAAAGAGAGAGTTAATTTAGCCTCATAATTATCTGATATTCCTCTCTGGACTAAGGTTGATAGATGGATAGAATTATTTTAATTTATTAGTGCAAAAAAAGTTGATGAAAAGAGAAAACAAGCTCAATAAATCATGTAATAGACCTAAAGTACTATTTTTAAAAAAGGGGTAAGAATAATTGGTAAAGGAATATCAATGATAAAAAAAATTGGATCTTTATAATCAAATATAATAGAAGTAAATGAAAGTGAAATCTGTTACATGATATTAGATGAAATTAATCTATTTATCTATTCCTTAAAATTGCCATCAGAATTATCTGCAGAAATAATTATATAAATAGCATCATAATAATAACATATTGATAAAGATCATGTGGTTAAATTATTGGAAAAATAGGAAGATTTTCATAATACTTAATGGAAGAAATTTTTCAAATCAGGTAAAGTAGTTTTAACTCATAAAACTGAAAAATATGAGAGAAAATAATTATACATTTATGAGAATAAAGTAATCTAAGGATGTGGAGCTTGCTTAAAGTAAAGATTTTACTATTATTAGATTTTTATCCATTCAAGATTAACCATAAAAATTACTCACTCTTAATGGCAACTTTAATAATTAGTTGAAACACAAAATTAAGAAATTTTATCTGGGAAATTCGTAAGTGTTTTCAGATGAATCTACTCATTAATTAAGATTGAGATTAATGTCTTAAGCTTTAAAATTGAAATAATTGAATATTGATTATGTTGAAATGAAAACAAAAGTAGGAATTGAAATGGATATTAATAATCTATATGAAGAAACTATTAAGTTGGATGTTTAGAGAAGTCTTCACATTCACAAAGACAAAATAAATTCAAATGTTTTATAAAGTTTATTAAGAATCTATGCTTTTTACAATTAAGAAGTAGGATATTGTTAAGGAATGAATTATATTGCAGGATATCTATATTTAATTTATTAAGATTAGGAAATTGCATATAAGGCTTTTGATAGAATGATGAATCTCTATTTTAAAGAATTATATATCAATGATTTTTCAAAATTGGTAAAATCAATTATAAATTATAGAAAACTGGATTTTATGCTTTTGAAAGATTGCTATGTATTTTCTTACCTGAATTATCTTCACATTTGAAAGATTAGAAAATTGATGCATCTTATTATGTGGCTTCTTGGTTTATTACATTATATTCAAATGTATTTCAATATAGTTAGAGATCAGCCCTTTTGAATGTTATATGGGATTTATTTTTAGCTGAAGAATGGAAAGGTAAAAGTGAGTACTAAAATAGGATTTTATAAAGCTACATTTTATATATTTTCATTGATTCAATAGCAAATACTTAACCTTGAGTTTGATGAGATTCTTCATTATTTAGGATAATTGATAAAATCTGAAATATTTAGTATCAGTACTGAAAAAGAGCTTATATAATATATTTAAAAATTTGATAAATCGATTAAAGAAGATGTCTCAATCAAAACAACTATTCTATCAAGATTTAGAATAACCAATAGAATGTTAAAGAGTCTTGAATCAGAATATCACAGCTTTCAATTGAAGTTGAATAAAAAGTTTAATTAATGCATGAAGAGATGAATTATGATATATATATATAATATAGTATAAAAGTAATGTAGAATCATATATGAAGTTTAATTAATTAAATAATTTTATTTATCAATTCTAATCTTTTATTATAGTTAAAAATCTCTTATTTTTAATTATCTTTATAGAATTATAATGATAGTATTAAATATCTAAATATAATTATATATATTCTCAATCTCAAAGAGAATTTAATTTATGGTTTATTATGATATTACTTCAAATTTTCAACTCCATATACATATTAAGAGAATTTATTCCAAATTGAGTTCTAGATTTCATCAAAATTATTCAATTAAAAATAATTGAATATTTATTAGTTTCTTTATATATATTTAATATTATTGAAGACTTTAAAATGGACTAATCAAGGTTAGATCTCTGTATTTAATTTAATTATATAAAAAAAGTAAATATAGAAATCTTTAATTCATTTTCTGTTGTATTATTATCTCTATCTACTCAACTACATTCCTACTGTAGTTCTCATATAAATTTATTCATGATAAATGTATATATACCAATGCGTATACGAATCATTTTCAAATTAAATTAAAATATTTTACAGATATGCCTCCCAAGAAGACAATCGCAGAGCCAAATGTCACAGTTCCAAATGGAGATGCAGCAAAAGGAAGAGATATCTTTGATTAATAATGTGCTGCCTGTCACGCTTTTGAAGGAGATGATAAGACTGCATCAGCACCAACTTTAGGGTAAACTCAATATTTAAACATTTTAGAGGAATTGTTGGAAGAAAGTCAGGATCAACTCAATTCCCATATTCTAAGGGCATGAAGACTGCAGGATTCAATTGGACTGAAAAGCACTTATTTATGTTTTTGAAGAATCCATCAAAGTATGTTGTAGGCACAAAGATGGCTTTTGCTGGTCTTGAAAATGAATAAGAAAGAGCTGACCTCATAGCATACCTTTCTAACAATTGAGAAAATATATAAATATAAGATAAAATAAAATTGTGGCTATAAGAGAACCTAATTTAGTAGCTCTTGTCATAATTATACATGATTCAGTCATTGTTAAATATTTGATACTACTCGTCATTGTAGATGTTAAGTTCTTTTCTGGGGTCAAAGTTAGGATCTTTTGCTTTTTATCTAAAAAATAAAAACAATTTTAACCTTTAAAGAAACTAGAGTTCAGTAGGATCATCTCTATTGATTGGGTTTTTTGGTAAATCGATATGTTCTGATAGATCTAATTGTTTTTTCTATCCCCAATTGATATAGTGGATAGTGCAAAGAGTTCTAGAACCCCAAGGACCCTTAGTAAAATTAGATGCAAATCTTGCACCACAATATCTACACCAATCCTAAGATAATAGAAATAATTACATTAGTGTATTTTGAATAATCAAAATATTTAACTGGAATGATGCCCAATTCTTCATAAGAATAAGGATGGATATCTTATTTGAATTATTTTCTTTAAACTTTCTTAACAATTTTTTCTTGACTATTACTTCTACTAGAATCTAATAATCTTCTATCATTAGGCATAGTTTCATTTTTTTTTTCATAAATTCTTCTTGTTCTAGCAGTGGTTCCAAATTATTTAAAATCTAATTTTGCTTATTTTTATTTTTTTTAATATCCTTTAATTGAGATTTTGACAATCATCTTGCTTTCTTATTTCTCTTCTTTTTATTTAGCACATAAATCACATATCATAACCTTCTTACCAATCTTTTAAGTTTTAGATTTGACTTCAGGAGGTGCACATTTACTATGAAATGATCTACAACATCTAACACAATGGATTAAGGCTGTTGTTGTATTAGATGAATTAACTTTACAAAATACACAAACATGAGATGGACATCTAAATAATTCTACATTTGAATCTAAAGTTTTAGATAATGGATTAGCTTATATACAACTTAAATGAAAATATCTATTACAATTAGCAGTAGAACATTTAGAAATAGTAGATTTATTTTTAATTTTCTTAACATTATCTTCAAGAGGATCATTTTCATCAGAAGAAGCAATAACTTCATCTTTTTACTTTTTTTCAGGAGGATAAGTTCCTTTTGATTTACATAATAAACAAACTACTAAACAATTTCTACAATCAGGACAAGAATATCTAATATTGACATTTTCTTTGAGTTATTCTTCACTCCAATTAAGTTCAGGAAATGAATGATTATTTAGAAAGTCTTAATCAGGACCTTCAATATTGATATATTCAGTTGTTTCTAATAAATCTTTACAAGCTATATGGAATGCTCTTCTACAATGTCCCATACAAAAAATAGAACAATTAGATCTTTCACAAACATAACAAAGTTTTTTAATTAATTCTTCTTTACTTTTTGATGCTAATCTTCTTGCATCTTCACCTTAGATTTCAACAGTTCTTTATTATTTTCTACCTAAATCCATATCTGTTAATTTTTTGATTCTTCTTGAAGGCTTACTCAATTCATATATCCAATTCATAGCTAATTCTCTATAATTTTTGGCATAATTAGATGAATTTATTTTATTCAACAAATCTGTTAATATTTATTCATCATCAGTACTATAATTAGATTAACTTAATTTAGATTCTATTAATGAATTAACACAATCTCCAACTTCTTCCATATATTTTTTTTATTCTTATAATGACATATGTATATCAAATAATTTAATTAATTTTTAACATCTGCTTTCTTGAGTTTTTAATATTATTTTCCAAAAATTTGGATCTTAAATACTTATTGATTTATCTGTTTTTTCAGAAATAAATGATTATTTTGAAACTGTATATGTACCATTTATTAATGAATATTTTGCTGTTCTTGAATTCTTTTCTAATATTTCATCAATATTCTTTTCATAAAATGTATCTCCAATTTAATTATGACTTAATAAACCTATAATTCCATTTTTCAATAATACTTCCATATCTTATTTACTCATCTTTTTATCATTCTTATTAATTTTAAATTAACTTTCACATGATTTAAATTATCCACTCATAAATATAGCTTAATCTAATCCTAACTTTTTTATTGCTCTTTCAAACATTTCTGCTTCATAAGTATCTTTTGTAATTAATCTATATACAGTAACTTCTTTTGATTATCCAATTCTATGAGCTCTAGCTGTTGCTTAAACATCATTTTGAGGATTCCAATCAGAATCATAAATCACTACTATTTCAGCAGCTGTTAAATTTATACCTTATCCACCTGCTTTTGTAGATAATAAAAATACTTCTCTCTTTTTTAAAGGATCATTAAATCTATCTATAGCATTCTATCTTTCTCTTGCTTTTATCTATCCATCTATCTTTTCATATTTTACTTATTTAAATTTTAAATACTCTTCTAATATAGATAACATCATTGTAAATTAAGAAAAGATTAACATCTTTTTACCTTCATTTCTAAATTTATTCATCAATTAATCTAATAATATCATTTTCCCTGAACTTTCAACTAATTTATTAATATAATCATTTTTATTTTAACATTCTTTTGTTAAATCATTTTATATTTCTTATATTAAAAATGGATGATTACAACATTTTCGAAGTTAAATCTCTAAATTATTTAATGAAGCAGCATTAGCAGCCCATTAAGAAAATCCTTATTCTAACATTGACTTATTTCTTTCATAAAGTGCTTTGTATATATGTTTTTAAATTGTAGTCATTTCAATATCTATAATTGTTTCTTATAAAGGAGGAATCATTTATTCTACATCTTCTTTTTATCTTCTTAAAATATATGGTTTAAGTAACACATTTAATTTATCCACTTAATCTGATGTCTCCAATTATCCATATTCTCTTTTAAAACTCATTAAATTAGAAAATTCATATGGTTCAATGAAATTAAGTAAACTAAATAATTCTTCAGTATTATTTTGAATAGGTGTTCCAGTCAATAATAATGTTCTTTAGCAACTAAGCTTTTTTAAAGATTGCAATATTCTTGCATTTGAATTTTTTAATTTATGTGCCTCATCTACTACAATATATTAAAATGGAACATTAATAAATATAGTTTAAAAATCTTACATAAAAACTTCATAACTAGTAATTAATATCTAAAATTTATAAATTTCAGTTGCTTAAAGTACTATACCTTTCATACTAATATCAGTATAAAAAAATTCATATTGTCTACATAATGCTCTACCAGCACTGCTTTCTTGATCATAATAAAGAACAGCATTTAAATTAGTCCATTCTTCAACAGTACGTTTCCAATGTTATAATGTAGATAATGGTGCTATGACTAAAAATGGTCCTCTATAATTTTCAAAATTGTATAAGTGATTTAAAAATGAAATTGTTTATATGGTTTTACCAAGTCCCATTTCATCAGCCAAGATTACATTTCTATCTTCATACCAAGCTCTAATTAACCAATTTAAACTATCAAGTTAATAATCTCTTAATAATCTTCTATCTTTGTAAATAGTTTATGTAAGTTAAGTATATTCATGAGGTGGTTTTCTTTAATTCAAGAAATACAATGAATTTCTAATTTCACTTATTTGGAGATGGGATAATTTCTTTTTTCTAATTCCTAATTCAAAATCTACAAGAGTTTTATGATTTGAATTTTATTACATCATTAAATTCCTTGTTTCTTTATCTAAACTTCTATTAAATTATTTAAATTCTTTAATCTTTTATCTACAATCTATTAAAGATTCAGGTTCCCATGTAGCTTCTAAATAAGATAAATGTTTCCATTTGACTAAATATAATCTATCAGGTTCAAGTGATAATTTTTTAATTTCTGTTTCAGTTAAGATTTGAATATCATAGGAATCTATTTTTAACCAATCAAAATATTTTTCTCCTGGATTCCAAATCTCTATGTCTGGATCAACATTATCCATTTATTATTAGAAATCTAACATTTCTAATTACATTTCCTAAGCAATATCAACATCTTAATTTTAAAGTTATGATCTAAGAAAATCTTCAAGTTCAAAAAAATCTTCATTTTTAATTTCTAATTTTAGATTCAATTAATCTTATATAATTATTTCTATATCTGATAAATTATCTTGTAATGTGTATTATTTCTCATCAATTATATTTAAAACATTAAGTACTAATTCATTGATTTTTTCCTTCTTTAATTCAGGTATAATATCATTTCTATGAGTATCATTGATTTTATTTTTGTATGCTTCATCATTAATATACCTTTATTATGATAATTTTTATTCATAATTCTTTTTGGCCTCTACATACCATTAATTATAAAGAACAATAGCACATTCTCTTAAAGTATCACTAATTTATCTCATTTCACTATTTTCTTAAAATTCTTAATTGGCACTCTTAAATACTGTTCCTAATTCATTCCAAAATTCATTATTAGTTTTATATTATCCTAAATATAAACGATTATTTATGGTGCCAAAATCAAGGATGGTTTTGCATTCTAAAAAATATACTCCATAATGAACTTGATTCCTACTAAAATTGAGTAAATGAGACATCACTTTGGTTAGACTTTCTGCCCATTTACCTTTCATTTCAGATCCCTTTTTTGGATGAACAATTGGAAATATTTCTGTACATGATAATACTCTATCAACTTCTTGAAATGCTGGATCAAAATATTGAGCATCAACAATTTCTTCAAATTCTTCCATTATACGTTTATCAAACACTTTATTAAATCGGTTGATTTTCTACTTTCCATTCTTCTAGTTAAGAATCTGACCATTATGAATAAATTCAACATACTCTTAATTCATCAAGCCATTCTGTATGGAAATAACTTCTGTCTTTATATTTAACCAAATATTAAATAGTCCCTGTATGTGAGTCAGTTTTACGCCACAAAATTTGATCAATCTCAGGAACGAATATACGCCTTGATTCACTTTCTAAGGTTGGTTCATTCATTGACTCTTCTTCCTCGCTCATTGTAGCTGCATAATTTCTCTTGATCGCTCTAGCAGACCGTCTTTCATTACTAATTCCATTTTACTCTTCACGATAGTTTTCTTCTTCCATTAAGTTGTACCTACTAATCTACCTAACATGTTATACTTTCTCTTCTACTTTTCTCTTAGTCTATCTGATTGTCTATTGGTTGGGTCATTCTCACTTTCTAAATCGCTCATTTATAAAATAATAAGGGACAAAAAGGTAAAAAAAACTATATGATAAATTTTCTTTCTATTTTTTTGAATTTCAGATATATAGGCTCATAAATCGGCGCCCATTTAATTTTTTCATATATTCCTATATATACAATATTGTTATAAGTTCATTTTAAACAATTCTAGTTACTCTTTTCATATTAATATTTTTATGGATCCAAATACTAGAATGCAAAAAATTAATTAAAAATACTATAAAATTCACTTTAATCCAATAATCATTTAATAAAAGAACCTTCATTTTTATTATTAGCAAATTGCAATAACTAAAATTGATGCTCTTTTTGCATCAATAACAAATTACTATTACAATAATTTAATGATTATAAATGATATTCCTATAAGATTCAATGAAATTCTATTCTAAAGTAATAAAATCATGTTTATAATTCCATAAAAAGGTGGATAAAGTAAATCTAAAATAAAGAAGTTAGATACTATTAATTGATTTTATTTGAATATGAATATTACTAAAAGCAAATTTCCTTTCAATTAAATCAAAAAAAAATAGCAAAATTTAAGGCATTTGTATTGAAGCCAAAAAATTTAGGATTTTAAAAGTCTAGAATGGTAATAAATCTAAAGTTAAGTAATTTAAAGCAGCAATTCTTGATTTTTACATTTACTTAATTTCTATCTTAAAAAATTTCAAAAAGTTAAATCAGATTAGTTACCATCAATTCAGATTTATGTAAGCTAAGTATATTCTAGAAAAATAAAATGAATAAAAACTATTTTTTAAATATGATAATGCAATATAAATGTAATTACTTGATTGATAAATTATTTCATATATGATAACATTTTCAATTAAATCTAATGAGTAATTTATTGAGCATATGAGTTTATTAAACATAAGAATTGAAATGAAACTATTAATTCTTTGATAATAATGATAGAGTTAAGAGTTGTTAATAAATAGTAATAAGTAAATGCAATTAATAGTATAAGAATATAAATAAATATTATTTAAATAAGTTCGATTTTTGAATTAAATTGTAAATTTTAATGAATTTATGATGTATCATAAAAATTTTAAAAGATTTAAATATAATTTTTTAATCAATAAATTGTGACTGATTGGTAATCAATCAATTCTTTTAATAAAGATAATATTATGAGTAAATCATAATCTCAAAATATCAAAGGGCAGATAGAAAATAAAAAAGAAATAAGCTTTTTCATTAATGATAAATAAAAACAAAAATGAATAAATAATTGAATAACAAATCATTACATATCTGCAACTCTCCATAGAGCATTTGCTTCTTCTAGTTTACAGACTGATACAATATGCTGATTTTCAACCTTACTTTATTAAGGCTAAGTATGCAAATATAGTCCAGTACTTATATGTTTAAGTTCTTTTATATAATAATATTAAATACTTATAATTGAATATTATTTGATTTCTTAATCATCTGATATGATTTCCCATTCATCCATATCATGTTATAAACAACCTACTTCTCCCATGTCATTTATAGTTTGCAAACATTTTAAATAAGACTGTGTAATAGGATGATAAATATGAATTTTATTTTTTATCCATATAAATTGCCACCAGTCATATTCATAATTACAATTATTACAAGTACTTACTTCATTTGATTTATTGTGTTCATGTTTGATTGCATGAGAATGTAAATATCTTTGAGTATGTAAATTATATAATTTAATTTAATGATGCTTTTCCATCTTGAGTCCCAATGGCAACCTAATAAAATTTATAGTTGCATTATGCTGAATTTAAAATTAAGAATTTAGTTCGAAAGAATAATTTTGATCTTATTCAGTTTCTGGGTCTTCTTTTATAATTATGCTTTCAACTTAATTCAATAATTGAGACTTAGCTCTTTTATGAATTACCTTTTGATCTGAAAAGTCTTATTCAAATATTTCCTTTCTTGGGCAATCAGAAATAGAGGAACGAGAATTCTATTCTTTAAAACAATTTCCCATTATTATATAAATATTGATAACAAATTTATAAAATATTAAATGGTACAGATCAAAACATTTTAAAGTTTTTTTTGGAGATAAATGGCTAAGATATCTTTACTATATTTGAATTTAAATATCAATTTCTGGTTGCTATGATTTAATTTCTAAATATGTATATATCATTCTTTTTTTGAATTGAAAAAACCAAACACCGGAGTATCTGAAAAGGCTTTTTTCAATTCTGGGGGTGGGGGCATAGATGATGCTGATTATTTAACAGGAGAAGATGGTTTCAAATTAAATTACATCTACTACTTTTTTTAGGTGTTATTATTGGTATTATTGGTATTATTGATATTTTTGGATTGTGCAATAGGTTTATCATTAACCTTATTTCTTTGATTAGGTCTTTTGCCCTTTTAATTTGGTTCTAGAATAGATATAATACAAATACTTGAATATGCAAAATCATAGAGATCTTCATTCACAACCTATTCTGAATCTTTTAATAACTTTAATTAACTAAATATAATACATCAACTAATTATTTGGCTATTCTGGGATCCATTGTATCCAAAGTAATCATAGTTATACTTCTTCCCTTATCACCAGCTCTTCCTGTTCTTCCAATCCTATGAACATAATTATCAATTTAATTAGGGAAATCATAATTGATTACTAAACTAATGTCTCTAACATCAAGTCCTCTTGATGCAACATCAGTAGCACATAACAATTTACATCTTGAAGATTTGAATTCTTTCATGACATAATCTCTTTGTTATTGAGTCTTATCACCATGTAAAGACATGCAAAAAAACCCATGTTCAGTCAAATAACTGGACAAGTCCTCACAGTCTTTTTTTGTTTCTACAAATATCAAAACTTTATCTTTTTTTGATAAATCTTCAAGAATATAAAGTAATCTAAATTTAGATTTTCAATTTTATACTCTTCCTATTTTTCATTTTGATATAAACAAATTGTTTCTTAAGTGATATTTTTGTTAATGGTGACTTCTTAACTTCCAATATATAAATTAATTGGTTCATTATGACATAGATCACATGCTAAATTTTATACTGTTTTTGGCCAAGTTGCTGAAAAGAATACTGTTTGTCTATCTTCTCTAATATAGCTATCGATTTTACGAACCTGTTATTCAAATCCCATGTCTTTTATATATAAATTATTATACCAAGCATCCTATCTGCTTCATCTAACACCAAATATGATACATTATGTAGATTTGTTACTTGAGCATCTAAGAAGTCAATCAATCTTCCTGGAGTTGCTACAACAATATCAGGATCTCTTGCTAATGCCAATTCTTAAGGTCTCTTATCAGCTCCACCATAAATACAGGCCGAATTCATATTGTATGCTTCAGAAAAGTAACTAATATGCTCTAAAATATGTGTTCTTTAAATACCTTAAATTTGCATTGCTAATTCTCTAGTAGGCACAAGTATTAACATCATTGGACCTCCTTTTTTGCGTTGACATTCTATATGAACAAGTCCAGGAAGAAGGTAGGCAATTGTTTTACCAGATCCAGTTTAAGCAATTCCTATCAAATCATGTCCAGACATAATTATTGGAAATACTAAAAGTAATTATAATAATCTAAACCTGAAGCTTGGATTGGAGTGGGTCTTTAATAGGCTTTAAGTGATATACGTTTATTCAATTGATTTGGAAATTGGCAATCTTTCCACTCAATAAATGGTTGGGGCACTTCGATTTCATTTGATTCAACCACAATTTAATGCTCCTCAAGATACTCGCCAACTACAATATCTTCATAGATTCTCTAAGTCGGGTCAATAAAGACTTTCTTGATAGGGGTCGAGTTGACTAATGGTCTGGTCTGCGGGTTGCGATTCAAAAGCATTTTTTAATTAATCAATTTAGATTTTTTTATTAAATTTCTTTATTGAAAATCAAGAGCAATGTTTTAATTATTCTATGATTATATTTATTAAAAATTAAGGTTAATGATGTCAGCCTTTTGCCTTGGACTATGTTGCCCTAAGGCGTTTCCTCAATCATCTCAGAGTCATTCTGATTTGGTCCTGATTATTGTACTATTTCAAGTTACTACTCTTAAATAAGGATTTGCTTAAAGGTTATGAGAGGATCACTTTTATGTAGACCTTATACATGTGAGCTATATATGACCTTATATTTTTAATCCCTATAACATTGGCTCCATATAAAGGGCGGCTGTGAAAAAGCCTTCAAATTTTCCATAACTGGTTCCTTAGTTTTCTTCTTGCCTGTATTATTCTCTTTCTTAAAAAGGCAAAATGGCTTTCTGCAATCTTCTGTGTGATTACTCTAATCTATGTTTGACCCTTTGCACATCTCTAAAAGGTCAGTCTACCTATGTATTTTTTAATATACTGAATTTATTCGTTGTTTCATTTTTCCTATTATTTCTGGAGTTTATTTGAATTTTTTTAACTCCTATTTTTTCCTTAGACTCAAATCAGGACTAAAGTTCCTCATGACCACATAATTAATCCTAAATTCTAGAATATTAGGGGCCTTTAATTTACATAGTTTATCAAGGACATCATAGAAACACCTTAAAGTCACCATTTCTGGGTACTCAGGTAATAAATTTGTTGATGCAGCTTAGTTTAGTTCATCATAATTTTTTCCTTGAATTTAGAAATTAAAAGATAAAAGATAATAATAATAATAAAATTAATAATACCAGCAAAATCCTTTTGCTTAGTATTATTATTTTAATGGTCCTTTAATTAAATTTTAATATTAATATTAATATTAATATTAATATTATTATCAGAATTATGTAAAAAGAAAAAATTCAATCTTAAGTGGATTCAAAAAGATAAAGCATAAGTCCTTAAAATTAAATGCTTCTAGATTCACCTGGATATCAAAGATAGATGAATAATTATGAATACGAAATGTTTTTCAGATCACCTTAAATCATTTATGAGATGGATTCTCAAGATCCCATTCCTCCTAATCTATGTAGATAAGTTTCTAGCTTTGTTTTATTTGATTAATAACCTTTGAGATTAAGGTCAGGTAGATCATATAGTAATGCAAATTAAATTTAAAAGTAAGACCTAACTCAAGATTAGCAAGAATTTAATAAAAGATTTGGAGAATTACAGGATAAAGAACACTTAGAGTTAGATAATAAAAAGTATAAAGATACTAATTCTCCTCAAAATTAGAAGAGTTTGGATAAATAAGCATTTAAAATTTAAATAAAGAATTTTAATAAGTTCAGTGAAAAATAACAACAGCCTTGTAATTGTAAGAATAGTGGATGTCTTAAAAGATATTGCAGATGTTTTCATAGTGGGAAAACTTGTATAGAAGAATGTTAGTGTTCAGATGGATGTTTGAATAATGAACATAATTTATAAGAAAGAAACAAAGCAATTAAACATGTAAATGAAAAATGTTATAGAAACAGAAAGATTCCTAGAGATGCTTTATTCAAATTGGATATAATATATGGATGTTCTTGTACGAAATCTAAATGTAGAAAAAGATATTGTGAATGTTATTTAAGAAATCAGAACTGCACCCAAAATTGCAAGTGCTTTGATTGTTGTAATCAACCTAATTTCAATAAATGAGCTGGTCTCAGATTAAAGTATCTGAATTGCCCATACCTATTATTTTATATAAATTTAATTTATTTAATTATGTTGCGGCTATATTATTATACATTCAGCAAATTAATTAAAGTGGATCGTTTAACTATGACTCCACATTAATATTGGATTGCTGCTGGTAAAGGAATGGAACGCCCTTATACTGGAGAATATTGGTTTGTAAATTTAATAACCTATTTCATCAGAATCAAGAAGTTGGTACATATCACTGTAAACATTGTGAAAATCAATTATTTTCATTTGACACTAAATATAAATCAACTACAGGATATGCATAATTTTGGAATCACATTCCTAATAGTGTAAAATTAGAGGAATCTAATGTTAAAGTATTAATACTAATTAATTATTATTTTAGGAAGTAAGAGATTTATGTTGTGCTGGATGTGACAGTTTTGTTGGAAAGGTCTCCTTTGATGGACCCCCTCCAACATTCATTAAATATAGTATTAATTCAGCTGCCTTAAATTTTAAATTGAAACCATTTTAAGAAGACCCATACTTTAGAAAAATTGCAAGAAAAGAAAAATAAGCATAACGTTCAAAAAAAGTAGAACATAATTATTTAGAAAGCAATAAAAATTTATGATTTATAACATTTATATATTATTCAAAAAAATATATAGAGTAATCAAAACCATGTAGGTTGATATTAAATTTATAAACATTCTAGAATAAATATATGTTTCTATATTTATCATATTATAAATAACTCAATAATAAGTACTTTATAAATTGATTATAATTATAATATAAGTTTAGAAGATGCCTTAAATTTATGTGATAATATATATCAGTACAGTGAATATATCTTAAGAATATCTGAAAGTGAAGCATAATGATAAAATTTTGATAATTTTTATGAAATTCTTGTATATTTCTGTCATTTAAAATAACAATAAAAATAAAATTAAAATAAGGAAAAACAGATAAAATAATCTATAATTATATTTCAAATTTATAAATTTAATTTAATATTGTCATTCTCTCTTTATAATACTTATTATTTCAAATTTTATTTGTGTATATCCCATGATTCTATCTAAAATGTATATATTATTGGAAAATATAATTCTAGCTAATCATCCTATAATATAATGTTTAAATATTGAATAACTCTTTTGAGTTCATTTTCTAATTGACTAAAGTGATAATCAGAGTATCGTTTATTTAAACGTACAATACAATGCTTTAATTTACAACTCAGTATAAATAATTGATTTAAATTATATCGAAGATCATCAGGAATATCGATAGATAAATCCAATTATTTGAAAATATTAATGAAATTCTCTGCAATCATAATATGCAATTTGATTAAGTTGATTTTAGAATTGTGAGGTTTATGATTGTGGGAAGAACAAACCAATCCCATTTAAATAAAATTAAAATTATTTAGATTATACTAATCAATATTAAGTGAAACACTTAATACCAAACATAACAAAACTTTATATATTATTTAAACATTATGTAAATAGTTTTTATATTATTTTTGAATATGAAAATATTTAAATATCAAATGTTATTAATTATCATCATATAATACAAATATATGAATGAAACTTTTAGATTTCATAAGTTAATTTAAAAGTTATGCTCTTTAAATTATAATATGAAAATTAAAAATGTATGTTAAAAACAATAATATAAATTTATCTTAAAAACTAATTTTGATCTTAGAAATTTATTAATAATCTATAAGCAGTTGAAATATACGAAAATATTTGATATTTCTTATTTGATTGTTTTTATATTAATATAGAAACTTAACAATAAATATAAATGAATTAATTAGAAATTTGTGATTATTCAGATTCGTTAATTAAATTATAATGATTGCAGGACAGATAATTGAATTCTTCTGGTTAATAATTAGTTTAGTATTATTTGGCTATGCAATATTGTCAAAATTTAGATGGAATGAGAATATACATTAGAATCCAAAGATTAGAATGAATAGCTATAAATCATAGAATTTACCAAGAAATTAATTTGTTATTGAAGGTAAATATGATTTATTTTTTAGAGGCTGAAGAACACTAGTAATGTAAAAGTGAAGAGGATCTTCCATAATAATAATAATAACAAGAGGTAATCAATTGAAGTGAGTAATTTAAGAATTAATCAATAGCATAAATTATAAGACCGAAAGTTAATTATATGATTAACATTCATTTCTTATTATTATCAGTAGCCATAATAAATATAATAAATGGAGGAGATAATATATTTTTGTTAATAATGGTAATCTTATATTTGATAAGTACAATTGTGATAGTGGCTAAATTAAAAATGAAATGGTTATTTATTCCTTAAATAATGATTTTGGCTATGATGATAAACTACTTGATAGTTATATGATTATAATATATTCATTTAGTAAATTTTAACAATTCTATTAATATTTCCTTAGATAACATATTAATATCTTGAGTATTCAATATCTTCTATTTGTTATCAAGTAAAAAGATCATAGCATTGGCTTTTAATTCTTATGCAGAGAATTTATCAGCCAAATTAACAACTTCTATCACATTTTTTAATGAAATGTTTTTAATCTAAATTTAATGATATTATAATAAATACTAAATGATCTTCACATAAATTCTTAAGTCTCTACAACATATATTTATCTGCCAATGCTAATAAATCATAAACAATATATGAATCAATTAAAACTTCATCTGTATAAATGTACTATAGGATTGCTAAATGATATATTTATATATGAATACCCTTGAAAACATTAATAGTTGTTTCAGTAATAGCTAATTTATCACCTAAATTGAATTATTCATTTAAAAATAATGTTTTAAAATATTCACAACGAGATGCCAAAATAATCTTATGTGCATGAATTTCTTAATTATCAACAAAAAATGTAATATCACTTAATATAGGAGAAAATAAAATGCTAGAAAAATCTTGTTTAAGTGTTGATTCTGCTAATTTAATAGTTGACTATTATTTAAGCATATAAACATCATTATATGATTTCTCACTATCATTACCTCCAAAAATTACAATTGTATTCTTATAGGCAATAGCAGAATGTCGACATCTAGGTCTTGGAGGTGATGATTGTTATGATGATATATTCTCTTTAGTTTAACCTCTAAATTGTGGTAAAACTTCTTAATCGTTTATTACAATATATTCCCATTGATTCTCAATAATATTATACATGAAAACATCATTTCTCCACTATTATCCATCATATCCTCCAAATAAATAAATCTTATTATTCATCATTACAGCAGAAGCACTCACTCTTGGAGATGGTGTACTTCCCTTTGGTTATAACCTTGTCCATACATTATTTCCTATATCCAATTAATATAAGTCATTTAATTAATGAGATCGATCAGGTTCACCACCAAAAACATAAATTTTATGATCGTAAATTACAGAACTATGTTATAATCTACCTTAAGGTTTCTGTCCAGTAGTTTCTACTTATGCCCAATAACATTTAACTAAATCAAATTTGTATAGATCACTCAACCACATTTTACCATCTCCTCCTCCAAAAATATACATAACATCTCCACAAATATTTGCAGTATGAAACTGTCTCTTTGGAGGAGTATTCTCTGATTTTACATATTACCAATCAATACAAACAACATTCATTTATTCACTCGGAGTCATCATAATAATATCATCTAATACTGTATAACCATTCCATCCACCATAATATATAATCTTATCATAATAATTTTAAGCACTATGTCCCATTCTAACATCTGGTATCTAACCACTTACCTTGATTTAGGATGTCCAACTAATTATACTAATGATGCATTACTTTAATCTTTTTAAATCCAAAATATGAATATCATTACAGAACTTCTTCCTTCCTTCTCCTTCTTTACCTCCAAAGATTATCATATAATGTTTAAATGTTGTAGCTGTATGACAATTCCTACAAGTTGGCAATTATGATGCAGTAGTTGCCTTAATATTTTCCCATTCGTAACTAGCAAATGTAACTAATAATTTATTATTCGGTCTTACCATCATCTTCTTTATTATCAGTCATTTCCGTCTTTCTAATGCAATAATCCATTTATAATTATTAATATTGTTTTTATAATTAATACTCATTTAACCTTAATCTTTTATATTCTCTTGTTTTTTACTCTCATTATTAAATAAACACTTAAACTTATTATTATAGTGGCTATCCATGGAATAGATATATAATATGGTGTATCAACATATTAAATATTTCCAGCATTCTTTAAAAATTTTATGCTAATAAATGTTTCTGCAAAGAGAGTCCAAACAACTAAATATCTGCATTATCCTGATTATTCTTTATTTCCCTTCAAGTCATTCCATTACTCTTACCAACTTAATACTCCCATTCCGAACCAAACAAATAATCTAAATGATACCATCCAACATTTAGGTGGTACCCACAATTAATTCATTAAGAAAAATCCAGTCAAGAAATTTATAGTCACTGCTAACCAAGTACCAAATGATGCTCCAAAATATTTATAATCATGCCAAACTAACCATTAAGTAAATGATTTATCCTTTCTACCCAACCAATCAAATTATTCAATTCCTAATTTCTTACTAACCCACAATCCCAAAAAGATAAATAAAGTATTACCAATTAATACATCTAATAATACATGATCCCACCAACATTCTCTAAAATGAGGTAATATATGTTGCCAAGATAATTCAATAACTTCATCAAATATTTACCAGAAATTTAATAGCCATGCATCTCTCAATAAGAATGCCAATAAAAACCAATTTAAGCAATGTAATAAAAAATAATGATCCAAATTATCCACTATATTAACTAATTCAAACTCACAATTATCATCATAAGTGTGCATATCTTTTGTTACAGATCTTCCTAAGCTTTCATCACCAAGTTTCATTAATTATCTTGCTTCTATTTCATTTTAAAATATTAGAAATATAAGAAAAGCATTATAACATACACCAAGCCAAAACATATATCTCCAATATCCTATAAACCGTTTTATTGGACCATTATATGGTCTCAAGGAACCCATCATACATATAAATAATATGCATCCAATTATTCCTCTATATCTATTTTTCATATTATCATAATCATTTTCATATGCGAAATAGATTAATGTGCAAGCACTTATAAAAAATAAAATTTATTCCTAAAATCTCATTTATATGAATAATTATTATTAATTTATCAACCAGATATCCATTCCCAAATAGCAATTACTCATAAAAACTACTCCAGAAGTTATTAATTTTAATACTAATAGCAACAATTTTACTAATAAAATCAAATGTTAAACTAAATTAACTAATGAAAATAAAATTGAATAAAATATCAGGTTATATAAAGATTAATCAACCTAATGTGAGTTAATAACATAAGATTAAACTACATAATGTGAATAATTATCTGAACAAGATGAATATATTATGTAACTTGTAAAATCAAAAATAACATACACTAATGGTCTACTCTCATAGATGGAATCCATAGATATGAATGATTTACAACCAAGGTAAGCAATCTCAATATAATAATCTATTACAAATCCATCAATATTGATGGCATTTATATAAGAAAATAATAATACAATATATGAATAATTGTTAGTAAATCAAAACTAGACTTTTTTAAATACAATCTCATAATTGACTAACAATAAATAAATAAGTGATATAAAAAACTAGATATAATAATTTTTAGATATATTAATTTTAATCAATTAAGGTTTAATCGACTAAAATTTTAGGAAAGATTATAGCATTGTTGATTAATTATCATTTAATGAAAACTATTGTGAACAATAATCTCCAGGATGGCTCTTAACACCTACAATAAAAATTGCAGACAGTTAGAACTTTTCTACTGATTCGCTTATCATGAATAAATGATTTACTATCTAATTATAAATAAAAGATAATACTCAATTAAAATATTATCTTTAAAGTATAATTAATTAATTTTCTTAATAGTAATTTTAAAAATAAAAAAATTATATTTCTGATCTTTACTAATATTTTTGAAAATTTTTTAATTTTCTAATAACTTAATATAAGTGGATTTTCCAATCATAATATCAATAAAAGAGATTTATTATTATTAATTTAAATCGAAATTAATATAAACTCATTATAATCCATTTCATTAATTATTTTATCAATCATTTTCTAGAGATATTATAATACTAGATGATTCTTAATCAACTTCAAGTCAAAGGAATTTTCTTGAAATTCATGTTCTAAAACAATTAATTACAAGACATATTCTTATTAAATTAAAGATTAACTAACTTAATAGATATCTTTGAAAAAAACTCTTGCTTACTTTCAATTAAAGAATACATTATCAATAATTATATCCAATTATTATTCATTGATAATAAGTTTTCTTTTTATTTAATTATTGACATTCGAGAAGGAAATTCTATATAATGAGTTCTCTAAAATATATTTCTATTCATTAATCCTTTCTTTACTTTAATAGTCTTTTCATAATAATATTAGATATGGAATCATATTTATTACTCCATTATAAGAATTCCAGTTTCTTCCTTAAAAGGTAGCCACATAGTTAAAAAGGGATTTTTCATTTGAAGGAACTCCAATTTAAGCAAAATCTACATACATCAATTCTCATATTATTTTGAATTCATGTTTATAATTAGATGATTCAGACACTTCAATATTAAAAATTCAACTTACTTATACTTTGAAATCTTCTCATAAATTTTTTAGTTTAAAAGTATTATTCATCAATTTGAATGGGTTTTGCTAAGATTCTTTTTTATTATGATTGGTTTCATAATAAATATAAGGAATGGCTTACTCACCATTAGATTTAACTATAAATCTTAAATAATAGAGTCTTTAATTGAAAGGATGAATGATTTTAAATAAGTCTACATGAATAATATGTTCTTATGTTGCCCTTAGCATTTAATAAATTAACTGTTAAAAATATAAATGGAATTGAAACATCTGAATAAATTTGTAGAAGAATACAAACTCATTAAGAATGATAAATTAATTAAATACCTTATCATTCTAGGTATAGGATTTGTGAAGCAAAGGTTAGAAGATATAAATTAGGAAGCAATCAAATTATTAGCGAGTAATTTTGATTTATTATGTAGATTCATTCAAAGAAAAGTCTATTNATCTTTACTAATATTTTTGAAAATTTTTTAATTTTCTAATAACTTAATATAAGTGGATTTTCCAATCATAATATCAATAAAAGAGATTTATTATTATTAATTTAAATCGAAATTAATATAAACTCATTATAATCCATTTCATTAATTATTTTATCAATCATTTTCTAGAGATATTATAATACTAGATGATTCTTAATCAACTTCAAGTCAAAGGAATTTTCTTGAAATTCATGTTCTAAAACAATTAATTACAAGACATATTCTTATTAAATTAAAGATTAACTAACTTAATAGATATCTTTGAAAAAAACTCTTGCTTACTTTCAATTAAAGAATACATTATCAATAATTATATCCAATTATTATTCATTGATAATAAGTTTTCTTTTTATTTAATTATTGACATTCGAGAAGGAAATTCTATATAATGAGTTCTCTAAAATATATTTCTATTCATTAATCCTTTCTTTACTTTAATAGTCTTTTCATAATAATATTAGATATGGAATCATATTTATTACTCCATTATAAGAATTCCAGTTTCTTCCTTAAAAGGTAGCCACATAGTTAAAAAGGGATTTTTCATTTGAAGGAACTCCAATTTAAGCAAAATCTACATACATCAATTCTCATATTATTTTGAATTCATGTTTATAATTAGATGATTCAGACACTTCAATATTAAAAATTCAACTTACTTATACTTTGAAATCTTCTCATAAATTTTTTAGTTTAAAAGTATTATTCATCAATTTGAATGGGTTTTGCTAAGATTCTTTTTTATTATGATTGGTTTCATAATAAATATAAGGAATGGCTTACTCACCATTAGATTTAACTATAAATCTTAAATAATAGAGTCTTTAATTGAAAGGATGAATGATTTTAAATAAGTCTACATGAATAATATGTTCTTATGTTGCCCTTAGCATTTAATAAATTAACTGTTAAAAATATAAATGGAATTGAAACATCTGAATAAATTTGTAGAAGAATACAAACTCATTAAGAATGATAAATTAATTAAATACCTTATCATTCTAGGTATAGGATTTGTGAAGCAAAGGTTAGAAGATATAAATTAGGAAGCAATCAAATTATTAGCGAGTAATTTTGATTTATTATGTAGATTCATTCAAAGAAAAGTCTATTCATTAAGAATTGAAAAATTTAAGAAATAAGGTTCTGTCTTTAGAGAAGCATATTCAACCAGAATAACAGATTAAATATCATAGTCAACCAAAATTAATGCCTCCTAAAGTTACACCAAAAATCACTGAATAAATTCCACTTTAATAGAATGTCAAAAAGGCAGTACCATTTAAACATCACTTAGATGATTCTGAGATGTAAGAATTCTTAGTTTACTATTAAGCAAATCAATATTATGGAATCAATATAGTGAAAATCCTCATCATATAAGCAATAATGATTCTTAACATTAACCTCCAAGAAAATAAACAATTGATTAACAACCAATAATTCCTAAATATTTACCAAGAAACAATTCATAAACAGAAATTCATCCTCTATCATAACGTGAGAATAGTACAAGATAGGTTACTTAACGATCATCTCATCATTCAAGTTAATTTGACAGTTTACATAATAGAAATTCTCCAAAATTTAAAGGGGAAAAGAAAAAGAGCATATGTAAAGAGAACAAAATATCTGGAAGTATTGGAGGAGTACCTAAACATTTGAGATAAGTATAATCAAAAATAAAATCGTAAATTCAATTTGATAAGGAATAATACAAATCTAATAATAGTTAAAAAGAAGAAGAATAAACAATTAATATTGCTAATAGTTCCTTAAATCCATTTAATAATACTCCATAAAATAAATTATTTTAACCTTGTCATTCTACTCATTTTGGTAGTAGTTAAGTTTCAAGTGCTAAGATTTAATAATAATAGATGTAGATTTAAGATTTAAATAATATTACAGAAAAGAAAGTATTTAATCTTGATGAAATTGCTTCATCTTTTTTGAATTCTCCATTCATGAAGAGTTAAATCACTTAAAGACTATTTGCAAAATAAGAATCAGCTTCATAATCATCATCATCTAGTACATTCTCCCTTTTTAATCCTAATAATGAACTCAAAAGTATTAATATCATTTATTATTTAATAGACTTCTTTTAATAATTAGATAAACAAGTAGGAAACTCTTTATCATTTTAATTTTGATTTCATATTATTTATACATTTTATTTATTATTAACTATATCATATATTCATTTGTTCTATTTTTATATATATATATATAGTTGTCTATTTATTAAACTGATTTAGGAAATTTAAATTGGAATCATTATTTAATGAATTTATTGAAGTTTCTTTATGGAGAACCCTCTAAATAAGAAGTGAATTAGTAATTATAGAAACATATAATTTACTCAAATGATGATGAATATTAAGGTGAGATTATGAATGATAAACGTCATGGAAAAGGAACCTATAAATTTGCATCAGGAAATCGTTATGAAGGATAATGGAAGAATCATCAAAAGCATGGAAAAGGTAAGTTGTACTATAAGAATGGGGAACTCTACATTGGAGATTGGGTTGAGAATAAGAAATGTGGAGAAGGAATGCATTTTTATATAAATGGGGATAGATATGTTGGAGAATGGAAAGATGATTAAAGAGATGGAGCAGGAACTTTATATTAAGCTGATTAAAATATATTCCATGGTATTAGAAGATAGATTATGCAGGATAGTTTAGAATGAATAAAAAGTATGGAACTGGCTATTACTTTAACACTCGTGAGAAGAAATATTAAAAATAGCATCATGACTCTGACAATATCTTAGATAGTGTTTAGATTGAAGAGGTTCCAACATTTGTACTTGAAAAATTCCATATCAAACCTGAAAGAAATCATATTGAGAGTGAGAAGAGTGAGGATTGTGCCATTAAAATTGAAGCTAGTCCTACAATATAGAATGATAGTGATAAATAAAAAGATCTATAACCTAGTGGATAAAGTGGTTAAGGGGAATCTGATCCTTAATTAAAAGAAGAAGGTAAATCTTAGTTAAATTCTCTTGGGACTTCATAATAGCATGGATTTTTGAGTTTATAAGTATTGGAGAAATTGGAAGAATTTGAAAGTTAAAAAAATAGTAAAATTATTGAAATATATTAAAAATATAGTGTAGGAATGGTAATTAGAAGAAGTATGTACTTGGTTAGATTCATTACAATTAAGTGAATATAAAGATGAATTTATTAAAAATTAAATGACAGGCAAAACTCTCTATGCTTTAACTGATAATGATTTAAAATAAGATTTGGGAATATTAGTATTGGGACATCGAAAATAGATTTTGTAGTCCATAGAAGAATATAAGAAATATTATGTAAAATTTATGGGAGGAAGAATCCTATTAAAAAAGCCTTTAGAATCTTTAGAAGATAGAAAAGGACTTTACAATTCAATTGAGTAATTGAGATTTAAGAGTATCTTTTCTTATATGGAGAAGATTGAAGAGGAACAAAATGAACATCATGATAATAATATAAGTGAATCAAGTAGTGATTCACCAAGTGTCAATAAAAGAAAGAAAACTAATAAAGATATTCCAAAATCACCTACAAGATCTTTGTCAAATGATTCAGATTAAGGAAATTTGAGTGATAATAATATATCATTAAAATTGAAAAGATAAAAAAGTAAAAAAAGTAAAAAGTAATAGAGAAAATAAACAATGGATGTGTAGAATTCTGGAGAATCTGCAGATGATGAAGATGGCAAATAACATCAAACTTCACTTGTTTGTATATAATATATTATTATATATTTAGAATCTCCTAATAAAGCTAGCATCAATATTAGTGATTAAAAGATTGAGATTCTTGTATTAAATGAATGTTAGAATATTGGAGAAGAGAATAAGGAGAAGGATAGTAATGCTATGAATGAATTATAAAAACAATAATCAACAAATAAACAATAAGAAATATAAGAAATCATATCATCTAAAATTCCACAATAGATTAATAATAATAATGAAGAAAATTTTAATTAATTTGAAAGATTACAATCTATTAGTTTATAATTGCAACGATAAAAATCTGAAATTAATGGTAGCAAATTTTAGGATTAAGATACATCAAGTTAAGAATCTGATGTATCTGGAAATGATTCAAGTTCAGAATCATCAGATGAAGATAAATACAAAAATCAAAAGAAATCTAGAAGATTAAGAGAAATTAATAAGAAAGAAAAAGAAAAGGATGATAGATAATAACATCATTTACCTAAAAAATTACTTGTAATGTTAAAAGAATTTGGAATTAATGAAAGAGTATTAATAGTATTTCATGAATTAATTATTGGATAAATAATTGGTGAAGGAGGTTATGGTGTTGTGCATAAAGGTAAATGGCTTGGTTAAGATGTTGCAATCAAATCTTATGGAAAAAGAAAATCTTAAGGAAATTTGAAATATAAGTTATAAATGGCTGATTTCTTGAAAGAAGTAGAAGTTATTTCAAATCTACGACATCCTAATATAGTTTTGTATATGGGAGTTTGTATAAGAAAATAAAATTATTATTTGATTACTGAATATTTAGAAGAAGGGAGTCTGTTTGATCATCTTCATAAAAAGAAGACACATATAGATTAAAAAGCATTAATGTAAATAGTGGAAGACATTGCATTAGGAATGAATTATCTTCATGGTAGAAAAGTAATGCATTGTGATCTGAAATCATCCAATGTTCTTATAGATTAAAATTGGAATGTTAAATTATGTGATTTTGGTTTATCAAGAATTAATAAGAAAATAGATCATAAAGTAAACAAAGGAGCTAGAATAGGTACTCCTAATTGGATGGCTCCAGAAATTATGAGAGGAGAACCATATTAAGAAAAGTCTGATATTTATAGTTTTGGGATGATACTCTGGGAAATTATAACTTAATAAATACCATATGAAGGATTATCACAAACTTAAATTATTGGGTCTGTAGGATATGGACAGGATTAAGTTACTATTCCTTCTTAGAGCAATCCTCCAATCCTACTTTAAATAGCCAAAAAATGTTTAATAAAGAATCCTGATGAGAGACCTACTTTTGCTGATATTGTAAATGATATTCAAATGGGATAAAAAACTGATGCAAAACTAAAAAGTAATTTCTAATATTTATTTTATTTAGAATAAGCTATATAATAACTTATTGATTTTTTTGGATGATCAGAAGAATGAAAAATAGTAATCATATTATTCATATATATTTTATAAGTATTTCTTTTAAATTCTTTCTAAAATATTAATTTACAAATGATCTATGATTAATTAGATTGTATTCTATATAAATAATAAGAATATTGGATTACTAAAAATATAGTTTTAATAAATTTTAGTTAATATTAGAATAGTTATTTTAGAAGTATAAGGATTTTGAAAAGTAGTAAATTTTATGATTTAGGTTCTTAATCTATAAGTTTAAAGTTTTAAGAATAAATTTATTAGAATAGAAAATATCATTTAGAATCTAATTTGAATTAAACTATTAATTTTGAAATTACAAGAACAATTATTAATTGTAATAGTCATTTCCTTTGATTAGATGGATTGACGGAAATAATAAGTAAAGAATAGTTACTAATTGAATTGGTTCTTTTTTATTAATATTAATATATGAATAAAACTTAAGTTTTAAAATCTCTAGTGTTAAGACAACCAAAAGAAAATTTGAGAAGATTGCATCCAGTTGCATAATTAAAGAGAGAGTAATACTCTTAAACACCAGAACCACTACAATATAAAACAAGAGAAGAGTCTCCTTTTAGAGTATTGAGATCTTAAAATGGAAATCTTCCTGTATACAAAAAATATTTCGTGAGAAGTGAAGTACCTAGAACAGTAATAAGACATATTGAGGGAGATGTAAATGAATTTATAAAGGAATTAAGAAAAGTGTGTTCAAATGCAGATGTAATTGAGAAGGTATTAGATTAAAACAAATAGATTAGGTTGGAAGAGTTGAAGTAAATGGGAGTCATACAATAAGTGTTAGAAAATGGTTGACATAATTAGGATTCTGAGAATAATATATAAGAGAAATATTATAATAATATTATTTATGTTTCTCTTTGTTTTAATATAATTCTCAATTGCAATCTAGACATTCATATTCTAGCATTAATTATTTGATGTCAATAGATCTATTGATTCTGACTATTTTGTCTTATTATCCTTAAACTAATGCAATCCATTCAGGATATCTAGATATCAAATTATTGATAATTGTCAAAATTCCATTATTGTAATTCAAATCAAATTTTTATTTAATCAGATATTTTTCAATATTGATCAAATACATATTGGATACATCTCTAAGATTGTAATATAATTATAATCCAATAGCAATTTATTTTAATTAATTGTTATTTTATTAATGTTATTAATCTCTCATGATGGTGTTAGTTGAATGTGATTCTTATTCTTAGTTTTTGATGTCTTATTAAATATTCTCCATATTTGGTAAAGGATATAATTCTATAAATTCTCCCTTTGTTTGTATATAATCAAGTAATTTCTATTGAAAAATGATGTTCTTATCATCATTTTAATAAAATTACTAATCCTTTATACTCACTTCTAAACTAAGTTTCTCATTTTCATAATATTTCCAAATCAAACTAAAAGCATCATTCCAAATTTATAGGAATTGCTGTAAATATTATACCTTAAATTCTATTTAATAATCCTATTTAAATAAAATAACTATTTCTTAAAAGGCTAAAGTCTAATTAAATAAAATGGTGTTTAAATTAAGGAACATCTTACAAAATTATTAATATTTGGGAATAGCCATCAATTACTAAATGGTTTTGATACTTTGTAGTCTCTCAAATCGCTATCTCAAGGATTCTTTAAAAAGGATTCTTGAAATGCAAATGCCTGATTCCCTCTTCTATTCAAGCTTCACCATCTTTTTATAATTTTCAAATTATTCTATGCCATTTATAGTTAAAGAGTCTTCATATAAACCTTTTAATAATAAGCATATAAAATGTACTCTTATTTTTGGTCTGACTTTTTTGAAAGAACTATTACACACTACACTTTCCCTTAGCTTCTTTTTTCTCCTTTTTTGAGATGTGCAAAGTATTATCAGTGTTTCTATTTTCACTAATTCCTATTCTCTGAAAACTCATTAGATTATTTTATTATCTTATTTTAATATCTCTTCCACAAGACTCATCATATAGTGAAAATTAAAATGTGCATTTTTAATAAATATCTAGGTTTAAAAACAGTATAATATTTCATTAAACCATAATACATTTCCACTTTTTCCTCTATTTTCATATATTTGCAATCATCTCCTACAAGTCTCTCCTAAACAGATTTCTAAAAGTTTATTCCTATTCTCAATAATTCTCATTTTTTAAAATTAATGGATCATTGATTATCATATACTTCTAGTATTGGTACCCATTTATAATCCATCAATTCTTATTCACAAATCTTGATCTATGAATAATCATAACATTTCAATCTAAATGTATAGTATATATATATATCCTTCTTCAAATATCTAGTATTATTCACCTTTCATTAAATATAACACATCCTCAACTTAACACTTATATTATTATATAATAATTAATATTTACATCTAAATTAGTTTCCTCTTACATTTCTCTTAAAACAGACTAAATTATATATTCAATATGATCCATCAGCCTTCCTTGAATTTTTCAAAGCTCCCTTTCAATTTCCAATTTTTCTTGTTCAATCATCAAATATATACTATAATCCACAATTATCTTTTACAATTTTTCCTAAAAACACATTATAATATGTTGTTTAACCAGACAATCTACTATCACAATCAAGAAGCTATTTCGAAAATTAAAAAATAATTCCTCATACTCTACAAATTCAGAATCCTTATTCTATTAATATATATATATAAAATTCAATATAACTGGAATTAAAAGTAATCAGTCTTTCTAAAGTTTAATCAAAATTGCTGTTTTTTAACAAGTTTTGCTAATCTCTATTAGATTAATTAAATGTTATTTAAACAATGTTTGATTTTAATTGTATTATTTAGATTACTCTTTTTTATATGATTTGATTATTTATTGTATCAATTATAATTTTATCAAATATACTTAGGTTAATTAATGGATTAGTTAAGAATTATCAATTTTTTCATATTTAATAATAAAATATTATAACAAATAAAAACTTCAAAGTATAAAAGTTAGATAAATATTTATTCCAATTCATAACAAATCTTTTTTTGTTCATTTATTTAATTTCTCAACTTAAGTTATTCCTTTTTTGAAATTATAATTTCTTGTTAAATAAGCAATCACTTTGATTTTGGCTTCTATGAAGATTATTACTTATTAATCTAATTTACTTTATCATACTACTCATATAAATCGAAAGAACAAGTTGTATTGCGTAATAATAAATAAAATAAGATCTTTATAAATAACAAAAATAAAAATTATGGAAGAATAACGCAAGAGATTGAACTCTTCAATGACTTATGAAGAATATGTAAACACCTTTGATAAGGCACCAAAAAAACCTTATTTAAAACCAAAATAGGAACCAGATGTTGGTATGGAGGATCTAGATTTACTTAGCGATGCTTAAACAGACATAGTAAACACAACCTTTATAACCTAATAGCCTTAAGTCAAAAAAAAAATATACTGCGACCCAAACACTGTAATTTAAGAGGTTGAAGAAGATGGCAAAACACCTGTAGTTTGGGTAGATTAATAACTTACTCCCAGTCCAATGAAGATGGCAAGATAAAGAACATAAAGCGAGAATATTTAATTTACTTTTATAAGTTTTGTTGAAAGAGAAATTGAGAGAAAGGGATCACGCAAATTTGAATGAATATATTTTTGTGCTAAAATATTTTTTATTATTTCTGAATATTTCTTTAGAGAATAGACATAATAACATTGATTTACACTAAACTCTTTATTTATATGATTGAAATAAAGTAATGAATTACATCTATAAATGAAAAAATAAATATATTCACAAATTCACTGAAATAATAGTTAATTAAGTACTTAAATTATGTCTATGTTATTTTTTGGATTCATTCTATATTACTATTAAAAAATATCCAATTATATTATATTCAATTGATTTATCTTTTGATTGGACATTTAATTATCAATAACAGAAAGAATCCAGAAATAAAATTTCTTCTTTACTTTTTCCTTGTTTATTGATCAAAACATATTTATCTTAAAACACTTAAATTTATTTAAATTGATTCAATATGAATATAGAATATTAATTAAGGGTTTTATAAACAATTTAATTTTTTTTTTTTTTCAATTAAATATTGAATATCAGATTTCTATTGAGAAATTTGATGAAAAATGTAGTATATTTATTTTTAATTTTCTAAATTCAAAAGAAAAAAACATCAAATAATTAAAACATGAATAATTATTCATAAAAAGTCTTTAGTTTGATTTAATGGCTATTATTTACAATAAGGACATATTTTTCTTTTATTATATGGCATTTATAACCATTTCATTAAGCATTCTTTATGAAATTCATGATTTCCTGGACATAAATATTAAGCAATAAAATCTTTTGATTTGAAGGAATCATAACATATTGGACATACTTCTTTAATTTTTTCTGATTTTTCATTTAATTAATAAACTTTAATGATTTAATTTTATTCCATCTATAATATTGATTTCTAAAGATTTTTATCTAATAAGTACTCAATGACAAAGTATTTTATAAGGCTAATAGAAATTGAATATCTTATAAAATTACTATTAATAATAAATTATTAATTTTACATAACATCTTGAATTTCTTCAATTTAATTAATAAAAATATCCCAAATCATCAATCCTAATCCAAATATTTATAGAAAATTGATAATTTGTTGAGTTTTAGTCATATATGATATCAATTTCTATTTTAACAATAATTTAAATGCATTTATAAAATCTCTTCTACTCTATTAATTTAAAGTAATTAATTAAGGTATAATTAATACTTAAAGAATAGATGCACCTAAACTAAGTATAAAAATCAAAAATAAATATGAGCATCTAAACCATGCCAATGTGAATGGCAATCTACCATTTATCAAGTTATCAAGATAATATAAGCAAAAGCACACTTCATGTATTAAATTCAAACTATGATGCAATATTAAATAGAATCTATATTGCTTTGGGGCGGCTATCAATAGCTTTTCTAGGTTTTACATTATAATTATTTAAAATTCATAATAAAAATCATTTATTATTATCTCAATTATGATGATGTTCGACTATTAAATATAACCTATAAACTAATAGTTGTGATAAGTTTCATTATCATATGAATAACATAATTCAATTTTATAATTATAACTGTTATAATTTAAGCTGACTGCAGTTTTATTTGATTTTTATTAAATGGTATTTATTGCTCAATCCTTATTTTTAGATTTTCAGATTTTTAGTTAAAGAAAGAGAAACCTATTCAACAGATTTGTCTTTAGAAGCATTATTAACATTATCCTTATTTTCAAATATATTACTAAAGATTCTTTTCTTCTCTTATTCATTATAAGGAAATTTCATAGATTTACCACATAAAACTAATTAACTTTAAATTAACTCATGTTCATTTCGAATTTAACTATCTCTAAGAATAAATTTTTTATTTTCATAATTTGTTTTTTATTCTCTTGTTTTAGATGAAGATAATACTATATTCTTCAAATGAGAAAAGATCTCACCTTATGATTCCATACCTACAGAATTTCCAATATAAGGTTCTTTATCAGTCTAAAATCCATCTTAAAATGTTCTTGAATTTCTACCTTCATTTTCTTATTTACTTAATCTTATTTTATGAAATATATTTCTTTTATTTTATTTTTAATGTTGTCTTATGGGTAAGCGATGTACTGAACATATTATTTGTTGTTTCTCAAGAGTAGATTATATTTATTAATAATTTTTAAAATAGTATTTGGTTATTCTTTTATTGAGTGCATTATTTTAATCATTTAAGATTTTCCAATACTTCTCATATCTAAATAGAGTTATTTCTTGAGTGCTTTCTATTGGAATAAATACATTTTTTGTTTTAGTTAAACAACAAACATAGCTTTTAAAACCTGATATTAAATATTCTTTTGTTTATTCATCTAAATTCATAATATCATATGGATCATTTTTTTAAGTAGGTTTATTTTATAAATAATAAGTTAAGTGTATATGATTTAAGTAATCCAAACTCTAAATTGGATCCTAACAAAACTTCTCGTTTCTATTTGTGATTAAATCAGTTCTAGTTGATATAAATTAGGATACTATAATGCCTCATTTCTATTAATGGATTTAACTAAAGAATCAATCTAACGAACTAGTCTTTCTTTTTATAAATTGATAATTATTTGTATGATTTCTGTAGAACTCATTGTAGAATTGCTAGCTATTTTGAATAATTAGTTTCTTTGCATTGGTAAAAATTATTTTCTTTAACTGAATATTGGGAAATATAACTATTTACATGTCTTAATACTTGCAATTTTTAGTAATAATAACCTTGAATTTTTATATATTTTTTCACAAGTTTCTATAAAAATTTTCTAGCCTCTGAATAATTCAATAATGTTTGCGATTCTATTTAAATTCTTCTCTGCTCCACTTTTAAGATCTTGTATTGTAATTTTTACACCAAATTCATTCGATCATTACTAGACATTGAATTTATCTAAGCCTCCAAAATCTAAAGGTGAAATATATATTCTTATCTGCTAGCTAATATTAAAATTATAGAATTCATTATATTATTTTATTAATATTTCTGAATAATAATTACAACAATCTCTCTAAGACTTTTTATAAGAATGTCTATTCTAAATTCACAAACTATTGATTATATATACCCAATATAAATTTAACTTTTTAATTAACATTTAATATTTTGTAAACATAATAACTAATGGTAAATTGAATGTCTATATAAATAGCAAAGTGAATATCCAGAAAGAGCTCAGCCTTTAGCTAATGAAGAAGTAGAACCTTAAATTCTAGAACTTGCATAATAAGCAGCTGCCTTAAAATAAGTAATTCTGATTACAATCATTAGTTAAAAAAAGGAGCCAATGAAGCAACCAAAACATTAAATAGAGGTATCGCAGAATTAGTTATAATTGCTGCTGATACAACTCCATTAGAAATCGTTCTTCATTTACCATTACTATGCGAGGACAAGGTATTCGAAATATTGACCCACTTTAGAATGTCCCTTATGTTTTTGTTAAGAGCAAAGTAGACTTAGGCAGAATGTGCGGTACAAGTAGAAATGTTGTGGCTTGCTCAATTATAAAGGATAAAAACTCAAGAATCAATTAAAATATTACATATCTTAAAGATTTGTGTGAAAGACTCCAAATAAATTAAGAAGCATGATAAATATTAAATATGTACATTAAACAATCATATTAATACTATGTAAATTATAACAGATTTTATACAATTAGATATTTGATAATTTCTGGTTGTATTGAAATCTGTGAATTATGTATTCTAGATGTTTAATTTAATCTAATATCCTTATAAGGCAATTAATAATTTCATTAAACTACCTAAACAAGGAGTTTTTTAGAAAAAAACAGGTTCTTAACCTTTATAAAATAAATAAAATGATTTGTATTATTTTTAAAAGAGAATCTATTGATATTTTTTAAAGAACATTGGATTTCTATTTAAATTATTTCTAATTAAATCATTTTTTGTTTTTATAAAAAATTACTTAAAATAATAAATTTTAATTTTCCAAATAACAAGTCAATCTTTTTCAATGAATAAGTATATTTGAATCTTTGTTAACTGGAAAATGGAGTGGGTTAGAGTGTTTTTATAGAATATTTAGAAATCTCTTATAGAATATGAAATTCAATCGAAAAAGTAGCAATATTTTATTCACCAAATAAAAATTATCTTTTAAATTATATTGTTGTTTTGGTTAATAATAACCTTATTTTTTATACAAAAATGTTAATTTCGAATATCCCTTGTAATGTTAAAATTTTATCAATTTGACTTTCTTCAATAGAATGCCAGAAAATATATACATTAAAATTGAAGATAATAGAATTAATAGGTTTCTCATTTACTTATATACTTTATTATAAGTATATATTTTACATTAGTTTATTACTTAAGTTATTTGAGAAATTATTACAAAAAAATAGAGAATAAAGTCAACAAAATAGAAATTAAGATAACACTATTGTTAGTTAAATTTAATAAAATTTGAATTATTATTTAATGTTTCTGAAAAAGATTGTTTTATTTAATATGTTTGACATTTAAAATTACACATAAAAATTAAACTTCAAAATTATAAAAAATATAAATAATGTTTTTTTGAATTTACATTTTCTGTATAATAATAATCATCATAATTTAAATAAAATTAATTAAATCAAGTCTTAATCAAGCAAAATATTTTTTGTAAAGACCATTTGTTGAAAATTCTTTAGGGAAAATCAATTTTTTATGTAACACCTTGTTTTAGCTAGGATTATTAATCTGAGGATAAATTTCTGAGTTTTAACTAAGCTATTCTAATTAATTAAATTAGCTCTTCCATTTTGATTCAAAATTATTGTTTACAGGATTGCAATTTATTCTATAGGATTGATACTAGTTAATATTTTATGTTGTTTCTAGTGGTTCAATTTTTTGATGTAAATATTAAAACTTTTTGGTTAGATTTACACTTTTGTATCTTTTATTCTTCGATTTAGAGAGTGATGGTCTTTCTGTTGCAATTTCTTAAGGGAAATCTTAACATCTAGTATTTTAAGATAGAACTCTCTAAAATTAATTTTGTTTTAATGGTTATAAGTGGAGATGATCCTTATTTGGCTATGCATATTCTTATAATATTTCCTTAACAGAACCTGCTTTCCTTTTAATAGACAACTTTCTTTAGGTACTTTATTGGTTTACAGGGATTGGTTATATTGAGGGCTTTTTATAAAAGGTAAGTAGATAAATATCTAACAATCTATAGAGAATAATAAATAAATCAAAACTGCTATTTGTTATCTGGAATTTAACACGAAGCTATGTCTTTGGTTTTCATAAAAATAAAAATATTATTGATTAGAGCTGAATTATAAAATAAAAAAATGTTGACGGCGAGGTTCGAACTCGCGCCCTTTCGGACTGGAGCCTTAATCCAGCGCCTTAGACCACTCGGCCACGTCAACTTATAATGATAATTTGATTGCATATAAGCATTTAACTGTCAAAACCTAATAATTAATTTAATAATCGAATAGAATGTTAGCATAAAGTGTACAAGGTTAGTTTTAAGGTCCAAGATTAAGTGCTGGAGTTGGCTAGAATGTATAAATGGGATTTGGAATGATTCAACCAAACTTAGGGCTATAATCTTAGAATTCTTAATAAACATTTATGCCTTTAAGTGCTCAACTGCCTTTTCCAGGAGTTGGACAATATAAAGGACAGACGCCTCTTCAATTTTCAATGCCATTTTAAGGAGCAAATCAAGGATAATTTTCTCAGCACTTGATAAATTATTAATAACAGCCATTAGTTGTTTAAAATTTAATTTAACCTTAACCATAATTGTAATATTAGTAATAAGTTATTCAAACTCCTCCATTTCAAATAACATAACCAGCTTAAATAGAGAGGAAGGTGAATTATATTCCATAAAAAAAATAAATAGTAAAAATGGAAGAACAAGAAATTGAGGAAATTGTTCCAGTAGAGAGAACAATTGTAGAATATATTCCTGTTTAAACAATAATAGGTATAAATAAAAAAATATAATTTTTAGAGAAAGTACCAATTCCTGTTGAAATACCATATGAAGTTATGATACCAAAACCCTATTAATAAGAAATTAGATATCCTAATCTATAAAACTAATTTGTAACAGATGAAAACGGAAATCCACCTTCTAATCCTGAAAATTAATATAAAAATGAATTTCCTCCAATCTAAATCACAAATTATGAATAAAAATAAGTATTAGAAAGTGATGATGAGGATGGAGGTGGAACCGATGAAGATGATGAAGAATTGATAGAAAAATATACACGAATTATTGAGGAAATTAAATAAAGAAGAAGAAGAAGAAGGCATAAGTTAGGATTGAAGGAAGAGGATGAAGATGATTTTAATTTTAATTAACTTTCGAAGAGATTTGGATCATATGGAAATAAAGGAGAATTTTCTGAAAGGTATGATTATGGCAATGGAGGATTAAGATAATCAACAAATATGAGGAATAAAGGAGGATATAAAGGTAGAAATAAAAACTATACAGATTATTTAAATCTAGGAAGATGAAAATTATTTGTCACTTAAATATTATTAATTATTTAATGGAACTTGATTTCCTATCACCTAGAGCACGGGAAATAAACAAGAAAAAACTGAGTCTTTTGTATTCTCTAAAAAACCAAAATATTGAATAAAACGACCCTATCAATGAAAACGTTTCCTTCATTAAAAAGCTAACAGGTGATCATCCATTGAACGACGTAATTAAGGAGTGTTAGAACAATGTGAGAGAAGGTTTTTTAACTCCATTAACGAATGTATGGCAAATAATCATTTAAGAGGTCTTCCATTTCTCTAGAATTCACAGCAAACATGTTTGTTGAAGAATTATTGGACAGCATCAAAATAAAACATATTAAAATACTACAGTTAGATGAACTCATCAATAATTTGAAAAACAATATAGAAATTATTCAAAAAATAGAAATTAAGTAACAATCCACAAATCTAAAAGAACTTTATGAAATCTTTATACTCAATTAACCTAAAGATGATAATTATCAATTGTATTTAAATGATGAAAAATTATACCCTTAATAATGGCATTCTTGCCCATTTAATGTCAAACATAAATTAAATTTTACCCTATTTTCCAACAATAATAAAATGCTAGAAGTTATTTCTGTTGATATGATCTATGTATATACATATATATATTAATCTATAGTAAATTGGAAACAATTGCGTCAATATTAAACCAAATGAATACCATCAGATACTCCAAATTAAATTTTTAGAAGAATCAAATAATCCTATTCAATATGAGTTACAGTATAAAACAATATTATTATAGGATTTAATTATTTTATAATATGACAAATGATTTAAAGAAGACAATAATTAAAACTTTGAAATAAGAAATTCAAGAAATAGATCATAAAATTATAGATATGATAGATGTTATTAATAGAATGTTAGAACCATTTTCTAATAATGGATTTAAATATTTAAGATATGAAGGCTTAATGGATAATTAAAGCATATTAAAAAATAGAAATCATTGTTGTAACATTTTCTGATCATATAATAACTATGTCTTTAACTATATAATTTTATAAGTAATATTTTACTTAAATATGTTTTTATTAATCCAAAAATCATTATGTCTAACAATATTATAAATCACCTTCAAATTTATCCAGATATTTAAAACTCTGAATTATGAAAATTCATAAGCAAATACCTTAGATAAAGTTATAAAATTAGATTATCATGAGCTTTGTTTAATTTCAAATAATCATCTTCATTTATATATTTTCAATAAAAATTTATATTTATTTTTTATATAAATTATTAAATGAATCAGCCCAATAAGCAACCAATTTAATAACAGCCACAATTAACAAATGCTAAGAGATAGTCAGCTATTTAATTAAAAAAATATATTAATCAATTGTAAGGAACAGGAGTCTTGGGTAATAGATCTATTTATTCTTTAGATTATAAAATATTTGGTAAGCATCATGACAATGTTTATTTTGATTAAGGGGAAATGGAAAGAATTTTAAAGAAAGTTCCTGGCACTTAAAATGGCAAAATATCTGTGCAAGATCTAAAAAAGAGAATGTGTAAGAAGTTACAATAAAATAGAATTATGTAATCCTAATGCTGATATATCACTAATAAATACAGTTTTTCAAGGGAAACAAGAAGTTTGTGCTAAAGATATATATGAATTATGGAATGGTGAACCTATAACAGATTATGATCCTTTATAAGAATGTCTAAATTTACTTTGTGATCAAAATGAAATTCTTGATCTTAATAAGATGAGTTAACTAATGGAAACTCTTGGCTATTAAAAATTAGATAAATAAGATCAAGTTATTTTGATTGAAATATTTGACATATATAGAGATAAAAAAATAGATAAAAAAGACCTTATGGCTATATTTACTTATATATTGTAGCATACGACTGGAATTTGATTATGATTTGAAAGTTTTCTTTTATTTTTTATTTTACATTAATAAATGAATTATCAACAAGAGAAAAGAAATTCAGTAATAAGACAAGATAATGTAAGAGGCTCTATTAATTAAACATTATAATCTCCTCAACAACAAGAAGTTATTTAAAGCAACGAAAGACATACTGGGTGTATAGAGAGGATGAGGATACTAACATAAGAATTGCAACGAATGACAGAAGCACTAAGACAAAAAAACCAAGAAGTTATGTATTTGTAATAAGAATTACAATATGCTAAACAAAATTAGGTAAAAGATACAAAAATTTATATTTATAGTAAAATAATCAAGGCAATGAAGAATTACTCCAAAAATTGCAGTTGGAAAGGTAGAAGTTAGATCAATTCAAATAAATGAAAGATTAACAATTAGGAGAATTAGAAACAGAACTAAATAAAGTACATAAAGAATTGAAAGACGAAAGATTATAGAAGCTTGACTATGTAAATCGTTATTAGAAATAATGTGATGAAGTAGTAAGATTGTAAAAAGAACTGGAAAAAGCAAATCAATAAACTATGAATTCAAATGAAATAGATTAATTGCATGCACATATAGATGATTTACAGCATGAAAATGATGAATTAAGATTAAATATGAATAGTCTCTCAAACAAAGTCTAACAATAGCAATAATAAATTGCCATTCTGGAAGATTAACTGACCCAATAATAATCATTCCAATCATCAAAATTACCTCCATCAGGACCTACAAGTTATTAAATACCACAAATGTAATATTAATAGCAACTTTAACCTCAGACATCAAATTATTAGAAGACAACTACCTACACTGTTGAGAGCAAAGGAACCAACAAACCAACTGAAGTTAAGAAATAAGTAGTCTCAACAGTCAATGGAAAAACAGATATTTATGAATATTCTTCATAAGACCCTCTAAATCCTAAAGAGTCTATAAATTCTAAATTTGATTAGATTAATTAGAAAGTCAACTAGAATTTTGAAGTGAGAAATTCATAATTGCAAAATAATACATCTGCTTCCTAATTGCAAAGAGGATCTAAATATTTACCTGAAGCATATCAAAAAGAATTCACAGAATTTAAAAGCAAAATAGAAACTAAGCCTGTAACAGAGTATAAAACCACAACTGTTACCAAAACAAACAATAAATATTAAAAATATTGAAAATCATTAAAATATTCAGTATATATTATTAAAAATAATCATTATATATAAGGTGATTATACCTTATTAGTGCTTGTAAACAATCTATAAGATAAAGTTCTTGATTATTTTGTCTTAGGAGTAAAATATCCATCTACTAATGAATATTTTTTTGGATATGCATTTGATGTTCTTGTTGAAAATTTGAATGGTGAAGAGTAGATGATCGTATTCTTTGTTATCGAACGAGTCTTTTTATTCGACAAATTTATAGCAATATTCTTAGTATCAGATCTCTCCTTTTAAGAGGAATATTATTGTGTTGTATCTACCCTTAAAATATTAATTTTTTCAGTTTATTTAATTTAATTGAATTATGTTTAAATTAAATTTGGAGGTTGTTTGTAAATCTTTGCTTTGAATAATTATGAAATATTTGGTCTTGATTAATCATCATATTATAATAAGTTAACGACTAAATTTATCAAAGATTAAGAATAATAATAAAATGCAGATCCTAATATATTTAATATCTACTAATAATGTATTACTTCCTTATAGAAATCAGTATACTTTGTTACATCTTAAAATTATTTTTATAATCATAAATATTACCTTTACCGCTCATTATCGATACTAAAACAATTCCAAATTGGTATGAATCCTATTTAAAAGGGTTTATTTATAGACAAGCTAAATGGTTTTAGTAATCATTCATCTATTAAGGACTCAAAGAAATATTTGAATTATAATTTCCTAATGTTTATGCATAACTTGTTAATATGTTTGGTAGAGCACCATGATACTAAATTTATTTTAATTCATACCAAAATTTTTACATTTTAATCTTTATCAAAAAAGAGACTATCAAAGTTAATATTGGAGTGAAATTTATTCTAACTTTCTAGATAACCAAAAACAGTCGAGATTTATTTAATTAACTAATAGAATGATTAATTATTACTTTCCAGATAAATGACTCTGTAACATATTAACCATTCTATTAATAATCTTAAAGCACCTTTGATAAATTGGTTGATTAAAATTCATAGTAAATTCTATATTCTTTTAATGTTCCTTAAAATGTTTGCTCTTTAATTGTACAACCATAATATTTCAATAAATGTTCATGCTTGATTTATTATCTTTATGTATGCTAAGAATGTATAAAATTTTTATCAATATCAATCTAAGTAATCTGTATTTACTTAATGAAATTCTATACTTTTGAAAATAGCCACTCTAAAGGATTAGATTTGTTCTTCCATATTTGAATCTATCCCAAATACTTATGCTGCTTAGAACTAATATATGTAAGGTTATCTTTCAATAAACTTATATTTGATGATATGTAGTCTTCACTTTCTAAAACAATAGTATTTCCCATTTTGAAATTTAACTTAAATTAATTAACTTTAAACAATACAATATTTAATGATAAAAAAATTATAATTATGTAAACTAATTAGTTATAGTTAAAATTGATCATTCAACTTTCTATTTATCATCTTCTTAATTTTACTATTTCATATTATTTTAGGTTTATTTTTTTTTCTTTTCTCCTAAAATTTCAACTTCATAATCATGTTCTTCTCTAAACCCTGAGTTAGATTTTTCAAGTCCTAGACATTTGCTCATTATATCCTTCACTTTATCAGCATATATTTCCCACTAAAAATTTAATAAAATTATTTACTCTTTTCTCTTCAGGATACTATTCCAACTTTAAATAAGTAGGATCATAAAGCCCTTCAAATTCAATTATTTCTAATTCATTTTTCCACTAAACCAAAGACAATAATGTGGTTGCTAAATTAGAAAATCATAGTACCATAAATGCCTATACAATCCATTGCTACACTAAACCTTCTTGGAGAATACTTTAAACAACATATTTTTATTGGTTGTAATGGTTCAAATGCACCTTTCTTGAATGATAAAATATAATTTCCATTAGAAGTTGTTCCTTCTGGAAAAATCAACACTGGAGGAAATAGATGTCCTTAATTTATCAAATTTACTCTATTCAAAATGTCTAACATCACTTATTTTCTATTATTTGCATTTTCCCTTTCAACAAATATGCTTTTGAGATTTGTTGTAATCCAACCAAAAACTGGGTAATCTTTAACTGTGTCTTTAGAAACAAATGATGGCAAATATTTAAAAACGTAGGTAATTGTGTCATACCAGCTAACATGATTTGATACAATTATTGATGGTTAACTTAGAACATTAATTTAGGTTTAAACATAGGCTTAATCATAATCAGAATATCTAAATTGATCTATAATTCTTACTTCACTACTCTTTGTTTTATTTGGTAAAAACCTGAAAAAAATAAGTAAGCTCTAGCCAAAAATTAAAGTGGTTATCTCAAAAACTTATATCTATTAGCAGGCCATGGATTTTCTAGTTTAAAGTCTATTATAAATTATATGACAATTTATGAACCTTTTGTTGTAACAAAAAAAACAAATGCAAAAGCAAATAGCGATCCTAATACAAATATTAATCTAAGTGGTAATAAGAAAATGGCACCAAAATAGATCTCTAATTTGTTCCAATTTTTATAATCTCTTCTTCTAAATGGCTAAAACTTTTCTGGAATATCTGATCTGTGATATTTAGGATCTTCATATTTCTTTAATAAGGATGAATAAACGTAGATTATTAAAGGACAATAGACTACGATATAGAGGAGGAGTAATAATTCAATCATTTAATTTATGTAAAATTTTGATTACTTTTTTTCTGATATTTAAATGGAAAATTAGTATGTATGATATTAAAAATAGAGGCAAAAATGACATACTAAAATTGCCACCTATTATCAAAATTTCTTAAGTGTAATAATCATTGAATATTTGATAAATCCATCATAATTGTCAATTCATTTATTTTACATGAATGATTATAATTAAAATAAGAGTACATCTATAAAGCCAATTTTAAATTAATATAAATATATCACACTAAAGAATTATTAGTTTTTATTTTAATAATAAATTAGATTAAAGCTAATCATTTTATATATTTCTCTTCTTTATGTTTTAATTCACAAATACTTAGAAAAGATTTCTAATACAATATTCTAAAATAATTAAATTAATAAATGTTTTCAAATTATAAATTACAATCATTTTTTTATGTTAATCATAGATAGAATCATCATGATTGCTAATAAAATATACAATATATATTTATTATATTTCGCCATAATTATAAATTATAAATAGCATTAGTTTAAAATAGTAAAAGTATATTAAATTATGTAAAAAAATAAAATAATTTATATTTATTTGTAAGAACAATAATTTTTATTTAAAATAGACTATGAATATAATATTGAAGTATAACAATAAATAGAATATTTAACAAAAATAATAATTTAAGTTATTTTTTAAGAATGTAATATTCTTATTCATAATTTCATTAATAATGAGAAATAGTTGATAATAATTTGTTGAATATTTTAAATAGCTTAATCATAATTCAAATTAAACTGAATAATTAAAAACAATAATTTGTATTAAGATTAATTATTGCTAATAATGATAAAAATACAATAATTAATTTTAATAAGAATGATTAAACATTTTGTAATAAAATTTAATAATATGATAATTATATCAAATGTATTAAAAAAAAATGTGACTAATAAAAATAAATAATATCATCTAAAAATTAGTATAATTATGGCTATTGTAATTAAATTTAAATATTATTATTTTTAATTCTATTAATATTGATAAACTATTTTTACTTATAAAAATGATTACAAACATTATTAACTCTTATTGAAGTTATTGTAATTTATTTTTATATTATTTTTTATAATTCTATTAAAATTGATAGACTATTTTTCTTATAGACAATAATTATAAACTTATCAACTCTTATTGAAGTTATTATAATGTAATTTAAAATTGTTTTTCATAATTCCATTTATATTGATATAAAATTTTGACTTATAAAAAATAATCATTAATTATTATTGAAATTATTGAAGTTTTTCTAATATATTGTTATATAATTACAATTAATTATTTCAATTATTATATTTTAATAAACAAAAAACATTTCCCATATCGTTTAAACTGGAAATTAATAAATTAATAAATTATAATAACTTCACTAATAGTTAATAAATACTATTATGTATTTGTAGATACGTCAAAATAGATTATAAATAAAAATAGAATTATGAAAAATAATATTAAAATATATTACAATAAATTAAATAAAAGTAATAAATTTAATTTAATTATTTTTTAAAAACCTTCCTACAAAATTCGTAATTTTTTCTTTATTGCATTTGATTGTTTCTTTTCTTTCAAGGCATTATGAAATAAAATATGATTTTATTTGTAACTTTAGAATGTGTTTAAATTTCGTTTATCAAAATTTAACAATTAAATAGTTTAAAAAAATAATAAATTTGATGGATGATATCTAAAACAATGAAAGTGTTAACAAAAAGATCATAAATGATCAGAGTGATGAATAAAGACCATAAAACCATATTATATTATTCTTAATAGATTAAAAAAAAATCAAAACAAATTTTTAAGCATTTATTTATCATAAAATTTCAGTTTACTAATATTGGCAATTTTCTCAAATGTAGCATCTTAAGTTAACAAATTTTGAGGAGTGACTTGTTATTAAGTGAAGCTTATAGCATGATTTCTATCTTAATGATATTACTAGATGCTGTATTTTCGATCATGAGATAATCTTTTATATTCTATAGAAGATCTTCCTGTTATAGAAGTTATTCTTCTCCTATTTTTGATAGAAGCATCTTAGTGTTGTGGCATTGACTATTACTATTATTACGACATTTATTGTTTAGAATAGGGATTTTTAAGAACTATTACAACTGGTTTGCTAGATTGGGTTGCAAATTAATTCTAAAACATAGAATTTCTAAATAAATTCAAAATATACTTATTAGAAACTCTAACATGATAGACTTGCATTTTACCTAAAATTTACTATAAAGAAATATCAGTTTATTAAAATGAGTTTTAAAAGCCATCCTATAATGGAACATCTTGATAGTTTGTGACAATTTCTTAAATGCTTTAAAATCCAAGTGTTTCTGCATTGGGTCTCCTAATAGATTTAACTTATTCTTCTATTTTTTACAATACTTTTTCATCTAACATAAGATTTTAATAATGCTGTATATCTGTTTATGATCCTTTGTCTATTCTATTAAACTTTTTTTTAGTGGATATAATTATTTTATTTTGTTTCTTTTAATTAACAAATGATAGAAGTTCTTATTCTTAAAGTGCATCCTCCTCTGGATTTGAATCACTGCCTGAATCATCTTCACCTATTTAAAGTTAACTCAGATCACACTCTTTTATCAATTTATCTAATTCGTCATTTTATTATAAGGTTAAGGTTCTGGGTAATTTACTGGATTTTACCATCTAAGATTCAAACAACTTAAATATTGATAATGAAACATCTTCACCTAATTACTTATAGGAGCTTTCAGTAAAATCCTAGTATGCTTGTTATCGAAAAGCATGAAAAGAGATTTCTAAGGTGTAGGTAAAGCCGTTTTTAACTTCTGATTATAATGCTACTCTTGCAGTCTTTTTTTTGCTTTCATGTATGCTAAAAGAGCAATCTCGTAAATTCATCATTTTAGAAAGATTACAACTTATTAAAGGTAGCAATTTTTATTCATCACATAAACTATTAGCATAATAGAAACTATTGAATCTAAAAATCTAAACAATTTTACTTCTTTGAATGACCATGAAAGTCAATGATTAAACTCAATTCTGCTATTTAATTTATTTATCTTATTAATTCTCTTACATGCCAAACAGAATCGTGTAACTCTTTATGAGGGCAAATCCATATTCTATTGAGATCAGTTCCATAAAGATTGCAACGATAATTTCCAAAAACAACACCATCAGGATTTATCATAGGAATTATATAAAAAGTAAAGTGATTTCTTAAAACTTCCGCTTCCATGCAATTGCTGATTAAAAACTCAATCGCACCTTCTATTGTATATGAACCTGGGGTTTCTCCTGGATGCTATCTTGCCATTAATAATATTGCCTTTTTACCATTTCCTATTGTAATTAAAGGGCAAGATAATTTTGAGATCGTCTTACATAACTCTTTTACTTCAGCAAACTAAGTAGATAATGTTTTATACTTTATTCGGTCGAATAGATCTTTCTATAAAATTATTTAATTATGAATGAGTATAAGGATAACATTAAGCAAAATAGACTTTATCGTTGGAATATTCAAATTTATAACTAAACGAAAGTGTATAATAAGTTTTAAGAGAGCTGTTTTCTCGCTTAAATTTATTTCTAAAATAAATGATATTGTGTCCTGCCTTAACCCAACCAATTCCTTTTGATCGATTACATTTTGTAGAAAAAACAACTGGCCTTTATCCCATATTAAATAATGAATCACATTTTATCTACAAGGCTTGATAAAAATATATAAGTTACAAAGTTTATGATATTAAAAGTAACTACACAATTTTTTAATGTGTTTTCAACCGAAAAGTAAAACCATTAGGTGTTTCCTTTTGAATTAGTGTCATTTTACATCATCAAATCGTATTCATTAGGCCCAACTTTATATGATGTAAACAAGTTTCCACTTTCAAAATTGGAATCAAATTTGAGTCCATTATATTTCTTGTTATCTTATTCAAGAATAAGCTATTTTTATTCTTTTTATTTCATTGTAGAAGGATATAAATTTTTGTTTAAGACAGTAGTAAATTCTGTTAATCTTATTTCTCTATTTAAAGCTATTAATTTTTTGCAATCAAAGAAACAGGATGCAGCAAATCGATGATTATTTAGTGGGATCATAGACCATGGATAATTGTCGTAACGTTGATAGATCAAGTTAACTTTATTATCACTAAAGTAATCCCACATATTAAATGCTGAATCTCTTTCATCATAAGCATCTTTCTTCTTTATCTATCCACTTATTCATTTACATTTATACTTTTTTTATTTAATTTCAGGATCGGCTGCTTAAACCAAAGGATTTGGTGCTGGGAGTAAACCATAAAATTACATAACTATATATATAATAATAAATTCATTTGTAAAAAAACATGCCCTTTGTTATAACTTTTTAGAATATTTAATTATAATATTTGAGTAATAAATTAAAAAATTAACACCCTCCTTCCACTTTTTAGTGATACCATTAGAATAAATTTAGAAAAAAAAATTTATACTGTTGAATTTTTTTTATCTTTTTATCATGACATCAATTGTTAAATTTAAAGAGGCAATCAATTATTCATGAATAATTATTTGTAATCTAAATGATTTTATAATAGAAAAAAAATAAAAAATTGTTAGATTTTATTCTTCAGTTTAATATTAGAAGATTATTAAGAAAGATCAGATATTTTTTAGTCTGTTAAGTTAGTTTTTGTAATTTAGTTTTCTAGTATTAAGATTCTCATCAAGTGGTTTCTGCCTTAATGTTTAGTGAAAATTTTATTTAAAAAAATAGTATTCTTTTAATAATAATTTATAATGATTGAAATTAAATTATAATATTTAAGTATTTTCAATAATTTTTATTCTAGGGTTATTCTCTTTTAACACAACCTAAAGCCACTAAAACTCTCTGCATAAAAGATTCATTTCCTATTAATTGTTAAGTTTATGATCTTATTTGTTTTTTTTACAAATCAGAGTTTCTACTGATTCTCTATATATTCATTTCAATAGATGTATCATTCTATGTTACATGAGTAGTAATATGATGTCTAATAAATGAATTTTGTGAAGATGCAGTTGATTTATTAAGATATTATGGTTAGGAATGGATTGAATAAGCATTATGCGTTTTTGTTCTTCCATGCTTGATTTGATTTGTATGATTTTATGAATAAAGTTTAAACCATTTATGATTTAAAATTAATGATAAACTGAGTCTATCCTATTAATTATATGTAATCAAATTCTAAATTAAGTCTTTAGCTTCTTTTGTTAAAGACCCATCCATTTTATAATGAACTTTGACTATATTCTAACACTTCTCAATATCATTCTTACCCTCAAAAGGAGCATGTCCATGTAATAACTCATATAATAATACACCTAAACACCAAAAGTCAAGAGTGTAATCATGAGATTTATCCTCTATCATTTCAGGAGCCATATAATCTATAGTTCCACAAAAAGTATTTCTTTTAACTGATCCTAAATTTTCAGCTGACCAACCAAAATCACATATTTTGACATTATCTTGAGTATCTAACAATATATTTTCTGGCTTATAATAATAATGATAACAATACTTTTAAATCTCTATGTATAATGTCTTATTGATGTAAATATTGAATTCCTAAACAAGTTTACTTAAAAAATTTCATAGCTTCATCTTCTCTAAGTTTTCCCCTTCTTCTCAAGTATTAAAACAAAGATCCATGTTCTGCATATTCTAATATCAAATAAACACGATCCTTATCTTCAAAATAATGATAAAGTTAGGTGATGTTAGGATGATATAGTTTACGTTAAATTCTTATCTCTCGTTTTAAGTTTTCAATAGAGCAATACTCATATATATCTTTCTTGTTTATCTGATATTTTTTAATTTAATATGTACAATCTTCATTGCGTACAATTATTCATTGGTTTTGTCTTTCACCAATTTAACTGCACCAAAGCTTCCCTTTCCTAATTATGGATAATCATAAATTAACTCAAATTCTTCTGGTGTTCTCTTCATTTGCCTTAAGGTTGAAACTTTATCGCTATTTGAGATTTCTTAAGAATTTATCATTTTCTCTGGTATACATTAAGCCTTATGTCCAGAAGTCCTAAATATTTCATTTCTTTTAATACCAGTCGATATCTCTGCATCTTTGAGAACAATAATATGTTATTTTGCAAAATGGACAACAAATCCTGTTTTTAGGAATAGGAACCATTTAACCAATACTTAAGTTATATTAACAATATCGCGAACTGCAAACGTTCATTTATTTTAATATATATAATCACATTATAATATTTCATATTTTATTAGATGAATATTATATTTCTTGTTTGCATTGCTTAAATAACTTATAGATTATCTCAAAATACACTCGATCTGTTTAGTCAAATGGTAAATATCAAATAGAAAATAGTGACTCTTTATGTAATATTTAAATGAGAATTACAATACTCAAACCCTGTCATTATTTGTTAAAAAACATCCATTTTATATCATTTCTCTAGAATCTACTAACTGAAATTCGTTTATAGGTTGTATTCTCGGCATAAAATTCGTTTTTTCTTCTTGTAATTATGCTATCTTTAGGAGAAAACCATTTCTTAATTCATTATGATATTAAAGGAGAAGTTCTTGATAACACGCCACTGAGTTTTCAAATAAATTCTTAGTATTTAATAAAAAAAGAGTTTTAATGTATTCTATAATTGCATTCAAAAGATTAAATATATATTATATTTTGTTTGACATTTTGTTACTCCCCAGATATAAAATCAAAATAATTAAATTTTAATTTAGAATTCTTATTTTTTTTTTTATTCCTTCTGATTTCAAAAGGAACTTCATCTATTTGACTTCAAATTTATCATCTGAATATTATGCATAAACCTATCTTAAATAAATTTGATATTCCATTTTCTTTTACTAAATTTTATAATGTTAAGTGATCTGACTTGATTTAAATATATAATACAACACTATTTTTATGGTTTAAAGTCATTTGATTATCCTTTTAGGAGAATATTAAATTTCAATTCTAGACTTTATAAATAAATTTTATTTTATGCTACTTCATAGTGACTTCATATTTTGAGAGAATATCTAAAAACTATTGATTAATGAATTCTAATTTTAGTATNCTGGTGTTCTCTTCATTTGCCTTAAGGTTGAAACTTTATCGCTATTTGAGATTTCTTAAGAATTTATCATTTTCTCTGGTATACATTAAGCCTTATGTCCAGAAGTCCTAAATATTTCATTTCTTTTAATACCAGTCGATATCTCTGCATCTTTGAGAACAATAATATGTTATTTTGCAAAATGGACAACAAATCCTGTTTTTAGGAATAGGAACCATTTAACCAATACTTAAGTTATATTAACAATATCGCGAACTGCAAACGTTCATTTATTTTAATATATATAATCACATTATAATATTTCATATTTTATTAGATGAATATTATATTTCTTGTTTGCATTGCTTAAATAACTTATAGATTATCTCAAAATACACTCGATCTGTTTAGTCAAATGGTAAATATCAAATAGAAAATAGTGACTCTTTATGTAATATTTAAATGAGAATTACAATACTCAAACCCTGTCATTATTTGTTAAAAAACATCCATTTTATATCATTTCTCTAGAATCTACTAACTGAAATTCGTTTATAGGTTGTATTCTCGGCATAAAATTCGTTTTTTCTTCTTGTAATTATGCTATCTTTAGGAGAAAACCATTTCTTAATTCATTATGATATTAAAGGAGAAGTTCTTGATAACACGCCACTGAGTTTTCAAATAAATTCTTAGTATTTAATAAAAAAAGAGTTTTAATGTATTCTATAATTGCATTCAAAAGATTAAATATATATTATATTTTGTTTGACATTTTGTTACTCCCCAGATATAAAATCAAAATAATTAAATTTTAATTTAGAATTCTTATTTTTTTTTTTATTCCTTCTGATTTCAAAAGGAACTTCATCTATTTGACTTCAAATTTATCATCTGAATATTATGCATAAACCTATCTTAAATAAATTTGATATTCCATTTTCTTTTACTAAATTTTATAATGTTAAGTGATCTGACTTGATTTAAATATATAATACAACACTATTTTTATGGTTTAAAGTCATTTGATTATCCTTTTAGGAGAATATTAAATTTCAATTCTAGACTTTATAAATAAATTTTATTTTATGCTACTTCATAGTGACTTCATATTTTGAGAGAATATCTAAAAACTATTGATTAATGAATTCTAATTTTAGTATTTTTATTTTACTTTAAATTGATTATCTAATATTTAATGAAAAAAGCATTTACTTTTGCAGACTTAAGTACATCTATTTAATCAGGAATAAGTAATCGTTAAACACAACTCTCTACATCTAGCATATAAATAAGGTCTGCAAGTCTAAGAAAAGCAATTTATAGACTGAAACAAGAAAATAGAATTTCATAAATGGGAATCAGTTCAATAAGCAATACAAAAGTATTAAATTGAATTTATGTTTAGGTTCCTAAAAACTAGTCTTATTTTGAAATCAAGATGGAATAAAAGCATAATCGAATATCTAATCCTTCTTAGGAACCACATATGAATATTAATAAATTTGATCATAAATAAGAAATCATTAGAAGTATCAATTCACTCTAACAATATTGCAAGAGTCAAAAAGCACTTGAAATAGCTGTTCAAAAATATTCTCTAAAGAAGTCGTTTAAAGGATCATCTGATTTATCAACTGTATCTACTTTTGTTGATAAATTAAATAGAGATGTCGTAAAAAGAAAATCTAAAGTGATATAGGATGTAATGAAACAAGAACTAAGGAAAAGAATACCTAAAAAGTAGAAGGAAATCAATTATGAATTGGATTCAATGTTCAAAAATTATAAATCATTCTCTTAATTGTGTTTGAATGAAAATACTAGCATTCAAAAAGAGAAGGTCTATAATGGATATTTGAAAGTATATAATTCTGGAAAGAATGATAGAATATTCTTAGAGAAGATTGAGGAAAGAAAAAAGAGTCTTAGTGAAGAATCTGAAGAATATCGAGCATTTCTAGGTGAAATAGATGAAGCTACTATTCAAAGAGATGTATATAAAAATAATATTCGAAATCCCTTTCTAGATGATAAAGTCACTGTTATGTAAATGAAGAAGGATGGGTTTTTGAAAAGAAGAGTGACATATTCTTGATGATATTTATTATATTTGTAATTCTATTTATATTAATAAACACTCAATAAATCAATCAAGTTTCTTTCTCTGTTCTAATAATTTAGCATTTCTGATTCTTGAAAATACTTTTAATATTTCATCAACCAATACAACTGGAGCAGACACTGCTAATACAAGAATCCTATAATAAATAAATAATATTACCAATCATTGAGAGTTAAAGGAACAGTGTTAAAGATATTTTCAAATAGTGGAACATAGCATATCATACAATGCAATGTCATAGATCCAAATATAGCCATTATTAAGTATGGGTTTGCAAATACTCCTACTTTTAATAATGAGCTATCCTATAAATTATAAACAAAAGTTAATACTTCAGATAATGCATTTAAAGCATTGAACATTTCAATAACAACTAATACTGATAAACTTAAAGTAGATGCCTTTTATTTTCCCCATGAGAAATAAAGACATGGATCCTTTGAGAAATCATACTTATCAAAATTGGCTACTTTGAATCCTTCCCAATAATGGCACTCTCCCCAATTTCTGAGTTAAGTGAATGTAACAATAGGATGACCATCTCCAGCCCATTCATATCCCAAATAGAAATAGACAAATACAAACACTGTAGCTAATCCAACATAAGTTCCGATGACACAATATCTAATAAAGACAAATTCAGTAATAATAGGTTCATCATGTTTCCTTGGGGGCTTTTACATTACATCAGGATCAGGTGGATTGAAAGACAAAGCAGTTGCAGGTAATCCATCTGTGACTAAATTGACCCATAATAATTATATTGAATTGAATCCATCAGGTATTCCCAATAATGATGATGTGAAAATTGAAACAACTTCTCCTATATTTGAAGAAATCATATATCTAATGAAACCCTTCATATTTTAGTAAATTGCTCTGCCTTCTTCAACTGCTCTTACAATAGTTGCAAAATTATCATCTGCTAAAATCATATCTGAGGCTTCCTTTGCAACTTCAGTACCAGCAATACCCATAGCAATACCAATACTAGCTTATTTTAAAGCTGGAGCATCATTAACACCATCTCCTGTCATAGCAGCAATTTGATTTAGTTGACCTGTTAATAATTTGACTAATTCTCTTTTGTGAGATGGATCAGTTCTTGAGAATACCAATCCACTTGTTTTTCCAATTACTTATGTTAATACTTTCTTTTATTTTTCTTCTCCCATTTAACTAAATTCAAGTCCAGTGAAGGAATGGGTGGCAAATTGAGATTGATTATGTAGAATACCAATTTACATAGCAATAGATTAAGCTGTTTCTTTAATATCTCCAGTAATCATAATGACTGAAATACCAGCTTCTCTGCATTTTTCAATAGATCTTTTTACTTCTGGTCTTGGTGGATCCTAAAGAGCAACAACACCAATAATAATAGGTTTATTTTCAATATCTTTATATGTATTCGTATCTATTAATAATTTATGAGCAGGATGTTTAGGTCCATCATAAGTGCTCAATTATCCACATTCCTCTTATACACAAATGGCTAATGTTCTTAATCCTTTTTCAGCTAAATTTTTAACTATTGTTAAAAACTAGGCTTTATCTTCAGCTTTCAGTTAAACAACTTCTCCATCAACATTCATAATTTAATTTGATTTTTCAAGTAAATAATCAGGGGCTCCTTTGATAAATAAGACATTTCCTTTTTCATTTTTAGAATTAACTAATACAGACATACTTTTTCTATCTCTAGTAAATTCTAGAGTAGCTCTTTTAGTAAATTCAGAAGAAATAGCTTCATTATATTGTTCTGGTGCATCTAAGATTGGTTTTGATTAAAATGATTTATCATATTTTCCAATTTTTTCAACTAAGACTCTTAAAGCTGCTTCAGTTGGTAATCCACTTCTTTAAACTCTTCCTTTATCTGTAAATAATTTAGATTCATTGCATAAAGCCATAGATTATGCTAATCTTTTAAGATTTGCAGTTAATCCATTTCCTTTTACTAAAGTAGATTCCAATTTCTCAATTTTACCCTCAGGATGATATGAAGTACCTTCAACTGGAAATACTTAAACTGATGATGCTTCTCTTCCTGTCAATAATACTATTTCTTTAACACACATTTCATTAGTGGTTAAAGTACCAGTTTTATCTGAGCAAATGATTGTTGTGCATCCCAATGTTTAGACTTTTGGTAATTTTCTGACAATAGCTCTTTATTTAGCCATTCTTCGAGCACCAAGAGCCAAACAAGTTGTAATAACAGCTGGCAATCCCTCTGGAATGGCAGCTACTGCTAATGCTACAGCAACTTTAAAATAATATAAAGCTCCCATAATAGTTCCTCCATGTGCAGGATCTGAAAAATTACTTATATTCATAAGCCAACAGCCTATGCAAATATAAGTTACAACTTTTGCTAACTTATCTCCAAATTCATCTAATCTTTTAGATAATGGATCATCATCTTCTTATTTCTCTTTTGCTGCTTCTTAAACTTCTTTTTAGATCTTTCCAATTTCTGTTTTCATTCCTGTACAACACACAATTCCTATAGCAGTTCCATTAGATACTAATGTTCCTGAAAACAAAAAATTAATTTTATCTTAAACAGCTGCTTTGTCCTTAACAACGGGATCAGTTGTTTTATTAACAGGATTAACTTCTCCTGTTAGAATTGACTAAACATTATAAATATTCGTATTACTTAATCTGTTTTTAATGTTATAGTTTTCAACTCTACCATTCTTAAATCTGCAGGAATTCTATCTCCTTATTTTATCTCTACAATATCTCCTACTACTAAGTCTTTAGCTTCAATCTTTCCCCAGTTTGATTCTCTAAGTACTATGGCATGTGGAGATTATAAGTCTTTTAATGCCTAAAATTATAGTATATAATATACCTCTATGGCTCTTTCTGCATCTAGATCCTGCCATATTCCTACAGCTGCATTCAAAATCAAAATTGTGAATATGACACATGGTTCAACCCAAGGAGGAACTGCATGCACTTCTCCATGATCTTCAAATTGAGAAATCACAAATGATATCACTGCAGCAAGTAGCAAAATTCTTACTAAATTATCTTCAAATTATTCCTTTATTTTCTCCCAAATGCTTTCTTTCTCTTCCTTTTCAAGCTCATTTGTTCCATATTTAGCTAATCTTGCCTTTGCTTCATCATTTGATAATCCTCTAAAAATATATCTAAATTATACTTTGCTAGATCTGTTTTTACAGAAGAAACAACTTTTTCTATTGGATACGAATAGAAGGGTTGTGTTAGATCTATCTCTGCCATTTGAGATAAGTATATATTGTACATTACTAAATTAAATTCTTTATCTTCTTAATCAATTTACTTATTTCTTTTTTAATAATAAAAATTGTATTAAAACTTATTAATTAAACAATAATATAAATTATCAATTTTCCCCATTTTTCATTACATCTCTTTAAAGAAATTTTGATTGCGCAATTTTAAAAAAAAAAATCCTTTGACAATCAAAATTGCATCACCAATTACTTCATTCGTTGCATTTTTGTTAAAAAATCATATTTTCAATAGAAGAAAATGGTTTGCTTATAAATCATAACATACTCAAAATTTTAGAAAACCCTTATAATGTTGAATTTTTATTAAAAAATGCTTAATGTATTATATTATCTAAATTATATATATATATATAAGGTTATATTGTCACATTTATTGAATTTTAAATAATTGTAATTTCTTATTAGAAGAACAAGGTTGATTTTAATTATTTAAGATATCTAAATCAAAAAGCTTTTATTGTAAACATGACTTAGTTTATAATGATTATGATATTTATTAAACTACTTTCATATTTAATTATTACTAAAAAATATATATTATAACAATACCTATTTTTTTATTTAATTTTAAATGGCAACTTATTTTGATATATTTTTAATCTCTGATTCATCATTTTAGTATTCAGATAAATTGATTTATCGATCCTTTATTTTTGGAAGAATTGATGGTGTTAGTGATGAATTCACACTATATCTGATATTTTTATTAAATGTTTCATTGATTTCTTTTTTTTAGTTCTTTCTGATATCTTAAATAAAATTAGTTTTATATTTACTTGTTCCAGTCCAATTATCTTATAATTAAGATGCAAATTCTATAAAACGAATATATTCTCCAGAATCTTATAGTGGATATATTTTAATATAATCACCTAGATTTTTATTTTCATACTCGTCCCTAAGTTTTTAATATTTTTCAATTAAAGTCTATTTTTCTTCTAAAGTAAGTTTCTGTTTTTTGCCTGTTTAGAATCTTAATTGTAATTATTCTTTTCTGGAGGATATAATTTATTCTTTTGCTTTAAAACTGACATTCATCAAAATAAGAGAGTCCCTAATAAGATTTTTTTTAATAAGAGAATCTAAAGGGGTATCAGTTGAAAAACTGGGTGTGTGATTAACCTCCAATAAATATGGCTAGAGTTTATGATTTAGAAAAATATCAAAACCTAATATTTCAAAGCACATATTGTTTGCATAATTATCTGGTTAACATGATTTGTAATGATGATTTAAAATAGGTTGAACTGTGCAAAATGTTTTAATAAATAATTTGTACATATCTTACCATAATTTTTGGATATTGTATCCTTCTTATTCTAATTTACCAAAAACAGATTTAATTGATCTTTTATGTCCAACATCCATTTTTGATATATCATTATTGAATATAAAATTAGGATTTTCTTTATTTATAGCATAATTAGTCAAATGCATACAAACATCTTCAAGATTATTAGAAGTAGGTGCTACATATGGTTCAGTAGCAAATCTAACTAAACCATCTTAATAAACATATATTCTCATAGGTTCTGTACCTGCTAATAAAACATATACTCTTAAATCAAATTTTAATCCATCTATTAAAAATGGACGATGTAAATATCTTTATGCTACATAATGATCATTTGGATTAATATCATTAATATTTCTTGTTAGAAAGATTCCTCTTCCTTAACAACTAGCTTCTGGTTTAACAATAAAGGTCTTAACTTTTCCTTTTATAAATTAATTTCTGAAATCTCCATATTCAGTTGGTAATAACCAAGTTTAAGGAAAAAATTAATAATCTGAAGGAAATTGTTTTCTCATTTTCATAAGATTTCTTCCTAAATGATTTTTACGAGATAGAGAGAACATGCCTGGAAAATGATTAATTTTTTGATGATCTATCATGATATATTGTAAATTAAACGCTGCATTTTTCCCAATGTTTCTGATTAAACAGCAGCATCGGTCCAAAATATATCCCATTAATTTCCATTCATTTCATATTATAATCCCCATTTAAATATTTTCTTTCCAACAAATTTAACAACATCATACTTAGTATCTCTCTTTATAAATTGGAAATACCTGAGACATTCATAATCAAGGTTGCTTTTCTTTTTAACTTATCATTTTTTTCTTCATCATTATTGTCTTTATAATATCCTTTAAAAATTGGTTCCTTCTCTTGTTATTTTTTTGATGAAAGCATTTATTATTATAAAAGAAATGATATTATAATTTTAGACTCTTAATAGTTTCAAAAAGAATGAATAGAGAAGAAACATTGATCATAACTTAATTAAACAAATTTTATATCTCACTAAAAAATATGAAACAATTAAAGTTTTTTATTAATTTGAATCTAAAATAATTTTATATAAACTTATATAAATTGTTCAAAAAAGTAATATTGTTATAAGTGTCTTTATTTATTATTGTTATAAAATATTTTATTATAAAATATCATTAGTCTAAATTGATGACTCTTGTTAATAAGGGTTTATAATTTTCTATTTTATGCGAAACAATAATAACTGTTTTTTCTTAACAAATTTACATTAAAGCTTATATGATATCTGATTCAGATTGACTATCTATATTAGATGTTGCTTCATCTAGAATTAGAATTCTTGGATTCTTTAGAATTGCCCTTGCTAATACAATTCTTTATTTCTATCCTCCAGATAATGAAGTTGTTCCATCTGATTTTAATTTAGTCTAATATTTATTTTACATATTCTCTATAAAATCATGTGCTCTTGCCATTTTAGCTGCCAAAATAACTCTTTCCATACTCTGATCATATCCATGATTACCATATATGATATTCTCATAAACAGTTGCATTAAATATGATTCCATCCTATTAAACATAAGAAATATGTTATTAAATCCATTTAAAATCTTTTTTTGATAGAGGTTCTCCATCAATTAAGATTTCACCTGATGATGGTGTTAATAATTTAGTTAATAGATTTAAGGCAGTAGTTTTACCAGATCCACTTGGTCCTTATAATAATACAATTTCACCTGAATTTATTTATATATTGAATGTTAATGTAGAATTCTCATGATTTAAATAGGAATACTCAACATTCTTAAATTAAATACTTGGTGGTGGAATTGTAGAATGTTCATATAATTCTTAACATTCTTTTGAATGTTCAGCACTCTATGGTGGATTAAGTAATTAAGCTTTTAATATATCATCTTATCTAATATATTCTCTATAATTCTTAGTCAAATCTGGTTGATTATACAATTCAGATTCATGAAGATTTGGATGTATATCAAGTATAGTTTTATAAATAGCAGCAGTCTTGACCAATTCATTATAAATTGATATCATTACTCTTGTTCCTGAAGCCATATAAACTGCTTAAATAAAGTATTTTGCTAATTCTGGATCTAAATGTCCAGTGGCAACTAGATAACAACCTTAAAATAAGATTAAAATTAATGCATATAAACCTCCTCCTTCCATTAATCCCATATTTAAAGCTTACATTTTAGAAAATTAAGTTGCTTATTCATACCATCTAAATACTTATGCTGAATATCTTTAATTTTCTTTCTATTCCATATTAGACAATTTGATTAATCTATGTGCTTATAACATTTCTTGTGATACTTCACTTAAACACCCTAATTCTTGTGTTTCCTTTACTTTAAATTAAGACATATATTTTCCTAATAAAACTGCTGATCCTCCCATTACAACTGCAGCAGCACTTGCAGATGCCAATAAAGGAAATGCATAATATGATAAATACGCTGCTCCTCCTAATGTTGTAATAAATCCTCTAATCATTACAAATATGTCTTATGATAATCCAGTAGATACCAAACTAACATCATTTGATAATTTATGAACTAATTATTATGAATGCAACTACTAAGTTTCTCTAGTACTCATTAATTTCTAAAACATAGCATATCTCATTCTCATTCCTACTCTATTACTGATTTATGTATTTAAAAATCTACGAGCCCCTCCTAAAAACATTCCAACTAAACATACACCTCCCCATTTTAAATGATAATATAAATTAGTCTTTTAACTCTTTTCTTTGTTTTCCTGATCATATTTTAATTCTTGTAATTTAGCTATATCAGTTGTTACTTAAGGTAAATAAAGAAGCAAAGCACTGTTCAAACCAACTACTGTCATACCTATTATGCAAAATCTCTTTTCAGGAACCATTAATTTTAGTAGATTCATAATGTCTTTACCAAAGAATTTTTTCTATTTTTTCCCTTCTTACATCACAAATAAAATTTATATAAATTTTTATTAGATTCAAGTTTCTTAGAACACCAAATCATTTTTAATTTTGTAAAATATAATAACAAATTAAATGAAAATATCATTAATTAATAATGATCTGATATCTAAATTAAAAATATAAAAGTTTCTTAACTATTGATTGCCTATCAATTAATAATTTTAATTGATAACATTTATTAAACATTTTAATGTAAAAAAGATCTTTTTTCAACAATTTTTAATCTTTCAGTTGCACTTTCTAATATTAATATGATTATAAATGATTTTGTTACATTTAGAATTAAACTTTTATTAATGAACCTTTATCTTGATTCATTATATTTATTTATACTTAAATACTTTAAATTGAAACATAGAAATAAAATTATTTCAACTTTTTCTTTATTATTATATTTAAAGCTATTTGAGAAATAGATGAAATTAATGATTTGTATTGAACAGATTTAACCAATATTATTAATAGAGAGTGATAAAAAAGATTATCAGAAAAGAATTGTCAGATTATGACTTATCATAATATGAACATAACTTTCAAGTATAAGTTTATATATATATAAATAACAATAGAATGAGTAAATAAAAGAGAAGAAAAATTCAAAAAACCCATTCCAAATTAGATCCAGAACTATGTTTAGAATTACTATAATTATCAAATTATATTTTATAAATTATTGATATTAAGTTAGAATGTGAATATATAAATTTAGTAAGGAATGAATTAATCTAGTAAAGTGATCAAAGGAAAAAATCGTTAAAATAGATAAATTATTAGCTAAATTTCATATAAAATAACAACAAGTTATCTATATTGTTAATTACATATTTTATATTGTAATGAATGATATTAATAGTTGTAATTAATGCATAAGATAATTAGATAGTAAAATAATATTTGTTTGAATATTAAAAATGATTGTAGATTATTTAAATAATGAAACTCATAATAAATAGTAATTTAAATCTATTAATATGAAATTGATATGGATTATTCGAAAATTAATGAAGGAGAACTTCTAGATTCTAATTATTTCACAATTCAAGAAGTAATATTATCCTAAAAATAAGATGTTTATAAATGGTGTAAAAATAATATGATTTTTAATGAATCTTTGAAAATAAATGATTTAATAAACATTAAGTTTGTTCCTATAAGCAAGAATTAATTAAGATTAAGAAAAATGAAAATAATGAACATAATAAAATGGATTGAATTTTCACTGAGATAATTCAGCATGTATTTATTTAAATTATTCAACTAATTATTTAACTTCACTAATAGAGCCATAAGGTAACATATCTGACTTTAATTGATTATTTTCTTCTGTTAATCTATCTATTGTTATCTGCATCTATCTTATCTATAATTGCAATTATTCTTCCTTATTAAGTAATTCTATGATCAAGTGAGTTTTACTTTCATTTTTATTTGTCAATTCAACTAATCTTTCTTAATATTACCTTAAGATGTTCAAAAAGTGTTATTATTATTATTTAATTTAATTCATTTAATTTTATAATTCATCACAGATTGTTTAATATTTAGAAATGCGAGAAAATAAGTATAAGAGTAGAATATATTAATTCATTCTTTAAAGTTTCATATCTTATTAATAAATTAAACATAATACCTTTTTAATGATCATAAATATATAATGAGTATATTAAATAATTAATAAAAGAATAATAAACATTTCTTAAAATAATATAGTTTTGAGATCCTATTAATCGTAAATTAATAAATATTAATTATCATGATGGAGTACAATATAGATATCAAATAATAATTATTTCTAATTAAAAAATCTATATTTAAGTAATTCAATATCAATTATCATTAATAATTGAAAGTGATTATGAAAATTTGATTATAATTATTATGAAAATATATTAAATATTACTCATTCTCTTTTTAGGGATTAGTCATTCATATGGGAACATGTATTCAGATGATGAACTTTATGATTGCACTTACAATCATATTGATGAAAATTATAGAAAGTAAAGACTTAAATTATTCCCAATCGATATATGGGTTTTTATAATATTATGTATCAAGAAATAAATATAAATTATAAGCACCATTTACATTTTTTGGAACATCAAAGATTGTATATTAATTTTTAAAAGACACTAAACTATTTGGAATTCCAGGAGATAGTGTATTTGTGATTACAATTACCAATTGGATTTTAAGCATTGTTTAATTTTCAACAGCTATATATGTTGTAATTAATGAGGAGGCTCCATTAATGAATGCATTTTGTAAAGTAATGAGATAAATAAAATAGATAACAGGATTAGCAACTTCAATAGTATTTGTGATTTCAAATCTTAATATATTTGTTTATGCAGCATATCCTTTAGCCTTAGTATATAATGCACTTTAATCAACAGCTAGATTATTAAGAATATTTAATTACTCGCTAGTTATTATTATCATTCTTATAGTTATTATTGAAAATGACATTGTTACTCCTACTTTAAATGGGTATTAATAAATTAATTTTAGTATATGTGCAATATCAGCAACTAATAATGAAACAATGGATTTCATAATTTCTATTAGTTATTTATTAATTTTCCTATTATTTGGTTCAATGTCTGTAATATATGTAATAACATTAAAAAAATTAATTCCAAAAGAATCAACAATGAGAAAAGCAAGAGGTTAATTTCTTAGATATTATCAAAGATTTATAGGTTTCAGTCTTTTAATGAAATTTCTACTTGGAATATTTAGTGCTATTAATTTATTGAATTGTTATAAATTTCATCAAAGTTGGTTAGAAGTTTCAGAGACATTACAAAATATCATTTAAGCATTATGTATTCTTGGATAAACAATTATAATTTTCAATGATTCATCACTTAAATTAACTATAAATAGTTCATAAATATCAGATAATACAAAAGAAATTTCATTATAATGTATATTTGATATATAATTAAATAGAATTTAATGTTCTTGAATAATTACATAAAGAAATGAAGAAAACTTAAATAACTTCTATGTTAGCTGGAGTATAAATACTTAGAAGAATTAAATAAGAAGATGTTATATAATATAAAGATTTAATTATAAATGAAGATTAAGATGGTAGTGGTAGTAATTCTAGTTAAGGAGATTTAAGTGAATTAATGGATACATTTTCATAACCATTTACAATAGAAGAAATTGAAGAATGTTTAGTTACTAATATAAATAATGAAATATTAAAAGAGAAATTAAATATCAATATAGAAATTTAAGTATTTTCTATGCGATGTATACTTTATGCACCTAAAATTTTTAATTATTTTATTACTTTAGATAATATTGATATTGAAGATTGTTTTGATATAATTAAGAATTCATCTATTATTGATTAATTTAATGGACCAGATGGAGGTAAAAGTGGAGAATTCTTCTTTTTCTCTTATAATAATTAATTGATCATCAAAACTATGAGATAAAGCGAAGTTAATACATATAAAAAGAGATTATATAATTTTGCTACTTATCAATTTAATAATCATTAATCTTTAATTAATAAAATATATGGAATTTATACTTTTGAAAGACAAGAAAAATCTAATTCAAGAGTTCATTTCTAAATAATGAAAAATATTTCATTGGGTATTCCAAGAAATTAAATTTTAAGAACTTATGATATGAAAGGATCTGAATATAATAGAGAAGTACTTGCTAATAAACCTTCAAGTGATCTTTCAAAAATGACACTTAAAGATCTTGATTTCTTTAAAATTGAAACATAAATTTGGATTGAAGAATCAATTTCTAAAAGTTATATTTTATTATTATTAATTTTAGAATTAAATTAATCTCTTATTAATGATTCTAAATTTTTAGAAAGATAACAATTAATTGATTATTCCTTACTTATTATGATCATAGATTGGAATTAAAAAGAAACATAATTATAAAAGTATTTAGATGGACAATAAATAAATATTATTCCATCTATTAAAGAAAAAGGAGTATAATTTTATTTTTATTTAGATATATTATCATATTGCTATAATGGATTATTTATAATAATGGAATGTTAATAAATCTCTAGAAAGAAAAACTAAAAAAATTATTACAATGAATATGTAATTAGATACTTCAGCATAAGAACCAAATATATATGGAAAAAGATTTTAAGACAAATTAATTAATAGAATAGTACCTCTGAAATGAAATAAATCTTCATGATTCTTTCATTTTATCTAATATTATTTAAATTATTATTATTATTATTATTAAATGTAAGAATCCTAATCTCAATCAGACTTTAAGTTACCTTTTATTGAATATCACAGTCAACATAGATTACCTATAAGAATGAATCCTAGTTTCAGATTGAAACATACAAATCCTGTTAGAGTACAATATATGAAGTATATGGAAAGGAGAAGTGTGGATGAAATTAAAAATGAAACTTATTATTTAGAGAAATTTGCTAAATTTAATAAATATCCATATCATGAAAGTAACAAATAGTATTAATTCTATTATAATTATAAGTGAATCAAGAAATCGAGATATTCTAGCTAAATAATAAAAAGAAAAGAAACCGTCAATTAAATATCAAAAACCTGCCCTTAAATATTTTAATTTGGATGATTCTGATAATAATTTAGAATAAATGGAATCTATATTTCACAACCTCAAACCAAATAAAGTTTTTATTTCATAATGATTTATTATTTTTTTTTTTAATAATTATATTTAATTTTATATTTTAATAAAATTAGAATTAATGATCACCATTAAACATATAGCAAATATTGAATAACTCAAAAATTCTAAATCTATTTAAATACATTAATAAATTCACTTTAATATCAATTAATATAGCTAAATTAGAAAGATTAATTTTATAAAAATTAATTTTCAAATGAATACTCTTGTATAGATTTAATATTTATAATAGTGACTTAAAGAATCATACTAGAATATATTTTATTAATATTATTTTAACATTTAGATTGAATTTAAAGAAATACTTAATATTAATATTATAATGTAAGTAAAATTACATAATTAAAAATAATAATAAGATAATCAAATAAGTTTCATTCATATTCTTTTCTAGAGAAAATTATTAAAGTCATTTGGACAATTATGATATTCATTAAATTAGAGATCATCTTGAAATTATTGATCATATTGATTTAAACTTTTTAACAATATATTTTTAGATTCTGCTGCAGTAGAATTATTTGTTTTATTTTTTGCAGATTCAAATTTACTTATTTTCTCTTATTTTATTGAATGTTCAATAGAGTTTTTTCTAGAAATATTTAGAGATTTTTAATAAATTGAATCAACCAAACTATATTTAGATAGACCATCTAAACCTTAAGAATCAAAATTCTCACGAAAAAAATCTTAATCTAAACATTCTTTCAAAGTAAATCTTTATTTTGGTTAGATTCTAGTCATTTAAATTAAGAGATTCTTTAAAGATTATGGAACCTTAATTTTATCATTAAAAGTAAGACTTCCAGGATTTTAATTTCTAAAAGGATGAACACCAAAGAATCTAAATAATAATAATAAATAAAGATACATTTCATAAATTATAATTCCTAAACTATAAACATCACATTAAGTTGTATACATCTTTTATTTTTCTTTATATTCTTATACTTCTGGTGCTGCATAACCAGGAGTACCACAATTATAAAGTACATGTTCTTAATATTTTTAGTTTGTTGCAAATCCAAAATCAATAATAGCAATTTCTACATTTGTTGGATCCTTATTTTTATATTTAATATTTTATGGTTTCAAATCTCTATGCATAATTTATTAGGAGTGAACATAATTCATAGTTTCTAATAAGTTTTTAACTAGTTATTATTTCTAAGATAGATTAAGATTTAATAGCTTTTCCTATAATTCACCACCTTCGTAATGTGTCATTACTAATTCAATGTAATCTTATTTATTTATAATTAAAAAAGATACCATTGTTTTCAAATACTTCATATAATTTTGGGATATTTGGATAATCAAGACTTCTCATTATAAAGATTTCTTCAGCAAGACTCTTAGCTTATTTATCTCTCATTTTATGTCCAAGTGGTGCTTTAGCTACTTTTTTTATTGCAAATTTTTAATTATTTTAATTACTTCCAAGGAAGACCTAATTAGATTATTAATTAATTATACTTCACTGGTTATACCTTCACCTATTTTTTCATTGATTTTGTAAAAATTTATTAACATCTATTCTTAAATGCAATTTAACTTCAATTCATTCATAAAGTTGTCGACTTCCTCTGTTCTATTACTGGTAAAAAGTTGTAATTGGGATTGATCATGAGACAATGTGATTATTAATAAATTTTCTTTGTTTCTAAAAGAACAATATACATTTTTGAGAATTAGAAAGCCTCCAATCTCACCATTCTTTAATAAATCACTAATAAAATATAAAACACTTACCACTTAAAAATAAAAAAGGTGTTGATGATAAATCTTATATCGTCTTGGAGTTGTTCTCTTAAGTAATTATCCTTGTTTAAATAAAACTATTGTTTATTAATCTTCTGACAATTTATGAAAATCGTAATTTACCAAAGACTTCAAGTTTTTATTCCAAAAAGATTGTCTTTCAGATGATACAAAGTATAAAGAGCTATTCATTAATATTTTATAAAAAAAAAATCATATTCAATTTTCATTATATCCTAACTAATAAATCAAATATATAGACATTCAATTATGCAAGAATAACCTATACCATTTAATACAATCACATATAGTATCTACATTGAATATATGATAAGTAAAGGAGTCGAAATGAAATATATCAGTTTTATTATTTATTTATTTTTGCCCAATTATACATTATTTTCTCATTTAATTTATAGACCTTAAACATATTTTATATCAAACCATAATATATCTAGCTAGATTAAATAAATTCTATATTTTTAATTCTTTTTAAGATGCATATATTCTAATTTATGATCAAAACTCACAAAAATAAATTTTGTAAATTTGTAATTATATTTATAAATGATAAAAGAAAAACAAAAAATTTAAAGTTTTATTTTTAGAATCTTAATATTAACATAATATTATAAGTATGAATACATAACGTATTTAATATATAGAAGAGAATTAAAAAAAAGACAGTAGCTTTTACAAAGTGCTAATAATACATAAATCACAATTTTTTATTTATTTGAGGTTATTTATAGAATAGCAGAATATTATTTAAATTAGTAATGGTTGACTAAGACAAACTTATTAGTGAAATCATTTAATTATATACAGATAAAAGTTGAATTATGATAAATTTATAAAAACAATTTTATATTTACATAATGAAATTCAGAGACCAGACATTAAATAAGAATATATATGGCTAACATGTGTTATGAGTTCCAGAATTGAAAATTTAAATGAAAGATATTTTTGGTTGCTAATCTATAAAATATCTCATTAACAAAAAGAATGAATCTAGATTTTATTTAATTAAGAGTTAAATCTCAATCTCACAAGAAGAGCTTAATTAAATTAAATACCAACTTTAGAAATAATATATATAAATATTTTAGATTGTTTAAATTATTAGAGAACATTTCTGAGACTATCACTTAAATTGAATTAATTATTATATGAAACTAGAAATGAATTTATCAAATTATCTAAAATGAAATTCTTGGTATCATTTAAAAATTAAATAAGGATTTAAATTATCAAAATAAGAAATAGAAAATTATATTTTTTAATTTATTAATAAAATAAATTCGTATAGTTAAATCTAAGCATTAAATAAATTTATTATAAGAATTAAATAAAAAAAAAATTATTACAATTATTATAAAATTGGATGATATTATTTTAATTTCTATTTTAAGATTAAATTAACTATTTTTTATGCCATTTAATAAAGCTAAGTATATATATATATATATTACCTTTTTGATTTTAATTAATAATAATAGTGATCATATTTTTGTTCTTAAATGTATTTTATTAAAATAATAACATGACTTTATTCATTTTAATTATTTTTTATTAACTTCAAGATAAAGATTGATTTATTAGTTATTGTTTGATATATTTGTTTTATATTTATATATCTTAATTTAATTTGTCATAATAATATTCAATATACTATTAATATTTGCTATATTTATTAATATAAATATTAACTATGTTGTTAAGATACAAAAGAATTTTATAAATTTAGCCTTTATTTTTTCTAAGTTCTTCATATTATATTTTAAAGTTCATATAATAATCAAAATATATTAATCTTGAAATTAAATTTAAAGATGTGAGTATAGCATTCATTTGTTATCAAAAATACCATAAACTTACAATAATCATGAATTTAGCTTTTTAATCATTTTATCTATTCATCTACTAATGCCAAAAGTTTTTTATTTATAATATTATTCTTAAAATCAATTATTTCATTTAAATATGGATTAAATCGATTATTCATAAGTTAGATTTTCTTTTATTGGGACAAGAAAGCATCTTTTTAAAGATAAACAATATCATGTTTATGTTTTTGATGATTCTTTATTAATGGGGATTGTAAATATAAAATTTATGATTACTAGAAACCAAATACACAAAACCCTAAATATTATATAAAATTTGGAATCAATATAAAATTTAGATGGACATTGAAAAAAACAAAGGAAGGTTGGATTATAGAAAGTTTTTATTTTCCATATAAAAAAAGTGCAAAACCATTATTTGGGAGTAATTATGATCTTTAAAGGTATAAATATATGATTCTGTTCTTTAGATTAAAAGAATTTACGAATCTAAAAGTAACCTTTGAAAATATGAATGAATTATACTAACAATTTTAATTAATAGGGTAAGGGAGTTCTGGAAAAGTGTTCAGTGCAATACATACAATTGAATAAAAGATTTATGCAATAAAATCAATTAAAAAAAAATAACTGAAATCTCAGTTAGACTACAATTAAGTATAACAAGATATACAATTATTTAAGGGAGCTTTTAAAATGTAGGTTTCTATTTTAAAATTATTGGCCAAATATCCAGATAATTTTATAACCTTAAAAGAAATATATGAAGGAGAAGATATGCAATGTTTAGTCACAACCTTTTTAGAAGGTCCTACTCTAATTGAAGAATTTGAAAGATTGAAAGTATCATGTATATATATTTAAGACAACAAATTAAAAAAGATTTTCAAGCTTAGAAGTAAAGATTATTTTGAAGAAATTATTAATTAATCTTGCAACTCTTCATTAAAATAGAGTATTAGTTTAATTTCCAATAATAAGATTATACATAGAGACTTAAAACCAGAAAATTTGATGTTTAAAATAAAAGGAGATAGAACAACTTTGATTCTTGTTGATTTTGGATTGGCAACCTATGAATCTTTTGAAATGTATATATTATTTCATTCTTTAGGTTGTTTTATCCAAAATGTGGAACACCTGGTTATGTTGCACCTGAAATATTTAATCTAAAGTCTACTAGCAAATATTCAACTAAAGTAGATATATTTAGTTGTGGGTGCATATTTTATAAACTTTTAACAGGTAACAACATTTTCTATGGAGAAACCTTTGATGAAGTGCTTAGATAAAACAAAAAATGTTAAATTGATTTCAATCTTCCCATAGACTAAGATTATATTACAGAATATTCAATTGTATTTCTTAAAGTTTTATATATAGAATCTTTTATAAAAAATGTTATTGAAGAATCCAATAAATAGAATTAATGCTTTTGATGCTTTAAATCATCCTTATTTTAGAGATATCAATACTAATATATATCCATCATTAAGATCATTGTAATTTAATGAAGAAATATATGAAGATGAAGAAATTAATAATGAAAAAAGAGAAGAAGACAATAATTATATTTAATTACCAAAAACTAGTAGAAAATGCTAATTGATATGGAATTTATCATTTTTTCAATAAAATTCTTAGAAAACAGTGTTTGATACTAATTAATTTATTGAATACGATCATCTTTCTGGATTGAGATTTGTTAAGGTAAATTAAAGTCCTTTCGTCTCTCAAGTGTTAGAATGATATAAAAATCATAAAATTCTATTTTTATTATAATAATTGTTATTTTATATATATATATTTAATTTATAGATGCAAAATTATGAAATATTAGAGAAATTGTATGAATCTAAGACAACTGTAATCCATAAAGTTAGAGATGTTAAAAATAATAATATTTATGCAATGAAAGAATTCATGGGATTCCATAATTAAGGTACTTTAGTTGTTTTTCTTTAGGTCTAAATGAAATCTAATTAATTAAGAAATGTTAAATTCCTTTTGTTATTAAAATAAAGGAGGCTTTTATTTTAGATGATAATGTAATAGTAATTATGGAATATGCAGATTAAGGAAATCTTAAATAATTCATAGGGCAACATTAAGGTGTTTTTATTTAAGAAAGAGTTATTTGTAAAATTCTGATTTAATTGGTCTTTATTCTAATATATCTAAGAGAAAATTAAATATGTTATAAAGGATTAAATCCTGAAAATATTTTAATTCATTAAGATTAAATTAGGATAGCTGATTTTGGAATAGACAATTTGATATTGCATTAAAAACCAAGTTATCGACCTCCAGAATTGTTGTTTCATAATAAGTTTTCATATAAATCTATTATGTATTAATTGGGACTGATTTTATATGAATTGACTACATAGAGACACCTTTTTAAATTTGAATTAATAGAACAAATAAAGGCTGTCATTCATAATGGAGGAGCGTAATTGTAATTATCATATAAGAATTGTAAAAATACCGTCGTTTTATTCTAAGTAACTTCGATTTATAATTAAAAATTGCCTTGAACTTCAAGAATCAGAAAGACTTGATATCCGTCAATTAATTCACAATGAAAATTTTAAATTTATACTGAACCAAAAATATATGACTTTTACATTTGAATAATAAAGTATCTTTGATAAATGGTGTAATGTTTAATCATAAAATGAATAAATAATTAGTATTGATATTCCAATAAATGAGAATGAAAATAAAGATAGATAATCTAATTATACAGCATACACATAAGAAATCAAATAAATTCATAAATCAACAATTATAGAAACAAAGATTTAATATCAAAAATCAATTCATAAATCTAATCTCCAAAGATAATAAGATGAAATAATGAGTCTTAGACCTTTGTCTTCATAAACTAAGATGACTTAATCAACTCCTATATTAAAAACCAATAATTTTTTTGGTAAGAACAACTTTATTATTCAAAATAATAGAAAAATAAAATCTTCTATTCGTAGAGGATAATAAAGTAATTAACTTTATAGTGCAGGTAATTAAGATACATGTCTTAAATCTTAAGATATTATTGATAATCTTATTAAATTGAAGATGGAATAGTGTATTGAAACAATTGGAGTAGAAGAAACTGTTTAAACATTAGATTTCCTTAGATAAGGAGGATCTATAAATGAATTTCTTTCTAAATATCAAGATTTAAAACATTAATGTATAGCAAAACATTTATAAGACATTATTTCATTTTCTTAAGTATGAATTAATTTTGAATTTTATACATTTATTATTTATATAATTATTTATATATATTAAGAATAAAATAATGATTGTAAGTTTTTTATTTGTAATAAATTTTAAAATTATAATGTTATAATATCAAATGGCAGACCTACAAGTTGGACATGATTAATTTACTAATACCCATTCCAATAAACACTACTTATGAAATATATGCAATTGATGACATTTCAATTTGTAGTATTCCTATTAGATTTCAAAATTATGAAGACAAATGTTACATTAGATTTAAGATAGTTCAGAAAGTACAATCTCTTCTACTATTTAAATTTCATATTTGTTTAATGGTGAAAATTATTCATACTCTAATTCTTGAAGATTAGCTATTTACATGTAGATCTAATTGTATAATCTTTTTGAAATTATTGTAACTATGGCCAATATTATCCCAAAAAATATAATCAAGATTCTAGCTGTGCTCATAAATTGCAAAGACAACCCAATTATTAAAGCTGTCATATATAATTTTAATACATTATTCTTAAATTGAACTTTTGTATTTTGATTATCCAACTATTATCAATACTAATAAACAAAGTTATAAGAAAATAGTTAGAATCTTTAAATAAAAACAAAAGCAATGAGATTTTTGTAAAATCTACTTTATCTCATAATCAGGCCTTTATTCTATATCATATTAAAACCATAGCAATCCTTCTAAATATTCAATCTCATATTAATGAAATAGTTTTAAATAATATAGAGAAGGTATTAAAGAAATTACATTAATTGATAATTAGATTACGCTAATGTAGAATAAAGGTTAGCTTCTCTAGATTAAACAAAGAGAGATTATACATAGAATCATTTCTACTACTTAATATATAGCTAGCACAAATATTAAGAAATAAACAAATCTAAGTTGATTTTGCTATTCAGTATATTGTACATAGCTTCTTAAACTTTGCTCTAAAGCCTTTTAAAATTATATTTATCTGGCTTAATGAATATTTTCTTATTATTGATCTGACACCAATTCTTAGTGATGATTATCATTATTAGTTAAATTTGTTGACATTTATATTATTGTTAATTAATAAATGCGAAAACTATATAAACACAGGCTAAATACCAAAATACAGAAACCTATTAGAGTATTATATCATCAATTTTTAATTATTATATATAATTGCCTTTAGTTAAGAATCCATTAAAAAACAAATGAATGAATCAATCCAAAATATTCAAATGACTCTATTATATAAAGCTATTATATTAGGTTCCTTATAACATAATATTTGATTGTATTTTAAGTAATAACAATTTAATATATATATATATATATTAAAAAGATCTATTATATAAAATCAAATTCATTTTAAATTAATGAATTATAATAATTGTTGCTAAGGTTAACCATGTTGTTGTCAAATAACTTATATTATATTTTTATTAGCTTGAAATATAATTATGTCCACAAAATAAATTGATTTTGGATATTAAATATATAAAAATATTTATAATCTAATTGTTTTCTTATATTCTTATTAAATAAATGAAAATTTAATTAAAATAATATATCACAAAATTTAGATAATACTTGAGTTATAATCTCTAAAATCAATAATATAAGTGAAAATAAAAAATAATTGATTGATATATTTTTGATGACTTCAGTGACAATGTTTATGATCATTAGTTTCTATAAAATAATTAAATACTAATAATATAAAATTAGAAAGAAATGATTAATTTTTAGCTATTGTAAAACAATTTTGTAGAAATTAACAAACAGAGAATATACCAAAAGCAGCTATATTATTCAAAAATTAGAATTAATTTCAATTAAATATTAACTAAATTATGGCAAAAAAATGTTTCAAATATTCTAACCTTTCATTATCTTATTTTCTTCATTTATTTACCTTTTTTCAATTCAAACTATATTTTCTCTTTGTTAAATTGTTCAATAATTATTCATTTACAATAGTTAAAAAACTAAATGGGAGATTGTATTTAAATTATTGATACTTGAAATAAATTATTAACTTGATAAATAATCTCAAACTATTAATAGATATAATTGAATTAATTTTAAAGTTAGAATACGAAATATAACTAAAAGTAGAATAGAATATAAATGATAGAATGTAGATAATGTTAATTCTGTTATTCCATAATACATGAATTTTAAATCAAATTGTTATAAGCCTTTTAGCAATTTATAAACTTAGATATATACTTCAATTCTAACCTATAACTTTGATTTAAATCATGAATTGGATAATATAAACTTATATTTTTTCATGCCAAAATAGTTGTGTAAAGATTACAACAAAATCTCTCAAAATTTAAATCCATTTGTTAAGATGTAGTATTTTTATAATTTAATAGATTTTGTATTTCTTCATCTCTATAAAGCCCTATTATAAGGAATTCATTGTTTAATGGATTTAGTATTAAATTCAATTTAATTTTATTTTCTAATTATATAATTTAATGAGCACTAAATTTTTGAATAATGGTCTTTTTTTATTTGAGTTTATTAAATTTTTTGATAAAATAATATTAAAGTAAACTTGCTACAAGTTTTAGTAAAAATAAACACTTTTAATTCGAATCAAAAATATTTACTAAGATCTAGTCAACTATTATTGATTCTACTAAAATCATAGTTAATTCTTCTTGTTTTATTTATCTATTTTTTGTGTGCAAATATTATGTTCTATTAGAAACAAATTTAGAAAAATAAGATTTGTGATCTAAAAATACTTAACTTAATAAATAATATTTCAATTCTTCACAAAAGTATTTTGGTTAAGTGAAAAAGGCTAAATTCTCTAATAAAAACTATAGAGAATTAATTGATTTCATCATTGAAAAATCTACTTTTTCTTTGTCATTTTGATAATCAATAAAATTATGTAATTATTGATTTACTGAAGTAAGTGATTTAGCACAAACTGCTTTACACCAAGCATTAATTCTTTCAGTTTATACTAGCTCAAGTTTAAGAAAAAAAGTAATGTTCTTTAATTGAATTTAATACTTCTTCCAAAGAGAATAGTTTAAAGATTTCTTGATTCTTATAGCAGCTATTATTGCAAGGGTTGCAATTTTGAAGTACTTTTTCATATTAAATGAACGTTATTATAACAATAAAACCTTCGCTCTACCTATCAGTTACTTATGTTCTGTTGTAGGCTTTGAAATTAATTCTATAGGTTGGATTGCTTTTTCATTATAATTTACTTGTAAAACTTTAACATCCTTATGAATTTCTTGATGTTTTACTAATTTTGGCTAATACATTTAAGGCTTTTTTGGAGATTCTTGCCTTTTTTGAGGAGATTAGTCTTTAGAAGTTGCTTATTTTTTAATCTTTTCTAAATAAAGATTTTCAGAGATGGAGAGAATATCAACATTAGGAGTGAAGAATGGTTGCTCATAAATTGTTTCAGTTTATAGAAATCTAATGCTTTAGGATCTACCTTATTAGAATTGGCTGCTCATGGTTAAATTATTTAAAATATTAAAAATCATTTTGACGACGCAACAAATAGAATGATACTGTTAAATTTTATATTTGCAAAATATATTATAATAACATGATTTCATTCCTTCTATTATAAAATCAAGTCACAAATTTTATTTGACCTTCTTAGTGGTCTGAAAATTAAGTTGTATATTTTTAATTAAAGGTTTTAAATTATATTAGCTTAGACCACTAAAAGTTTCTATATCACAAAGCTTTTCATTATTTAAATAAGCTTAATTCATTTTTCTAATGTAGAGAAAATACTTATATAATTAATCTTTGAAATTAATAAAGTAGTAATCAATTTTATTAATATTTATATGCAATTTATATATGAGTTCTATAACACTATTAATAATTTAAAATGCTAAAAATAATTAATCTATACAAAAATATATTAAAATTATCAATTAGTATTTGTAATGTCTTTTGATTCTCCAAAGTTATAAATGATTCTTGTAAACATTTATGATATTTTAATTTTCAATAGGGTTTATATTCAAATAATTAAAACTTCCAGAACATTCATATTCTCTTTAAACAATTAATTTATTCTAAAGAAATAAACTAGTTCTATTCAATTTAAAATATCTATTTTATAAATCTTCAAATAATAACTTTAGGAAATAAAATAGTCTTTACTTTTATAAATCTTTCTTTACTTCATATAAAATTGATATGTTTCTAAATTACTTAATGTAGTTTTACTCTTTGGTTCTCACCATGAATTTTTTAAATTTCCTTCTCTATATTTACTACTTAAATCTAATTAAAATACTAAATGTTTATGCGGTTCTTCTTAAACTTTATATGTTCTTTAATTATTTCCCTTAATTTTTATATATGGTTATAAAGAAGGATAATTGGTACTTTATATATTTTTCGATAATTCTAAAATAGCTATTACAATATCAACTACTATTCTATATTTTTATTAAATTCATATAATATCCAAATTACAAAGAATATGTAAAATTGATTTCAATCTCATAATTGAATTGAATAGTCTTGTTTTTTAATTTACACATTTGATATTATAATATCATAGAAGATTTAAAAAATAAAATATAATTATTACGATATAATTATTATTTAAAAATTTATTTCCAAAATTCTATTAAATGACTGATTTTTTTATTCTATTAAATTCTATATCAATTTTATGTTCTTAACTAAATTTATATATTTATAAATACATCAAATAAATCATTTTTAAGGGACAACCGTCTTTCTTTTGTAATTTTAATTAAAATTTTAGGTCTAATAATATTTAAATTGACTGATTTATGGTATAATTATAATTATCATTCTTTTATTTATTTTAGCAATTAGATCATTGAATAGTAAAAAAAACTTAGGAATGTATCAATTTTTGAAATTCTATTCACTTATTCTAATGTATGGAATAAGAAAATTAAAATTTTTAATGATTAATTTGCATAAATTTTTTATTTGATGATGAAATGCATATGAAAAGTTTACTTNTACAAAAATATATTAAAATTATCAATTAGTATTTGTAATGTCTTTTGATTCTCCAAAGTTATAAATGATTCTTGTAAACATTTATGATATTTTAATTTTCAATAGGGTTTATATTCAAATAATTAAAACTTCCAGAACATTCATATTCTCTTTAAACAATTAATTTATTCTAAAGAAATAAACTAGTTCTATTCAATTTAAAATATCTATTTTATAAATCTTCAAATAATAACTTTAGGAAATAAAATAGTCTTTACTTTTATAAATCTTTCTTTACTTCATATAAAATTGATATGTTTCTAAATTACTTAATGTAGTTTTACTCTTTGGTTCTCACCATGAATTTTTTAAATTTCCTTCTCTATATTTACTACTTAAATCTAATTAAAATACTAAATGTTTATGCGGTTCTTCTTAAACTTTATATGTTCTTTAATTATTTCCCTTAATTTTTATATATGGTTATAAAGAAGGATAATTGGTACTTTATATATTTTTCGATAATTCTAAAATAGCTATTACAATATCAACTACTATTCTATATTTTTATTAAATTCATATAATATCCAAATTACAAAGAATATGTAAAATTGATTTCAATCTCATAATTGAATTGAATAGTCTTGTTTTTTAATTTACACATTTGATATTATAATATCATAGAAGATTTAAAAAATAAAATATAATTATTACGATATAATTATTATTTAAAAATTTATTTCCAAAATTCTATTAAATGACTGATTTTTTTATTCTATTAAATTCTATATCAATTTTATGTTCTTAACTAAATTTATATATTTATAAATACATCAAATAAATCATTTTTAAGGGACAACCGTCTTTCTTTTGTAATTTTAATTAAAATTTTAGGTCTAATAATATTTAAATTGACTGATTTATGGTATAATTATAATTATCATTCTTTTATTTATTTTAGCAATTAGATCATTGAATAGTAAAAAAAACTTAGGAATGTATCAATTTTTGAAATTCTATTCACTTATTCTAATGTATGGAATAAGAAAATTAAAATTTTTAATGATTAATTTGCATAAATTTTTTATTTGATGATGAAATGCATATGAAAAGTTTACTTAAATTAATAACAAATTACAGATGTATTTTTTAAATACTCCTTATATCCTTGTATAAAGATTTTATAAATTAATATAACATTTAAAATTATTCTAGTTAAATAAGTGCTTTAAGATTTCTATAATAAAGGGGGTTTAAATTAAAAAATTATATTGATCTAAAAATAAATAATAAAATATTTTAAAAAAAATAACTAATAATATAATAGTCTTTATTATATTTTTTATTGAATTGAATTGATAATTAAACATTAAATAATAAATTCAGATAATTCATTCTGCATTTTAAATATCTATTAATGCTTCTATATTTTTCACTATTTATGAAAAGAGTGTACTCATTTAAATTTTCCATTTAGGTTTTTCATAAAATATTTTATAAACAAAATTGAATTTAAAATCTCCAGATATTATCAACTCTTCATCAGTTTCTAATTTTGATGAAGTAATTAATTAAGTTTTCATAGGAGAATTTCCTTCTTCTTCCTAAACATTTAGTATCAGTTAAATTGGTTTAACATTTGAGTTTTTAATTTTTTATAACTTTTTGAAATGATTTGTGAAAAATACTGTTAATAAGACAGGAATAGCAATAAAATAAAATTAAAAATTCATTTAAAGATCTGAATCTGTATAAACTTATTTATTAGTAATTTCTAAAAGATTAGGTAGAATTAATGTAAAAATAAGATATTCTAAAGCAATTAACACTTTTTAATCTTAATTAAGAGAATGAACTGTTTTTGAGTAAAATTAAGTTCTATTTGATACAAATTAACTAGTTTATGTATGTTTTCCATAAAAAAGACTTAAATTTAAAGAATGTAGTATACAAGGTGGCAAGAAATTTTTTCTAGTTATCAATTCTAAATCTTAAAATAATAATTTTATGAAATAACATAGTCTTTACTTCTAAAAATCAACAATCAATTCTTATTTTTTATTGAAGATTTCACTAAAATCTTTAATATAATTTTAACTGTTTAATAATTTAATAATCTTAGAAAATAATTTTTCTATAAAATTTTAATATTATTGCTTAATTATTCTCTGTTAATACTTATTTAGATGATTTAAATGGAGTGTCTTTAACTTTTTAAAATGCAACAAAGCTTAATTTCTTTTTAGAAGAACAAGTCTATGTTAAGATTTAAATTTTACTTATATTTTTTGCTTAACTTAAGAACAGCCATAATTAATATGGCAATAACCTTAAGTCTCAACTTTTTTACTACAAGTCTCATTTTAATTTTTGCATGATCAATCGTTTCTCTCTAATGAATTATTTAATTAAAAATTCCTTTTATGGATTAATTTCTAATCTTTTTATTATTATTAGAAAGAGAGATCTTTGGTATTTAATTTTATTTACTATTTGATTCAACAAATAATGATTTCTATCTTCTAGTATCATTTTTCTAATTTTCTAAAATTTAAAAACCAAATTAAAATGACTCAGTTGGCATAGATTACATTCTATCTCTATTGGTATTTAAGATCTTTAAAGTTTATATTTCAAATGGTTTTTTAATCTGATGGGATTATGTAAATCTTCTTTTTATTTACATATCTTTATCCCTAGATATTAATTCTTGAATATTATTTTCCATCTATTCATTAATCTAAAAAGAAGTTTAAAGTTTGAGTCTTTGAGTTTATTAATTCCTTTATTACATACTTTCTATTTCTATTGGATTGCTAAACAATTAAAAACGAACTCTTTAATTTTTCTCTAAATATTTTTTTTTTTGTAGCAAGGGTATATTGAGTTTTTAACAAATATGATTATTATTCATCATAAACCCTTATAAAAATTCCTTTGAAGATGGAAAATTTAATATGTTAAATGAAATGGTCTCATTAGTCTAGGTTTTCATTTCTTGATTTAAATGTATAATTAAAATAAGTAATATTATCAGATATTTCAATATAGTTAATTCATAATAACCTAACGAAGCATTTAAGAAAAAATCATCTCTTTACTATTTGATCTAACAAACTATGTTCTCTACAAAATGGCACATTGAGTTAGTTAGTGTTAATTTGATATATTTTGTAAAATTTAAGACTTTAATAAAATTTAAAATTAATATATATATATATATTAATAGGAAACATTTAAATATCATAAGAAATAAATATTAACTTTATCTTATTAATCATATTAGATAAATATACATTTAAAAGTAAGTCTTAAGTGAGAAGTAGATTTAGATTAAAATTATACTAAAGTTAACTAGTGATTTTTTGGACAATTATAAAACAAGTATCATAATATATTATAGAAGAAATCTCAGAATTTAAAGACAAAAAAAAATAGTTGTAAATTGTAAAAATTAAAAAATATTATGGGATAAATTATACAATAAGTCATAATCAAATTAAATCAAAATAATAAAGAAAATATTGTTTGAATATGATTTCATAAATTATATAAGAAACTTAAAATAGGTATTATTTAATTTATAGAAATTTGAATAAAAATTGAGTAGATATAAAAATATAATAAGATAAATAAGCACTAATATCATAAATTTAGATAATCAAGATAAAATGTTAATTAAATATACTTTTGATGAAAAGTAAAAGTAGCTTTGTCTGGATTTATTATTTAACCAATAATGCTATATTAAATAAAATAATTTAAATATTTAAATTATAAGAAAATAATAACATTATAAAAATATTATCTCTCTTGATTAAAAAATCTTCCATTCTAGAACTATAATAATATAATCTAATAAAAATAATAAATCTAGATACTTTTGAAAATATTAAGAGGAGATGATTGAATATAAGAAATTATATGAGCAAAGATAAGGTAGAAATTATTAATAAAAAAAAGATTTAAAATCAATTAAATGAGTGAGAATAATATTTATTGAATAATTGATATATAAGAAATATTATGATTAAAATAAGATAAACTTCTAGATTACGTAGATTTTCAGCATAAGATGAATAGAATTATGTGATACCTAAACTATTTTTGAGTGTTGATTTTTATAAAAAATAATAACATTCTGCAAGAATTGTTTCAAATGAAGATATCAACAATCTAACATTCCTTCATAGAAACATTAATTATTAAACAACAAAAAGAAGTATTCAATAAGAGATAGAATCAACTGGAATTTAAGAGAACAACAAAGTTTATGAGGTTAATATATAAGTAAAATTTGTAAAGCATAAATAAAAAGTGGAAAAGTAATTAAAATAGGACTTTCATTAGGATTATAAAATAGTTAGATTTCCAAACAATTCAATAAAATAAATTAATGATGAAATAGAACTTAGTCGAAAACTCTAAAATCTACTTGCANGATAAATATACATTTAAAAGTAAGTCTTAAGTGAGAAGTAGATTTAGATTAAAATTATACTAAAGTTAACTAGTGATTTTTTGGACAATTATAAAACAAGTATCATAATATATTATAGAAGAAATCTCAGAATTTAAAGACAAAAAAAAATAGTTGTAAATTGTAAAAATTAAAAAATATTATGGGATAAATTATACAATAAGTCATAATCAAATTAAATCAAAATAATAAAGAAAATATTGTTTGAATATGATTTCATAAATTATATAAGAAACTTAAAATAGGTATTATTTAATTTATAGAAATTTGAATAAAAATTGAGTAGATATAAAAATATAATAAGATAAATAAGCACTAATATCATAAATTTAGATAATCAAGATAAAATGTTAATTAAATATACTTTTGATGAAAAGTAAAAGTAGCTTTGTCTGGATTTATTATTTAACCAATAATGCTATATTAAATAAAATAATTTAAATATTTAAATTATAAGAAAATAATAACATTATAAAAATATTATCTCTCTTGATTAAAAAATCTTCCATTCTAGAACTATAATAATATAATCTAATAAAAATAATAAATCTAGATACTTTTGAAAATATTAAGAGGAGATGATTGAATATAAGAAATTATATGAGCAAAGATAAGGTAGAAATTATTAATAAAAAAAAGATTTAAAATCAATTAAATGAGTGAGAATAATATTTATTGAATAATTGATATATAAGAAATATTATGATTAAAATAAGATAAACTTCTAGATTACGTAGATTTTCAGCATAAGATGAATAGAATTATGTGATACCTAAACTATTTTTGAGTGTTGATTTTTATAAAAAATAATAACATTCTGCAAGAATTGTTTCAAATGAAGATATCAACAATCTAACATTCCTTCATAGAAACATTAATTATTAAACAACAAAAAGAAGTATTCAATAAGAGATAGAATCAACTGGAATTTAAGAGAACAACAAAGTTTATGAGGTTAATATATAAGTAAAATTTGTAAAGCATAAATAAAAAGTGGAAAAGTAATTAAAATAGGACTTTCATTAGGATTATAAAATAGTTAGATTTCCAAACAATTCAATAAAATAAATTAATGATGAAATAGAACTTAGTCGAAAACTCTAAAATCTACTTGCAAAAATTAAAAAATGAATTTTAATGATTTATATTTTTAATTACTTTAATCTTATAAAAATTATAATTAATTATATAATAATGTAATATATGTAAATGGACAATCCAAAATATAAATTATAATATAGACATAAGAATTTCAATCTCTTACTGTAAATGATAATAATTTAGTTATTCTTAATACTTATTAAATGGTTTCAATAAAAATAACATAATGCAAGTCCTATTATATATTATAATATTATTACTTTCATCTTTGCTAAAGTCTCTTAAGTAGTTAATGAATGCATTTTCAATAACACTTCTAAATTACAATGAGTTTCAGTATCTGGTAAGAGAGCTTAATTACACTTTTAATGTGAATCTCTTGCTTAAATTATAGCACATTTATTATTCCACCATTTTATGGTCTTCCAATCTTTTTCTTAATTTTCTGCAAATTCCTAAAATTAATTAAAAATAGCTAAAACCTCATCAAATTCAGGATTTTCTTTTAGCTTTACTACTATTTATGGACCTGTATCACTATTATTCCATCTACTTGATTCAATATAAAATCCTCTAACTGCTTCTGATAAATCATTTAATGCTAATTCTTCTGCACCCTCATCCTTTTAAATAATATTAGCTGATTAAGCATCTTCAATAACAGGAATAAAATTAACACCACTTCTATATAATTCATAAAATAATGCCCCAACTAAAAGCTTTTTGTATGCAAAGTGTTAGAATTCCTATTATATATCTTTATAAATACTGGGTCTTTCTTTAATAATTGAATATATCCTGGACCAATCTCAAATTTAAATAAATCTCTAGCACCTTAGATATCTAAAATAGCTTTTTCATTTCCAACACATCTCAATTTAAAACTCTTATATGGGTAATCCAAACATCTTTCTTGTAACAATCCAACAGGACCTAATTTAGGAACACTTGCAACAATATTAGTTCCTTTATCCAATTTAGCATCTTCTACTCCATCTGTAATCCATTATTCTGTAACACGATCAAAAAATGCTACTCTCCATATTTTTTAATTTTCCTTGTTTGGAATCCAAATATAAGATGGAAGTTAATATGAAACCTCAAAATCAGATAATTATTTACCTTAAATGCAGCAGGTAATTCAAAAGCTAATCTTTTGACAGTTTCTTTCAATTCATAATTTGATTTTAATGTCCAAGTATTGACTTTCTTAGGTGGAGGGAGCATCTATAAATACTCAATATCCAAAACACCTCCAACAATCCTAAATTTATTATAAACATCAGGTGAATAATTATCGAATGATGTCCATAATATTTTTTGAAGAAACAGAGATATTGATCTAGGAACATCAACAGCTAATTATAATTCTGGATATTCATTTGGTTTATGTCTATAACCAGATGGTTTATTTGATGGATAAATGAATATACCATATTTAAAATCTTCAGTTGGTGGAAAGGTCTTAATTACTTCTTATTTAGTTTTATCATCTAATTTGAATGTTCCCTTTGCTCCTTCATTTGCTTTTTTAGTTAATTCAGCAAATTTTTCCTTTAATTAATATATATTTTTACATCAATGAATAATTCAGCATTTAATACCATTTATGTATTTATCTCTTCTAGTTTTTTAATCATTATTTCTCTAATCTAACGAATATACATTTTATTTCTAGCCACAGTGTCATTTTAAAATATTTATTGCTATTGTTATTATTATAATTATTATTGGTTTTATTATAGTTTTCTTTCTGCCTTTAATTAAGTTAAAAATCTATGAATATCTCTTTCAATATTTTCTGCTTATTATAATTTTTGGAGTTCTTCAGCCACTTTTAACTCAGTGACTATCTTTTGTTCTTTTTACATAGTTATAAACGTTGTTAATTAAGCCTCCTAAGTTATATCAGGTTTTATTGAACATAATAAAAACTTATCCCAATCATCATTTGCTCTAGCTACCTAAAAATATTGAAATATATTAATATAATTACTTTCTTTGCATTATCTAAATTTTCTTTGAAAACACTTCTTTAAACTTCATTCTCTATCTCCTCTTCTTAAAGTCTTGCTTTTTCTTCTGCAGCCAATCTTTCTTCTTCTAATTTCCGTAACCGTTCTTCTTCTTATCTTTATTTTTCTTCAGCTTCTTTTCGAATTCTCTCTTATTCTTCTCTTTCTTTCTTTTCTTATTCAGCTTTTTCCTTTAATTCTTTTTTCGTCAATTTTTTTGGAGGAGGAGCTTTAGGAGGCATATATATAATGTTTATTAAATATAAAAGATTATCAAACTATATTTCCAAAATATTGATTTTCCACTTCTAATAATCTAAAAAATCTTATACAAAATCGGAAAATTTATTATAAATAAATTCAATACATTATTTAGACATAATAGAAATAGATGGAATTTCAAATTTTAAGAGACTAAAATATAATAACAATATTTTAGAAGTAGTTAAATAAATCATAATCTATATACTTATTTTATGATCATTAACATATTAATTATATCATAATAAATAATTATGTTTTGTTTTACATACTATTTTATGAATTTAATATATATTTCTACTTTTAATTAAATTTATATAAATAATATATAACTTATTAAAAGTGTTTTGATAAATATACACTTTCATTTTAATCTCCTCTTCTATTTAATACAAGTCATATTTATTTTAATTTATCAAATAAGTATAACTCCTTTATTACATTTTTTAATAATATTTTGTTGTATCCTAATTTTTTTAGTTGTTCACCCAACTTTCAAATTTAAATGTATAAACTTGATTAACATTAAAGTCCTAAGAACTTAACCTTTAAATCTTACAATAAATAAGGATAATAAATTGAAAAGTTAGTTTATCAACATATTATTAGTTTCTTATAAATAAAAATATCATTCATCTAGTTAAGTTTCACCAGATAATACAACATTATTTTTATTATTTACTAAGCATTTTTTATTTTTAATATTTTATTTCTAATATTTTTAAAGATTCTTCTTCTTTTTTTGTGAATTCCAATTTTTTATGAGAACTCACAATAGGAGTGGAATTTCCACCATTTTCCATTAAAGGAGACTTGTTTCTAGGTGATCTAGCACTCAAAGGTATTCCAAGTGGTGACTTAGTTCTATTTCTTGGAGTAGAAAGAGGTGGGATTGCTTATAAAAATTAAACATGTTCATCAATTGTAACTTCATATTTTGAGCCAAAAGTAATTTCTCTACCTTTTCTATCGTATCGTCGAAACACTTTATTGATCGTTAAATATATTACTTTATTCTTAGTTAGATAGTTCCTTTTTTAAAGCACTCTTTATAGCATGTTAGTTAATTTTAGTATCATATTCTTTATTAATCATTATTGTATTTACTTTCAATTAATTAATAAATTGTGACTCTTGAAACTTAAAAATATTAAGATAATTAATGGTACCTGTATTAAATAATAAATTATAATATATATATTTCACACGGATGGACCCTTTGCTGAGACTTCATCAACCATTTTTTTTAATTAAGGATTTCCTATGTAATATTAATTATATATACTTAAATATCTGCCTATTATTGGGAATTTGGTTGCACTATCATAGAGGAAAGGTAAAAATGATTTAAACATTTAAAATAGACCATAAATTTATAATGGAAATCCAATAATTGTAATTTTTAATATGACAATAAAAATAAATCCTAAAAAAAAGAAAATACTTCCCTTTAATTTGCCTTAAATTTATGTTATTAATTACCTTTCTTCAGGAAAAAGTGCAAAGTACTTTTAATCCCAATAAGTAAACATAATCCAATAAAAAATGATAAATTGGCCATTATAATAAGTGAACGATCTAAGAAAAACATAATGCCTAATACAAAGAGCAGAAGACTAACAGTGAGAAATCCCATTCCTATTCCTAGATTCCTAATATTGTATTAAAAAACATACTTTTAGAGTCATCCAAAAAGTACATTAAGAATAATTATTTATTTAAATAAATATAAAATAATATAAAGAAAGTAATTGTTTGAATAAAATTAAATACTTATATTCATCATGTTTCTTTTAATGTTTGAAATTAATAACACTCATATCAGTTGCACTATGTTTGCATAATCCTAGATATCCCTTTTTTCGTCCATGTAAACATTCCTATCCTGCAACACCTGCCTTATATACATCACCATGTAAATTTGGTTTCTATGATATTATTATATATATATATTACTCTATTGTAAACACATACTACAATTTCATCACTCATACCATTCTTTCTACTAACTTATGATCTACCACATCCAAAGAATTAAACTTAAGCCATTTCAATTTGTCTAGCATGATCTTCATGTTAAGCCCATTTTTTGAAAACTCTTTTAGCAGTCCAATCAGCACCTCCATTTTCAACATCACCTTAATATGTCACAAAACCATAATGAGGAGGAAATGAACAATCAATTTTAAAATTGGCTGGACATTTATCTGCACAATCTTATGCAAATCTAGCCAATTGATGATCCCATTTTACATAATTCATATTTGAAGCTGTCTAAAATTTACCTTACCAATTTTTTAACTTTCCTGTAGCAACTTCATTTCTATGTTCATTATGTAATTCTAATAATTCATCTTCTTTCTTTTTAGACATCCCTCGTTCTTTTACTCTTTCCTTGTTATCAGTATCACATCCTACTTTAGCATAAGCAAATGCTAAAAACACTATTAAAACGAATTTCATTATTAATATTATTTGTGAATTAACATAAATGGATAAATCAATATTGAAATTATATAAATAGGTTCTCAGAGCTGGAAATCAATTCAAAGATTACAATTTCAGAGAATATGTTATTAGAAGGGCTAAATAAGATTTTAGAGAATTAAAGAATAATCCTGATCTTAACAATAAGGTCATTCAAAAATACACTACAGAATTAGAAGTTATTAAGAGATAAACAATTGTTTAGAATCTATACTATTAGACAAATAATATTATTGAGTAGAAATAATGCAATATATGAGAATTTAAATATATATTAAATATAATTAAAAATGGCATCTTATTCAGGAGAACAATAAGTCAAAACTGTCATTAATACAGATGATATTAAAGAGATTGTAGCAATCCTTAATAATAAATTTAATGAGAATTATAGTTTGGTGTCCTTTGATGAACAAAATTAGTAATCATTATTGAATAATATTTTAGATTNATATTCATCATGTTTCTTTTAATGTTTGAAATTAATAACACTCATATCAGTTGCACTATGTTTGCATAATCCTAGATATCCCTTTTTTCGTCCATGTAAACATTCCTATCCTGCAACACCTGCCTTATATACATCACCATGTAAATTTGGTTTCTATGATATTATTATATATATATATTACTCTATTGTAAACACATACTACAATTTCATCACTCATACCATTCTTTCTACTAACTTATGATCTACCACATCCAAAGAATTAAACTTAAGCCATTTCAATTTGTCTAGCATGATCTTCATGTTAAGCCCATTTTTTGAAAACTCTTTTAGCAGTCCAATCAGCACCTCCATTTTCAACATCACCTTAATATGTCACAAAACCATAATGAGGAGGAAATGAACAATCAATTTTAAAATTGGCTGGACATTTATCTGCACAATCTTATGCAAATCTAGCCAATTGATGATCCCATTTTACATAATTCATATTTGAAGCTGTCTAAAATTTACCTTACCAATTTTTTAACTTTCCTGTAGCAACTTCATTTCTATGTTCATTATGTAATTCTAATAATTCATCTTCTTTCTTTTTAGACATCCCTCGTTCTTTTACTCTTTCCTTGTTATCAGTATCACATCCTACTTTAGCATAAGCAAATGCTAAAAACACTATTAAAACGAATTTCATTATTAATATTATTTGTGAATTAACATAAATGGATAAATCAATATTGAAATTATATAAATAGGTTCTCAGAGCTGGAAATCAATTCAAAGATTACAATTTCAGAGAATATGTTATTAGAAGGGCTAAATAAGATTTTAGAGAATTAAAGAATAATCCTGATCTTAACAATAAGGTCATTCAAAAATACACTACAGAATTAGAAGTTATTAAGAGATAAACAATTGTTTAGAATCTATACTATTAGACAAATAATATTATTGAGTAGAAATAATGCAATATATGAGAATTTAAATATATATTAAATATAATTAAAAATGGCATCTTATTCAGGAGAACAATAAGTCAAAACTGTCATTAATACAGATGATATTAAAGAGATTGTAGCAATCCTTAATAATAAATTTAATGAGAATTATAGTTTGGTGTCCTTTGATGAACAAAATTAGTAATCATTATTGAATAATATTTTAGATTTGAATTCTTGGAACTGTTAAATAAAATATTTACACATCTAGACTCAAGATGGACTATAGATGTTAAAGTAGATAATTAAGAAACTATTATCTATAAAATTACTGAGTATTTACGAATTCTAAATTACCCAGGTTAATTTGATGATAAATGGTCGCAATCAGTCTTGATTGCAGATAAGAAAGTTGTCTATCCAATTTTTTATTATTTATTAACTAGATATCCAGAATTAGAAAAAAGAGCTTATTTAGCCAAGTATTTAGTACCAGTATTTGTGCCGGATGAATTTTAAATGGACAATGATATTAAGACATGTGTTGATCAAATCAAAGACTTATAAGCTTAATTCTAAGTACATCATTAGTCACTTGAATAAGTATAATCATAATCAATGAATCCTGAAGAATTGAAAAAGGATATTACTTAATTTGAATAAGAAAGAGAATAATTATTAAATAAGATTAGCAATTTTAAGAGTAAAGTATTAACTAAACCAAATTTCAATGAATTATTAGATGTTACTAATATGTTAAGAAAGGAATAAGAAGAAGAAGCTAGATTATAAGATAAACTTAGATAATAAAGAATGTAACTTGATCAAACAGATTAAATGCTTTTATAAGCTTAATAGAGATTGATTGATGCTTAAAAGTCATTGGCTCCTGATAATTCACCAGAATAAATGTTAATGGCTTTGAGAAATGAAGTTAAAAGAAATAGAGAAATCAGTAAAGATAGATTGGGATTTGATTTAAAAGAGAGAAGAAAGAAATTAGAATAAATTGAAAGATTACTTGCTGAACCTCCTATTACATTAAATGAATTAAATAATTTAGAAAATACATTGATGGCTTTAAGAAGAGCAGTAAATTAAATGGAAGATAAATTGAAAAGAGAAGCAAAACCTGAAGATGATAAATTAACTATTTATAAATAATAAGCTTAACTGGTTGCTAAGAAAAAAGAAAGAGCAGTTGAAGATATTAAAAAGGTTGAGGAAGAATAGTAATTAATAGAAAAGGAAGTATTTAAAAAAGAAGATTAAATTGCAAAAGAGAGAGGACCAAATTATAAAACAAAAGGAGAATTTAAAGAATATGCTAATTAATTAAAAGATAAGAAATTTTAATATCAAAAATTAAAAGATGAATTAAAAGCATTATAAGCAGAAAGAGCAACATTGGAAAGAACAGAATAGATTTTAAGAAAATAAAAAAATGAATTACTTAAATAATAATAAGAATTAGAGAAAACACATGGAATTGTTGGTTATAGTAAGAAAAAGGAAGGTTTAGAAAAATTATCAGAAGAAAACCAATAAATTAATTTATAAAAAGGTTAAACTTTAGAAGAGATATCTAAAATTGTAAATGAAATTTAAGCCTAAATTTAATTAAAAAGACCTTTAATATAAGAACAATTAGCAGAAATTAAAACAGTTAGATAATAATATTCTGTAAATGATATTATAATATTTATAGGATTTAGAATAAGATCATAAAAAAAAGAAATAAGAATTTGATAGAATTATGTTAGGAGTTGAAAGTGATTAAAGTTCTTTAGTTAATGAAGTTAAAAAATTAAGAGATGAAGTTTATGCATTAGATAGAAAAATTAGACTTAATAAATTTAATTCTGAAATTTTGGAAATTAAAATTTAAAGATTAAATGATGAAGTAAAATTAATATAAATTATTTATTTTAGGTTGAATATGGTAAGGGAGGTAAATAATTATCATCTTAATTTAAATCTAATGCTGAAATGTTACAATAAAGAATTTTGAAATTAGAAGAAAATATTAAAAATCTTAAATAGTAAAGAGAATTAGTAAAAGAAAATTATGAACCATCATTAAGACAAGTAATATTTTATGATAATTAAATAGATGAATTATTTTAGTGATTTAAAAAAGATATTAAATGTTAAATTCTAATAATTATCAAATGAGTAGGGACAAAAATAATAAATGAAAGCAGGAGCCAATAGATTAGTTATTGGTTGATTAATTATCAAATATTAATATATATATATATAAATATATATAATCATTCTTATTATGGCATAATAATATCTGTATAATATACTTTATTTGGATATAGAGTGCACATCTCTTTTATATCCATTCTTAATTTAACATCTGTATGTCCACCTCCAAACCATATATATTCTAAATTTAATATTCTATCAGAAATCAACAAAGGCATATTTTAAACCATATTAAAAGGTGTAATAGCATTAAATTAATATCCACTTAATTAATATGACATCTTATATTAATTAATAATTGTTTACTTCATCTGATGTTAATCTGAAATGTAATTTATTTCTAGAAATTTATTTATCAGGATACTTTTGATTCTATAACTATTTAAAATATTTATTAATCTAATATTGTTCTTAAATATAATACCTTTTCTCCTTATAATTTTGTAATATATTGAACTACTACACATATATATTTTGGATTGACTTCATGATCAGGATAGGAATCATCATATTTTGTATTTTCCATAATTATAGACTTACATAAATAATCTATAGATGGAGCTTATAATAATTCTTTTCTTTCTTGATAATTTAAATCAAAATAATTTGGTTAAGCTTAGAAAAGTTTGAATTTCTTATAACCATTGGTATCAAGATATGTTGTCATTTTCTTCATACATTCTGCTATCTCATTTTAAATCATTATTTTTTAACAAAATATTATAATAAAAGAAATTTATTATCAATAACTAATATAGCAATATTCATATTCATATTCAGTTGTTATGAAATTGAAAAAACTATTCAAAAGCTAATCTAAATCTCCTTCCGTCGATTAATTTTATAGGTTCACTCTATTTATGTGGAGGACTCAATCTCAGCCAAGTTCCATTTCTACTATCTAAATCTTCAATAACTAATCCTTCTTCTATATATGTGAATTAGGCATGTTAACCACTTAAATGCTATTTAAATTTATTTTAGAATATATACTGTATCATCTGCAAACATAGACATCTGTCTTCCAAAAATTAAAGCTGTCTAATCTTATGTTAATTCAAAATCAAGATTGTTATTTTCCATTATACCTTCTAATACTTTAATAAAGACTGAACATTTAGTCCCTTAAATCTTTATTTTTGATATTAAAAATTATCCTGAACCCATATGTAAAACTAATCCTTCCTTTAATAAAGTTGGATTAGTTAATTAAACAAAAGTTCCAGATGAAGATCCTAAATCTTATAAATAAAAGAATCCATTATTTTCCTTATGAAAAATCTTACAATGCTATCTGCTAACATAATCTTCTTTTAGTACTAATTAATTATCAGGATTTCTTCCAATTGAAACTCCTTCCTTTTTTATTGGTATTCTTTAATTTCCATTATTGATATTAATTAAATAAGTATTACATTCTTATTAACTGTAAGTAGTTTTGATAATTTCATGTACATCATTTACTTCTTCCACAGTTTATTTAAATGATTGATTACTTTATACTTAATCTTCAAAAATTGCAGCTTTTATAGAACTTCTTTTATATTAATTGGATACAACTAAGCTATTAGATGTACCATTATCTTCTTATTATTAATTAAAACTCTATTTTTGATAATCAAAACCTTAATCTTTATCTAATGATTTCAAAAATTCAGAATATTCTTTGAAACCAATTTAAATCCCTATGATTATTGATATTGAATACATTAAACTAATTTTTTTATTTTCAAAGTTGATTCAACGATTCCCATCTCTTTTAAATCATTATCATCTAATGTACTTAATAATGCCCCATCAACAGCATTTTATCTAAAATTTACATCTAAATCCTATAATCCTATAAATTTCAACCAAATGGTGACATCATCCAGTTTCCATTTTTTAGGGTCTTTTGGTAACACTTTATATAAGTCATCATAATCCATATGTAAATAGTAATTATATATAAATTATAAATATATGAATTTGAATTAATAAATAAGATTATTTCAAAAAGCAATACTATTTTTAAGAGTACATTAAAATGAGATTAGGAATAATAAATTGATGGATATACTCTTAAATATTAAAATATATAATTTATTATTCAATTTAAGAGATAATTATTCATATTCATTAATAGGTTCTTTAAATTAGCATATTATTTTGATTTATATAGTAATATAAATTCTATATGAGATTTTCAATATTATTGTATAAATACAAAAATATTCTTAAAGATATCTTTAGTATTATTGATAAGAAATATACAATTTAATTTAATTGTTAAATCTTTTTGAAATAATGAGTTAATTTCTATTACACTCAAATCCTAGTACTATATGAATTTAGAACATCAATTTATTTTATTTAATTTTTAAAATCAAAAATATGCAAAAAGAAAGATGCAATAGTAGGATTACTGATAATATTAAAATAATAGATATAAAATTCTAATTGATTTCTATTAAGTTATATTGTAATTAATAGTATAATTATAAAATCTATTTATTAGAAATAAGAGAATAATACGACAATATAATTTTGGAATAAGTATTATAATTTGTATTTAAATATAAACAATTGAGAATTATTACATATAATAAATTATTTTATAATTATGTCACTTATAGCAAATGATGGTTCAATCGATTGCAATATTTAGACCTTAAATTAATTAATTATGGAATTTTACTTGGCACCCTTTAATTATAAGCATTTTGGTAGTATTCAAGTAAGAATGTTTAAAATGTTTGAAAAAAAGATTGCTTCGGATTAAGAATCTGATATTATAGAAATATTTAAAATATGTTTGAGAGATTATGCTTCTGTATTCTGACAATGCATTATTTAATAGGAATTGCTTTAAGAGTTCTCTGAAGAGAATTTCAAGTAAGTTGAAAATCTGTGGGAAATTCATTATCGTCTTTAAGCTACTAGTCTAAAAACAGAAAGATTGTATGAGATTTATTACGGTTTATTTAAAATTAAAACACCATGTCCTTATGGTACTACCATTATTAATTCTTAAGATTTTTTCCAAATCCATTTTGATATTGCTAAGAAAAAGAGATCAAATTTACAAGATTCAAGAAAGGTGCATCAATAATATATAAAAGAACGCATGAAGTAAAAAGTCACATTAGTAAAGATTTTGTAAGATTAATGTTTATCATAAAAACCTCAACAACAGAATAGTGAATGTAATTAATTGAAATCAATTTAAAAAAATACATAATCTATTCAAAAATAAAAGGATAAACTTCCTACACAATCTACTATTAATGTTAGGAATGAATTTAAAGAGTTTGAAGATCGTTTATCTAAATTTGAAAACAGTTCAAATAAATTAGAACCAACATTTTCAGCTTCATGGACATAAAAATATAGGAATTTATTCTTGAAAAGGAAANTAGTACTATATGAATTTAGAACATCAATTTATTTTATTTAATTTTTAAAATCAAAAATATGCAAAAAGAAAGATGCAATAGTAGGATTACTGATAATATTAAAATAATAGATATAAAATTCTAATTGATTTCTATTAAGTTATATTGTAATTAATAGTATAATTATAAAATCTATTTATTAGAAATAAGAGAATAATACGACAATATAATTTTGGAATAAGTATTATAATTTGTATTTAAATATAAACAATTGAGAATTATTACATATAATAAATTATTTTATAATTATGTCACTTATAGCAAATGATGGTTCAATCGATTGCAATATTTAGACCTTAAATTAATTAATTATGGAATTTTACTTGGCACCCTTTAATTATAAGCATTTTGGTAGTATTCAAGTAAGAATGTTTAAAATGTTTGAAAAAAAGATTGCTTCGGATTAAGAATCTGATATTATAGAAATATTTAAAATATGTTTGAGAGATTATGCTTCTGTATTCTGACAATGCATTATTTAATAGGAATTGCTTTAAGAGTTCTCTGAAGAGAATTTCAAGTAAGTTGAAAATCTGTGGGAAATTCATTATCGTCTTTAAGCTACTAGTCTAAAAACAGAAAGATTGTATGAGATTTATTACGGTTTATTTAAAATTAAAACACCATGTCCTTATGGTACTACCATTATTAATTCTTAAGATTTTTTCCAAATCCATTTTGATATTGCTAAGAAAAAGAGATCAAATTTACAAGATTCAAGAAAGGTGCATCAATAATATATAAAAGAACGCATGAAGTAAAAAGTCACATTAGTAAAGATTTTGTAAGATTAATGTTTATCATAAAAACCTCAACAACAGAATAGTGAATGTAATTAATTGAAATCAATTTAAAAAAATACATAATCTATTCAAAAATAAAAGGATAAACTTCCTACACAATCTACTATTAATGTTAGGAATGAATTTAAAGAGTTTGAAGATCGTTTATCTAAATTTGAAAACAGTTCAAATAAATTAGAACCAACATTTTCAGCTTCATGGACATAAAAATATAGGAATTTATTCTTGAAAAGGAAAAAGTGATTTATTTAAAATAAGAAATAAAGAAAAACATAATCACCTAAAGAGCATTTAATTTCTGAATAGAAAAAGAAATTCGTATTAATATTTATTGTTTCAATAAATCCTTATAATATACATAGTTTTAAACTATTGTTTTTTAATGCATTATTATTTAACAATTTAATAATATATATATAATAATCTAATATTTATCAATAAGATTCAAAAAAAATAACATTTCCTTGATATATAATTTTAATAATATTATAAATAATAATCTAAGAATTTTCTACATATTAAGTGATTAATCTATTTATTGATGATATTCTTTTTTTAACAATTAACAATATATTATACATCATTGAAGATAATACTAAAATATAAGTATAATCTTTAATGAATGATTAAAATTGAAATCTTTTATAAAATATTTTACAAATTAATATTTATACAACACAAATTATAAAACGAAATTTCATACATAATATTATTATTCTAATAATTAATACATCTATTTTAGATTTAATTATTGATTTTACAAAAATTACTTTTATAACTACAACTCCTATTATTATTTTTAATAAATATCAAATAAGTAGGTGAAAATAAAAAGAATTTAGATTGATAAATGTATTTCTTATATATATTACTAATTCAATCAAATACTTTAATACGTAATCTAAATAATTAAAAAATCTCAATTAATCATCTTGATATTTAAACCATATACATATTCTAGGAGTATAAAAAGATAATTTAAATACAAGAAATTTATACTATTTGGTGTTCAACAATTTTTTAATTACAAATTGTATATAGAAAAATGCTGAGATCTTTAGTCAAATGAAGAAAAAATTCTTGTTCTATTAGTCAAGAAATTTAATCTAACATATCTATTTCAATATCACTCTTGAATAATTAACAACCAGATTTTTTAGATAGTACTTACATATTCTATTTCCTGTTTTGAATAAGGAAAAATATTATAAATTATTTTTATACGTATATAATTGTATTTTTAACATTATATAAAATATATATTATTATTTGAATGATTACTGATTATATGGTATATTAAATATTGTTCGGTTTTATGAAATTATTCTTAATTTAAAGGTTTCATATGACATTTAAGAAGTTTAATAAGTTTTTGATAAAGATGTGAGATCATTCATTATCTAATATAATTATAGTATTAAACGAATCTAAATTTTTTTGCTAAATTTAAATAATGGATTAAAAATCATCTGCTTTTCATTTATACAAATAAACTCTAATTAGACGTACTACAGTGCCCATTTCTTAAGTTTATTCTTATGATGCTAAAGATGTAAATATTTTTGCTATGTATAAATTTAGAAAATTGGACAAGGAGCTTATGGAAGTGTTTTCAAAGCAATACATAAGGTTTCAAAATAAGTGAGAGCTGTAAAAGTGATCAATAAACTCAACATTAAATACAAAGAAAGATTATTAAATGAGATAACAATAATGGAGCTATTAGTATGAAAATAACATTAGCAATTTAAGGATCATCCAAATATATTGAGAGTATTTGAAACATTTGAAGATAATGAAAATTTATATATGATCTTAGAGTAAGATATGAATTTTAGCTAGAATCTGTTAAGGTGGTGATGTTTTTGATAAAGTGTTAGAAAAAGGAAATCTATCAATTGATGAAGCATTTAAAGTTTATATTCAATACATGAGAGCTGTTAATTATTATTAGAGCTTCAAAATTGTACATAGGTATATATTATATAAATTATAGGGATTTGAAACCTGAAAACTTTTTGTTTTAAAAAAAGGATGATATGAATACTTTAATTGTAATTGATTTTGGAATTGCCAAAAGAGGTGTAGATAAATTAAAAACTAAAAGTGGCACAGTATACATTTAATTAATTATATATAGGCATATTATGTTGCTCCTGAAGTATTAGAAGGATCTTATGATTCAAAATGTGATATCTGGTCATCTGGAGTCATATTATATGTTATTTTATGTGGATATCCACCATTTTATGGAGAAAATGAAAAGGAAATATTAACTGAAATAAGAAATGCTTAATTATAATTCGAAGGTTGTTATTGATAATTATACTATAGGTGATGAATGGCTTTAAATACCATAAGAAATTAAAGATTTCATTAAACTTTAGATATGTCATGCAGGTTAAAGATTAACACCAAAGGAATTGTTATCAAATAAACTAGTAGAAAAATTCAATTAAAAATTTTAAATTGATTAAAAATTGATTTCCATGTTGACAATAACATAATGGGTAAAGTTTCATCCATTGAAAAGATTGGGTTTATACTATTTAGCAACCTAAATCAATTCATCAGATCTTAAATAATAGAAAATGGCATTTTTCTTAATTAATACTTCTTAATCTGGGTTAATTACTTAAACAGAATTAGCATCATATTTAAAGGTGAACAAATAGGATATATAAAAAATATGGTCTTATTTAGATTGCAACAATAACGGTTATTTAGATTACTTTGAATTTATTGCAATTACTTTGACTCCACAAGATTATAATAATCATTTACAATTAATTTTTGATTTTTTAAGTTAATAAGAAAAACTTATCACACAAAAAACTATAAAATCAATTTTTGATTAAAATGCTAATTTAGACTAGAAATGGATTTCAATATCAGATACAAAAAGTAATCATCAAAATACACATGATCACCAAGTTAATGTTAAAAATATTTTAGAAAAAGATGTTGATTTTGCTGGTTTCAAAACCTTAATGGGATGAAGTATATTATAAAATAGTTTTAAATATATTATATATTTATAATAATGATTCTGTCTTAGATGACAAAGTAATCAAAAAAAGATTGAGTATATTTTATCCATATTTCTGGATTTTTTAAATTATTTCATATTTATAAATAAATTAATAAATTATCTATTTAACATAATAAATTGAAATTTTACAACTATTAATGTAATCAAACATAAATTTATTAAATAATCACAATCTAAACTTTATTTAGAACTTTAGATTTAACTTAATATCTGATAAATTAAATGAAGAAATGTAAGAAACAACAATTTTCATATGAAATTTTAATAGGAATTCTTTTTATTTTTATGAAATATTAAAATATATATATTTGTAGTAAAAAATAAGAATAAATGATTCTAATGAAGTTATTATTAGAGTTGACAATTATATTCTATATAATCTAATTGTAAAATAATTATTAAACATTTTTAAGCAGTCTAATTTTTTAACGCTCAAAGAATAAATTGCTATTAAAAATAAAATTGTTTATAAATGTAATATACTATTTGATTAGATTGCTATAAATTAGTTGCAAAAAAGAAATAAAATGTTGAGATAATAAAGACCTTATATATATATTTAAATTTAATAAAGTTGGATATTGATCATATAGGTTTCTAAAGATTGCAAAGGTTAAAATAAGATATCCATCATATTTTTTTCTTATTCTGATGAATTTAATTTGATTATATTATGTCAATTTATGATTCAAATACGTAATAAAGATTTCTAATATACAATATATTTTAGGATTCTTTTGATTTAGAAAAAATTAAAATGAGCAGAACAGGTCTGATTATTGATGAGTTTGAAAAATTCTCTTCTGAAATTTCGAATAGAAAGGTTTCTACTAGAAAAAATAGACCTATATACACTTAAACAATAAGCGTAAAACGATACCATAAAATACCCTTAAGAACTTAATAAATGCTTTTTGAACAGGTATTTAAAAATGGTAAAAAGATAAAACAAGTATTTGTATTTTTTAATTTTAAGGCAGCAAAGGAATTAAGAATGAATTATTCAAGTGCTAAGTCATTAATCCATTATTATAAAACTGAAAAGAGGCCAATACCAGATTAAGTGAAAAACTTGATTGTTAAGAAAAAGTAAGCATAAATTTGCTCAATAGAGAAAAAAAATGAACAACATCTCACTCTATTTGTAGAAATAAAAATCAATCATGAAATAATTAACTCTTACAACTACTTTCAAAAACTTCATAATGAAGTTAAAGAAGAAACAATTTGATATAATTAGAATAATTTTTAACTGTAATTTGAGTTTTCGTTCTTCTTAACGCCAACTTCCATTTAATTTTTTCTTATAACATTTTTAATTAAGTTGTTTATCAAATAATATTTTTTTAATTATATATAATATGACCCAAAAAGGGTTGCTATATTTAATGCAACTTTTAGAATTCTATTATGATTTTTTGGAATGACATTTTTGAGAATATGTTTTTGAATTTAGTAATTCAATAAACAATAAATCAATAAAGAGTTTAAATATTCTGTTCATGAAGTTAATCTAGATTTATAATTAATTAATTAAATAATTTTTATGTCATAAACTATTAATATACATAATTTATTTATTAATACCTATTCTATTCTATATATGTTATAAAATAGTTTGCATCCAATTATTATACTATTAACCATTATATGAGTTTTATTAATATAAATGATAAAAGAGTTTTTATAACTATTAAATCATTTTTTAGATAGAAGTAATAGGTTCTGCACTTAATGTTTTTAGTTTGATCATCTATATCGTTTGATTATCTATATCATTTGATTATCAATATTGATTATAAGAATTATTAATTTTTAAGTAAATAAGGTTGTGAATTAGTTTTCTAAATGATGGTTGCTTAGTCTTATTAAGAGGAGAGTAATAATTAATTATGACAAACGAATGAAAGTTGTTATTTGAAGCAATGGATGAAATTTAATTAAATTAAATAATAATAAGGTTAATGAACTTGAATAATGTATATAATGTAGTTGAAGAAGCTATGGATAAATTATTGGAATATTTACATTAGAATAAATATATATGTTAAGATTACAATTAACAAAATGAGTTTAGAAACAAATTTAAGTAAATAGTTGAAGATTCTAAAAATTATCAAAGTGAACAAACAGAAGAAGACATTAGTGAATTAGATTTCTATTTATAAAACCCAATTAATAGAAAAAGACATTAATCTTTTAGAATATTCAATCCATTGGTATTTTTAGCAAAGGAGATAAGATAGCATGAATAAATTTGATTTATAATATGTTAGTACTAGTATTATGTATGTGAATATAATATATATATATATATAATTTTGATAATCAAATGTTAGTATGATTATTTAGGAAATTGGTTAGGTGAAAAATATAATTAAATTTAATGAGTAATTTAAGTGAGGATGAGAATGAAGTAATGCAAGTTGAATTGGCAAGTGATGAAGAATAAAGAGCAGAAGAAAAAGATGAACGAATAATAAAGTTAGAGCAAGACAAAAAGAGTTTCATGAGTTCAATAATGTAGAGTGGAAGATTGAATACAAATGTAAAGATAAATTATACTAAAATAGTTAAAATTTGATAATATAGAGTCAAAGATAAATACATTATTAGAAAATGCTGAAAAATATGCTATGTTTCTTTTACATCGACATAAGAGAACATAAGAGAATAAGCAAAGGGTTTAGTCTTAATAAAGAGGAAAACATAGATAAATAGTTGAAGATGGTAGTGAGGAAGAAGAATTTGATGATACTCCTACAGTATTGGAATAACAGCCTACTATTTTAAAAGGAGGATAATTGAAATCATATTAATTGACAGGATTAAATTGGATGATATCTTTATTTGAAGAAGGGATCAATGGAATTTTAGCTGATGAAATGGGTTTAGGCAAAACAATACAAACTATAGGATTTCTTGCTTTCTTAAAAGAGTATTAAAAGATTAGTGGACCTTTTTTGATTGTAGCACCAAAATCAACATTAGGTAATTGGATGAGAGAATTTAAAATATGGTTACCTTGCATGAGAATAGTAAAATTGATAGCAATTAAAGAAGAAAGAGATGAAATATTGAATAGATATTTTTAACCAGGTAAATTTGATGTTTGTTTAACAAGTTATGAAGGAGTCAATATTTGTTTAAAACATATAAGAAGATTTCAATATAAATATATTATAATAGATGAGGCACACAAAATAAAAAATGAAGATGCAATTATTAGTTAGAATTTACGTAAGATTAGAACTAATTATAAATTATTATTGACAGGAACACCATTATAGAACACTCCACATGAATTATGGAGTTTATTGAATTACTTATTACCTGATCTATTTGATTCTTCAGAAGTCTTTGATAAATGGTTTGAGGTAAATACTGAAGCAAAATTAAAAGAAGGAAGTGAAACTATTCATTAAGATGAATTAGAATAAAGGAATTTAGAAATGGTCTAAAAATTCTAAAAGATATTAAGACCATTTATGCTTAGAAGAACCAAAGCTGAAGTAGAAAGAATGCTACCTCCAAAATAAGAAATCCATTTATTTATTAAAATGTCTAATTTATAGAAATAGATGTATTAAAATATTCTTATTCACAATAATCCACATGAGGGAGAAGATAAAGGCTTTTATATGAATAAACTTATGTAATTACGTAAGATTTGTTTACATCCTTATTTATTTCCTGAAGTGGAAGATAAATCATTACCTGTATTAGGAGAACATCTAGTGGAAGTCAGTGGTAAAATGAGAGTATTAGATAAATTTTTAAAGAAATTAAGTGAAGGCTAACATCAAATTCTAATCTTTTCATAATTTACTTCAATGTTGAATATTCTTGAAGACTATTGTAATTTTAGAGGCTTTTAATATTGCAGAATAGATGGAGAAACTGAAATTTAATAAAGAGATGACTAGATTGCTGAATTTACATCTCCAGACACAAAAAAATTCATATTTTTATTGTCAACTAGAGCAGGTGGTCTTGGTATCAATTTGGCTACTGCAGATACTGTTATTATTTATGATTCAGATTTTAATCCCTAAATGGATATGCAAGCTATGGACAGAGCTCATAGAATTGGATAAAAGAATAGAGTAATGGTTTATAGGATGGCTTGTGAACATACTGTAGAAGAGAAGATTATAGAAAGATAATAAATTAAATTACGTTGGGATTCACTTATGATTTAATAAGGAAGACTTCAATAGAAACAAACTGGAAAATTATTATCTAAAGAAGATTTAAAAGAGATGACAACTTATGGTGCATCACAGATTTTCAAATTGGATGGAGATGATATCAAAGATGAAGATATTGATATATTACTTAAAAGAGGTGAATAATTAACTAAAGAAATGAATGAAAGAATTGAAAAGAAATTTGAAACTTTTAAAGATAAAGTTTCATCTTTAGATTTAGGATTGGGACAAATCAATATCTTTGACTATTTTGATGAAGCTAAAAGAAATAAAGAAGATGAAGAAGCATTGGAAGATGCCCTAGTCAATCATCTAATGTAAGATAATAAAACCAGAAATAGAGACAAGAAAGCTATGATGATTGGAACCAACTCTAAAAAGATTTAAGGTAAATAAATTAAGCTTTCTGAACATCATCTCTATGAAAACAAAGATAGATTATAGTTTTTGTTATAAAAAGAGGAAGATTTTCTTGCATAACAGAAAACTTAGAAGAAAGCTACAGAAAATGACCATAATGTTGATTTTGGTGGTCTGACTACAGAAGAGCGTTAGGAATAAAAAAGATTACTTGAAACAGGTTTCAAGAATTGGAATAAACAAGAGTTTTAAGACTTCATTATTGCTAATGAAAGATATGGAAAAGATGCTTATGATAAAATTTAAGATGTTATCAAAACTAAAACAATAGATGAAATCAAAGTTTATGCTCAAGCCTTTTGGGAAAGAATTGATGGATTAAGTGAAAAAGATAAAATTGTTAAGTAAATTGAGAGAGGACAAAAACTAATTGAACAAAAAACTAATGGTTAAAAATTAATTGAAGAGAAATGCAAACATTTTCATTAACCAAAATATGAATTAGTCTTTACTCCTTAACTCTATAATAAATTTAAAAGCAAATATTTCAGTTTAGAAAATGACAAATTCTTGATATACATGACCAATGAAGTTGGATATGGTAATTGGGGATAATTGAAATAATCAATAAGAAAAGATATCACTTTTCGATTTGATCATGCCTTTAAATGCAAAAGTGAAAATGAACTCAAAAATAGAGTTATTTCCCTTGTTAAAGTACTAGATAAAGAAAAAGAAAATAATTCTATGGGAAGATCTATTGTTAAAAACACTTAAATTGAAAAGCCAAAAGTTGTATAAGAAACTCAAAAAAAGAAAATATAAAATGATGATGAAGAAGTTCAAGAAGAATCTGAATCTATTAAAAAGGTTAAATTATGATATATATTTTAATATATATATTTATAAATTAATAATAAATAAATATCTTAAAGAAAATTTCTAATTCAAAAAAGTAAATTCAATTTCATATTATCTAAAAATTGTTCATTAATAATAAGAGAATGAAATTTTGCTATTTTTACTTTAAAAATATTGAAGTAATTAGTTTAATGAAATATTTTAATTCCAAATTCAATAATTAAATTAGAATTAAGTTACTTTCAGAGAAGTCATGTCAGATAAAGTTTAAGGAATGAGAACTAACAGTAATTCAGTAATACAGAAATACCTTCTTTTTCTTAGAATGACTATTCTACAACAGAAACAAATTAAACGAATAAAAACTTTTTATGACTCAAAATTACTATGCGTTAGAAAATAAATTATAACTAATCACATTTTTTAAGGATAATATAATAAAATTTATAAATAAAATTAGTAATTATTAGTAATCAATGAGCGATTATGTATTAATTGTTAAAATTTAAACAAAATAAATTGAAAATCTAAAGATCGAATAAATTTAACATGAATAAGTTTTGAAAGCCTCATAATTTTTATCCAACTAATTACATTTTTTAGTATCAATTTAAAAACTTATAGAATCTAAGTTATATATTAAACAAAGAAGCAAAAGTTGCATATTATTAGAATGCCAAGAACCAATTCAGATTAACGAGTTTAAGAATTATTTACTACAGTTCCATATAGAATTTAGTCTTATAAAACAAAAAAAAGTAGATATTTAGATGTGTTTTTGAACCACAGATATATAGATAAATAAAAGTGAAAAACTAAGATAGTCATAGATGAACAACTTTAAGGACAATAAGTCTAAGATTTGTCTATGATTGATAAAAAGGATTTTAGTTAAGTTAGTTTATGTCTATTCTGATTGAGTATATACTTATTATAATTATTTATTTTATGCGCAATCGTATTTTAAGTAAGGATGACGATAATGTTAAGGAATATTTCTCACCATAAAAACGAAAACAAGATAATACTGTCCAAGTTTGGCAAGGGTATATGTCAATAGCTCTGAATAGCACAGAAGCAGGAGTCAGACAATTTTTATCATAGATGAGAAGGAATGGGAGCTTTTAATAAATAGAGAAAAAATAAAAACCTGTAATTACTGAATAAGAATAATATCTGGAAACTCCAAATCATAGTATTGTAAAATCTCTTGATCCTCAATTTCCTCCTTTCATAAGAAAAAGCAAGGATATCACAAGTTATGAATTTCTATCTTAGATTTATGAGTTGCATAATAGAAAAGCAAGAAATCAATCATTAATAGAACAAATTATTGGAAAAACAAATAATGAAATTATTGTATTTCCTAAAACAATTCATAGAAAGAATATATAAAAAAGATCATAACGTTGTCAATCAGTTGCATAAAAAGACATTGAATTGGACAGTATAAAGGGACAATTAATCTAAGTAAAATAAGTTTAAGTTTAACCCTTGCCAAAAGAGACTACTCCAAAACCGTTGAAGAGATTAATACCAATAATCAAATTAGAAAGGACTACTTCCCCTATTAAAAAAGCCATAGCTCCATAATCCTAAACTAAAAAAAAAGTTTTAATTGATGATACTAGATATTGGGATATAGGTTATCTAAAATTTATATAATGCCCCAGTGTATTAGAAATTAATTAAATCATAAATTTTACAAATGCACTGCAAGTTTTACCGGCTTAGCATTAAAAATATTATAAACTTTATGTTGGTCGAGGAAATAATCATATGATGGTGAAAAGTATTTTCAGTATGAGAGCATAATGGACTGTAGGTGGAAATTTAGAAGAAGATGATTTAAATTTTATTTGGACTCAAAAATTTGTTGATTTTCCTTAATCTGAAATTAAATCAATCTAAAGATCAATTTCAAATGAAACTATTGAAGGATGGATTGATTCAAATGATTAAACTTTAATTAGATAAGCTTGGGATCGTGTGGAAGGAAAATCGAAGAAGAAACTTGCAGATTATAATCTTGAAAGTCAACCCATACTTAATAATGTAAGGAAATAACCATATTTTATAGTTAAGTAATGTAAAAGAGTTACTAACAATTAATCATTAAAATTAATCAATTAGAATTCATAATCATTTAAAAGAAGGAAATTAATTAGGAGATAAGAAATTCTTATTCTTAAATTTAAGCAAACATTGTTAAGAGAATGAGATTGATTTGTGGACTTTAATTCCTTTGACATATCATATATAAGGTCCGAATGATGAATCCTTTTATCTTTTTAAGAAAAAATTTGAAGAGGTTTCTGTTGATTCATAATTTAAAAATATATGGATTATCAAACCTGGAGAAGATAGTAATAGAGGTTAAGGAATTAAAGGTATTTTAATTTTAATTTTAATAGTATGTAATAATCTAAATGAAATTTATCAACATATTTCTTAATAGAATCATACATTCATTCTATAAAAATATATTGAGAATCCATTTCTTTATTAAAAGAGGAAATTTGATATAAGAGGATATTGTCTAATAACAATAATAAATGGTGCAAAAAAAGGTAGTGATCATTTTAATAAGTAGATAGTATTTTGGTATAAGAAGGGATACCTCCGTACATCAAGTAGTTTATTTAGTTTAGATTCACTTGATAATTAGAAAATACATCTTACTAATGATGCAATTCAAAATAAAATGAATGGATATGGAAAATTTGAGAAAGGTATTTGACATTTTTATATATATTATAGGTAATAAGGTATCATATGAACAATTTTAGAACTATTTACTCGAATAAAATAAATAAAATAATACCAATTATAGTTTCGAAGAACTTTATAAAAATATGAAAGTAAAATATAATAAAAAATAATATTATTAGTAATTGACTAAAATAGCATGTGCTTCTAGTATTAATTAAATAAATAATACTGATTAAGTTTTAGGATTTGAATTATATGGTTTAGATTTTATGATTACTAATGAATTTAAACCAATCTTAATAGAATTTAATACAAATCCCTGTATTGAAACAGGTTGTCCAGTATTAGCTAAAATAATTTCTGGATTATTAGATAATTTATTTAGGTAAATTAATTTAATTTGTTGAGGTTCATTATTGATCCACTCTTTCCTGCTAAAAAAACAAATCTTGATGATTTTAACAGTAAAAATGATTTTGAATTATTATTATAATCATAATTATTATGAAGAAACGTATCTAAATTTATAAAATGAAAAAAATAATCAATTTATGTACTCGATAAATTAATTTATTTAAAATTGCTGATATGAAATCCACTAATATGAAAAAAATAGGAAATTTAAGTAAAAAGTTAGATTTTTTCTCATCTCCAGTAGAATTGATGATTCATAAGAAGAGAGCTCATCAATCATTATTTGGAGCATTCATGACATTATTAATGTTTTCTTGTGTTTTAACTTACATTATTAACAAGTTTGTGTAATTAGGATAAAGAAAAGAATTTTAAACACTATATTCAGAGGTATACTATGAGGAAATTCCGGTATTCCCATTATAATCTAAGAATTTCTCATTATAATTTGCATTTTAAACGGACAATTAAACAAACTACATTGATAAATCTATATACTAAGTCAAGGCTGTAATGGTTAATAGAGCATAAGTTATGTAAGTTTTTTAATTTATAAAAGGGTTGATAACAAAACAAATTTGTAGTTAACTAAAACTGAAATTCCTTTATAAAAATGTGGTAAAATAGGGATTCCATATGAAGAAATATCAGACCAACTTGATAATGTTGATATTGAAAATACATATTGTTTAGATTGGAACAATATCAAAGATCTTAGTTTAATTGGAACACCAGAATAAGAAAACTATACTTACATATATATAAGCTTTCAATCATGTGTAAATGACACTAGCAATAGTAATTTTTTAAATACTATATAGTAAATAGCCAAGTTTGTAAATCTAAGGAAGAAATTTAAGAAAAACTACATCGTAATTATATTTTATTCCAATTGTCTTCATACAATATTGACTTAAGAAATTACTTAAAACCAAATGTACCAAAAGTTGAAGAAATTTAAACTACAATTTCAAGTCAAGTTATGAAAGATATTACTTTATTCATGTAACCTATAACAACTTTGACTGAAGAAGGATTATTAAATGGATTAGTGCGTAAAGATTCAACAATTAGATATTAGAAAACTTAAGAAGTTATAGATTTTAATAGTGATGAAGCTCTTGCATCAGTTTTGATTAGATTGGCAAATACAGAGAATATCAGTTATAGAATTTATCCTAAATTATAAGATATTTTAGCTTAAGCAGGTGGTTTATGGGAAATTCTAATGCTTGTTTTTACTATTTTGGTTAAACCTTTTTAATCTTTGTCTTATAAATTAGCTGTTATTAATAATCTTTTTAATTTTGAAGGATAAAAATAATAAAATGATATTGAAGATGGTGGAAAATAAATCTTAAAGAAATTGACTATGGTTTAAGAGAATGTTTAGACTTATGAAAATGATCCTTCAATTATGTTAAATTAATCAAAAATTAAAACTTCTATTAGATTCCCTAGAGGTAGAACTAAAAGTAAACATTAAAAATTAGAATAAATTAATTCTACTTAAACAGAGAAATCTTCTTAAATTGTTACAAATTCACCTGAAAATGACAAATTAATTTAAAAGGGTATTAGATTTGCTTTAAGGAAATTATTTAATATAGCAACACTAAAATTATAACTCAGTCCAATTGATTATATAAAATATTTAAAGTGTGGGTAATTTTATATTTTGATTTTATAGAAAAAAGGAAGGAAAATTTAAATAAATGTAATATTCAGTCAATAAATTAGAGAAATGTTTAGATATACTCTTTATTATAGATAAATTATAAGAAATTGATAAACTTAAAACAATTTTATTGACAAAGTAATAAGTACAACTTTTTGATTTTTTACCTAAACCTTTGATTTCTTTAGATCCTAGTAATTTGTAATAAAATGAAAATATAATGTATTCTTCATTATTGAAACCATATAAAACTTAAAGAGAAAAAGCACATGAAGCATAATAAGTTTTGGATGATTTACTTGAAAATTTAGATGATCCAATTACTATAAAACTTATTTCTTTGATGGATCCTAATATTTTTAAGCTTCTATAAATTTAATTGGATCTAAAAAAGAGATAAGTTTCTAAATTAATCACACCTGATGTTATTGAATCATGAATAAATATTTTTAAATTATAATTTATTGAATTCATTATTCTTTCTGAGATCTATACTGAATTGACTCTTAAGACCCTTCTCGATAATCTGATTTTTCTTTTATTACACTATTCTAGACAGTTCCATCAAAATACTTCTTTTATTCAGCCTACTTTGTCATTTGCTCATATTAATACTGTCTTTACTGTTAATCCTATTTAATTTTGGCGACAACTGAATTACTAATAGATAGAAATTGTTATTTAGCTCTACTAGTTCTATTCCTTTCTTCATATTCAGATATTAAAACATTAACAACTTCTTTATCTAAACATGCTATTAATTTTTATGTAATAGGATTATTTTCAAAATCTACTAGAAGTTCTTCAAAAGCTATTGATGCTTATTTTGCTTTTTCTTCAAATGATTTTTGTGGAGTGAGTATTGAAGAATGAAATTAAAATTCTTCTTATTCTGGACTAAATGGATCTAAATAAATTGTTGGTTTTGGTAAATATTCAAATAAATTCATTTAAGCTTTGTTGAATAAAATAAGTTTAAGTTTATCAATTTCTTATAATTTATCTATAATAAAGAGAATATCTAAAAATGATTCATATTTCTTAATAGAATAATCTAACTAATCCATTTTTCTCTTTTTTGGTCGATAAGTTAGATACTGAACATATTCTTTAAATTTTATTTTTATATTAGATGATACTAAAGTAAACAGAGACCGTGCTTCATTAATTCTTTCATTTTATGTTAATCTTTCTATAAAACCACTAGATTTAGAACCAATAATAGATTATTATCTACCTTATGGGAATCTTTTAGAGACTGCTTATTTAATTTTAGATTTTGGTTTTAAATCAGGTCCAGTTTGTTAAATAGTTTTAATATCAGTTTATGTTGGTAAAAGTGTTTTAGTTGGTTTTAGTTCATTAATATCTTCATTAGATGGAGCATGTTTTTATTGTTTTTTAGATGGTTCTTATTCAAAATTAAAAAGTTTGTTAATAATCTCAATACTATATGCTAATTCACTAAAAGGTTTTTAGAGAAATAATGCTACTGCAATAATGATTTACCATAATCCTCCTGCAGCAGCCAAAACATCTTACACTTTCGGATAGATTCTATAACTTACTTATTCAGTATCAGATAAACGAATTACAACATTTGCTAATGATGTATCAGTATTAAAATCAATAATTTCTTTATCATAAAAATACCTGATTGTAGTATCCTTACGAAGTTCCTTTTAAAAATAACCAAAATCGGTTATTGTAGTTATAGGTTACATGAATATTTCAACATCTTTGGTGACTTTGGCTGATATAGTTGTATAAATGTCTTCTACTTTTGGTATTAGTGGTTGTGTGAAATCTCTCAAATTAACTATATATGATGTCAATTAAAAGTGAATGTAATTTCTATTCAAAACTCTTTGAATTGTCTCGCTATCTGCACAAACAACACCAGGTTCTTTTATATAAATATATAAAATAATTACTTGAACCATTCTAACAAACACTAAAACTCACATTAATATATTAATATTCTGGAGCATCATCAGTTCCAAATAATGCCAAACTATCAACCTTACTCCAATCTAAACAATAAGTATTAGAAAGATCTTAATCATCAAATTATTCTGCCAATTCATCTTGGATTATACCATTCTTTGAACATTTTGAGATTGGGATCAGTGATTTATTATTATATTCTTTCTTCTTTCCATTAATCCTTTTAATAACACTATATTAAATACTCAATTATTTATTTATATACAAGATAAGCTTCAGGTATGTATATGCTTTCATTAATGTAATTTGTTTTGTTCTAATATTGAAAAGCAAATTATAATGTGAAGTTTTCTTCTGTTAGCTTATAATAAGGTGGCTCTAAATGAAAGATGTCCGAATATAGAGTTTAAAATTCAGTTCTATCATCAATTTGACTGAGTTTGTTTGTCAGATAAAATAGAATTGATAGAACACATCCAAGAGTTGTAAAAGCACCTAAATATGTTTAATATCCCCTCTTTTTTTAAATAAACAGTTGGACTGGGCATGCAAACTTGTCTAGGTAAAGAAAATAAGATTTTATTAATTCTAAATTCATAAATATTAATTTAAGATAACCTACTCTCTAAAATTCATATCATAATGTTTTGAAAATACCATAATAAATTTTAATTAAATATAACATATATTCATTCATGATTCACTTGTATTGGTTGCTAGCAAAACATGAAATCATGATAATTCAATCTTTATTATTAATACAAACAATATCAACAAACTTAGTATTGTTGTTTTTGTCAATTTATTAACAAATTCTGCTAATTCAAATAATTTATATATTAATGCGGTTTTGCTGAGATATTCATATAATTTTATATAATAATTTTACATCTATATTTTTAATTTAAATTAGACATTTGACATCTTAATATGATATTAATATGAAAATATTCTAATTAATCATAAATATTTCAGAGATTATAGGTTTAATACTAAAATTTTTGATTAATTTCTAAATACAATCTATAAAACTACAAGTATCTATTGTGTATAATTAAATATCTTAACAATATCTCACAAATATTATGGTAAAATCAATTTTATATATGGAAATCCATGTTCTATTTAATAAAATATTATAAATTTTATAAATATCTCTCCATAATTAATCAAATTTATACCAAACCAAAATTACTTCTAAGTCTACTTCTTTTAATTGTAAATCAAATTCAATATATTACTTCTCATCTTTCAACCTTTAATGCAATTTTATCAAATCAAGTCTATTATATATTTTAATCCAATGAAAAATTACTCCTCCATCATTGATAACAAATTATTTATAACATTATCCTTTAAAAATAGTATTTAATTAATCAAAAAAAAGTTTTTTTTTCTAAAATTTTGTAACTATTTTAAGTTATTCTTTTTTTAGATGGATCAAACTTTATATAATGTCAAATCTTGATATCTTGTGATATAAAAAAACATATGAGATAATTAGTTAATACCAATATTCTTTTTATTTTCATATGTTTGAATTAATTCTATTTAATTGTATTCTGTTAAGAAACTTTTAATTAAAATTAATTGTTATAATAATTTAATATATAAATTTTATAATTATATAATTTGAAAAATGGATCAAAATGAAAAAGAGATAGATGAAGAACAATTTAAAAAAGAATTTGAAGAGAAAGTAGAAAAAAGAAAAATATGGTTGATGGAAGAATTAAAAAGTTGTGGAAAATTTTTAGATGTAAGTGCAAAGAAATTAGATGATCTCGATGCTTTGACTGTATTTTTTTATTTTGAATTAGATTGCTCTCTATCTTCATGAATGTCAAACCGAATTGACTTTATTTCATATAGCAGCCAACTCTATTACAGATCGTGGATTTATTGATATGTTAACAGGATTATAATGGCATGATAAATTAAAAGAAATTTATATTGGAAATAACTAAATTAGTGAAGTAAAAAAGTATATATAATTAAAGATTGGTGTATAAGGATTCGTTGAAATNGATATTAATATGAAAATATTCTAATTAATCATAAATATTTCAGAGATTATAGGTTTAATACTAAAATTTTTGATTAATTTCTAAATACAATCTATAAAACTACAAGTATCTATTGTGTATAATTAAATATCTTAACAATATCTCACAAATATTATGGTAAAATCAATTTTATATATGGAAATCCATGTTCTATTTAATAAAATATTATAAATTTTATAAATATCTCTCCATAATTAATCAAATTTATACCAAACCAAAATTACTTCTAAGTCTACTTCTTTTAATTGTAAATCAAATTCAATATATTACTTCTCATCTTTCAACCTTTAATGCAATTTTATCAAATCAAGTCTATTATATATTTTAATCCAATGAAAAATTACTCCTCCATCATTGATAACAAATTATTTATAACATTATCCTTTAAAAATAGTATTTAATTAATCAAAAAAAAGTTTTTTTTTCTAAAATTTTGTAACTATTTTAAGTTATTCTTTTTTTAGATGGATCAAACTTTATATAATGTCAAATCTTGATATCTTGTGATATAAAAAAACATATGAGATAATTAGTTAATACCAATATTCTTTTTATTTTCATATGTTTGAATTAATTCTATTTAATTGTATTCTGTTAAGAAACTTTTAATTAAAATTAATTGTTATAATAATTTAATATATAAATTTTATAATTATATAATTTGAAAAATGGATCAAAATGAAAAAGAGATAGATGAAGAACAATTTAAAAAAGAATTTGAAGAGAAAGTAGAAAAAAGAAAAATATGGTTGATGGAAGAATTAAAAAGTTGTGGAAAATTTTTAGATGTAAGTGCAAAGAAATTAGATGATCTCGATGCTTTGACTGTATTTTTTTATTTTGAATTAGATTGCTCTCTATCTTCATGAATGTCAAACCGAATTGACTTTATTTCATATAGCAGCCAACTCTATTACAGATCGTGGATTTATTGATATGTTAACAGGATTATAATGGCATGATAAATTAAAAGAAATTTATATTGGAAATAACTAAATTAGTGAAGTAAAAAAGTATATATAATTAAAGATTGGTGTATAAGGATTCGTTGAAATTTCAAGTAGTTTCAAATAATTGAAAATATTAAGCATGAGTGCTTGTTCAATAGATGATACTACATTTATTTCTTTATGTTATGCACTTCCAGAATTGAAGAATTTACAATAATTATAAGTTCCAGGTAATAATATTTCTGATTTCGGTATTTTTATCTGATTGATAAATAGGATTGATATGTTTCTCTTCTTTATTAGCTGCTAATTGTCTACCTAATTTGACTGTTCTACATTTTGGAAATAATCCTTTGACTTCTAAATCATTAGTACCATTTTTTTAGGCCTTTAAAAAGAATAAAACTATCAAAATCTTATATATGAATGATATTGGAATGGATTTATAAACTATAAGGCAAATGGCATAATGTTTGAAAAAGAATAAAATATTAGAGGAATTAAATTTAGGGAATACTGGATTTTCAGATTCAGCAGCTTAGATTCTTTGGCCAAATCTTAAATATCTAAGAACTTTGCATTTATGGAATAATCATCTTACAGATAAAGCAATATTTGAATTTATTAATGTGTTAGAGAGATAAGAATTAAGCTTGACTTATTTGGGATTATAGGATAATGCAATAGAAGAAGTAGATCTTATTGAAGATCTGAATGCTTTATTAAAGTAGAATGAATTGATTGAGTAATTAACTGAATAAATAGAAAATAATGGTAAGGAAGAAAATGAAAAAAAATCAATTTAAGAAATGGTTGATAATACTAAATTGGAAGAGATTGAGGAGAAATTAGAAGAACTTGATAAATTAAGCACTTAATAGGTAATGGATGAAGAAGAAGAGGTTAATGAATTGTAAGGAAAATTGAAAACAAAAAAACAACCATAAGAGGAATGATGGATATCTGTGATGGAATGAAAATTAAGATTTAAATATTTTTTAAATAATGGTTATCAAGACAGATTTGTGCTCCTTTAGTGAATGGAGAATCTACCCTGGACATGGAAGAAGATTCGTAGCCAAGGATGGCAGACTCTTCTATTACTTGAATTAAAAGAGCAGAGCTTTTAGTGCAAGAAAAGTATTCAATCTCATAATATATAGATTAAATCTCAAGAAATTCAATGGACTGTTGCTTGGAGAAGATTAAACAAAAAGATTAAGACAGATGAAGGAGCTAAGAAGAGAAGAATCAGAAATCTTAAAGTCTAAAGAGCTATTGTTGGTATTTCATTGGAAGAAATCAGAAGAAGAAGAAAGGAAGATGACAGTAATAATATACTCATAATCCTTAGAAACTAGAAAGGCATAAGCTGAATAAGCTGCAAGAGAAATTAAAGACAGAAAACAAAAGTAAATTGAAACTCAAAAGAAGAAACCTGCTGCAGCATAAAAAGTAGCACAAAAAGCTGAAGTCAAAGCTTAACAAAAAGCATAAAAAGGTGCTGCTAAAGCCAACAAAGGTAAAAAATGATTCTTACAGTATAACATCAAATACATATATATTAAATTAATTTATATTATTCAATGGAGGGATTACTATACATAACAGACAATTTGGAAAATATTCAAATATAATACTAGAGTACAACAATAAAGAAATATTTACAATTTAATTGAGAAATGAAAACCACATATCAAAAACTAATATTCATTTTTCTAATTTGATAAACATCTTTATATGATGTTAATGATACAATACCATTTGAGATATAGTCAAAATTATAGCAAAATATAAGGGTATGATGATAACATTGATCTTATATATATAAGAAATAAAGAAAATCAATAATTTTAATAATATCCCTTAGAAATTATATTCTAATTAAAAGTTGACAAATTACAAATAGTTCCTAAAACTCTTTTAATATTTCTTGATCACATTTAATCAAGTAGTTTTTAATTTTAATTGATTTTTTATAATAGAATTAGTTTCATGTTAGTAATAGATATGATATGTAAAAAAAGATTTTATCTAATTATAATATAATTAGAAAAACTTTAGATCTTATCGAATTTTAATAAATCAAATGAGAAAGTAAATTTTGTGCTAAACTATTGCTCATAATTTAAAAATTTAGAGATCATTCAAATTTTTATTTCTAAAAAGTCCCTGAAAAAATAAATATATATATTAATTTCGATAGAATAAATTTATTTCAATCTTTTAATTAAAATTCTTAATCTTTAAACCATCTTAAGAATAATTCAGTTTAGAATAGAGTAATAATTCAAAAGCTTTAGGTTTTCACTTCTAATAGATAGATTATGATCAAAAATAAAATAATATTGGATTCTGTTAACCAAAAAAGAATTGAAAAATTATATATTTAAATAAATTGTAACAAATATTAGATTTAATAATCACATAATCTAAAAAATAGTTATTAAACATTGTGATTTATTTCCTTATATATTATTAACAAAAACTTTAAATGATTTGATAAAATTATTGATCAAATATAAATATTATTAAAATATGAGTGTTTTTAATATAGCACTTTTTGGAATAATTGGGGCTATTCTTTTATATTATTTATATGTAAGTTCACAAAGCATTTCAATTCCTTTTGAATTATAATAAATTCAAGAAAAGGAATTAGAGGCTAGACAAAAAGAGAGTGGAAATAAAAACTATTAAATTCCTAATTTCTTTTTTGTCACTCCTTGGTAATTTATTATAGTAAAAATAGGAATAAGGAAGGATATAGGCTTACTATAAAATATGCATAGAAAATAGACATGGTTAGTCCTGCATGGTTTAGTGTTAGATATAATAATGTTATTGATGGGAAGTAAGTTGTAAATGAATAATGGATGTAAGAAATAGTTAAAGCCAATCCTTCTATAGCTATAATTCCTAGAGTGTAAATAGAATTATAGGAAAGCTCATTTATTTAATAAATCAATAATCCATAATTATTGGAAACAATCATTAATTTAGTATAATAATATTAAGATAAATTTCATGGTATTATGATAGACACACCCTATTTATCATATATTGATGCTTTTGATGCATAAGATATAGTTAAATTCCTTTAAAAATTAAAAGCGAAACTTAATAATAAAATGTTAGTGTTAACATTATATGGTATCTACAATCCTTAACAATACAAGCATTCTACTCTAAGAAAATTATTCAAAATAGCAGATTATACATTAATACAAACATATGATTATTAGATCTAAGATGAAGATGATTAATTATTATCACCTTATTAGTGGGTTTAAGATAATTTAGAACACTTTATGACTTACAAAGAAAAATTGTTGTTTGTAATTATTAAATAATTATATTTATAGGGAATTCCTTTTTATGGATTCAAAAAAACTGAGCATGATAAAACTCATTTTATAGGTAATGAACTTCTTAAATTGAATGCATCCAATTTCATTACAGAATGGGATAGATCATCTTCTGAATGTAGATACAAAAATGAACTCGTATCTATTTCATATCCTTGTCCTGATTTTCTAGTTTACAGGCTAGAAATAATCAAAGAATTTGGTAGAGGTTATTTTGTTTGGGAAGGAGGATAAGGTATTGAACTATTTTATCAACTTTTATGATATATAAATTATTAACAATTCTTATGAATGAATATTAATTATGTAAACGAACCATTTATTCTAATAATAATAAAAATGAACTAACAAGGAGAAATAGTTATATTAAAAACTTAAATGATGAAACCTCTTCTTTTATTAATTATCATCTATAAAATATGGTTTTTCTTATAAAAGAAAAGGTTAAACTTATATTAGACATTATTTCAAATAATTTAGTATTAAATACATAAATTAATCAATATTGTTATTTTTCATCACTAACTTGAAAGAAACTATCATCACATACACTCTTTTTGCTTGCTAAATTCTAATCAAAAAATTATTCAGGTTCAAGTAAATTCTATTCCACTCTATTATAAAACTAACTACTATGAATTGACATAAATTCTGTGAGTTTTGATGGCTTCATACTTGTTCTAGATGCCTTAATTTAATAATATAGTTAGAGATTAGCAACTTCCTTATCTTTTTCTAACAATTAAAGTATTTCTAATTCTAAATAAGGATACTACAATTTAGATTATAATATTTTTTTTATTTTTTCTTATAAAACTTGTAAAGGTTTCACTTCTTAAATTTCAATTGTTTATATTTCTTAATCAACTGTTTATTTTTTTGGAATTGGAATTATCACAATCTCCTCATGTATTTTTTGGCATTCTTTATTCTAATCTTTAATTATTGTAGGAATTTCTTCCTTGATATTTTATATTTTTATTGGAGTTTTATCTAGAATTGATTTTATAAATTTTAGTAAATTTAGAATCATATTAGACTCCTTATTTGCTATTCTCAAAACATCAATCTTAATTGAATTGTCTAGTTTTGAACAATAGTGAGCTACTTATGTAAGAGTTTCTATACGAGAAACTATTGTTTAATTTTTTTTAAATTATGGAACCTCTATTTCTGGAAAGTATCTTCTTAGTAAACATAAGAAATGTCTTCCATCAGACATGCTTTCAATATTGCTAACCTTCATTTATGGGCATTTTTCATTCACCCATCTTACCATTCCTAATCTCACATTCATCTACTTCAAAAATTAATTATTATTAAATTAATTAAAATTTATTCAAATTCTATTTAATTTTTGATTATAGTATAAAAAATATCAATTCAAATACTATTTTCAATATTGAATATCCACCTATTTATAATATATTACTAGCTTAAGATTCTAAATCATATGAATTAAACAATATATTCATTTTATAAGGAAAGCATCATAATTATTAATTAAAATTATATTTAACTTAATTCTTAGTTATACTTTATTAAAGAAAATAATAATATTAATTATAATAATAATAATGCAAAATAATTATATAAAATCACTTCGAAAATTGCAAAATTTCAATTTAATTAATATCAATTCAACATAATCAATTATACATATTTTAAATTTTATAAATATACCTTCTAAAATATTATTCAAATAGAAAAATGAGTTAATAAAATATCAAAAAATAATATTAATTTTTCTCTAAATTTAATTTAGTAAATTAAGTCAGATTTCTCATGAGTAACATGTTTATGTATAAATATTATATTTATATATATTTGAACAAATATATTATTTTATATTAATTAATGAGATAATAAAATGTTGGCCTATTTTCTCAAAGTCAATTATATGTAAAAGAGCTATGTGAACCAGTAAATATTTTGGAATTTCTGGATGATTAAGTTAATCAAAGTATAAATCATTCTATAAAACTTGAAAATTATAAAATATCAAATAAAAGTAATAAAAAAGAAAATTCACGCTAAAGTAGATATTAATAGTAACAATCTAGTTTATAGTCAAAAGAGAAATTAAATAAAACCCCTATGTTTCTGACTGGGTAAATAAAATTCTAGAAAAACAATTTGGAGTTTAATTATCTTAAATAACACAAAGAAATAACCAAAAATGGATTATAAAAAGATTAAAACCTTCTAAAAGTAATGATAATACAAGATACTAGCATTCACGATTGATACATGTATTTGAGAATTAATCTTTAGGATATAAAATCTCAAGAGGAAGGGTAGAGAAAAACAGCTTCTAAATCTAATAGCAGAAGACTAGATAAAATAATAAAAGATTATTAGTAATCTTTTAGTGGAATTAGATACCCTTTACCTACTTATGATATTATTTCCTTAGATAAAATAGATTAGTAAAATTTATGATTATATTTAATATTATGGAATAAATCTTTTAATTTAAATGTAATCATCTTATCAATAATATTATTACTTATATATAACAAATGCATTGAAATTTTATTTTTAGATAATAAATCTATTTTACATTTTTAATATCAAAAATAATAAAGAAATAAACTATTTAAGATAAATGCGAGTCAATGTTAGTTAGATAAACAAAATAGAAAAGTTAAATTAAAGAAGAAGTATTATAGAGATTATTAAGTTAAATTTACATTCGAAATATTATTATATAGATATAGTTGATCAGTATAGAACTTTCCTAAAAAGCAATTTAGGAGAATGAATTTCTTCATCTTGATTTTGAAGGGTATTATCATCCTATAAATAATGTTCTTACTTTGAGACTAAAATCTACATGCTTTGAATTGCTTTATGATGATTTTTAGGCATTTTCAATTATTCTATCATGTTGTTTAAATCAATGAGATTCAGATTTGGATTTTATACAAATTCTATGACTTACTTTGGACAATGAGCTAGATTGTGAAATGGTAGGTAGGTTAGAGACATGTATTCGTTAAATATATATTTATAAATTTATAAAAAATGATAAAGTATTAAATAAATTATTTAATACATTAATTCTCAAAGTTATTTGACCATATTTTAATATTATTTTGAAATTTTAAAAAGTAATTATCATTTCAAGACGATTAACAATAAATATTTAGTATATATAATTTATTATATTTAGTACATTTATAATGAAAATTTGTAGTTAAATATGAATAATCTTAACTAATTATTTTATATAATCTATGAAATAATTAAAAATGTTACTAATTCTTATTAAAACTTTATGTTATTCTTAGAATATTCAAATAATAATATTGAATATTCAAATAGATCTGAAATATGATTTTTAATCCAATAAATATCTATTCTATTAATTGAAAATTCAACACATAATAATATTAATCTAATAGATAAATAAGATAAATGTATAATAGTAATATCTTAAGTATCAAAAAAACTGAAAGATGACTCTAAATTTAATAAATAACTTAATTATCTAGAAAAAGTATAATTAATATATATAGAAAAATCAAAATATTAATTGTTCTAATTCAAGAAGCTAATTAATTTTATCTATTATAATCTTATTACAAAACTTTGAAGGAACTTCCTCATTTTTCTAATCTAATTATCATAAATATATAATACTAAGGAATTATAAATTAAGATAAATTTTTCAACTCCTAATTATTCTTCAAGATCCATTCTCATTTTTTCAATTTAATCTGCAAGCGATTCTCCATTAAATTTTTATTCACTCTAATAATATCTAATTTTGCCAAAATGACTTTCATTTTTGTTAATTTATCCAGAAATAAATTATATCTTATGTATATTTTAAGTTTTTCTGTAAATAAATTCCTTTTTTGATTTTCTTACTACTCTGTAATCTAATATCTGATTGATATTAAGTCTTTTTTAAGGATCTGTATTAAGAATATCCTTCAATAATTAGATGAGTTCTTAGGAATAATTTATAGGAATAGGCTAATATTTGCCACTGATAATTTTCAAAAATAGACCTTCCATTGCTTTAATTATAGAATTTTAAATACTTTTTGCCTCAAATGCATGCTTTAATGCCATCATTTCATATAACATACAACCTAAACTCCAAATATCTGATTTATAATCATAAGGAATTCTTTAACATACTTCTGGACTTATATAGTATGGAGTACCAATAGCAGTTTAGCAAAGATCTTCAGTATTAATTAATGATTTAGCAATTCCAAAATCTCCTAGTTTTATTTCTCCTTTTGAAATAAAAATATTTTGAGTTTTAATATCTCTATGTATTATTCGTCTATCATGAATATATTTGACAGCCAGACAAATTTATGTAAACCATTCTATAATTTAAGACTCTTTCAAATGTTCCTGTCTTTATTTTTATTATTCAAGTCTTTGATATAGTGTTCCTTCTTCTGCATAATCCATCACAATACATAAATACTTACTAACTTAGACAAATTAATATACTTTTTATCCACAAATGATTCCCTATATTCTATTATACATGGATGATGTAAATTCTTTAATACATCTATTTCATTGAGTGCATTTTCTTTTTCTTTTATATCAAATTTAGATGCATCTATTATCTATTATAGATTTAAAATTACCTTCATTATATAAAACTTTCTATCTTATTTATTTTAAACCAATATAGCTTGACCATAACTACCTTTTCCCTTTAATTCTATCTTCCTATAGTATTCCATTAATCTATTTTTAACTGTTAAATAATAAATAAAATTTAACTCAATAAATTGCATCTCTTCTTTATGAATCTAATTGTTTTTATTCTTAGCAACTTAATCAAAACTAATATATTATGGTCTTCATCTAAAAAATAATCTTATATTCATTTTTCTCATCAAATACTTCCAATATAACATGATATTCTAAGTACATTTATTTTTATAAATAAATCCTTTAAATTATCAAATTTCGTAATTTATTAAATGGAAAACATGGAAGAACATCTTCATCTTTAGATTACCATATAAGAATTTTAATCAGATTCTACAATGTCTGACTTAATAGCATTCCAAATCAAAACAAGTAGTTAATTTCTTATACTTCAGAACATGCAACAATTACAACAAATTCATATGAAATATGTAAAGGTTCTATTCCTATAAATGAAACCCATCTTATCTCTTTAGAAGATCGATCGATAAACTCTAACCTCAATAAATTAGAACTCTTATTTCTATTGAATAATGAGGTTGCAGGTAGAGTAGATTGCAATTTAACTAAATTGCTCAATTTTAATCTTGAAATCTAAAATTATAATGATTCTCACATTGAGACTGAGGAGAAAGTTATATTAGATAACAATTAGGTGTTTAATTCAAGAGTTAAATTAAAACTAAAAGTATTAAATCAAACTGAATAAAATTCATAAAGAACAACTATAAACATTGCAACTTCTGAGACTTAACATGAATAAAATATAATTTTAATTTAATTAAGAAAAGAACTTGAAAACTGGAAATCTAAATATACAAATATTGCTAAAGAATTAAATTTATTAGGAGATGAGCTATTATCTCTTTAGATTAAAGAAAAAGGAGAGCTCTATTCTTATTTATCAACCGAAATCAATATATTTAGAAAAATTATGAAATCAAAGTTACAGCATTTTTTATAAATACATGATAATTAAATGGATTAAATTTATTTATTAAAAAAAGAATTAAATTCTTTTAGATCTAAATTGTGTTTGAAAGTAAATAAGCTTTATTATTATTTAGTGTTCAGAACCCTTTTTTAAACATAGTTCTTAAAATTTATTTGAAAAAATTCAATACTTATCTTCAATTATTGACAAGTAAATTTTCACTTAAATTTAGAAAATAATCAGAATAATTTGCATTAATGAAATCTCTAGAGATAGAAAAATAATAATAGAAATCCTTATAAGACACTATTTAAATATTGAATCAATAACAGTTACTGTTAAGATAAGCTTTATCAAAATCAAAGAAATAAGTTGAAGATTCGTTTAAGATCTAGTCATAATAGGAATTATAAATTTAATAGTTGCATAAAGAAATCATATCTAAAACTTAAATCATACTATTATTAAATAAACGTTGTCTAGAATTAGAGTAATAAAATTATAGAATGAACTCTGATATTTAATAAACCATATATTTATACAAATAATGGAGTATGTCAATAGTCAAATCAATTGAAAAAGAATCCTCTCAAAAATAGATATTAGGAGACATCTTAAAGTAATTGAACAATTCATTAAAATTTCTTGCTTCTAATGATATTTTAAATAAGGATTCTGAGAATGAATATCATAACAAAATTGAATAATACATTCAAGATTATCATTTATAATTTACTCAATTAGAATAACTATTATATCAGTATAGAATAAAATTTCTTAATTATAATTTGACATCAAATTCTATAAAATCAGATGAATTTAATACATTTCTCTTATATTTTCCTTAAGAAAATGTAAATGAATAAGATACCAAATAATATGACATATCAAAATATTTGAATTATTAATTGGAATAAAATATTTATAATTTGATTCAATAGAAAGATGCTGAGATAACAAAACTAAAGCAGAAAATAGCAGATATGCTAAATCTTGCTTTAGAATTAGGAAATTCAGTGTTAGTCGAATAAATGTAACTCACAGTGATATGATCCATATATGATTGTGATTGAAAATCATATTTTTATTAATTTGAAATACACTTTATTAATAACTCTAGTCATCTGAAATTTTAGTTAAAAATAAGTTTATTAGAATTTCATTTTATATGAGAACTTAATTGTACAAAAAATTCATGAGTAAAATGGGAGAAAAGAAATTCAACTTAATAAAGCTGTAATAAAATGATTTTAACATGATTAATTAGGAATTTAAAAGTAAAATTAATAATATAATTTATATACATGGATAATTATCTTTGATATTAGTATTTATTATTTTGTTTAATTTCTGTATTTAGATATACCCTCAATGTCTTTTATTATAAATTATAATAAAGTAAATAATTTGAATAAATGTAATAAACAACCGAGGAAGATGTATAGAGATCGAAAGCCAAATCAGAATTAAAATCTGTAAAATATATGTAGTGAAAAAGATATTCTTATTAGTGTCAATTATTATGGGATTTTGTTTTTTATTTAACACAAACATAACATTTGGATGGGATTATAAAATAATTATTGTATATACTTGCACTATATAATTCGCATTTATGATATCAAAATTGCTTTCATATAAAGGGTATTTGCCTATGAATTTAAAATTTAGCGTCAATTCTTATTGTTGTTTTGCCTTATTAGAAAGTGCTCTTTTAATTACCTATTTATTAGGAATTGTCTATAATAATGAAGTCTCGGCAATAAATATAAATTTTATTAGTTATGCTTTACTCATCTTATAATTTGTAATATTAGCAATAACAGTTTTAATAAGTAGGTAAAGTGTTGAGAGTGATGCTTAAGATCAATCAAAATAAATCTAAGAAATAGTATATATTAAGATCTATTAAAAGTTGGTTGCTGCAATAAAAAGTGTAGGGTCATTATAGATCGTATTTTTAAGTTTAAAATTAAGTCAATAAATTAATTGGTGTTGGATGTAAACTCTAGTAATTGTTTGGTTTATTCTTGGTACAATGACATTGATTGAAGTATGTCTAATTTTAGATTTGATTTTAAAGTGTTGTAACAATTAACTTTAAAATAGGAAGCAATTGAGTAAGAAAAATGTATATTCTTAGTTTTTGGAGGAGCTTGGGTGAATATTGTTATTGTAGGATTTATTATTGATATAGGATTGACTTTTTTAGGATTAGGATTATTCTTAGACTATAATATTGGATAGGTTAATTTATATGGTTTCATTACTTCTATAGTTTTCTATGTATTTCAGATATTTTTTTATTTCAAAAACTAAGAAGAATTAATGTAGTATCATCTATGATTTGTAGTTTATTTTTAAATTTATCAGAAGCATAATAGTAAACAAGACCATCCGAATAGCCTAATGAATAAATTACATTAAAAGAAAGAATTAAAGAAATTCATAGAATTAGTATAAGTAAGGTTCCATAATTTATGGTGAAATTGTCAGCCACTTATTTTAGAAAGTAAGAAATAAATGAAAATTAAAAAAATAATAAGAATGAATTAGGTTCATCTCAAGATAAAAAATTTCGATCAACTAGCTATTCTGATATAAAAAAATAAAAAGAAATAAAAAAAAGTCCATCGTAAGATTTAGATGAAGACTTAACTAAAAAATTTGATTAATTACTATCATCTCCAAGAATCAAATTAGAAGTTAGTGAAAGTATGGCTCCAGAGTTGTCAAGTAGAGGATAATATAAATAAAATCTATTATGTCTTGTTTGTTATGAAAAAGAAAGTAATATGATTAATTAACCTTGTGGTCATGGAGGATTTTGTTAAGAATGTTCCCAATAATTATTATCAAAGAGTAATTATTGTATGTTATGTCGAAAACCTGTAACACATACATTACTTGTATAAGGAGTAGAAAATAGGGAAAGTTTAGTAGAAGTAGTAGGAATTTATTAAGGGGGATAAAAATAAAGATGACTAAAAATATTATGAATTCATTATTTATATATAATTCAATCAACTAACATTCATAAATTTTACAAAAAAAAAGTATAATTTAATATTAATATATTTATGAACAATTTAATTAGAATTCTAATCAATATGATATTACTTAACCATTAATAAAGAGAAAAGATAAGTATTTAATAATAATAATTATTATTATTATTTAACAAATAAAATATTAATAAATTATTAAAATATTATTATGAATTTAATTTATATAATTTTTCAATCATCGAAAATGATGTTTCTATAATTGATTTTTAAAAAAACAGAAAAAAATATGAGAATTCAATCTAAAAAAATAAAAAATATATTTTCTATGGTTTTTTTGATTTATTTAAAAAGAAATATAAGTGATGGATTAATTTTTATTATAATATTCAAGAAAAAGAATTAAAGCATAATATTAGGATAAAATATTAAAAAGTTATCAAATTATCTTGGAGTTCATTAATATTATATAAAAGCTTTAACATATAATATAAAATTCAGCAGCTGACTTCTTCTTCTACATCTTTTGCAAATTCCAGTTTTAGATCTTTATAAAACTAAGTCAAATGAACATTAGCAATTGCTACACTATTTGCAATAGACTTAGGTTAGTTAGGTAAGAGTGGAATCACTTTAAGTATTCTGCATTTTAAAGCATTTAAATATTGTAAGATTGGAGTTGTGATAGGATCTGTATTTTCTGAAGTATCAGGAGAAAGAGATAAGGCTTATATTCGATCACTATAGTAGTCATTTGCCCACCATAATTCAGTCTCATCATCAAAGTTTTTATCCATTAAACAATTAAGAATGATAGCTGTTTCCACAAGTAACTATAATAATAGATTAGATACAAGAATACTTAAATAGTTTCTTTGATGATAAACTCCCTATTTTAAGGAGTATCATTTTTAGAATTAATATAGTTTGTATACTCATTTCTGTAATATTCTAACACTTTTGATTTAATTTTTAAAGCCTTCTCAGTATAGTTATTGTAAGATCTGAGTATCAATTATGATTTGCCTTCAATTCTTTCTGCTAATATGTCACATGAATCAACATAGATTTAATTTTTTGCTATCTACTCCGTTAAATATTCTTTGATTGGCTTTGTTCTCATTACATTTGCTAATGATTGACTTTCTACAAAATCAATAGCCTCTTTGGTGGTGCTAAGAGTTTAAGGAGTACTATCTGATTATTTTATTTCAAGTGCTTTAATTGGTTATTTCTCTTTTTGTTTTGCACACTAAAGACCCATATAATAAAGTATTGTTATTATTAATAATTTTAAATCAAATTTAGCCCATGTAGTCCCAAAGATTATCCTTATCACTATATCCTGGTATGCTAAATTCGTGAAGATTGTTCAGAAAGTTTTCTTATGATGTTTTGAAAGGAGAAAAGATTTTATCAATTGTTAATCTAAAAGCGTCATCTAAAATAAAAATAAACAATACTTAACATCCTAGGAATCAATTTTTATAATAAAGGACTACTCTCTTCAATACAAGGGTTAGTATTTATTTCAATTAACCAAAGGTTTCCATTGTTATCAATCATAAAATCATATCCAAAGATTTCAAATTGATAATCTTTACGATCTAAAATAATAATCACAAAATATCAACTATTTCGCAATTTAGAACTAGCACAGAAAATAGTCTAATGAATGAGTTCTTTCATTTTTGTCACAATCCCAACTGAAGTTATTTTAGTATTCTTTTACTATGTTAGATACTATTATAAGTCTTGGAAACTCAATTAATTTCCCAATTCATATTTACAATAATGAGGATGATTTTTCTGTACAGCATTATTAGTCAAATGTATAAATAAAGATTTTAGATTGTTAATATCGAAATGTTCACTTGCCAATCGTAAATATCTGGATTAATATAAATATTTCTACCCTTCTTTAAAGAAATAATATTTGCAAGTATGATCAATTAATACCCAAATTCTAAAATCGAATTTTCTACCATTATATAGAAGTGGTGTTTCAAGATACTTTTATAGAACTAGTATTCTATCTTAATTGGGAGTTTAATCTAATGTAAACTCAATCTGAGCTTACCCAGTTTCTAAGTTGAACATTTTAAGTACTTTCATTTGATTCTGGATATGTTATGATTAAAGTTTTAGCAGCTTTAGATGTAGACATTATTTATTTATTAACATTTCTTGTTTTACAAAATTCATCAATTTGATTTACTAAGACTTTTAAATCAGAGAATAATTATATTCCTCTTCCTCTATTTAAATCAGGTGGTTTGAGTAACCAAACGTTTTTAAGAAGTTTGTCTTTTTTGATTTCAACGAAATAATCTACAAATTTTTTAATATCATTTTGTAAAGTTGTTGAATCCAAATTGATTATGAAAGTTGTAGGAACAAAATCATCCATATTCTTATTTGTTCTTTAACAATATGATTTTAAATTAGCATGCAATTTATTTTTATTTGATATTTCATTATGATGTTCTAAATGATTTATGCAAACATTTTTCGATGTTAACGTTGAATAATTGAAACCTTTATTTGATTATCTCCAAATAAAATTCACACTTAAAATATCTATCATTTATTTACTTATAACTTGTTTGTTATTCACCAAACCATCCTCTTCCTTACAAAATTCTTCTAACCAAATTTCCATTATTTCCATTTTCACAAAAAAACTATCCTTTTTATGTTAAGCATTACAATATATTAAACTGTAAACACATTTTTAAAAAAGGCTGGTTTAGTAATCCTTTAAAATGAAGATTAAGGTCTTCTTTGATCACCCTAAGTACTTTATTTTTTCTTCTCAACTGATTTCTTTCCTTAAAATAAAGTGCTGTTGAACATTCCAATCTTGCTCAATCCTTCAGGGGTATGTTGGCGAGGTACTTATGGACTGTATTTTAATTGAATAGGCTCCAATCTTCATTATTTTGCACAATACCTGCAATCCTTAACTTTTATGGCTTATAAAAACATCAAATTATATATTAAAATTAAAATTATAACATCAAATATATGTATTAAGCAATTCATACAGATTGGTAACAATTTTGAAGTTTATAATTCAATATATAATTTTACTACTCATCAACATATCCTAATTGATTTTATAATGTTTAAGTTTTTACTTTTTTTTGTCTAATTCTTTAAAATTGTAATTATTTAACTTCATTAATTTTATTCAAATGATCCTTATATCACAATATCACTAAAGTTATTTTATTATGTAATTTATTATTATTCTTATGACCTAAAAGTTTTATTATTTTTATAAATAAGTCTTGTATTTATCTATTTACTGATTAGATAAAGAATTTAAAGGATTAACTTAATCTTTCATCTTGTATTTATAATTCCTTACAATATATTTAATTAAATATTACATAGAGTAATAGAATTAAGTTAATCATTAGAGTATCATTTTCTTAGAGCATATAAATTTTATTTAATTATATATAATATATTCATTTATGTACCATTCTCTTGAATATCATTCTCCAATTTATTTAGTTTATCACTTTATAAGTAAATATTTTATTGTTAATCTATTTCATCCTAGATATTATAATTATTTTAACGATTAATAAATCTTCTGTTTCTGCTTATTTCATCAATTCACTAACATCTAGAATAGTACTACTACAATACTGCTTTACCCTTATTAATTTATAGTTTGCTTGCTTCCTTCCTGATATTGTTGTTCTATTTGATGGTTTCTTGATGATTATGTAGATTACAATAAAATATTTAGACTTAAATGATTCTAAAATACTGTATTACTATAATTGGTATGAAAATCTAGTTTATTCTTATATCAGTTACAAAGAATCAAAAAACAATATAGTGTATCCCAAAAATCTTGAAATTATACAGACAATCAAACTTATTATTTGTAAGATAATTAGTAATATTAGAATACACAATGTAACACAGACATCATATTTAAATACAAATGGCCATATTAAATATAGGAAGACAATAAGTATTAAAGGAGAATGCCTACCATAAAAAGATTATTGATTTCGCTTCTTACAATCATATTTCTTATATAATAAAATCTCTCATTAGTTCAAAGTTAGTCTTTCAAATAAGACTAAATACTATAATCTTTGTGCTTTGACTAATTTTTTAAAAGTCTTTGCCAGTAGGTCAATTTTTGACTTTAATACGATTTTTATTAAGATATTTTACAATTGAAGATGCATCTTTGATTTTATTATGAAGAAGTTTTTTTTAAACTTCAAAATAGATGTTTTCAATTTAATGAAATCTTCTCTTTAGAAGATTGATATTGTCTTCTAATATTTAATATTAGCATCTTTTTCAATTGAATTACATGTTTGTGCTTATGATAAAAGTGATAAAGAGGATATAATTGTTTCTCAAAGGCTTTTCTTTCCTTAGTCATTTACGTGTATAAATATTAAATTAATATATCATGTCTTTTTTTTAAGGGATTTCTGCTGGAGTTGTTACAATTATTGTTGCAAAAACTATTATTGTTGATGAAACTTTGAATCTTGACTTGAGAAATTATTATATATTTATGCAACAATATTGGATGCACTTTTTTGGCTAGTCAATTTTTGTGCAGGTTAAACTATAACTTAACTCTATGATTTCTTTAATTGTTAAGATTATATTTGTTATTATCTGATAATTTATTAAATTTCTTCAATATTAGATTTTTAAACAGCCTAAGAATTATTTTGATTTTCAATTTTATTTGATTTCTAAAAAAATGAAACTGGTTATTATTGTTAATCATTTTAATTGATAAATTGATTTCCATCAATCAAATCATCAGGATTCATTCCTAATTATTATAAATATTTCGCTTGCCACTTTTTTCTTTATTCTTTTTTTCTTCTATTGATATCATCATATAATGCTTCTCTATATTCTTTAATTGAGAATTTTTTATTATCATTCATAGGTATTTTGATTGGTTCCTGACATACAATTTCTTCCTCAGGAGATGAGAATTCTTTAAGATATTTGTGTCTAATAGCTTAATCAACAGTTAATCTCATTTTTGGATTAAAAACCAATAATCTAAATTTAATAAATTAATTACCTTCTTATTAAATCTAAACAATCATCACTAGCACCTTAAAAGAATTATTAAAATGATTTCCTTTTTATCATAGCAACAGATGATAATATATGTGAAGCAAGAGGTGATTCTAATGATTCAACATCCTAATCAGAAGGCTTACCATTTAATTCTAAAATTCGCTCAATCTAATTTGCAGTAGAAGTTCCTGGAAAAACTGCTTTGCCAATAACTAATTCACCAAGTATACATCCTATACTCCACATATCAACAGCCTTTGTATAATTAGTGGATCCAAGAAGAATTTCAGGTGCTCTATACCATCTAGTGGCCACATATTCAGTCAAAATAGGAGGGGCTATAGTTTAGATTTGATAGTTTACTGCAATCTTCTTCATTTATTGCTATACTCCTAGCTAATCCAAAATCTGCTAGTTTCATATGGCATTCTGAATTAAGTAAGATATTAGATGGTTTTAGATCTCGATGAATCAATTCACCTGAATGTATGTATTTGAGAGATTTCAAAATCTAATAAATAATGAATTTCTTATGCACTTCTTCTAGAATTCCAGCACGCTATTTAAGCGGAATAACTATACAATAACTGCATGTAAATCAGTTTCCATGTAATCAAATACTAAATAGATATCTTTATTGTTTTCTGCTTTAATAATGTTTAATAGTCTAACAATGTTCTCATGTCCATTCAACTCTTATAAAAACATAATCTCTCTAAAGGTTCTTTGAGCATCTGTTGCATTATGGAAGGCATCAAATACTTTTTTCAATGCAACAACCTTTTGGAATTTTAAAAAATAAAATGATTACAGTTTTTAATTTCTTATCAACTGCTTTCCATACTATTCCATAAGCACCCTTTCCTAATTTTTAAATTATTTCAAATTTTCTTGCTATGTGAGGCTCAATTTCTTCAGCCATTTATAATTTTTATTATTATAATTATTTTATGTGCACAAAACTAAATATTGCTAATTCTAATTCAAATGTAATGCTTTATTTGAAATTGAGAGAAAGTGGTTGTGATAAAGTTTAAGCACGTTAATTTTGCCGTAAGAATTTTTGTAAGGTATAATATATATTTATAATATTATATAGATAGATTAAACTCAAAAATCTATTGGACCACCAGGTCATAAAGTTTTAAAATTACATCCTAATCGTTTATAAGGAGAGAAAGGATGGTAACCTGGATTTATGATGAAATATGATTTAGGTAGCGGTTACAGAGACTCTAAAGGTATTTGTATCAAAATAAAATATTAGATTTAGTAGAAGAATAAACTCCAGCTGAAGAAGCAATCTTGAAATAATATGAAAAATATGAAAAAAAGAAGAATGCTGTACTTTTATAAAAAATGTTGGCAGTCAAAAATTATGCTGATTCATTAAGACCTCCTAAAATAGATGTGTTTAGTAAAGATAGTTTAGATAGGATAAGGAAGATATCTTAAGAATTATATGAAAATTAATAAAAACCTAAAAAATATTTTGAATAAGGCAATATGAAATTTTATGAACTTGCTGATTATATATCTACTCATCGTTCAGGTTAATTAAATGATTTGAGAATTAATTTTGATCCTATTGTCAATACATAGATAAAATTAAAAACTGAAAATTCATAATATTTAAGTCCCACTAAAAGTTTTAAAAGATAAACAACAATTAGTACTATTGAAAAAGGAGCCAATTTAATTATGGCTTTTTAGAATTAAACTCCTATTAATGAAGAATTGGATACAAAATCAACTAATTAAAATAATGAAGTAACATCATAACTTATAAGATTTAATCATCATAAATTAGAATTAGCTGAAGAATTCAATTCATCTTAATATTTATTTACTCCATCTAGTGCTCATACAAGATAAGCAAGTTAAATTGATTAGAATGATGAAGCAGTTAAATGTTTTGTATAACAATTTTATGATAAACAATACAATGATAAAGTTATTCCCTCGACAAAAAGAAATCTAAGATTACGTGCAATAGTAAATAGTGGAATTCCTAAATAAGAGCCATCAAAATAAATTATTAAAAAAGGAGGAAAAAGATTAAGCATGTGAACTAATTGTCTCCATATAATGATTTTATATTTTTATTAATTTCTAGGAATTTAGATATTCTTTAATCTTATATATTTCTTCAATTTTATCAATTTCTTTCTATTATTATTATTAACTCATAATGAATATACTAAATAAAGCAACATTAGGAGGTGGATGCTTTTGGTGTATTGAAGCTGTCTACAAAAGAATTTAAGGAGTAAGTGAAGTTTATTCTGGATATAGTGGAGGTGCATTAAAAAGCACTGCCAATTATAAAGATGTATGTAAAGGGAATACAGGTCATGCTGAAGTAGTTTAAGTACTTTTCGATCAAAATAAAGTGGATTATAAAGATTTACTTTATATCTTCTTTGCATCACATGATCCAACCACTTTAAATAGATAAGGTAATGATGAAGGAGAATAATATCGTTCAATTATATTTTATCATAGTGAATAATAGAAGGCAATAGTCAATGAAGTAATTAAGGAATTACAAAAAGAATACAAGAATCCAATAGTAACTCAAGTAGTTGAATTTTAAGAATTTTATAAAGCTGAAGATTATCATTAGGGTTATTATGATAACAATTAAAATGAAGGATATTGTAGAGCTGTAATATCTCCTAAGATCGAGAAGATTATTAAGAAATATAAAACATAACTCAAACCAGAATTTTTATGATTTACAATATAATTTTTGTATTTATCATTATTCAGATTGGACAGATCTAAATTTAACCATAACTGCTGAACGTCCAGGAACTTGACAAGTATAACTGACTGTTGATTATCCTAAATCAACTTAATTAATTAGATCTCTAACATTCTGAGCTCCACTAATTCCCAACTTATCAAATTCTATAGTTATTGATTCTTATATTGATGCTTAATTAAAGAGAACAGCAACAACTCCTGCACCATTATCAGCAACTTCAGCAGCCCATACTTCACTTGTCAAGACCTTTTTTACTCTAGTAGCTTATTTACCCAAACTATCCTAAAAAATAATTTATTATTATTATTTACTTAATTAACAGCAATTACTTCACGATTCATTAATATCTTTTTAGTATCTTAACTCATATTTGTAATATCACAACCAATTAAAAGTGGAGCTTTTAAAATTGCCCACAAAGCAAAATGAGCTTAATATTCATGAGTTTTCATTCCACCATTACCAACTTCTAACATATCTGGATCATTCCATTATCCTGGTCCAGCATATTATGCTAAATTAGCCTATTCTTCCAAAATAGCTTATAAATAGAAAATGATAATTACCAATAAAAGAATACCAATGATCTGAAATATCTCCTGTAGTTCTCCATGAATTAGCTATTGGTGGTGCCCATAACCATGGTTTCTCTAATCCCCATTCACACATTGAAAAATAGATCTTCTTAGATTATTTCATTAAAGCAGCAGACATAGGGGGATATCTTACTTTTGGAGATGTACCATCAGTATGACAATTATCATACTTTAAGTAATCAATATCCCATTCAGAATATGTTTCTGCATCAATTTCTTCATAACCTAATGAACCTGGCTTGCCTTCACATGTTTACATACCCTATATGATATTTATATAATCTTACAGCATCTGAATATAATCCAAATTTCAATCCTTTTGAATGTACATATTAGACCAATGATGGAATTCCAGATGGAAATTTGATTGGATCTGCAATAATCTTTTTGGTAACAGGATCTCTAGCTGATTACCAGCAATCATCTAAATTTAAGTAAATGTATCCTGCAGCTGCCAATCCTGTTGAGACTAAAGCATCAGCAGTTTATCTGACAATTTCTTCGTTGATGTTGCAGCCATATTTATTCCATGGATTCCAACCCATAGGAGGTTTTCTGCCTAATCCATTATCTAATGCATTTAGCGTAATCAATATGACGCAAATAAAAAAATATTTTTACATTATTATTAATTTAAAGGATTGAATAATATGTAATCTATTTAAATATACTGAGATCATCTAACTTCTTTTCCACTATAATAATATATCATTATAAATTGATTCATTCTGATTCTATATCTATAGGTATTACTTTCTATATAATTATTATGCATATCAGAAATTAATTAAAGTTATTCTTCCATTTCATATTCTATATGTTTATTTATTCTTTTTAGTAATTAAAGATTCTCTCTTATATATAGAGGATAGATAATATATAAAAACTTTACATTTTATATTAGATATACTATATATTATTTTCTTATTTTTTGGATACTTAAGATTAATGAGTTTTGTAATTATTAATTAAATTCAATGCTATATTTAATTATTTATTATTAAATCAACATACTTTAGATTAATGAATAGATTAGATTTAAATATATATTAAAAGAAAAAGTATTTAATAATAAATTAATAGATTAAATAATTTATTGATTATAATTCTTTCATTAATGAAATTGCATCGAAATATCTTCCATCTATAATTCTGAATCCACTTCAGTCTTACAAATAGGGCATAATGTACTCTTGTGTAACCATTTATCAATGCATTCTTAGTGGAAGTAATGCCCTATATAATAATAATAAATATTTTATACAGCATGGCATCGTACGAACAATTTAATTCTCTTAGTAATCTTCTAAACAAATCATACATTTAATAAGATTATCATCGTTTTAATGTTAATTTATAAATTCCATACTAATTTAACGTAGTGGTAATAAATTAATCTATTCTTCAGAAGTTCTATTATTTCTGAGTGAAAGTAGTAATTGTTAATTCTCATTTAAAAGAATGAAAGTATTTAATAATCGATGAAGTGCTTCTATCTATTATGCATGTTATCTATGAATATCATTTCTTCTATTAGGTACTAAACTAGGAGGTAATAACTATTCAAATTATCTATTTTATTGAATTCTCTATTGTTGTGTTGTTGATAGTATATCAATATCAATTTATGTGTAATTAGGTACAACGAGTCCATGATCTTCAAACATTTATACTTAAAATTCGAAATCTGAAATTCTCAAGATCTAACCCTTTTCTAAGAATCTAGTTAAGCCTGAGAAGTATGGATTAATGATAGTTCTTCTAATTGCTTCTTTACTACGATCTCTTTGAGATTAATAAGTTAAAAATTATGCTGGACATTTTATGCAGCATAATTTAACATCTCTTAAATTCTATACATTTGGTATACTCTCAATGGTCTAAGAAAGATTAAATTAATTTTTACAGAGTTTCTATCGATTTTACCAGATGAATTGTCACATTATAAAATCAGTAATTTTTGCTAGTTAACTCTGATGGTCGAATCCTATATTATCTGATTATCTTTAGGATTAACATTAAAATAAGACTTTATTTCAAAATCTAATTGTTAAGAAGGCTTCTTAGATAAAATCTTGACTTTCCTTGTAGTGTCTTGTATGTAATATCCATAACAGTAGATTTATGTTTACTTTGTAATAATTCCTTTACTTGGAAACCCACCTACTACTCGAAATTCAAAGGATCCTATTGAGAATTTGATTCCTGATTCCAAAACTCTTTGACGTACAGAAAAGAAAGGTAAAAGTACGTTTTTAATTAATCTTTAAAAGTCTATCACATTATCTTTAATTAATGCTGGATCAAGTATCGTTCTAGAGTAGATGAAATTGAAACCTATTCACATAGAACGTGACGTTTTCTAGATGAGGAAACTGTACTTCAGTCATTTGAAAGGTTCTCTTGTCTTCGAGTTATGTAGAATCTTGTCTTATTTATATCTAGCCATCGTTGACAGAAAAGATCAGTTTGCACTAAAAACAATTGGTAACTCTTCCTAACTGATCGTCAAATTAGTTGCTTCTACATTTAGGACATTTAACTTGGAATTGAACTTCTTCTTAATTACCATAAATATAATGTGCTGCAGTAGTGGCAGCTAAATAGATATAATTATTTAACTTACTCCTTTACAAATACAATAAATGCTCATTAGCTTATGACATATCTTATTATTATTGAGTTTAAGCTTAGCCCATTTAATTTGATATAAAAAAATAATATTTTATAATAGTTCATCATTTCCTTTATTATAGCCAACTCTTAGCTTATTTTTTATCATCATGTTCTTCTTCTTTGATACTCTAATGATTATGAATTTAATTCTATTAAGTTTATGGTGCTAATCTTGCTTATTGTGTCTACTATGGATGAATTTGAGGTTATTATATATGAGGATAATATGGACCCATATTAATCTAATTTATTTTGAATGCTTATATACAATGAATGTATTTGGAATTTGAGTAGGTAATATAACAGGATATTATAATTGAGGACAATATTAATTTAGCATATCATTTCCATTATACATTCTTTAATTTTGTACTTCCAATAGCTCTTTAAAAGCCTAATATAATATAATTTAATATAATACTTCTAAAAATTATTGTTATGGATCTCCCTCATTGTCCAATTAATCTTAATTCATGATCAAATTTTATAAAATATATTAAAATAGAAATATTCATAATAATTAACCAGTGAAAATTAATAATTATTATGAGAGAAATTATAAAATTTATAATTCACTTCAATATAGATATACTAATTTTAATATTGATTATTGAAGAATAACTTAACAATATATTCAATAAAACTAAATTAGAGTTAATCAATATAATCATTTCCAATAAGATTGAATATCTATTACAATTAAAGTCATATTATCTTTTTTATAATTTGTATTTTTAGATGATGCCTTGTCAAGAAGATATTAGGCTAATTAATCAATCTCTTTCCTATTCCAATTTTCAATCAAATTCTATAATTCCTCATTTTTTATTAACTAAAATTATATATCATTTTCTTTATACATCCCAAAACCCATCAGAAGCCAAAATCAAATATTTATCATTATCCTAAATTTTATGTACCTTTATTTCAGGAATTGCAATAAGACCAGATTATCTATGTTTTTTATCTCCAAAAGCCCTAGTTACAGCCAGTTCTCCATTTATTCTTGGAATAGAACTACATTATTAAATAAATCTCACTGTCTATCCAAAATTGTTGCTATCTATTCTACTCTTTTAAATTCATCTTCCCTATTCAATTTGTGTTCCAAATTTAACTTCTCTATCTGATATTAATCTGTTATCAAAACACATGCTGAATCTCCAAGATTTACAACATAAAGGTCTTTATGTTTATTTATTACACAAAGAGCTGTTGATCCACCTAAATGTTAATTCTCCTCTTGACAATCTAATATGTATTGATTCATTTTCTCAAAACTATTTATAATGGCCTTCTCTAGATTATCTTCAAAATTGCAATCCTTCTATAAATATTCATGAAGCTTATTTTCAAGAATAGCTGAAACTGAATGTCCTGCATGTCCATCATATATAGCATAAAAGAATTATTTTTCTTAGTTTAAATTTAGATTAGGAATTGCAACAAACTTATATTAAGAGATGAAAGTACTCTATCTTCTTAATATTTCCTGCCACATTTCAATTAGGCTACATCTGCAACTGTTTTACCATTATGTAAAAATTATAGGGACTAATCACTTACTATAATAAACATAAAATTACATAGGTTCATTGAAAAATATATCACTTTATTATTTCCATCCATCTGAAGAATGAGTGCTCTCAGGTTGTACATCAACTACATTCACATTTAATTACAATTTTGGTTTAGGCTTCTTTTGATTATTCGTTTAATTCGAGTTCATAAAAGTAATAAAATTTATGTAAACTATTATAATAATCTTGACGAATAATCATATTCTTAAAAAAACTGAATAGAATTCTGCATCCAATATAATATCATATTATAATGAAGTTACGTATCAAAATTTATTCAAAGTAATTGACTCTATTAGAAAATCATAATTATGCATTTCATTTGCAATTCTGTACCTTTAAATATTTTGATATATAAAGATCTTACATAAAATATATATATATTATTTAGTAAATTGTTATATCATTATTAGTATCTTAAATTGTCTATATACAATTTCTATATTATATAATAAATTAAAATATTAAATGAAAATCGTCATCCTTTTAGTTCTAGTGATGTCATCATTGGGAAGGCTTACTTATAGAAATGGTTTATTTGGTAGAGAGGAGATCATCAAAGCCAAAAATACTTTGTGGTTCGAGCAGAAATTAGATCACAATGATCCAACATCGAAAGAAGTGTTTAATCAAAGATATCACATTTATGATGATTATGTATAAGGAAATTAACCAGAAGCAGTAGTATTGTATATTTGTGGAGAATGGACATGTAATATAGAAATAAAAATTAAATAGGTGATGGAATAGGACAAGGATTAACATTTGATGCTGCATAATAATTGAAAGCTATAATACTTGTTTTGGAACATAGATATTTTGGTTAATCTCAACCATTTAGAGATTGGAGTACTCCAAACTTAAAATATCTAAATATCCATTAAGCTTTAGATGATATAGCATATTTTATCTAGAACACTAAAGCTTAAGGAAGATTTAATATCAAACCAGATACTCCTTGGATTCATCTTGGAGGTTCATACCCAGGAGCATTAAGTGCTTGGTTTAGATACAAATATCCTCATTTGACAATTGGAGGTTTGGCTTCTTCAGCAGTTGTAAGAGCAGTTGCTTGTTATCATGAATATGATATGTAAGTTTATCTTTCTGCCTTGGAAAGTTCATAAGAGTACTCAAAATTTATATTAAATTAGATGTGTAGATAGAATTCAATCAGTAAATCAAAAGATTGAAGATGATCTAGCTACTGATCCTGTTACTATAAAGGCAGCATTTAATGCAACAGAATTAAAAGATATTGAATTCTTATCAATGATTGCAGATATCTATGCTGGTATGGTTTAAGGAAGAAAAAGATCCAAGATGTGTGAGAGATTAGAAAGGGGAACAACTTTATAAGAATGGTTTGACGAAGTAGTACTTATGGCTTAAGAAACAGTTAATCAAGAAAGTTATGGATCTGAATTTTTAAAGGATATTACTATTGATTTCACTAAAAATTCAAGATAATGGACATATTAGACATGTATTGAAGTAGGTTACTTTTAAACTGCTAATGTAATTAATTATATTAAATATATTAGCCAAATGCTGAATAATCAACTAGATCATAATAATTAGTTCTTGATTTCTTTAGATAATTATGTGAATATTCTTATGGTATTTCCATATTTCCAGATGAAGAGAGAACTAATGCTTATTTTGGTGGTCTTGATATTAATGTAGATCATCTTATCTTTTCTAATGGATCAGATGACCCATGGTAACATGCTTCAATCACAAAATGGAAATAAGGAAAAGAGTATGATGTCAAATACATAAAATGTAAGGATTGTTCACATTGTGTTGATCTTAAGGCATCTAGTCCATAAGATCCACCTGAATTAACTTAAGCTAGACAAGAAATTCTAGCAATATTTTAACAATGGATTAACGAATACAAATAATAACAATCCTAAATTATTGAGTGAAAATTTAATATAGAAATATATATATATATATATATATAAAAGTAATAATGGAATCAATAAGGCATGAAATGGCCTCTTTAATGATGACAACATTACTAAGATGGTCTACTAAATTATCTTTACATCATTCTCATTTATAAGAATTCTTGCCATAATTATTCTAATTCACAAGGACAAGGTTAATAGGGTTAATGATAGTACATTTGAGGTTCCTCTTATCGATATTGCTATCTTAATGGTGAAGCACATAATGATTTACTTTGGGACTATTATTGAGGTGATTTTTATTATTGCCATGAAGTCATTCTTTTGTGTCCTACTTATTATTCTAACTATTTTTATGGTTATTATGTTATTTTATTTTATTGTCTATAATTCTCTTCTTCTAAAAAGCGTGAGTTCTCTTAAATATAAATTTAGCTTTAAGCAAATTAAATAAATTGTGGATTCTATTCTTCAACACTCATTATTGAACTTTATAGTGGGAATCTGACATATGAATGACTTAGTTAAGATATATTTATTTAACATCCTTAAGAGTTGTTTTACTATTAATTATTAACATAGTCTTTCTATAAATTTGTTCCAAACATTTATTAATAATTATGTTTAAAGTTATAATTATTTAATAGTGTAAAATATAATTTATAACTATTATATTTATTGCTAATTAATAATAGATATAAATGAATAACTTATTTATATATAATCTAATTTGTAATAAATTATGTTCAAATTACAAATACTTATCAAGGATATAATATAAGAAATTCTTAAAAAAATATTTAAAATTATTATTCATTAAATTATAATTGTTATTTTGAATATAATTATATTTAATATAAATAATAATATGAATAGAGAATACTAAGAATAGGAAATTGATTTGTAGAGAAAATCACAATAAAACTCTGAAGATACAAACAATTAATTATTCTCAATTGGTTTTGCTATAATTTACAATTGTATTTGGGGAATACTGTTTTGTTTTTTTAGACATCGTTATTGTAAGGCTATTGAATTTTAATCAAGAGATGAAGAAGAATGCAAAGTGATAAACTTTTGGTCACTCGTAGCAGAGATATTTTTATTTACAGTAGCTATTTACAAATTGTAAAATCAAATTTCTAGATAGAGCGATAGAATTACCAGTTTATTATAAAGCCTTAGGTAGATGGAAGCATAAGCTTTTTGAGGTAGCAGAAAAAGTAGAATTTGTTTTAAGCATAATTGTATTGATAGGACTGAGTGTAATTTAATATTGATTTATAAAGTATGCTTATTTCCAATTTGAAGATTGCTATGGTTTGAGAAACTTTGTTTTATTTTATTTAATAGTGACTTATTTAGTTTTGGGCATATATTTGGTTTCTCTGCTTTTACTAATCACAAATAAAAGTAATAATTCTGGATGAGAAATAAAGAGTCATGATTTATAATCAATAATTACATTCAAAAAAATCATTTTCTTAAAGTACTAAAGTGTAATTTCAAGAGCTATCTATAATTCATTTTAGGTTTGAATATTTTCTGTTTGACTGGTTCTGGACATATAGTTAAGAAATCAGGATCATTCTCAAAAGGAATATCTTTGATAATGAGACTTTCTAAAAAAATAGTTTTATCCCCTTACCTCATTATTAATTTTAGTTTATGTCTAATTGCAGGCATATATTTACTACGTTAATATAAGAAATGTGAAAAGGTTTCATTTAAATTGTTTTCTAATTAAAATTACTTTCTACTGATTCCCACATACTGTAACTTCTTTGATTTGTAAGTACACTATTTTCAAATCTACCTTTCTTAATTACTCCATTCTAACATAATTCACCATCTCCATGTTACATACCTCTTTCCAAATATCCTTTGTTATATTGATCCTTTCAAAACATTTCACCAAATCCATGTCTATAATCATTCACAAAAGATCCAACATAATAATTTCCTGATGGCCATGTAAATATTTCTTATCCATACTTTTTATCATTTTCAAACATTTCCTCATAACTATAATGACCTTCATTCACAGGATCCCATTTATTCCATACACCTTTTCCATGTCTGAATCCATTCTTAAAAATCCCTATCCATTTACATGATATTTCTAAACTCTAAATTCAGCTCCTTTATTCCAAATATATGTACCTTTTCCTTCTGGTTTTCCATTACGAAATTATTCATTATTAAGATCTTCATTAACAAAGTTTTCTATATCATGTCCATGTTTTAAATTATTCCTAAAAACTTCCAGTATATTTATTATTATTCTAAATATAAACTCCATATCCATCAATTTTACCAAATTTCCATTCTCCTTCATAACCCAAATTCCATTCCCATGTTTAAATCCATTTACCTATTGTTCTTCATAGCTTTCGTTATTACAAATATAAATTCCTTTCCCTTAGGGTTTTCCATTCTATAATTCTCCCTCAAATGTTTCCTATCATTCTACCAAACACCTTAGCAAATTCTACCCTGTAATAATATAAGACCTTAGTATTATATTTTATCTAATAGTATCCATGTTTTTTCCATTCAACATTTAACCATAATATGTCCATTTGGATAATCTTATTCATAATAATTTACCAATCTCTCAACATTTCAATCTTACCTCTAGTTATTTTTAGGAATTATATATTTACTCATAATCCTTATTATAAATATGTATTTTTTATTAAGGTTTGACAGCACTAATTGAACTTAATGGTTTATTATCTGGAATACTAATAGATGTAATTTTTGGATTGGCATTCAAATTTTGTTATACTATTAACCCTATTAATTAATCATTTCTTTATTGTATTTAATTTATATATATAAATAATATTTGCAGATTACCAACATACAATATTTTACTATTATTATGGATATAGTTTAAAAAATATATTTATCAACAATTCTTATTACCATATTTAAACATATGTGTAAAGTAGCCAATTAAAAGGCAGGCTGCTCCAACAAACAATAAATGTAATATAGTTGGCTAGAATTCATCCTTCTTTTCATTTGTAGAAACCTAAATTTGATCAATAGGAGGAAGAGGAACTATTTATTTAGGAGCTGCTGTTGATTTGAAAAAAGAAGTATCTGAAATTAAAGATTAAGTGTCTTCACCAAAGGTTGACTTCGTTTTTAATGTCTCCATTTAGATTTGTTCTGAATTCGCTCTTGAAAATGCAGTATCAATGTTATCGTTAGGATTTATAATCACTGTCATAATCTAAAATTTAGCCTTTACGATATTCTAGAATATTATTATATACAACTTCTTTATTGCTTATGATTTGGATTATATTTGTAGTCATTGGATTGAGGATACCTTTATTTCCAATCACTTTAAAATCTACATTGTTTGTTGTTCTAATCTAAGTAACTATCATTATAAAAAAGAATACTTTAAATGCTAAATGATATCTAGTAATGTTTTAGATCTGAATTTATGCTTTTTGATTTGAAAACTGAATTTTCTCTTTTGGATTGACAACAAAATGAAAATTATACATTTAATATTATTTTAATTTTGTTAAATGTTTAAGCAATACAATAAAAAATCAAATAGATTATCTATGATTATTATATATTTACTAATATGATATTTGTAATGAATCTTAATTTGAATTGGCTTGAAGATTCCTATCAAAACCTTATTTTAATTAATATATATGATCAAGAATAGTTTGATCTAATAATACTACTAAACTAACATAAATATGATTACAATAGAGGAAAAGATGAAATAATTACAAAAAATTTAGTTTCATAATAATGAGAAGTCATTCATTAATTGCCCTGTACTTTCATAAGCATTCAAAGTTTTAATTATGTTTCAAAATATAACTGTGAAATATTTAGAAAAGTAATTGGAACTATTTAAATTAAGAGTGTAATAATGTATTGAATAACCAAAGTAAAAAGTTATATTGAGTTAAAATAATTATTTGTATTAAATAGTTGTTACTATCTTGAATATCATTAAATCCAGAAAGATATTCCATGAAAAATAAAATTTATATTAAAATTCTTACTGGGTTTATTATCTATTTAGACCCCCTTTTAAGAACACATTAGAATATTTATATTGTATGAGGTTATTCTAATAAATTACTCGTCAAAAATCTACATGTCCTTATTTTAATGCCCAGCACTCTTCTTAACCAAAGATAGTTAATTTCAAGATGTAATAATAACAACTCAGTTTGGCTCTTTACAAATAGAAGTACTTTTATTTATATAATTTGATAGTTGAAAAATGGAAATGAGTAATTGGTTTATTTACCCTAAACTTCTATGGATACTATTCTCTGTTTTGCTAGAAAAATAGATGAAAGTAACATAAGTTTTTAATAAATAGACAAATAGATGGGCACTTTAGATCTCCATAATCCAGAAACATAAATTAAGGTTACTTTCCTCCTTAGTTTGTAGAATATTGAATAGTTATCTCTTAGATTAAAAGGAAGATAAATTTTCTATTCCTCTTCTAATTATATAGTCTTAGAAAAATTAGCTCCTGGAGTAAGTAAGGAAAGATATTTATATTAGAACTTATTTCAACACTTTAAAGAGTCTCTGTTGAAAAGAAGGCTATATTTCTTTCAAAAGATCAATTGACTAATAGCAGATTGGTATTTAATAATATAATAATGACAGGGGCAATTAAAATAAGAGGCAGACATTTTACGACTGTTAAAAGATAACACTCATAAAAATATAATTTAGTTAGAAGAAATCCTAACAGATTATAAGTCAGTTTCAATTATTTTAGAGTATTGTAGAGGAGGAGATCTTTTAAAACTACTCCATCTCAAAAGAAGTATGATTGATATACCTGTTTTAATGTTTAATCTCCTCTCTGGTAAAATAATATATAATGAATTAAGGTTTGAGACATCTTCATGATTTAGAAATTGTTCATCGAGATATTAAGCTTTAGAATATCTTATTTACAGACTCTTAGAGAATGGACTCTTTGAAAATATCTGATTTTGGCTTTGCATGTAAGAAATCCGAAATTCAATACATAAATCCAAGGTTTTTTTTATATAAATCACTCTAGATGTGGAACTCTTGGATATACAGCTCCTGAAGTATTTAGTTAACCATGTAGTTATGATGAAAAAGTTGATATTTATAGTGCAGGGATTGTATTTTATAATCTGTAAATTATGTAATATAGTTTAGTTTAACATTCAAAAATCCATTTGGAAACTTAGAAAATATTTCTGATTTAATTAAATTTAACATTAACGGAGACTATAATGAGACTCATCTAGAAAATACTAAGTTAAATAACCCTCTAGCTTATAATTTACTAATATCAATGCTTTAAAAAGAATCAAATAAAAGGCCCAGTGCTTATGAATGTCTTAATCATCCATATCTTTAAAGTCATCAATAAGGTGATTTTATTAAAGAAATGATTTAGATAAAAAGAAAATTAAAAAAAAAGAAAAAAATAAATTTAACAATTAAAAAAGAATTGGCTGTTTATGAATGAAGAATTTTTCATTATCATATTATTATTATATATTATTTCATTACAACAATTATATTACAATAGCATTAATATCTATTGTGAATACTGATATCTTATGGGATTGGGTTGTAATGATGCACCATTTTGTTTTCGACTTTCAAAATAAATTGTTTATTCAAATCATTTACTGCCGATAATTGATTTTAGCTTCAGATATTTAATTATGAGCACTCATAGCATATTTGATTATTTTCTGATTTAAATAGATTAAATAATAAAATAATTACCTATTTTAACTGTTATATTTCTCTTTATTTTTTACCATTTTATAGTTTGTTTATATAAACTAAAGAAATAAATCCACTTTATTTTAAATTAAATTGTATTGAATCAGAATGGGCCTATTTATTAATTGTCATCAACTTAAATCTTTCTATATAAATGGAAAAAAAGAAGGCACTAAAATTAAAGATTTTTAAGAATTAATTAAAGAGTTTTTTCTTATTTATAGTCATAAATAAATCAACCATCAAATTCACAATAGCTCTTTTAATTAGGAGCATAATCCAATTGATATATAAGATATTGAGGTAGCAACATAACTATTAACAGAATTAGAAATACTATTAAACCTCTTATTTAATAGTATCTTTTTTATGATGAAATTCTTAGCATTAAAAATCTATATGATAATTTTGATTAATTTATACAAAGATTAAATTTATATGATTTAAAGATTATATGTATTATTTTATTCTATATTTCAAAATTCTATTTTTTTTTAATATTCATTTATTTATCTTTACTTTTTTAGTTTTAATCTAATGATACAATTATCAATAAATAAATGTGTTAACTTAATTTGCTAAATAGATTATTAAAAATATGAAATTATATAAATTATCTCTATTTGTTTTATGATAATTTATTAAATTTTCAATAGTATTTAAATTTTGTATGAGACATATTTTACAGAGGCATTTACTTAAATTGATATCATAATAGAAAAGAAAATAGTGTTAATCTGAATTTTTAATTATTTTATAAAGTAATTTTAGTATTTAAATAGTATTTTTATTAATAAAAATGTTTTTATTGGATTATAAAAATAGAATACAATGTTTGGATGTAATAAATTAGTACTGTTAAAATCGTTTTATAGAGTATTTTAATAATTCAGTTTTTTGGATTAATAAAATAATAATAAAAGTATGAATAAGGTCATTGATAAAATAGAAAATAAAAACCTTGATCCAATAATAGTTATGAAAAACAGAGAATACCTCATAGATCATTTGGTTATAGAAGAGTTAGTAAAAAAAACTAAAACTCTGAACATAGAAGAAGATTTAGACTCTACAATAATAATCTGTAATTCAGATTATGAAGATTGATGTTACTCATCGATCTTCTAATTCTCATTGAGTATATATATATGTTTGTTTAACAATACTTTAAAAAATGTATTTCATTCACTTTTTAAATGAGGATCTACAGGGTCCACAAGGAATAATTTCAATCTAAATGCATCATTACCTGACATGTAATAGTTTTACATTCTTTTCATCTTAGCAAAACCCAAAGATTCATATAATCTTAATGCAGCATAATTAGTTTATTCAGTCTCCAAAACTATTTCTTCACCACCTTATTTAAATTTTAAATCAAACCTTTTTCTTTTATTTTGTCAATAAATTTTTATGCTAAAATTCTCCCTATTTTAAGACGTCTATATTTGTTTTCTACTACAATCATAGCTATGTAACCCCTATTTCTGCCTGATTTATTATGCTTATCTAATTTTCCTATTACAACCTAGGAATTTGATAAAAGAAATCACCCCAATAATTTCATTGTTATAATAAGCAAAAATTGACAAATCTGGCCAGCCATAAAGAAAATATCTGTATGTGTAAATTGAATATGGTTCTGATAATTCAGCATCAATCATAGGCATTATTTTTGGTATTTAACTGTAATCTGTGAAATTTGTATATTGAATATCCTCCAATTTGATTGATTAATCTTAATCCATAATTTAAATTAAACAAATATTACAACTATATGTGTTTGATTTATAATTTCTATAATTATAAAATAAATTATTAAAACAAATGAAAAATCGTCATTCTTTTTTATATTTAAATCATTAGGATTGTAAATTATGAATATGTAAACCTTCAAATTATAACTATTTTTTAATCATTCATAATATATGAATAAAATTTCATATATTAATGGTATTAATATGATTTAATTATCTATCATTAATATATTATATAATTTTGAATAATCTATTAGTTCAATTATAGAGTTTAAGTATTATTATTTTCAACATAGGTAGGTTTTTTAATATTATAATTCTATTATTTAATCAATACTAAAAATATTCTTAGCATTATATGATATTTTTAGTGCTTATATCTTCATTCTAACATGTTTTGTTTAAACATGAATTAATTCGAATTTGGAATCTGATTTATTTAATTTTTAAATGTGGATAAGTATTTAAGTAATATTTTAAAATTATAATTATCCATTAACTATAAAATTGATTTACTTCTATTAATGATTTATAAAAATTGCCATAGTTTTTTAATCTAATCATATGATAATAATTATTGATCTATTGAATTTTTAATAAGTTTCTTAATTGATTTTATTAATGATTGGATTAAATTTTTTATATGTCAATTACAATTAAATTGGTAATTGTTATTTTGTTAAATTGAATAAGCTAAATAATTTACTTTATATTTAATTCACACATTAAGATTATATGCTTTTCATTATTATTTTTCTAAATATTTATTAAACAATTAGGTAGAAAATAAGGTTTATCAAGATATTAATAGGATTATATGTTTAATAATAGTAATTTGTAATTTATTATTACGTAATTTCAATTTGCCATAATTTAATGGCATAAAAATAGTACAAAGTAAATAGAATTCTCTTATTTTATATAACTAAATAATATAATTTCATATTTTTGTAAATTTAAATCTTAACTATTTACCACATTATTCATTTTTATTTATCAAAAAGTTATTTCTTTTGATTCAAAAAATTATTGGTTTTTTAAATCAAAAATATTTAGAAAAGCTCATTTTTAAGAATCAATTATGAAATCAAATTTATAAATAGATTACTAATGTGAGTAAACATAAATGAATGCTTATGAGTTGATTAAACTAGTATTGAGGGAAGAAGAAGAGGAGGAACATGATAAGGATGATGATGAATCTTCTAATAAAGCTATAATTATATTAATATTCTTATGTATAGGATTATTAATTTCTGGGATAATTTTTTGCTTATGTAAATATTTTTACGAGAGAATAAAACAAAAAAGATTAGCCTAAGTGCGTCAATTAAATGAATCATAATATTAATAGTAAAATATTTAATTAGAAACACTATGTTTATAAAATAGAGAATTGGAGGATTGTCCAATTTGTTTAATGCCAATACCTAGTATTTTACTAGTATCTACTTCTTGTAATCATAAATTCCATTAAGCATGCTTAACTTTATGGTTATAAGTTTATAAGATATGTCCTACTTGTAGAACAATAATATCTCAATGAATTAGAAGGATAAGTGATTTTTGTTAATGAAATATAATTTATTTAATGAAATAAAACACTAAGATCTTATTTTATATTAGTTTATTAAATTATATGATGAAATTGTTGTTTAACTTATAAAAGGGTAGTTTTTTATTATATCTAAAATATAAAACTATGTATTAAAACTAAGTTTTAAATTTGATATTGAATTATTACAATAATATTAAGTTACTTATTGGATTTGAATAATAAATTTACAAATTAATTTATATATGAACAACTCTCAGAAAAGTAAAACTGTTCGATCAGGTTCAGCAAGAGTAAAATCAGCTATTGAAAGAGCTGGATTAATTTAACAAAGAGAGTAATTGAGAGAAATGTTGATTAGCAAATTTTCAAAAGATTTTGCTTAAGGTAGCAAGAATAAAGAAGTGTTAATTTAATAAATAGTTAATGAATACTTCGCGAATGAGCAAGTATCAAGAATAAAAAATGTTAGGTTACAGAAAATTCTTTAAAATAATTGAAGGCAAGAGTTTAAGAGGCAATTCAAAAATAAAAATATCAAAGTTAAACTCAATAAAATCCTTCCTTAAATATTTAATTTGATAATAGAAGTGAATAGAAATCACAAAATGTTAGACCTTAAACTGTGAAGAATTCAGTTAGATCTGAAAGAGATGCAGATTAATATTCTGTAACGTCTTCGTAATTTGAAAAACCACCAAAATCTGTTTATGTTGTTGATGAAGAAGATGAATGGGCTGCTTTAGTAAAATTTGATACAGAACTTCACACAAAGGAATAATAACTAGAAATGTAAAGGTAGGCTGAATTTAAAAAAAAAATGAAATCAGAACTTGATAGATAATTAGAAGAGAAAAGAAGGAAATAAGAGATGGAGAAAAAATAGGAAGAAGCTTATGTAAAATTAAGAGATTATTAAATGAATGCTTATGATTAAAGGGAAGATTAAAAAAAGAGAGAAAAAGAAAGAAAATAATAATTGGAAAAAGAGTAAAGAGATAGATAAGTTAGGGAGGAAGAAAAGAGAAGATTTTTAGAGAAAAAGAAATAATCAGAATAAGATGCAATTTTAGTTTAAAAAATATAAGAAGAATTAAAATAAGAATAAAAGGAAATAATTTAAAAGAAAGAGATAGAGAAGAGAAAGTTTATAGAAATGATGGAAGAAAATGAAAAAAATAGATAGAAATAAATGCATGATGAAATAACAGAGAAATAATTAGAAATTGATATGTAAAGAAAACATATTGCTTTACAGGAAAAATTAGAATAAGAGAGAGAATTAGAAAAGAAGGAGAGAGAAGATAAAATAAAAAAGATTATGAGTGATTTTTCATAAACAGTTGTAAAGAATCAAAAAGATTAAATAAAGTATTATCTTATCTAGATATAGAGCTGAAGATGATAAAATGATAAAAGCCATTTTAATGCAAAATTAAATAGAATAAAATGATGAAGATTAAAAAAGAAGATATATAAAATAATAATAATAAGAAATGAGATAGTATTTAATTAAACAAATGGAAGATAAAAAGTAAATTTAATATGATTATTTAAGATAGAAAGCAAAAGAAGAGGAAGAATTGAATAAAAAATAAGCATAAGTTTGGTAATAAGATTTATAAATGTATTAAACACATGAAAAATAAAAATTTAATTACATAAAGGATGTTAATTTGAAACATCAAGATATTTTAAAATAATAAATTGATGAAAGAAAATCATAGTAAAGACCTAGAAATAAAATGAATAATGAAGAATTAATGCATAATAAGCCTTTACTTAAAGAATTGGCAGATAAGTAAGATGCAATCAAAGTAAGGAAAATGAATATATGATGAGATTCATTTCTTTCATATATATATATATATTTTTATGTTAAATATATATATATTTAAATGTGATAGCAAATCCATAAATTAAATTATCAAAATATGACTCATAGTTACGGTTTAAAAAAGGGTACAAGAAGTAAATTTGCCAAACCATTTAGAGGACATGGAAATATTTCAATAAGAAAAACCCTTTAAACATTCAAAAGAGGTAATACTTAATTTATAATCTTAAGGTGATTTTGTTGATATTTTGGTTGATGGTGCTTAACACAAAGGTGTTCCATTTTAATATTATCATGGCAGAACTGCAAGAGTATTCAATGTCAATCCAAGAGGAATTGGTGTCTCTTTACAAAGAAGAGTGAGAGGAAGATATGTCGAAAAGCGTTTTCATGTTAGAGCTGATCATTTGAGACCATCAAAATGCAGATAAGAATTTGTCAAGAGAGTCTAAGAAAATGATAAGAAAAAGACTGAGGCAAAGAAAAATAAGCAAGTCATTTCAACAAAGCGATAACCAGTTTAACCAAGAGGAGCAACAGTTGTTATTCCTAAATAAACAACTTTCTAACATCCAAAGGCATTTGTAGAAATTATTTGATCGAATAAATCAGTATATTATAAAAAATAAGTTAATATAAATAAAGAGTTTTATTAATGATTAATGCATATTTCTACTTGATACATCATAATCATTTTTCTTATTATTATTAAGGACCATCAAAGTCGTCTTCATCCTCCTTTCTTCTGTAATAATATGTTTCAAGATTTTTTTTGTTAATCTAATTACATTAAAATTAATGATTACTTTCTTTAATTTTTCTGGAGGAAAGATTCTTAACAATCTCCAAGCTAAATCTAAAGATTTGAAAATTGATCTAACTTCATAAGCTCCTTAACTGATGAAATTATTTTCAAACTTCTTTAAAAATTCTAAATATAAAAGATCTTCAGCAGACAAGGCTTCTTCTCCTACGACTGCTTTCATTGATGCTGTATCTTTACCAATAGCATAATTAGCATATAACTATAGATTATTTTAATAATAATTAATACTTAATTTGAGACTTCAGGATGATCTTCTCTGGTCATACCCTTACCAATAGCAGATTTCATCAATCTTGATAATGAGGGTAAGACATTAATAGGTGGATAAACTTATTTGTTATTCAATTATCTATCAATAAATATTTATCCTTCAGTAATATATCCTGTAAGATCTGGAATGGGATGTGTAATATCATCATTAGGCATTGTCAAAATAGGTATTTAAGTGATTGATCCATTCTTACCTTAGACTCTACCTGCTCTTTCATAAATAGTTGAAAGATCTGTATAAAGATAACCAGGAAAAGAACGTCTTCCTGGAACTTCTTCTCTTGCTGCAGAGACTTCTCTTAATGAATCTGCATAGGCTGACATATCTGTTAAGATAACTAAAACATGCAACTCTTTTTCATAAGCCAAATATTCTGCAGTTGTTAATGCCAATCTTGGAGTAATAATTCTTTCAATTGTTGGATCATTAGCCAAGTTCATGAACAAGACGACTCTTTCCATTGAACCATTTTATTCAAAATCTGTTTAGAAAAATCTAGCAGTTTCCATATTGACACCCATAGCACCAAATACAACTGCAAAATTTTCATCAGAATGATCAAGTACATCTTTACCCTTAACTAATGAGGCTTAACGCACAATTTAACTAAATTTATAGATATAGAATCATACGCTCCTATTTCATTATGAGGTAAACCATTAGCAGAGAATAATGGAATCTTCTATCCTCTAGCAATTGAGTTCATACAATCAATAGCTGAGATACCTGTTTGAATCATTTCTTAAGGATAGACTCTGGAATATGGATTAATAGGCTATCCTTGAATATCCAAGAATTCTTCAGCCAAAACAGGGGGTCCTTTATCAATGGGAACTCCTGATCCGTTGAATGCTCTTCCAAGCATTTCTTCAGAAATTGCCATTTAAAGTGTTGAACCTGTGAATTCGCAATGAGTGTACAAATTATCGATACCTGAAGTACCTTCAAAGATCTGCACAACTGCTTTCTTACCAGCAATTTCCAAAACTTATCTAAAAGTATTAAATAGATCAATACCCTTTTCTGACAGATCCATCTCCCAAACAAACATTAACAATTTCTGCATATCTAGGGAATTTGACATTGTCTAAAATAACCAATGGGCCGTCAACCTTCACCACTGTTCTGTAATCAACTCTTGGTGTTACATTGTAATTTCTTGAAGCAGCTGCTGCATTTAATCTAGCAGCTGCTACTTTAGCAATATCATGTGCCTTATGATGATGACTCATTTATAAAATAAAGATATTTATGGTTTTTTAAGAATTTATAAACCCATTTTATATTGTCGATATACACTTTAATATAATATTAACAAGAAAAAAAGAAGTTCAATGTCTCCAAATCTTAACCCTTCTATCCTTGCCTCCACTTCCAGCTTTTTCACCACCAATAGGAGCCCAATCAACAGCATAAACTTCATCAGCATGTCCTGGCAAATCAAAGGCTAACTTCTTTTTTTATAAAGACCATAATTTCAAAGTAGAATCCTTAGAAGCAGACAACATATATCTAGAATCACTAGACCATGAAACTTAATATACTGATCCAACATGACCTCTCAAAGTAGCAATCCAATTTCCATTGTAACCATCCCAAATTCTTAAACTCTTATCAAAACTAGCTGAAACAATATATCTTCCATCTGGAGAGAATTATACATGATTCACTTATTATTAATGTCCAGTCATTCTAACTTTTGGTTTTGATGATGTATATTCCCAAAGCATCAAAGTTTAATCATCACTACCACTGACAAGTCTTTCATTTTTACCATTTAACATCTTATCATAAATAACCTTAGCTTATTTTCTGTTAATTTCTGTATTTCCTTCGCTAAAACAAGCACATCTTATTGTGTAATCAGTATGTAAGGCAATAGAATTGACCCAATGTCCATGACCTTTTAATTCTTAAACTCTTTTTCCTGATTTATTCCATACCCCAATTGTAGTATCTTCAGATGCAGTATAAATATATCCTTAACCACCCCAAAGCATTCTATATTTAATAAGATATATATTTACTTAGTAATTGCTTTTTAATGAGCATTGATGGATATTAAACAAGACAATGAAATTCTACTCCAGATTCTAACACTACCATCTTTTGATGATGAAGCCACTAAAGTACATTCTTCATCTAAATGCATTGGTTACCAGGCTATACTAGTTACCCATTTAGTATGTCCTATTAATGGTTACCCTTTTAATGAATTAGTTTCAACATCCCATATACAAACTTAACCATCATGACTACCAGAAGCAATATATTTGCAATCAGGACTCCATGCTAAACATAATACCCAATTCTTATGGCCTTTAAGTGTGGCTATTGGTGTTTCAGTCAACATATCCCATAATCTTATTGTAGTATCTCCACTGCCAGTTGCTAAGACATCTCCATGAGTTCTGAATTGAACACATAAAACAGGTTATTCATGACCTTCTAAAGCAGCTGTTTATCGTGTGATAGGCTATATTCTAAATAGAGATTAGGGATGATATGTAAGAGAAAATGTATTTTCTAATTTATATTCAGGATCTGAAGCGATTAATTGATTTAATGTATCTATTAATTCAATGTTATTATGGAAAAATGAGTAAACTTAATCTTCTTCTGTTTTGACCAATTATTATAAAATTGATTACAATTCTTCTTTAGTTGTATTCACTGATAGTTCTAAGGATTTTTAAGCTTCTTCGCCATAAGGATTAATTAGAGTAACAAATACTCTTGTATCTGGTGGAAGGAGAGTAATTTAATTAGGTTTTATTTTCTTCTTGGTTTAATCCATTTATTGATCACTATTAAAATTAATGAATTAAGGTAATTAAGACAAGAGAAAATAAAGAGATTATGAAGATGATGATTCAGAAGAAGAGGAAATAGAACAACCTATAAGTGTACATAATAAAGGAGATATGGAAGAGGAAATAAATCTTGACTTTGTATTCCTTGATCCAAATCAAAAATAATTTCACTCTATTAAAACATTCATGAATGGCTATTTAGAGGGAATCAGTTTTAAATCTTCTGAATTGGCTAACATTATATGTGATCAAGTTGAATTGGGAACTATGGTAGGACAAGAGGATGAAGACAATGTTTTTGGTTTTACTACAATATTAAATATTGGTCAAATTAAGTAAATTAATTTTTAATCATCAATAGGAGTAATGCTATTGGTGAAATTTTGCATTATGTAGATACTAAATCTCAATAATTCAATAAATAACATTAATAACTTTAACACATCTTTTAAACACCTAAAAAAATTGGTTTATTTATTAATGAAAGAATACTTAATTTGGCTCCATAATTAGTTCCTATTTTGCATAATTAACTTGTAATTTATACATTTGATTTTAGAAAGAAGATATAAATTGGTTACAAAAAGAAGATCCTTCTAATTCACTTACAAATTTAGATTATTTGCTTGTAATTACTAAAAGTTTTAAAGATAATGATTAATAAAAGTAGACTTAAAAAGTAAATAAATTATTAAAAATTAGAAATCTACTACAGATCTAAATGATTTGATATTCTAAAAGTTTGAGGACTTTGTCTTTTTATAAAAATCTGTTGTTTCATTTAGATTCTTAAGTGAAGGATCAAAATAAACTTAATAAGTCTCTGACTTTATGAAGACTGAACAAGATGGTTAAATTTGTTATCGATTGATATATCTGATACAATTAAAAGATTATCTAGCATAAATAGCGAATATTGAAAAATATGTATAATAATGAATGAAGATGTATCTAACTTAAAAAATCTCATCTATATTAATAATTATTATAATTTTGTATTCAAATAAAAATATAATCATTTAATTAAATAGTCTTAATCAAATATTCTATTCCTTTTATAGAGCATAAAAACAAAAAGTAGAAGAGGAAAATAATGATTTTTATTTTTTTAGAATTTTAATTTTTAAATTACAGAATAATAATTCAAAATCAATTCTACTAATTAAAAAATTATTATTATATCTATTCATTGTACAATAAATCATCATTCTACAATACTTAAGTCTTATTTCTCTTGAATATTTTCAATATTGTTACAAATTAATCACCTTTGATATACTTTTATGTTTTTTAATAATTCATTCCTTTCATCTTAAAATATTAAGGTCAATGTTGAAGATTCTTGCTTAAACATACCTTAGCCAAAAATAAAATATGTAATCGCTAACCTTAAAATAATCATTGACTTATAGATTTAAAATATTTTTGGACGAAGAAATTCTTTCATAATTATATTGTTAATATTAAAATTAAATTAATCGACTATTAGATAAAGAATTCAAACTTTATTTGAATATAATCACTTGCTTTACTTTTCTACAATATATGCATATCTGATAGTATGATAATTATAATTAGAAAAATTAATTAACATCATGTTTAATATTATTATTAACATGTATAAATCATAAGGATAAATATTCATATGATTTTAAACTTATTTAAACGGAATCAAAAATTATAATAATACAATATCTATTTTTAAATCATTAGATTTATCAATAAATATCCACATATCAGACTATCAAATCAAAATTATTATATTGCTTTAATAAACTATTTAGAAATTAAATAATTAATATTTTGTTCTATTAAATTTAACTTATTTTAGGGAAATGAATAGGATGGATGATAAACATACAAATATAGGTTATCAATAATATCAATAAAAGAGTACTTTTTAATCAATCGAATTAAATTAATTAAGATATCTTAATAATATTGTGATTGAATTTTTGAGATCAGTTAAATGAGTCATTTAATAAATGCTATATAATTTATTTTAAGAAAATAGAGATCTATTTGTCAAATAACAATGAATCCTTTAAAATATCAAGATAATATCCTAACATTAGACTTATTTGAAAAAATAGACTAAAAAAAATCATATATTCAAAATAAATTTCAAAATAAAATTCTTTCATATTCAGACAATGACCTCAAAAGAATATAATGAAGACTATATTTGTGGATTTTATTCAGATTCTATTGAAGAATCTATTTACAGTTCGTCCAATAGTAAAAATAATATAGGAAAATGTGATTATATTAATGGATCTCTACCTAAAATTTCTTGTGATGTAAGAATCGATCATACTAACTCGTCGAGAAAAATAAATAGGCATCTGAAAAAGCTACCGTTGAAGAAGGAAAATAAAAAAAAACTCTCTTTATAAAGTGTTTATGGAGAAGTAGGTTTAAATCAAGAATCAAATGTATAATTATTTGAGGATATATGCTAGAGCCTATGTGATAAAAAAGGATATTAGAATATAAAAAGAAAGAAGAAAACACAAGAATCAAAGTATGGGTACCCAGGAGAAACAAAAAATATGTATTATAATATTAGTTAGAATTTAAAACATTATATAGGTATCTTACTTTATTCATTAAGTAGAATTTAATTTTGATGAATAATAAAAGTCAGAACATGAAATTAGGAAATTTTTAGAAACTCCTGCTAGGTTGGGTTTTGCTGGATTAAAAAAGATTCTAAATTAAAATTCAAAGCTGAAATAAATAGCCAGAATATTCTTTGCATAATTTGGTTGGTCTCGATTTTTCATAATGAATAATAGAGTTGATTTGGATCCATACTTTAGATTTAAATCAACTTTTCTAATTGGCAGATGATTAAATAAAAAACATGAATAAATATTCTACATCAAAAATAATTTTAAATATGAAATTATATATATTAAAAATTTATTTAATTAATATATTTCATTGTAATAAGGATGGAATAGATCAAGCTTCAAATTAAAGCCACAGATATGGATGAAGATTTCATTAAAAAGGTTACTGATATTACATAATCAGCTATGTAACAATTTAGATCTGAGAAATAAATTGCTCATCATATTAAATATGAATTTGATAAATTTGATTAATTTGGTTGGAATTGTATTGTTGGAAGAAACTTTGGAAGTCACGTAATTCATTAAACAAAAAAATACATTTTTTATCAACATAAAGAATTGTATTTCTTATTATGGAAGGCTTGAATAATCTGATTATTGATTATTAAGAATAAGTTTATATATTAACTGTTTCATTTATTTTTTTAATTCTTTATTAAATACTCAATTTATCAATTACAATAAACATTAGAAAGGAGATTATATATCTATATATTAATAAATTAGAATTGTAACATTTATTTTATAATATCAATGATTATTAAAATATGTTTTAATCAATTATTTATAAGTATAAAAATAAACTTATTTCAAAATGTTTACTTTTATTTAAATTGTATAATGATATTAAGGAAAAATAATGATTTATTATATAAATTTTAATTGAAAAAGTATATAGGATGTCTAACTTATTAAATAAAAATAAATTTTATTATTATTTTTATGAAATAAATGAATAATTTCAACTAATAGTTATAATTAGATACAATAGAAGTGATTGACAATTTAGAAACATTAAAAAAAGTTATTAAATAAAAGGATATTTAAATAAAAAATATGGAAACAGAATTTTAGGAGAGATTGAATACATTTTAATTAGCTGTTGCAAGAGATTAAGATGGATTAAAATAAGACATAATATCATTTTTATTAAAAGATAATGAATAACAAAAAAAGATTGAATAACTACATATAAATTATGAATTGTATGCTTGAATAATTATTATTTTAAGATTGCAAAATTAATTAGAAGAGACATTCTAAGAAAGTAATAATAAAATTAAGACTTTACTTGATATAAATGACAAAAAAGATCATGAAATACAACAACTTAAATAATAAATAAGAGACAATGAAGAAAGGGTTAATTAACTTAGAAAAAATTCAATTTCAAAAGATAGAAATATGTTTGAAACAGAAACTGTTATTAATAAAAAAGTTCTTGATCTTTAAAAAAGAGAAGCTGATTTAACATTTAAATTAAAACAAGCTTTAGATAAAGTAAATATGAAATCAAATTATTAATTAGAATGAATAATTGTAAAACTATTTTGAAAATTATTAAAGTGAAAAGGAAGTTAAATTAATCAAATAAGTTGAACATCTTAAGAAATAAAACACTTCTTAATTAAATAATATATCATCAAATTATGAGGATTAAGTTAAAACATCAAAAGAAGTTATTGAATAATTATAAGAACACATTCTCAATTAAAAAGAAAGATTCACCTTTATTTAAGATGAAAATTCAAAGTTAAAATGTGAAGTCGATATAACAAATGCTAAAATTAATTGTAAATGCTTTATAAATCACTTTAGAATTATTAACAATAATTGATAAACTTTAAGAAACAGAAGCCTTACATGACCATACAAGAAAAGAATTATAATAAGTTGAAGATGGTAAAAAATCATTAGAAAGAAATTATAAATTGTAATTAATACATTTATTTTTTTAGAGAAATCTAAGCTTTATAAATCTAATTGGAGGAAGCTACCAAATATATTGATTTAACTACCAATCTTCAATAGAAGCTTAATAAAAAAGATTTAAAGATATCATCTTTATAAAATGAAAATCAAGAATTACATTAATTGGTTTAAGATTTAAGATTATAAGTTTCATCTGTTGAATAACATTTTTAATTAAATGCTGATGAATAGAGAAAAGCTAACGTATTATTATCAAATAAAGAATATGAACTTTAAACAATTATTGAAAGTTAAGCTCAGAATTTTATTGAACAAGAATAGAAATTAAAATAAAGTTATGAAGAATTATGGTTAGATTACTAAAATTTATAGTATGCTTATGAATTATTAAAATAAAAGAGTGGGGAAGATTCATTTAGATTAAAATTATATAAAACTAATGAAAAAAAAGGCAGTAGAGCCATTCATGGTAGTCAAACAAGAATGACAATAGCTGAAAGAGATCATTAATATAATAAGGAAACTATTAAAATCAATGATGATGACTTTTTAAAAACATTAGAAAACTATTAAAATTAGGATTAAGGAAAGTAGACTAATAAAAAATTAGATAGAAATGTATATGTAAGAAGAGTTTGAGTGTAAATGCTTTTATTATTATATATATTTAAATTATAAATAAACTTAATAATAATTACAATAATTTATCTAAAAGATAATAAAATAAATTTATTATTATATATCATTTTGATTCTTAAAGGGCAGCCTTTTGTTATTGTACTTTTGCATGTGTCTCCTCCATTTTTTCATAAGCTTCTTCTAAAATTGATAATAATGCTTCATGTCCATCCATTCTTAATTATCTTTCTTCTTCTAATTCACTTTTGACTCTGATTACAACTTCTTTGAGCATAGTAAATATACCAACTTCTGCATCTTCTCTTTTAATATAATATTAATTGAAATTACCTTTATGATTTACCTTAATTAGCTTATTCAAATAATTTGGAAATTTCTTAACTTGCTTTTTTCACTATATATTAATCTTCTTAAACTCTTTCTTAATTTTCTTAAACATTATATTACCATAATTAAGGTAAATCATTTTGTAAAGTTGTATTAATAATATTTACTTATTAATTTCTCACTTTAATTTCTTATCCTATTTATTAAAGTAATTCTTAAACCTTTCAGTAAATTAAATGAAATCTTACTTATTAATCATAATTAGACAATACTTATTCACTTTATTCTCTATTAACTTTAATATCATCATCTAACTTTTTTTATAGTTTATTCTCTAAATTCTTGATTTCTTTTAACTTTTTTTCATGTGAAGAACTATATTTTTCATTTTGTTTTTCAAATTATTTTGTAAGATCTTAGAATTAACCTGACAATTATCCCTATTCTTAACATAATTAAGTACAAGTTATTCACTGTAATTATTGATAATATCCTTCAATTCACTCTATGCTTTATTGATTCTATCATAAATTTCATCAATTTTTGCATCCTTTGTGTTATCAACTTCAAATTGAAGAGCTCCCAATTTCTCTTATAATTTTGTGTATCTCTCATTGATTTAAGCATTAGGATCCATTTTAATAATAAATAAATATAAATTTTATTTCAGTTCTAATTTTTTTTTTCAATTAAAACCATCATAATTTCTTTAATTTCATCCTCTTTATTACTCTCAACTTCTCCATCAGAACTATATCAATTAAATTGTATTTACTTCTAAAAATCTAATGATTTACCAACTGTATCATAAGGTAATGTGAATGTAGATAATGTAGAAATAACAGAACTTATAGCAAAAGCCAAAAAGGGTAAATGAGCTTCTTACTCAAATAATGGTATTAAAATATAAGGAGAAATGGCAGCACCAATCCTTCCAACTGCAGCACTACTACCAAATCCCAAAGTTCTATTAGAAGTATGAAATATTTCAGTAGAATAAGGATAAAGCATAGCCCAACATTCTTTCATAAAGAAACGAGCAAAAAAATATGGCCAAGAAGCATAATAAGACCAGACATGCATTATAGTTGCACAAAAAAATGAGATAGTCATTGTGTTCTTTCTCCCTAGAAAAGGTATTTCTACTATTAACAATGATAGGATGATTGATGGAATTTCACCTAAAACAGTAGTTAGATAGTCAACAAATGTTTTTTATTTAGATCCTAAAATAAATGGTAGAATTAATAACTATCCATAATACATCTAATATATTTTATAAAAATAAATTACAAAATTAATACAAAACCATATAATCCATAATCTAATGGTTGTACTTTTATTATTTTTATTAAATAATTCTATCAGTGTTCCCTTTTTTTGAGAACGAAACACTTTAATTACCCATTTTTCTATTGCTATTCTCTCTTAGACTGAAATATATCCATATCTTAATAGAATAATTTATAATCTTACTTTGATCCTTTAAATGGATCTGATGATACTTCTGGTTATACACTCTTAAATAACTTACTTATTATTCCTGTATTATTTTAATTTTTATGAATTATTTCTTCAATAATATTTAAACCCTCTATTACTTAACCATTACCCATTAAATATCTAGGACTCTCCATTAAATAAATCCATGCTAAAATTCCAACTATTAATGAAGTTGTTGAACTTAAACACATCATAAATCTCCAATTTCCTTAATTGAAATTCTCAAGACATAAAAATGCCAATAAAAATGCATAAATTTTACCAACAGATACAAAGAAATTAATAACAATTAAAAATCTTCCTCTTACATCAGGTGCTGTAATTTCAGATATCATAGTTGTAGTTAAAGGAATTGAAAATCCTTATCAATTAATTGTACAAAATACCATAAACAAAACCATATCCAAATCTTGCAAAAATCATATGATAAAAATTTGTACAAAGCAAAAAACTGTTTGCCATAAAAAATTATATTAAGCAAGATAAGTAAATACATTTAAATCTACCTTTTCGATCTGCAACAAATCCAGTCAATAATGAACCTAATACCATTCCTTATCTATTTTGAAATAGAAGACTCTACCTAAATAAAAAATACTGGTTAAGACTTAGATTTATAAACTTGTTAATTGCCATTCAGATTTTAGGATAGGCATTAAAAAACTCATTAAAATTAACTCACATCCATCATTTAAATCTATAAAAACCAAGATTGATAATGCTAAAACTTAATATCTCCCTGTTCCACACTTACTTAATAATATTATTGACTTACTCTCTTTTCTATCAATTAATCTAAAGATAATTTTGCATTCTCTTTATAAGGATTCATTATTTAATTATAAAAAAATATTTAACTAATAATAATCAATTTTTTTACTTGAGAATTAATGCTTATTTTAAGGTAATGAAATTATAGTTGAAATTTGAATTAATATTATCATAATATAGATCATAGCTTATATAACAATAATAGAAGAATACAATATAATATAATATTATTTAAAACCATAAAAATATTTATAATTTTCATTAAGAGTGTTATTATTTGTATTAATTTAAAGTAGATTCGAGAAAATATTTGAGTTATCTTACTGCAGATTCAACTTATTCATTATCAGATTAACAATCATTATCCATAGACTTTAATAATTATTTAGATTATATACATGTGAAATAGTTTAGTTATAAGCTGGGGGTATGTTGAGTACTTTGTCATCATAACATTAGAACTCTCTTACATATCCTTTAGAATCATATAACTATAAATGTGGATATTTTTTAATGTTTGTCATTTTGAAATATTTAGTTATTGTTCTTTGAGGTAAGGGTTATTTTTTTTGGAAAGTGATAGCAGTTGAGCATTTTTTAATGGTTTTTTTTACTGTATTTTTGTTATTCATTTAGATATTTTCTTTGTTTGGAATATTGGCTGTTAATGTTTCCTGTAGAAAATTATATTATTATAAATATACCCATCTTTATTTTGAATTATTGAATTTTCTATTTGTATCATATAATTTAGACATATTATTTTAGTTCTAAACTATAATAATAAAAATAATGTGGCATTCAAATTTAAAATTTCGTTAAAAATACCTAGTTTAAATTCCAAAAAAATGGCGGAATATAAATTCTTGTAAAACACATAAATTAATTTGAAATCAAATTTATTATTGGATTGAAATGTATTTTTCATACAGGTGGTAGATTGATGTTTTGTATATCTTTTTCAGATATTTCTCCGGCCTGCAATTATTTCTATTATAAAATAATAGTTAATATTACAATTATTTTCTGACGTTCACTCTTATTACCTCCATTATGTTTGAATTTGATGTGTAAATTCAATGAAACATCTGATCCATAAAGTTTTTCACAATTTTTATAAGGGCACTAAAAAATTGATATATTTAATACACACTTTAAAATTCTTATCAATTTCAGCTGCAGTTCTCCTTTTCTTCTTTTTCTTATTTGTTGCTTCGATTTCTTAAAATTTTTACTCAATCAATTAGACTCTCTATTTTAATTCATGTATTTAAGATTAGAATTCTTATAATTAGGTACAATTCTTTTAATACAAAATCATCATTTCCTAAATGGATTATTGACTATCAAATTGCATGTTATCTATTTTAACTTAATCAAATACCCTCAAATTATTTTGGAAGTTGTTCTTCATTATATACATTCTTTCTGTCAGTATTATTTACTTAAATATTTTGAATATTCTAAAGATTATTATTTTCACTAATCATATTTGATCTATAAGTAAATTATCATACTTACTTCTGATTTATAATAATAACCTTTTTAGTTACTTTCGGAATCTATTGTAGCGATCTCATAATTAAATTTTATTTATTGCTCTTCAAAATTTATTGCAATATATTTTTATTAATATATATGTAAAATATATAATGAAATATTAAATTACAATTCTTTATTATAAAAATATCTTTCAATAACGTTACTTATTTTAACCAATAAGTTTTCATCTCATATATCATATAGTATATACTTTATGTTTTAAAACAAAGTATTACAAATGAATTTTTTTATTCAAATAATAATATTTTATTTATATTTTTAAAGTAAACATGTCAGCATTCAGAGCTTTCATGATTTATGATTACTAAAGAAATTTCTTCTTTATGTTTATAAGAAGAGGTTTTTAAGTGACTCCTAAATGGAATGGTTGTAGAAAAGAATTGGAAAATAAATTATAAGAAATGGTCAAAGAACCCAAAGACAATTTTGAGTAATCTACAGATTATGGAAGGTTTAAATGTAAGTATGATAAAATGAACAGTAACATATTTTGAATAAATAAGAATGTTATTTCATTTTATTGAGCAGTATGGAAGTTAAAGAGGATTATCAAAATTAAGTTTTGGATGAAATATATGATCTCTTTAAAAGTATGCCTAATTACTCAAAAGTAAATATTGCATTTGCAATCTTAGATAAAAAAAGAGGAATTAGAAAAAAAAGAAACTGAAACCATAGAGAAATTACTTGAAATAAAAGAATAAGATTATGCTAGAAAATATGGGAAAGTTAAAGCCTTTGAAGAACCATATGAGACTAAGGTTGATGATAAGATTTAATAACAAGTACTTATATAGTAATTAAAATTAGAGTAAAATATAATCATAGCTAAAAGTTGGATCATAAATTAATAATCAATCAAATTAAAGAGCTATATCTTAAATTTAAAATGGTTCTGTTGGTTATTAAAAAAGTCATGGATTTAATTCTGATAAAGATTTAAGTGCAGATACACTTATTAAAATATTTAGATGTTTTATGATGTGGGATTATAATAGATAATTCTTTTTTATGTTTATAAGAAAAGGATTTCCACTTGATAAAACTTGGAGTCAAGAAAGAGTAAAATTAGAAACAGAAATTAAGGCTAAATAATTGGATCCAAATGATCCTAAAGCAAAACCAAAAGAACCACCTGAATAATTCAGTTATAGAGGAAATTTTGGTTAATATAAAGCAAAATACGATAAAAAAGCAAGTATGATTCTTATACTATTTTAAGAATGTTATTTTGTTTTACTTTCTAGATTCAAAATTAAAGAAGATCCATAAATTAAACTTTTAGAAGCATTATATGATGAAATATAAAAAGTAGATAAATATATTAATGTAAAAATTTTAATTAATTTTAGTTAAAATATGATGCTTTAGAAAGTAAGAAAAAAAGAGATTTAGAAAGGATTATAGATGAGCATGAAAAGGAATTAGCAAATCAAGTGAGTTAAAGATTTATAGACACTAAAATGTTAGAATCAAGATTAGGTTTTATTCATTCTCCAGAGAGAGTATCAAATAATAACTTGTCTTCAAAAAAGAGTTCAATATTTATATCTAATTAACTTTAATAACCATAATAATAATAATCACAAATCAACTCTGCATAATGTTTACAATAACCATTAATAAGTCAATAATAATAATAACCAAAGCAAGAAGAAAATTTATTTAAATCAGAAAAGTTATAAATTAATGATAATCCTATTATTGATGATAATGTAGATGATACTGAAAATATCCCAAATTATACAGAAGAAGGTTAATTAGCATAAAGAATTAATTTGTATTATACCAAGCCATTAAAAGTTTCTTAATATATTAAATCTGGGAATTGAATATCTATAAATATTTCGATTTATTATAATCTGATTTATTTAAACTATTGTTTTAATATTATATTTTAAAATAGATTACTTTTTTTATTAAATTTATTCCTAAACTATCAAAATATCATTATATTTATTAATGATAATTTGATTCTTAATCTTTGATTTCTCTTTTTAGATCTCATTAGTATTTTTATATTATGAAATTAAATTACATCTATGATTTTTTATACTTAAATTATTGATGTTTATAACTGGAATTAATCATTTAAAGTAAATATTTTTATTTATTTAAATTTAATAAGAATTCAAAATTTCTCATTTCTTTTATATATGATTAAAAAGACTATAAATTTGGATCTATGGTAAAAATATTCTAAATAATTTTACAAAATATTTTATATTAAAGTATAAAATAACTGTATTTAATATTTTAAATTACATCTTCAAACTTATATCTGAAGTAACAGGAGAATGATTTGATAAATATTAAGTCTATTCAAAAAATTTATTTGAATCATCTTCACATTATATCAATTAAATGAATTTAGGAATAAAAGTGATAAAAAGTTTATAGAATAATTTATTTAATAATTTAAATAGAAATATAAAGGATTGGACCTGTAGCATTTGAAGTTTTTGAAATGCACTCTTTATTATGACAATAATTTAACAAAAAGAGTAATTTTTATGAAAAACAATATAAAATTTTATTATTGATTATTAATTCCTAAACTTATGAATATTTTAAGAAATGATTTACATCAATCTAATATACTCTATTCTTTCAAAATATTAGGAATTACATATGTATCGATTGGACTTATAAGATTGTTACTTAAAACTAAACTCAAGAAATAACCAATACTATAATTACCATAATTAGAAATATTTTGCTCATTATCACTTTCAGCATTTACACTTGGGAGATTGAATTCAAAAGAAATGAAAGAATATGATAAACTTTAATTGAGATAAATTCAAAAATAAAACTAATTGGAAAGGTATAAACAAAGCTTTAGAGATTATAAAGAAAATGTATAACTATGGACTAATAGTTAGTTTTGGCATTGACATTAATATTAAAAATAATATGATATCATTCTATTTGTTTAGGTTCCTCTTTATTTTAGTTTTCCTATTCTATATTTTATTTTTATTATTCTTCTTCATTCTTAATAGATTAATCCTCTAAAGCATCTTATGATTAAACAATTTCCTCTTAAATTTCTTCTTTTTCTACTTCATTATCCTCTTTTATTTAAACCTATTCTTTAATAATTTCCTAAGTTTCCTCTGGTTCTTATTCTTATAATTTTTATGGATCTTCTGATATATCTAGATTATCATTTAATTATTGTTAATCTTGAACTTGATCTTTAGATTTATCAATGAGGATATTTGAATCTTTTTGATTTTCTTATTAATTTAAATTTGATTCTTATTCTTCTTATTTATTTTCAACGATTATCTAATTCTTANTTCTAAATAATTTTACAAAATATTTTATATTAAAGTATAAAATAACTGTATTTAATATTTTAAATTACATCTTCAAACTTATATCTGAAGTAACAGGAGAATGATTTGATAAATATTAAGTCTATTCAAAAAATTTATTTGAATCATCTTCACATTATATCAATTAAATGAATTTAGGAATAAAAGTGATAAAAAGTTTATAGAATAATTTATTTAATAATTTAAATAGAAATATAAAGGATTGGACCTGTAGCATTTGAAGTTTTTGAAATGCACTCTTTATTATGACAATAATTTAACAAAAAGAGTAATTTTTATGAAAAACAATATAAAATTTTATTATTGATTATTAATTCCTAAACTTATGAATATTTTAAGAAATGATTTACATCAATCTAATATACTCTATTCTTTCAAAATATTAGGAATTACATATGTATCGATTGGACTTATAAGATTGTTACTTAAAACTAAACTCAAGAAATAACCAATACTATAATTACCATAATTAGAAATATTTTGCTCATTATCACTTTCAGCATTTACACTTGGGAGATTGAATTCAAAAGAAATGAAAGAATATGATAAACTTTAATTGAGATAAATTCAAAAATAAAACTAATTGGAAAGGTATAAACAAAGCTTTAGAGATTATAAAGAAAATGTATAACTATGGACTAATAGTTAGTTTTGGCATTGACATTAATATTAAAAATAATATGATATCATTCTATTTGTTTAGGTTCCTCTTTATTTTAGTTTTCCTATTCTATATTTTATTTTTATTATTCTTCTTCATTCTTAATAGATTAATCCTCTAAAGCATCTTATGATTAAACAATTTCCTCTTAAATTTCTTCTTTTTCTACTTCATTATCCTCTTTTATTTAAACCTATTCTTTAATAATTTCCTAAGTTTCCTCTGGTTCTTATTCTTATAATTTTTATGGATCTTCTGATATATCTAGATTATCATTTAATTATTGTTAATCTTGAACTTGATCTTTAGATTTATCAATGAGGATATTTGAATCTTTTTGATTTTCTTATTAATTTAAATTTGATTCTTATTCTTCTTATTTATTTTCAACGATTATCTAATTCTTATCTTAATCCGTTTAATTAATTTCAATATTTTAACTTTCAATAACTTCTTCAAGATCTTTTTAATGTTCTTATTCTTCATTTATATGTTATTCTTTTTCTTGAATTTATTCATCTTAATTTTACTTTTCTTGAAAATCTAATTAAATTTCTTCATCAATTTCAAAATCTTCATTATCAACATCTTTTGGTTATATAACATCATTATTATCAGAACTAATACATTTTCTAATTCCTTAGATTATATGATTTTATTCTTAATTTTCTTCTTAAATATTTGGGCTAATAATTTCTTCTATAATTTTTTATTCTTTTTGTCTAGGATTAATACCCAAAATCCATTCTTACTCTATTTTATTTACTCTTTCCAATCCTTTCATATATTCATCCCAATCTATTTACATCTATGTTACTAATAGTATAAAACAATTTAATACATAAATATTAACTGACTTGAAATAAATTTGATTTATTTTTATTGCTATTTAAATAATTAGATAATCTTGTTAAAATTCCTTTGAATCCATATTTATTTTATCTAGCTTTTTCATCATTATTCTATATAATAAACTATAAAAGTTAAGCTTCATCAAGTATCAATCTGTGTAAGAATTCATCATTTTTTTCAAAAAGCTCAACAATTAACTTTTCAAATAATAAATGTAATTAATTATTATTAGGATGTAATTTCACAAGATTAATAATTTAACAAAATAATTCAGCAGTAAAATGACGATAGAATTCTGATTTTTAGATTAATTAAACAATTAATTAGATTATAAATAATTTAGCATCTCCTAATGGTCTTACTTCAATTCCATCTGCAGAAATAAATGGAATCTTAAAAATATCAACTTAGATTATTGCTTTTTCTAATAATTAAATTACTGGTTTGTAAAGTTAGATTAAATTGATATTAACTTCATTTGATTAATCTGAAAGTTAAAATTTATTAAGAAATTCAAATTAAACATTAAGAATTTGATAAACTACACTCTATTATGTAGCTTATGCTAAATTCATAAAAAATAGAGGTGTTGTTGTAATTGTAAATTAAACTAACATATTTTTATATTCCTATTACTAATTATCGAATGAATAAATAGATTTTCTATACAATTCTACAAATAATTCACATATATTTCCAACAATAACAGAAGAATGTTATTTTCCTTTTAAAAAAACAACCAGTCTTTAAAGTAAAGCTAATCTTTCATTCATATATTCAGTTGATTAATCATAATTTTCTTCCATTATTATTAACTTCTCAAAAATATCTACAATATGTTTTAAATAAGAATGTTTAAATAAATTTGAAATGATATCTGGATAATGCTTCAAATGTTCCCAAAACTTATTATTTATTATAATTATTTACATAATATCCTTTCTTATTGATTATTGAATTAATAACTTTAGCAAAATATCCTGCTGTAGTTATTATTATAGAATCACTCTCAAGCAATTTTAATAAATTATCCAATAAACCTGCTCTAATTATCTCATTCTCTTGTATATTATTATTTTATTCTAATGATTCTATTTATTCAGTCTCTTCATTATCATCAATTGGATTTCTTACATCTTCTTATGATTCCTCAGTTGGTTTCTCAAATAAAAAGTTTATTAATTTATCATTTTCAGATCCCAATATCTCACTTCCATAAAATGGATACTTCACACATCTATTTTTTTCTGTACATTAATCAGGAATCTCTTCAACTATATAATTGATCATCTTTAAATATTCTTAGGGGTGTTTAATTAAGCTAAAATCATATAGATCTTATACAAATCAGCAAATTTTGAAGAACTTGTACCTTTCAATTCTTGAAGAATATCATCTTCATTAAAAATACACTCAATTGTTAGATTATCTTTCTTCAATAAATTATCAAATTTAGGTTACTAACCAAATCCAAAAAACCGTCCAAAGCTTTATTAACTTCAAATTTTACTTGAAAAACATCAATCAATTAGATTATATTATTAAATATATATTAATTATATATCATTCACTTTTTTTTTATTTCTATTTCCTTTTTTGATTCCTTATTTTTATAATTTTCTTTATTTAATAATTAATTATATATGAATTTATATTACTAATATACTTAATGATTATAAACCTATACTTTAAATAAACTAAAAAAACAACTTATTTTTAATTTCTTTTTTTACATTTTGCTTTAATCAATTCTAAAAATTGAATATGGGTTTAAATGAATGATATCTATAAGTTAATTATAAAATAGTAGCCCATATAAATAATCTTAAATTAATTCAATCAAAATAGCTTTTTCTGAATTTGTTATTATTTTAATATTTTTATAATAATTAATTATAAAAAATTATAAAACTCTATTTAAAATAGTTATTATTCATTTTCTACATCAGTTTTAAACAATAATAAGAGCTCAATCCTAAATTAATATCAGAGAGGGAAATCATATCTTAAAAACATATATAATTATTAGAAATTACTCTACAATAGATGTATCAAATATAATAAGATTTAAATTTGGCTTATACTTGGAAATTAAATATGTCAATTTTAGAGGGTACTATAATTTATTTGATTGGATTGTCTTAAATCTATTAAAGAAAATACATTGAAATTATTATGTAATTACCAAAAGTATTTAAAAAGTTTTATTAAAGTTTGAAAAAGCCTCAGAATTTATAGTATTAATTGATTTCTGACATTTTAAGAAAAAGATGAAGTTCCTAATAAAATAAAAAATAATTTATAATATTATTTAAATTTAAACATTTTATTCCTTTTTTAAAATGAAATAAAATAGTAGAATTTCAAAATAAATAATATTAAAACTTTAATCTTCTTATAGTTTAAATCATAGAGGTTACATAATTATTAAAATAAAACATATAAATGTCATTAATTCTATATTGAAGGACTTATTGATCTATCAGTATTTAAAACCTATTGAATTGGAGAAAGTTTTCTTGTTAGATTTTCTAATTAGGCAATTAATTTATCATAAAATTAAGCTTCTGGACAAGAAGTCTTACTATTTTTATTATTTTTTGATTGACTCATTTTTAATTTGATATCTACAATAACATTCTAAAGTTAGATTTATATTTATTAATGTAATTATTATTTATTTTCTTATTTTTGTAATATGTCATTATATTGTTTTTTGAAATATTCAATTTGTCTCTTTAATATATCAATTTCTTAATTCTTAATTATTACTTACCCATTTGCTTATCTAACTTATCTAACACTCTCATCATCTATTTTCATTTATTTATTGAGATCTTCTTAATTGTTTTATGCATATATCATTTTAGCTAAATACATAATATCTACAGTTTAATTATAATGCAATAAAATTGGATTAATAGTTAATAAACAATAATATTTAAATTATAATGTTGGTGAGTGATTGCAAATTTTTCTTAGAAATTTTGGAAATTAACATCTAGGAACAATAGGAATAGTGGTTATGATGAATTATTATGTATAAATTTGATCTTTAAATAAGATACTGTAAGTTATTGTTAATTATCTTATTTTCTCTTTTCCTAAAATCTTTGCTTATTGATTTTTACCATACAAATAAAACTTAATATTTTAAATAGTTAATTCCAATGATTATAAACTTGAATTTAAGTTTTCATTATCTATTTCTAAATCTTTACTCAATTAATCTAGAGTAGACCAATTATTTCCTATTCTTTCTTAATATTAAATTTATAATCTAAGTTTATAATTTTACTTTAGCTTTTATTCTTTTATATAATTATAATATAAATCTAGAAACATTAATAATAAGTATTTCTTTTATGTTTCTAATTGAAATATATATATAAATAAATACTTGATTAACCAACAATAAGAAACATTCTACTTTAATCTAAACTTATTTTGCCATAAAATTAGAAATATTGTCTCACTTTTTAAATATCAAGAAATACATCATCAAATGTGAATGTTTCATAAATTTATTTTTCAATTCTTGTTTTACCTTAAGAATAAAATTTAATTTATCTTTAAATAATAATATAATTATAATACTTTCTATTAAATTCTATATATGGAAATTAAAAGTTCTTTATTGATTTTACAACCAAAAATAATTCAATTTAATTCAATTAAATCATAGTTGTAATGTTGATTTAAGATATTATTGTTTAATTATTATCAACACTTTTATTTCTTGTTTAATTTAGTAAAATTTAAGATTGAAGTTATTCTTCTAATTGATTTTATTCCTCTTAATGTTTTTCCTATAGTTATTTCATATCATTTAATTAATGTATTAGATCATCATTTTATAGTTACAATTATTTAATATCTTTTTTTAAATTTTCTATTAACTCTTTCATAAATACATTTTCTCTTTATTAATCATCTATTTATTATGATTCACATAAATTTAATCTAATATTCAATAATTCTAATACTGAAATTATTTTGATTTTCTTGGTTAAGTTTACTCAAATAAACTAACTCTTTTTCCTAATCTTTCCTATGGATTTGATTTTTAATTAGATTCCATTTTCTTTTATAATAGTTTATTTTATTATTTCAAACTTGAAACTTCTTTTTCATAATTTTTCAATAATTAATCAAGATCTTCATTCTTTTTCCTTAATATATTAATAAATAAAGTACTTCATTTATTAATATTAATCATCTTTTAAATTGGATACATCATTATTTAACCACATAGATCCAGATAAACTGCCTTCCACTTATTCTGACTGTGTACTCTTTTCAAATAGTTCAATTTAGTTAGTACTATTTTCTTAATCATTTAATTCAGGTTTAATTTAACATTATTAATCAACAAAAATCTTATTTTAAAATATATCCAATTATTGTTTTAATATAATCAATTCTTCTCTATAATTATATTAAATTTATATTCTTACTCTAAATGAACAAATTTATCATCAGATGCAAAATCAATTAATTTTTAATAATATTCTTCTGCTGTATTTCCTTAAGGTTGATACTATTTATTTTAAGATATAAATGCATTAATCATATCTTTCATGTTTTATATTTCAGATTAAAATTATGCTCTTTCTTATTTATATTAATGAATTTCTCTTTAACATTATTCTTTATAATTTAGATATTCACTTTTATTTTCAGAATATTCTGATTATAATTTTTATAATTTCAATGGAGATTCCTCTCCAAGTTATTATTAAATTTTAAGTTATGTTTCCAAATCTGCAATAATCTCTTATTTTGATATGTTATCAGATTTTAATGTTTCAATTTCTTATTTTAAGAATTAATTTTATGATTGGATATCCTAAAATTATAGATTATTATTATTAATTTATTATATTTCTTATAAACTAATTTGATATTAATCTTAAAGTTATTCATTATTTTCTTTTTATTTATTTAATTATTCTTATAATAATTAAGATTATTAATTAAGCATAATTAATTATTCTTTGCATAATTCATAATCAATTAATAATTAACCTTATTCTGCTAATGCTTCATCTTTTTATTACAGTTATTCTTACACATATTCCTTAAATTACTCAAAATCCTCTTTTAATTCTAAATATTAAGTCTCAAATTTATTATTAATTTTTAATTCTTCTAATTCTTCAGTTTTTGAATTTAGTAACATTTAAAGCTAAACATTATCTTATTACAATAAATCAAATTATTATAGAGATTATTAAGCTAATTAATATTCAGTTGATAATTTTTATCTATTTTAAATAGCATCAGCATATTTTTATTCAAAAGTAACTAATTCCTCTTCAAGTGAAGATATTTTTGCTGATGCTTCACTGATTTCTATATTTTTCTATTCAATATCTAATTACAATTCCTAATTTATTTGATTTAATTATTGCAATTACTATTTTAATTATTTAATTTCATCTTTTTATATTTCAATTTTTGCTTTATTATTTTCATCATCTTTTTATAATTCCATTATCATATTCTACATCTATTCAACTTCTTCATTATTTTATGAGTTCTATTCACTTTATAATGAATCCATTGGATTCAAAAGAGTACCAATATTATCAACCTAATTTTGTTAATTCTATTTTAATTCATCTATATCAGCTTCTAATTTAAGTTTTTCTTATTCTTAACTTTCTAATTGATTGGATAACTATTCAATCCTTTATTGTAATTGTTAAATCTTATTAATTTTAATTGTTTACTTCAACTTATTGCTTCTATATTAAATCTTCATTACTTTCATTGTTTTTGGACTCAATTTTCTATATTGCAATTAAATTTATAAATACTTAAGAATTTAATAATATCTCTTAATTTTATATTTGAGATTGCTCTATCTATATTTTCATTTAATCTATTTCTTTATTATACCTTTATATTAATAAATAATACTATATTGTTAATTCACTTTTATCTTATTGTAGTTAAGAAATTATGTTTTATAATTTTTCAATTTCTCCATCATTTTGATTATTTTCTAATGTTTCTTTCTTCTAATTAATCAAATTATTCAATTCTTCTTAATGATCATGTTTTAACACTTCAATTTCCAAATTCTTATCATCTAATTGATTCCTAATTTATTCTATATTTTTTACTTAAGTTCAGATAATTATTATTAAAGTAAAACAATCTAACTTTAAAATTGCTCTATTTAATTTTAATTATGATCAGTTTAATTATTATTCTAATCCATTCCTGCTAGTTTAATTTTAAGAGATGAAATTTCTTAATCTTTTTTTTGGAGATTTGCTTTAATCAGTTTTATTTCATCATCCTTGCTTTAATTATCACTTTCAAGCATTTCTACCATTTCTTTTAAACTAAAAATTATTAAATTCTTTTACTCATTAACTTCTGATTTTAAGCTATCCAATTCTGTTGACATAAAAATAATAAGTTTTATTTAATTAAGATGAAAAATACACTCATTGAATCAAAACTGATTTTAGATAATTTATTAATTTATTTTCTATTATTATATATTAAAACCAATTCAATCTAGCATTCATCTTTTTTTAAGATCAAATTAAACATTATTTTTGGATATTTTCAATAAATATGTTATATTCTAATCAAAAAAAATATTAAATATAGTAAATAATAGATTTAAATATGTTCTTGTTTTTGAACTTCTTCAATTTTTTAGATAAAATAGTAAATATTAAACCTTTTTTTCAATAATAACTAGCACTTTTTTAATTATATATAAATATTATTCTTATTAATTATTTAATAATGTAAAAATAATAAGATGAATAGCAGGATGGTTTTGTGAGTTTTATGCTGGAAAAAGATGATTCTTAACTAATTAATCATGATGAAACATTTCTTAAGGAAAACAATAATTAGGACTATTATTTATAATTGAGTCGACAGTTTTATGGCTAAAGCTAAAGAAAAGATAGTACTTATGTTACAATAACAAAAGCTAAAAAATCTACATAGATAAATCCAGGTGTGTTGAAATAAAAAATTATATAAAGAGCGATTATTACAAATACATAAAGAGGAAAATTCGCTGCTTCTGTACCTACTGTCAGTGAATAATTGTAAAAGGTATTAGTTTCTTGTAATTATCTATTCCCCTATTATAGTAGATCTAAAAGCTCTTATCGTCAAGTAAACCTAAAAAGTAACCAAACATCTAAACTAGCTTTAACAATAAATTTACTTTAAACAAATATATTAGCTAAATAAAAAATTCTAACATCTAACAGCATCCTTTTAAGCTTAATTTACCAATCACAAATAAAAAAATAAATATATATGAACCCAGAACACATAGACTAAGAATAGAAGATTCTAATTAAGACTAATTAAATCAATTTACATAAAATTCTCATAGAAGTACACTAAATAGTAGTACAAAAAGCACAACAAAATTAGAAAAAAATTATGATATTTCTTATCCAATTAAAACTGAAACAGGAGATGACAATAAAATAAATATATTCAAGATTTCATATAGAAATAAATAATAATGAATGTAGTATCCGTAATTTTGATTTTTCAATAAACATTCAACAAAAATATGCATTCATTTATATAATAAATTTATAGTTAAAAATTAATGAAATTTCTCTTAATATAGTCTTCCATATTTTCTTTTAAATGATCATAAAAAGAAATAATGCCTAAAATATATTAATATATTGAAATTTATTTTACTTGTTGTATCTAACTTATATCTATACTTTGCCACTATTTGAAGAGGGTCTGGTCTTAAAAAGCATCATATTTAATACTTGATGTATATATTTTTTTAGAAAAACATAAATACTTATAATCCTAAAAATTTAAGTTTAATACAAAAAAATAAAGATAATTAGACAAATTAATTGGTATTTAAAAATATAAAACTTTAAAAGAGCAGATATTAATATGCTTTTGAAAATAAATCATCTTGTGAAAAATTTTCCTCCTTCTTTGTTTCTAGAGTAACCTGGATTAGTGCTCTTTGAATGTGCATCATTAAATACATAAGGTGATTTTCCAATTCCAGGTAAGCAATAACTAAAAATATAATTATAAATGTTACTGATTAAACTCATACTATTTAAGCAACTTTAACCTTTTTAAGTTTTACACTTAATTCAATAATCCTTTATGTTTTAAAATAATATCTCCATTCTTTACGATGTCATCAATAATATGATTTTATATTGCAGCTTTAGGTACTGAATTTGTTCTCTCATCAAATAATAATGTTTATTAAAGATTTTTTAATGTAACAGTTTTCTTATTTTGATGATTAATATTGATTTAATTCTAATTCTAAATATTTTATTTTTGAGTCTAAACATCATCAGCAAATTAGACAGTTTAATTAGGTTTTTCATTTTTCATTTAATTTTATTGAAGTAATCCTGTATTATGGGCTGTTCTACTTCTGTTTTTGTCTGTATCAATAAATTTATCCAAAATTGAAGTTTTCGGTTTTGCTTAATCTTTTAAGATCAATTATTCCACAGCATTAGGTTAAACAGACATTTAAACATTATATTTGTCATTCACTTACAAAGGCTCATTTTAGTATTAGAATGTTGGTTAAGTTTTATTGTGTATTAATCTATAATTTTTAGCACTCATAATAATAATTAATTATAATATAATTTTTCAATTCAGCATTTCCAATAGGTAATTTTAAGCATCAATAACTGTTTATTTAGCTTCTTTCATTCCATTAATTATATCAAAAGATAAAAATCCATGAGGCATAGATTAATATTCAATCAATTTAACATCTTTTTTCAATAATACAAGCTTTTACAAAAACCTAAAACTTTCATCATGAAGTGGGTCCTAAGTTCCTACAACAATTCGAGTTTTAGGAAATTGTCTCATAATTTCATCACTAACTATAGAAGGTGATAGCATTGGATCAATTTATGTATTATATTCTTTCTAAACATAAGAACGTATACATAATTTCAAAACTGTATGATGCAATACTAACTATAATGAATATTTTTACAAGAATCATCAAGTGACACTAAAAAACTAGGAGTGAATGTCTTCATATTTAATAAAAGAGCAGGATAAGCTAGTAATATACCATCAGGAACTCTGACTCCTGCCTTTATTGCTTGGATAGTCAAAGCAGCCACTAAATTACCACCAGCACTATCCCCCACTAATACTACTTTAGATGGAATAATATTGAAAAACTTCTAGATGAAGGTGATAATAAACATATAGGCTTACCAACAATCATCTAATCCTTCTGGATATGGATGATCTGGTGCTATTTTATAATCAATAGAAAAGATTGGAACTCTCATATTATTAGCCCATTTTCTAGTATATGTTTAATGTGATCTCGATGACATAGCCACAAAACCTCCTCCATCTATATTTATAATTATAAATTACGTATATGAATAATAATCTTATCAAAATTAAACTCCTTATTTCTGGTACTTTTAAACATTGACATAAATCCATCTACACCTTTAAATTTCAAATTTTCATGACAGAGAACCCTTACTTATACTCTATCTTAATTTATATCATTTTTAAATAAATCATCTAAAGATATCATTTAATCTGGATAATATATACCACAATCATTATTTATTTTATTAATTGTTCCTTAATTATATTAATTTAAGATATATTCTTTATTAATCTTTCTGAATAATTTAGGTATGTAAATCTTCTTATTAAAAGAGATGGAAGGTAAAATAGCTGGAAGAAATTTCTTTAGTATACCAGTATCAGGTAAATTCCATGCTTTAAAAGCATCTTCTTCTTTTGCTTCTACAAGAAAATGATCTGCTCTACTTTTCATCTTTTTCTTATTTAATCCATAATATAATGCTCCAAATCCCTCCATAAATGATTTTTTTAATTCTCCATTATATTCGGATCCTTTTGAGATCATTGCATTTCCAAGTAGAATTCCTTAAGCAACTTTATCATAAGACTTCTTTATTTATTCATCACTAGACAATTATTTTTTTTCGATAAATGGATAAATCATTTACCAATCTTAATGATCAAAAGATATTGCAAATAAATCATTATGCTAGACTCTTGTAGCTCCTGGTAAAATTTCAATACAAGACTAGAATTTTGCTAAATATATAGCAAGATTTCGTTTTTATTATTTCTCCAACTATTAAAACTAATCCAATAACTCTAAAACATTTTCTAAGATTATATGATTCATATAATCTAGAACTAAATTTGTTGTATATTAATTTAACTAGTGTCTTGTGCATGTAATATTTAAACTACTAGCACTTTTTTCAATAGATAAAACTTTGTTTTCAAGCAATTCATTAATATTCATAATCTACATCAATCCAATCGATGCCACTTATACTACTTAAACAGCTTTTAAGCATAACTCTTGATTTTAATGATTCTTCTAAGTTATATCTTAAGCTTTTATCATTAGTTGATTTAACTTAGAGATAGAACTTTAAATGTTAACTTATAATTTATCTACAGTATTCATAGATAGTATATTAAATTAATGATTAGATTCAATTAATACTTCAGTCTAATCTTACAAATTATTTTGTTCTATTGTTTACATTCTCTTTATAAATTAATTAAAATCTTAAAGATTAATTTTAATAATTTCAAGATTAAATTATTCTTAATATTATAGAAAGATTAAAAAAAAAAAGATGAATCCATAATGGATAATATTTTCATTTCATTTTCATTTTCTTTTTCAAACTTTATATAAGATTACTAATATAATAATAATGATTATTATACATTGTAATTCCTTTTCTAATTTTTTCATATTTTTATACTAAAGGTTCTTAATGCTCTCTATTTTCAATAATTTCAATACTTCCAAAATTGGAAATCTTTTCATCATCAAAACTTTATTATTTATTTTATAAAATATCTTATTTGCTACCAAATTTATCATCACAAAAAGATTTCTAATAATTTGGATTCAATGATTAACAGTAATTTCCTATACTACTTTGCTAAGTCAAACTAGAATTCTTTCTAATATCATCTCTTTAAACAGTATTATTTCTAGAAGATAATGGAGGAGGTGCTAAAAAGTTTTAAGAACTTAAATTTAATTATTACTTTTACCCATGTTAAATAGCACCTGATAATTATTTTTCAATTGATTTTTTCATCTCATTTGAATTATTAAACTAAATATTTTTTTTACTTAAATTCTAATTTGTATCTGTTTAATAATGAGTGGATTATCTTATTTCAGACCATTCATAATTTCCATCTAGAATAATATTTTAAGAATCTGCTGCTTTCCTGAGTTCTTATAATATCATTTTATAATCTGGTTCTTATTTAAATTGTAATCTTCTTATTGTACTATTTTTTATTAAATAGAAAAAATTACTTATAAATTTTCTAAAACTCTGGAACTTGATCTCTAAACAATTCATTTTCTAGTGATAACTTCAATTCTCCAACCTTTTAGGTTCTTTCATCATCTGTTACATTGGCCATGTTCTACCAAGGTAACTACCTTATTTATAATTGTTATTTACCCACGTAAAAAATAGAGTAAAATATACATTAAAGACTCTAAATCATCTTTTCGTCCTAATTCATGACCTAAATGAGCTGCTATTGATGCATAACGAGTGGTTCCTAAAAAGGACTTTTAATCCTTGAAAATACTAAATTCTATTTGAATAATTACATATGTCTTCCTTTTTCATCTCTATACACTTTGCTGATACCAAAATCAATTAGATATAACTTAGAAATTTCATTCCCTATTCCTAATATCATATTCTCAGGTTTTAAGTCTCTATGTATTACTCCTTTTGAATGAGCCCTCTCTAATAAATTTACAGCTTGTATTCCAATAGTTAAAACTGATTTCAGGTTGAATTTCTTAAGTTATTTGAAATGGAAAGCTAAATCTTTGCCCAACAATTAAATAACAAGGATGTTATAACCAAGATCTTCTCCTGACCAATAATATTTAGGAAATCCCTCCAGTCCATCTAGAATCTTTAAAATCTGCACTTCTCTTTCCAATGATTTGACTTCTTCATTCTCTTCTTTTTCTACTTTTATAGCCACTTCTTATTTGGAGATAATGTCCTAGCCAAGAAATACAACTCCAAAAGATCCAGAAGATAGCTTTTTAACAATGGAATACTAATTGTTAAACACTTTGGTTTTAGATTACTGTTGTGGGTTCATTTCAATTAATAATAATAAAATAAGCAAGAAATGTCTCAATTTATTAAAACAGCAACCCCTAAGAAAATTTTTATGGTTGAAAAAGGATTCTATTCAATTAATTTATAGGATGGAACTATTGAGAAGTTAGGACCTGAAAAGAAATGTTATAAGTTACCCTCCTATTCTTCTCATACATCTTCAAATACATAAAAAGATTTATTTTAATCTAAAAGATAACAAAATTAGGATTCCAATCAAAGAGTATTTAAATTATTTGATTATTATTAGAATAATTAAGAAGCAAAGAAGGTTTAAGAAAATACTAAAAAACTTAATACAAAAAGGAATAATTGACTAATTGAAGTTTAGAAATTAATTATTTATTACATATTTAACATTTTTTTAGTAGTTAAAGTATTTCAAAAAGACTCAAATGTCATTTCAATTAACTGGAATAAGTATAATTTGTTTTCTTACAAAATTAAATAATTTAAACCAAAATAAATAGGTAAGATTTTATAACAAAATAAAGAAAATAAGTATAAATAATTATATTTTTCATTTGAATACTAAAATACTTAAAATATATTATTAAATGAATTAAATATCAAGTAATATAACATTTCTTCTTTAAATTACTTGATATTTAGTAAGTAAAATATATTTCTTATGTGTATTAATTTATATCTTCGCCTTAGATAAATTAACTTTTTTAAATCCTTAAAAATAATAATATAAATACAGAATTAAATTAAAAAAATTTTTATCCAATTATTCCAACTTATTTTATCATCTATATAAATTACTATATCTATTATTGATATAGAAGTATATTGTAATAGTAAAATGGAGTTAAAGCTATTTTTAATGTTTTGAATTAAGAACTATTATGAAGATTCAATAGTTTTTTATTAGATTTTAATAATAATTCAGATCTACAGAAATATCTAACAAAAATAGATTAATAGTTATCAAAAGTTTATTAAAATAACTCCAATCTTTATGATTATAATATTTACTTTACTTTTGATATTATTAATAAGACAAAGATAATTTTTATTGTCCTTCATATAATTTATTCCTTTCATAAATTTTTATTTCAAGTAACAAAAATAAATAAAATACTTAATCTACCTTTTGATTTATATATTTATACTATTAATATATTCAAAAATAAGTATTATTTCAATGAATAACATTTTTGTTTTTTCTTAGAAACACCAATCAAATCGTGGTAAAATAGTACCCATCATTATTGAAAGGTAATAATCTTAAATTATTCATTATCATAATTAATATTTATGATTATCCTGATTGTAAATTGATTTTTAAATATTTAAATAAACTATAAAATAGTAAATTTAGAATTTTATTTATAAAATTTTTAGTTATCTTTCTATTTATATTTATCTTAATAAATTCAACATAAAATAATAAAATATGACTAAATTGATTCATACTCTCAAATTAACTAGTTAAATCATATATTAAAAATTGAATACTATTTTAATATGGGTTTCGATAATTAATTGTTTAGAATTTTTATAATATAATTTTTGAAAAATTAATTAAGTTCTTCTCAATATTCATTTATAATTTAATATTTGAATGGAGAAATTGTATAACAAAAATTTTGATAAAATCTTGTTAATCAACAAATATAATTGAATGATAATCAAATTTCAATTTTTTAGGTATGAAGCACGATATTTTTAAATGACGCATCAATTACACTGCATTATGAAATGATTATAATTAGTAAATGATTCATTATAAAAATGAGTCAAAGGCTTGAGTTGCTCTAAAAATAAATGCCTTCCTTCTAATATACACTTGATGGAGGGATTTTAACTAAAGAAGAAAGATAGTTTTACGAAGAAAACGGATTCATAGTGGTTAGATAAATCTTTACTCCTGAAGAAGTGAAAGAGTGGACTTAAAGATTCAGAGAATATGCTGATGGACAACTAGAACGTAAATACGGAATGTAAGTTGTAAGAGACATTTCATTGGTAAAAAAAGGAGGAGGAAAATAATGGGGAGAAGAAGCAATAACTAAAATATAGGACTGGTAAGAGGATGAAGTATTATTCAAATTTTGCTAAAACCCTAAAGTTATTTAATATCTTAAAAGCTTCTGTGGACCTGACATTAAATCTGTTCACACAATGTTCATCAATAAACCCCCTAATATGGGCAAAACATCAAGACACCCAATTCATTAGGATTAAGTTTATTTTCCATTTGGACCAGCTGATAGAATAGCTGCTGGTTGGGCTGCACTTGAAGATGCCAATAGAGAAAATGGATGTTTAGTTGTATATCCTGGTACTCATAAAGGTAATTATACACTTGTATCATTAGTTGGCCCAGTTGAACATTGTTATCCTGATTGGAAGGAAGGTGTTAATAAGGCCTATTGGGGAGTTAAAGATATGCCCCCAGAAAATGCTCCAAAAATTCATTTGGAAATGAAGGCAGGAGACATTGTTTTCTTTCATCCATATCTATTTCATGGTTCAGGAGAAAATAGAGTAAATTTTATAAAATAAATTTTAGACAACAAATTTCAGAAAGTCAATTTGTTGTCATTTTGCTTCTGCCAATTGCCAATATCATGACATAAAGGGAACATTCCACGAAAATTTGGCTAAGGACATTATTGCTTATGCTTCAAAGAAGTTTGGGCATGTCAATTACTTAGATATTTGGAGATTTAAATGCAGGTTGGTCTAAGGCAATCCCGATCCACTAGGATTATGATAAAAATATATTATAATCCAAATACATAAAATTTAATAATTATGATAATTAAGTAAAATATTAAAAATCTATAGAAAAATTTATAAAGATATGAGGCAAACTCTAATTATTACATTCTTTCCAATTATTTGAGAATCAAAATAATAATTTAATCTATATAATTTGATTTTTTAATTTCATAATGGATTAGAATGATTAATATTTCATTTGTAATATTTAGAATATATTCACTTAAAATACTCTTTTGATTTGTTTATATATAATAATAATTTAGATATTTATGTTGTTCTAAATAGATTTATCATGAGAAAAATAATGATAAATCTAGTTATTATCTATTTTTATTATTTACTATAAGATGAATTCATTAATTTTAATTAAAAGGTAATTTAAATAGAAAAATTAAAATGGTTTTTAATCTGAATTAATGGATTTGATATTTAATTTATGCATGCTAAAGATTTCATTTAGGAAAAACTAAAATATTAGAAATACATCGAAGAATATGTTCTAAGTTTATTAGAAATCTATTGATGAGTGGGGCAGTTAATAGAGAATTTTAGATTAAATACTTTAATGTCTTTTAAAATAAGAAATAATTTTCTGTAAACAATATCTACTATTTTATTCCAAAACTGAAATAAAAATTTATTTAGATTAAAAAGCTATATAATAGAAGCAATAATAATAACATATATGATTAAATTTATTTAATTTATGTCAAAATTCTTATTTTTGTTTGAAATTTATTATAAATAACTCATATAAAAGATATAAAAATGGATTAATGAGAGTGATTTTGTCAATCTTTTTGTTATTTCAAATAGCAAACCTAAATCATAATTGAAATTTAATCTATTTTATTAAAAAAATTAAGTTTTCCCCAATTTTAACTATACATATATACAATTATATAGAAAATGTTCTTAATTGGTTGCAAATAAAAATCTCTTATTGATTTAAGTTTATAATAACATAATTTAAAATTTTTATTGTCATATCTATTTCATAATAATTGTTAATTATAACTTTATCAAGTTTGTTTATTTTAATATATTAAATATAAAAATATGTAATTGATGAAAATTTTAAGATTAGGAATTTCAAAAGGACTAAATTTTGAGTTAATTCAATTCTTACCCTATGGCCTTTTGATAGGTAAGAATAAGAACTTAGCGTTTGCTTTTTGGGCGTTATTATTATTTGAGTTTTGCATTTGAGATTTAAGCATATAATTATTAAAATTATCATATTTGATTAAAATATTATATTTATATATATATATAAATTAAAATTAATATGATTGAATAGATTGAATAATAAATATGTAAAAGATAAGTATTTTGAGGGAAATTATGGAAAAGCTTTTGAAATGATTGGATTTATTGAAAAATAATAAATGTAGAAATTCAATTTTTTCACAGATGTTCAAATAAAAATAAAAAAGAAGTACTTCTTTGTTAATAATATTTTTAGTAATTATGAAGATTCAAACTATTTTGAGAAAATAGTGATTTCAATTTAAAATTAACATTTTGAAGGTTGAGTAACTCTAAATATTGTAAACTCTAAAATACTATATATTAAAAAAGGTTAAACTATATATATAGATTTGAAGGGACTTCAGGATAATTATTATTTGGATTTAACAATTAACAAATTACAACTATTTACAAGATAATACTGAGTTCAGTAATTTCTATAAGATGATTGAATTTTTAATCAAGTCTTATTATTGGCACATTTGAAAACAAAAAAAGATATTATTTATCTAAACATTAACAAAAACCTTAATTTTCTGCCCTTTTGGATGTTAAATTAGAAGCTTTTGTAAAACAAATAATTGTAAAAAAAACAATTATAGTAGCTTTAAAATTCATAGAGTTGGTTTACTTTATATAAATTCATTTTATGAAGAGAATTGTAATAGGTGTGTTTACATATTAAAAGGATAATATATAGAATAGGATGCCAAAATAATTTGAAAGTATTAAATATTTGTTTTTGGAAATCAAGATCTACAATAATAATAATTAAATCATTATTGATCAAAAGATGATAAGTTCAAGATATAAGATTTTTTATATTTAAAAAATGATTTTAATAATTAAAAGAATTAATAAAAAAAAAAAGGATGTAAAATAAAATAATATTGATATATATTTGATATGAAATTGAGTAAAAATAATTATTATATAAAAGATAATTCAGTTATTAAATTATTGAGATTTCACTATTTAAAAGAGCATAGAGCAATTAGATAATTGACTAAATTAGATTAAACTAATTACAATCTAAATGTAAAAATATAGAGGCTTGAATTAAATAATTTATTTGAGCATTCAGTTGATAAAAATAATTATAGATGTAATTCAATACATTTATTTGAATTATAAATAATATAAGATTAAATTTAATAGAATGATAGAAGATTATTGGAAATATGAAAGATGAGAAAAAAGGATCTAGAAATACCAAATTTTTATTATCAAATTTATTCTTTTTCTTTTAATAGTTTTTTTGACTCAGAAGGATAAATTTGATTCAAATATCAAACTTACATTAATTTACTGATAAATATTAATTCGACATATTAAATTAAATTTTTCTGGAATATCAGGATGAAACTTCCAGATCATATAATATAAAAATTAACTAAAATTACTAAATGACAACAGTTATTCCACTCGATCAAGAGACAAATTAACTTAATGCATCTAGTTAGCCTAATGAGACCAATATCGAAGACTATGACGAGTTTAGAAGACCCCCAATATTGGAAATATGTCTTAAACACTAAGTATATGATTTAATGAATTTAGTCTGCAACATAATTTGCTATAGCAGATGCTAAAGTTGATTTAAATAAGAATAATTTATGTCCTTGTTGTGGACAACCTGTAATTCTTACTTAATTACCATTGACAGCATCTATTTTAGATTTCAGTTTCAATGGACCTGGAGTTTCACTTTATTTTGATTTCTTGGTATTTAGTTCGATATTGATTTCTACATTTATGTAATGTATTTATGAATAATTATAGTATTATTTGTGGAATCTATGACTTAATAGCAAGTTCTTTAGGAGAGACATGTTAATTATTAAATGAATTAGGAGAATTAGAATGTATAGACAATTTTTATAGTTAATTTGCTAAATCAAATTAAGATAATAAGGATGTTGATATAGCAGGAAGTGTATTAAACTTTATTACAACATTAATCTTAATAGTATTATTGTTTTTATACAGAAAAAGAATTAATATTTTGGCAAATAAAATTGATGAAAAAAGTATATTAGCATCAGATTATTCTATAATTGTTGAAAATATTCCAAGAGATGCAAAAGAAGAAGAGATTAAAGAATTCTTTAGTAAAATTAACAATCATGAATATAAAATATAAAAGATTTGTATGGGATTCTAGATCTAATAGTATTTACAAATTTTAAAACAAAAATAAGATTAAGAGAAGACTTTTACTAAGATTTTAGAATGTGAAAGATTAGGTAAACCAATTCCTCCTTAATTACCAAATAAAGTTGATTTAACATAAACATTAGATTAATTAGCAAATCAATTAGATAAATATGAAGAAAATTTTGAAACTTCCTTTTAATTTAGTGGTGTTGCTATTATTTCATATAATACAGAAGATGAAGCTAATGCTGTATGCAAATTTTTTAGAGCAACAAGATTACATCTTATTCTATCTTAAGTTATGAGAGTAATAGGTTAAAAAGATATCAGAAGATTTAGAGATAATGTTATTGTAGTATCAAAAGCACCTGAACCTGGAGATATTTTATGGGGAAATTTGGGAGTCACATTATTAGAATAATATAAAAGAAAATTGATAACAAATCTAGCAACAATATTTTTATTAGGAATTTGTTTTGGAATTTTATTTGGTTTATCTTATGGTTAATTTTCAATGACTGATACAGGTAAAGGAGAAGAATTATCATAAGCAGAAATTATTGCAATTACAGTTTTAGGAGTTATTGCTTCTGTTTTAATTTCAATTATCAATAATATTTTGGCTATTATTATTAGAAAATTTGCTGAATTAGAAGCACCAGCAACTAAAACTGAATATGATATTAGTGCTGCAAAGAAATTAGGATTTGCTTAGTTTCTTAATACTGCAATAATCACATTAATTGTTAATTTGGTAATTATAAAAGAAGGAGAAAAATCATATTATGCTGTAATTAAACAAGGAGGTTTAAATTAAGATGTTATGTTGATCTTTATTACTAATGGAATTATGCCTTGGTTAACAAGTATAATTGATCCATTCTACTTATACAAATTATTTATGAGATTCTAAATTCAATCTTAAGGTTAGACATGTAATGTAACATAATAAGAAGCAAATGAGTAATTAATATTATTAATTCTAGGCATTTTGCAGGACCCATGATTGATTTATCAAAAAAATATGCATAATTAGGAAAGACTTTATTATTTACATTTTTCTATGCATATTTATTACCACTTGGACCAGTACTTTCATTAGGCTCATTATTGGTGATATATTGGGTTGAGAAATTTCTATTACTTAGAAGAGATTCTAAGCCAGCCCCAACAGGAAGTGAGATGGCAGAAGAGATGATAGACTTTTTTGGAGAATTCACTTTATTACTTTATGCTGTATTAAAAATATTAAGAATTAGATTGGTTGTCTAGTTTGGGAAACTATTTTAAATGAAACCATATTTCCTTTAACATGGGTACAATTTGCAATAGCAATATTGAATTTCTTAATTCCCATAGATACAATATTTGATTTATTTTGGAAATCTGAAGATATTTCAACTCAAGAATTCTATGAAACTTAATGTTATAAATTTTGGGATGATTATGATAGAAGAAATCCAATAACAGCTGAAAAAGCCATTGAAACATTTTTGAAGAATACAACTGAAGCACCTTAATAATAATAAGTAGATGGAAGAGGAAATGTTGTACCAAAGTTTTAAGATTATAAGAAATAAGATAAAAAGAAAAAGAATAAGAATAAAAATAAAAAAGAGAATTGAGATAATATTATTATTTAAAATAAAAATATGAATTAATCATCTATTATATTGGAAGATAATAAATACAATTCTGCTTAATAAGAAGAAGAAGAACGTATGTTGACAGCGAAAGCATGTGATTTAAAGAAGGCATTAATTTATAGAAAGTTTCAATAAAATGAGAGAAAGGAAGAGTTGGAAGATATCAATTAATTATTTGATGAAAGATAATTAAATATTTTGAATGATCTTGCTAATGATAATGGGAATTATGAAGAATAAAATTAAATAGCTACTATAAGATAGGAAGTTAATAAGAAATTATAAACAGTAATGGAACATGGTCTGAAAAGACATTCTATTTATATTATGAAAAAACCTATAGAAAATAAAAGAATATTTAATATTGAGGTATTCAAACCAGAAGACAGATTTAGAATTATTTGGGATTTATTCACTATGTTGATTATCTTTTTTGCTATTTTAATTTTACCTCTTGATATTAGTTTTACAATTGAATCATAATTTTTTGATCACTTTAATTATGCTTCAATTGCAATATTCAGTTTTGATATTCTCATTAATTTCAATACTTCCTATTAATAAAAAGGTCAATACATAATTGATCGTAAACTTATAGCTAAACATTATTTGATGGCATGGTTCTGGATAGATTTGAGTATATTATTAATTAAAACTAGTTTCAACCTTTCCTTTTGATATCATTATTAATGCTTCAACAGAAGAAATCATACAATCTGATGAAATTGATGAAACTTAAGCATAAAATCCATAAAATTAATAATAATAATCAGATTAATTAGCTAATACTTTTAAATTATTAAGAATTTTAAAATTTTTTAGATTTATTAAAGTAATTAGATTATTGAGAGTATTAAAATTAAAAAAGATATTTTCTAAATTTGAAGATTATGTAGATTTTTCAAATTCTATGATTTCACTTTATAAAGTTTTAAAATTAACATTTATAATGCTCTTTGTAGCACATTGGTTGGCATGTATTTGGCATTTTATAGCTGATTAAGAAGATTCTGCTGATAGTCATAGTTGGCTTAGAGCTCAAGATTTATAAGATAGTGATTGGTATGTTAAGTATATAGCATCAGTGTATTGGGCAACAGCAACAATGACTACTGTAGGTTATGGTGACATAACACCAGTAACATCAGTAGAAAAGATATTTGGTATAGTAGTTATGTTATTGGCTTGTTGTATATTTGCATATATTATGAACAGTATTGGTGGAATATTTGTATCAATGGATTATAATGAGAAGTTGATTAGATAAAAGATGGGATAAGCTAATTAATTTCTAAAATCAAATGACATTCCTAAAGATTTATAAGCAAGAGTAAGAAAATATTTGGAATATAAATATGAAAAGGAATCTACATAAGTAAATGAAAAGGAGGCTTTGGATGTTTTATCATATTCTTTAAGAGTAGAAGTATTAGCTGCAGTTAATACAGATTTGATAAATAATTCAAAAGTTTTTAAATAGAATAAATTTGAAAAGGAATTGTTATTACAATTGCCATTTGAATTAGAAGAATAAATCTTTGGTCCTGAAGAATGTATATTTTTAGAAGGTGATGATCCTATAGAATAAGAAAATGGATAAAATATTGAAGATAGATGCCTGTATTTTCTCAATAAAGGATAGGTTATGGTATGTATTTAAAAAACTTTTACTTGTTTAAAGACATTAGATAAAGGAGCTACATTTGGAGAACTTGGATTTTTTAGTAATAAATCAAGAAGTGCATCTGCTTATACACTTGATTTTGTTTATGTATAAAAATTGAAAAAAAAGAAATTTACAGAAATTTTAAAGAAATATTAAACTTAAAATTAATTTTTTTTAATGAATAAACATATAATTGAATTAGGAGAAGATTATTCTCCTCTTGGTTTACCTTGTTTTGGATGTTAATAAATTAATCATTTTTCATCTACTTGTCCTAAATTACATTTTGTTACTAATAATGATAGAAAATAAGAATTAATATAAGAATTATAACAATAATAATAAAAATTTACAAAAGAATTTAAAAGACATGAAAAAATTAGATATAATTCTAGAGGTTGTTTTAGTCTAACAAATGAAGTTGCTAATGAAATCAAGTAGGTTTATTCTGCTTAAGAAGAAGGGGATGAAGATAGATTGATTAAATTATAATAGTATATAACTTTAATAAAAATAGACGCAATGAAGAAGAACCCACTTAAGAGGGTTTTGAAGTTATGGAAAATTAAAAAGAAATTAAAAGTTAACATTAAGATGAATTTGAAAGAATGTATATTATGACTGCATTCTTTACTTAATTCAATATTGATGAAATTATGAAAAATTATAATGAAAGAGTTGATAATATTCTCAATTTACAATAGTAAGCTTAAGAACATAGTATAAGATCTCAATATCATTCTATTAAAACTAATACTAAGAAATCTAGAATTAGATCAATGTCTGCTGAACGTGCCATATATTTTGAGAAATTAATTGAAAAATATGGTGGTCCATCTTAATTTTTAGAAAAACTAAATTAAGATAATTGATAATAATATTATTTATATATGTAATAACTCAAATAATTGGTTTATATGAGATAAATGCCTTCAAATTTAATAGCTTTTTCATCTAAAGAAGGCAAAAGATTATTCAAAGAAGCATTAGATTAAAATACTATGGAATGTTATTTTCCTCTTGCTGAACAATTTATTACTTAATTGCATCCTACTACTTGTGGATCAACAACATTAGTTATGGTATTAAATGCTCTTAAAATTGATCCAGGAGTATAATGGAAAGGGTATTAGAAAAATTAAATAATAGAATATGGAAATGGTATACAGAAGAAAATTTACATGGTTTAAAAAAAGAACATTTAGAAAATGGTATAGATTTAGATGCATTTTCACATATTGCAAAACATAATAAAGTTGCTATTCAAACATTTTATCATCCAAATTTATATGAATAACAATATGAATAAAAAAAGTAAAATTGTATAGTTTAAGTAAAGCTTTTATGATTGTTAATAAAATTGCACAAGAATTCAAAATTAACATAAAATAGCATCATTATAAACATTCTATACATGTTTAGAAGCTTCATCTAGAATGGATAGACTTTTTATGGTAGTAAATAATAGTAGAAAAATAATGGGATAAACAGGAGAAGGACACTTTTCACCAATAGGAGGAATTCATTTAAAAGAAAAGAAAGTGATGCTCTTTGATGTTGCAAGGTATGTGAAATAGCAATATAAGATTTAAGTATCCCCCTTAATGGTGTGATTTTGATTTATTATATAATTCGATTGCTCCAATAGATAAAGATAATAATATGACTAGAGGATTTGCATTAATAACTAAAACATTAGATTATGATATTTAAAGTTAATACTCAAGATAAGTTCTATAAGATTGGTTTAAAAATAAAACTGAAACTAGTGATCTGCCAAATCAATTATCAGTTATATTTGTTTATTATTTGTTTATAGTATTGTAAAGAATTGAAATGTAAATTACAAATATTCATACAATACCATTTTAATTAGCATTGAGGGAAGAATCTAGATATAATATTGATTAAGCATTAATATAGATTAAAGGATAGAAAAATCTACATAGCTTAATTAGTGATTTTACTTTTTAGTATCCTGATCTAATTACAACAATAAGTTGTCTTTTATATAATATTTTATGTGGTTATTAAATAAGTCATAGAGAATTGACAGAAGAATATGAATTAATGAGAATGATATTAGCAATTTGATAAATTATTATAGAATTATTTTCACTTAAAAGATTATAATCTTAAAGGTGAAGTACCTCCTCCTCCATTTCCAGTAGTATTATGTGCAATTTTCTTAACTGTTTTAATACTTTGAAATGTTTTAGTAAATGGTTTTTTTAATGATTCAGCAATTCTCAATCCTGTAATTTTATCACCTAATTTTCTAAGTTTCCAACCTTTCTTAATGGTTAAAAAGAAAAATGAGTATTTAGAGAATTCAGGATAGAGTCTTCTTTTTCCAAAGAATTTTTAAAGTCTAGCATATCTAATAAAATATAATATATTTATATACCTTTTAATAACAATATCATAATTATTAAGAGGGAAATAATATACAAAGATTTACATTTTATCAAAATCATTAAAAATAGAATTATTTGTATGTTAATTATAAGTTTGATTATCCATAATAGAAGTATGATTATTATCTGTTGTCATTTCTCTTCCTTAATTTCTTGTAAATGTTCTTGTAGTATTTGATTATCTTTTCTAAGTTGCTCTTTTTTAATGATTTCTCACTTCTAAATCTGATGAATTTGGTGGGAATATCTTTTCTGGAGTCAATGTTCTTTTTATAGTTTAAGATTATCTTCCTTTTTATGTATAAGTATGAGATCTAAGTGAAGATTAACGAGGTATAATTTCTTCTGATGAATCCTTTCTTGTAAAAGTAATTTTTTATTATTAAGTTCTAGTAATTTCTTAATTTTATTTTGTATTCATTGGTAATTACATTAATACTTAATCCTTTTCTTCTTCTGATTCTTCTTCAGAAATTTCTTAATATTCATCATCCTTCATTAAATCTACTCTAACACTATCTCTCATTCCACCACCAAATCCAGCTGTTTATAGAGTAACTCTAGGATTTACTGGTTTTCTTGAATAATTTTTAGAATCATCATCTTCATTTTCTGTTATCATATTTTATTAATTAGGTTTTTGACTAATCTTACTAAATGATCTAGAATTACTTCTTTAATTCAAAGATGATGGAACATCAATTTCAACTTATCAATATTAAATAATAATATTACTTTCATCTTCATATACATCATTCATTAAATTAGAATGTTATTCATAATCTTCAAAATCTGTTCCTTTATTTGCCAAATATTATTATTCCTATTAAATCTCTCTAGCCTTACTCATTAAATATTTTTATATTAACCATGGACTTACTTCTTTCTCCCTATTTACTCTACCTATTTTATTATTTCTTGGTTAATCATGAGGATATAATTCTTTCTTTAATATACTTTCCTTATCAGGACAATAATGTAAATAATGACATTTATCAATCAAATGTTAATTACTTGAACAACTATAACAACTAACTTAAAATGAACTATAATCTTAATGTAATAGTGTATGTGTCAATTAACAATATTTCTCATAATCATTTGGATAAGATAATAAAATCTTAATAAAGTTTTCCCTTTTAATTTTAAATACTTTTGTAAATGCTCTAGAAATAGCAGTTGCTTTTCTAGGTTAACCTGTAAAAAATGAGAATTCTCCAAAATAATCTCCTTAATATAAAAACTTCAAACTATTCCTTTAAACTCTTTCATTTAAACTATTAAAACCTTCAAAAATAATTTCAATCTCTCCTTTAGTTATAATATATAATGAAGAATCATCTAATTAATTTAATGTAATAATTCTCTCTTCTGGAGAAAAACTCTATTCCTCCATCTATCCCAATAATTATTTAATCATTTTTTCTGAAAATGTCTTTATCAACACTTTACAACTACTTAGTATATTTCCTCTTAATTAATACTATAATTCCTCTTATAAATTACTACTTAATTTACAAATCAAAGATGAAACCTCTTCATCATTCATATTTTATTCTTCTTACCAAATATATTCTAAATAACTTCTAATTCTTGTTTATAATTCAAATTAAATCTTATTCTTTGACATAAATGTATTAATTAATGTAACACTTCTACTATATTCCATTGCCCCTTTATACATATTTGATACAAATATTCCTATACTGTTCACTGAATATGCAAATACTATTGATGCTATTAACATAGTCAAATTATTCATCAATAATTCTAAATTATTTTTAGCTGTTATATCACCATAACCAACTGTTGTCATTGTCATAGTAGCCCAATAAAATGCTGTATTATATTTAGATGCATTCCCTTTATCTCTTAAATCATATGCATCCAACCAAGAATAACCATCATTATAATATGCTAATCCATGCCAAACACATGCACAAATATGTGCTATAAATACTATCATCATTGTTAACTTTAATAAACCTACCAAATCATTTAAAGATCCATATAAATTAAAGAATCTAATAATACTATTCATTTTTACTCTTATATTTATGCCAAAATCTTATTGATTTTTGTCATTCGAAGAACATAAAAAATTGCACAGAGAACTATTTAAATGATCAACATTTAGTTTGATTCATTATCATTTGTGAGAATAAAGAATTAAAGAGTCACCGTACTCAACGAAACCTTAGATCCTTATATATTAACCATCTTATACCAAATCAACAAATGCATATTAACGAAAATAATTTATTAATATTCGTTTTCTATTTCGAATTATAATCCCCTTATATATAAATGCTAAATTCAAACCAACAAATACATCTAAACTCAATATAGATAAAAACACTATTTCCAGAGATTACTTATATATACTTATTCCTAAAAAATCTCCTATTGATTCCAATTTAAATGAGATTTTATATGGTAGCCAAAAGAATATTAATAAATATGTTAATATTTAAAACAGGCCCCAAATAAATATTAATTAACTATAAGGAGTAAATACTTCAATATAAGAAAAAAATCTTTTAAAAGCTTCCCATCTAGTTAATGTTCTCTTATCATTATGTAAATAAGCTTCATTTTCTAATTATAAATCATCCAATGCTTAGATTTAATAAAGTGAAAGTTGATGAAGCTTTCTTAAATAAGATCTATTCCATAGATTGTTAATAAAATTATTTTAAAAGCTCTTTGCTATAATCAATTTCAAAAATTATGGTTTTCCTCCTTATTCCTCTTCATCTTCTATTACATAAGCAGATTGATATTCAGATTTTCTCATATTCTTCATTGATTTATGCATATCAATAGGCATCATGTGAATTGATTGTTAACTGATATCTCCTAATTTCTACTATTCCGGAACTGTAAAGGAATTCCAACTGCCAGGTAGATTTCTATTCGATTCCCCTTCTCCAAGGACTATTCTCCCTGAAATCATCCCTGAGTTTGGACCTTAAAAGAACTCATCTTACAAACTAAATGAGTTTTGAACATGCTCATTTGAAATGTTCATTAAATATATTATTATCATTTTACAGTAGTCATCATATATATATTAATTAATATCAATTTTAATCATATAAGATTACTATTCAAAGTGGATTTCTAAAACAGATTAAGCCAACTGATGCTAAATTAAATTATTTAACTTATTTCAATAAAATGTTGATTTTCTACAATTATTAAAGTGAATATTATATTAATTGATAAAATTTAGCTTGTAAAAAGTAAAGAAAATTTCTATATTATTATTTATACAATCTATGTGTTTTCAAATAATATTTGTTCTTAAAAAAATAGCCATTGGGAAACTTCAATTAATTAATCAAATTTTTATATCAATTTAATGAATTTCAATTATATTACAATAATATTATTTATAAAGACATATGAAAATGACTATTGAAAATTTACTTTATAATAATAATTTCTTATCAATTTATCAATTGAAGATCTTAAGAACTGAAGATCGATACACATTTTATTCTTAACCAGCAGATTAATTTTCAAAAACTATTTATTTACTGAATCATATTCGAATGAAATCTTTGTATCTGATTATTCATTTACAAAAATATTCTTTATTCGTATGCTCATCTAAAATTTACTTGAATAAAATACTCCATTAAAATTAGAAATTGGAAGCATTGAAAATATACTTTTTATAACAATAGAAACTAATCCTATTTGAGTAGAAACAATATTATATATTTTATACAATTTGATTGAATTTTATTATTTAATATTAATGTCACTACAATTTACTCACCATAGTGAATTTGCTTCAAAGAAATTTGGTTCATATTTGCTGGGCTTTTAGAAGTTTCTTATAAAGTATTTACGCATTTCTTCCCAACAAAATAGGCACATTGAATATGGGAGACCTGGCATACTATAAAAGATTAATAAATTATTGAATACCCTAAATTCAATATATCAACTGGTCTAGCACCAAACCAAGTATTGACTCCTGGAATATAGACAATGCAAATGAAAATAATGGTTTCAAGAATAACTCCATAAAACATGACAGTGTTAATAGGTGAATAAATAACTGACATTTTACGTTCTAAAGATATAAGATAAATATTTACATTTGCATGAAAATACATTAGACCATTAGACCAATACAACAGCAACAAAGTAAGAGGTTTAAGCATATTTAAGTGCTGCAGTTTTGAAACAAGCATTTGTATTGATTGGATATCCAGATCCTTCAAGAAGTGAATCAGGTCTATCAAAGTATCTGCATAATTGATCAGAAAATTGGTTATCCCATTCATTAAATGTAGGGAACCATCTATTTGCGGTAGCATTATAAGAAACGAAGATGTATCTTAAATCATAATAGATAATTTCTGGATTTATCCAATTCAAAGGAGTATCTTAAAATCCAATTGTATCTTTCGTTGAATAATTACCATCTTTATCTAATCCTGGAATCAAAACTGGTGCCATTTACCAATTAGGACTATAAGGTTGAGTTGTTAAAAATGGACTAATTGATATATATACTAATTAAATACTTGTTCATATTAGGCATATCCCAAACCCAACTTGTAGGAGGTGGAGAATATTTTTATCCGTTTGCAAGTGTTATAGGAGCCCAAGGAATCTATTAATATGGTGAACCCATAAAACTAAGAAGTAGATGTGGAGGGAATCCATATTCATTCATTGTACTAAAATAACTAAAGAATCCTGCAGATGTGGCTATGACTCCTTATAATAGATAAGCATGTGTGATTAATCTAAGAGATACTAAATGATCATCCTTCTTTCTTGGTTTACGTGTCATAATATCAATTTCAGCTTCTTCATAAGCAAATGAAATAGCAGGTAAAATATCAGTACCAATACAAATAGTGAGAATAAAGGCATTACTTAATGGAAGTGGTAAACCAATAGCAATTTCACCTACGTATGGGAACACTTCAGTAATATTAGATGTAAGAAGATAGACAATAGTTTTTTTAAGATTATCAAAAATCTTTCTTCCTTCTTCTACACCATCAACAATTGAAGCAAAGTCATCATTCAATAAAATCATATCTGCAGCATCTTTAGTAACATCAGATCCACTGATACCCATTGAAATACCAATATCACCTTATTTGATTGCTGGTGAATCATTGACACCATCTCCTGTAACTCCTACTACATGACCCAAATATTAACAAGCTCTAACAATCATTAATTTTTATGCTGGAGATGTACGAGCAAATACTACTTGAGGTTTACTGCACCAACTTCTGAGTTTTCTATCTTTCATTTCTTCAGGTAAATTTTCCCCTTAAGATGCTTCTTCTTCAAGTGCTTAAACAATAAGATCACCATGAATAACAATTGCTGGAGCAAGTCTAAAAGCATCCTCATAAGACATAGATGGATTCTCATCCAAAAGATCATCAACTGTTTTACCAGTAATGATACCAATTTATTTAGCGATAGCACCTGCAGTAGGTGGTTAATCTCCAGTAACCATAATAACCTTAATACCAGCAGATTAACATTTTCTAATAGCCTGAGGTACTGTAACTTTTGGAGGATCCATCAATGATAACAAACCCAAGAAAGTAAATCCTTCTAATCTAAATTTAAGTGTATCAACAGAATTTAAATTAAATTAATATCCTTTATGATATTCAGCTCTTGGTAAGTGCAATTTTGCAAATCCTAAAACTCTTTCTCCACCTTTACCAAAAGTTAAATTAACTTATTTGAATTTCTAAGTAATTTATTCATCAATTGGTTGATTTCTACCTTCAACTAAAAGATAACTGCAAAATGTCCATAATTTTTCAGGAGCTCCCTTAATATAAACACAATAGTAAGAATCATGAGTTTCCCAATTTACAATACAAAGAGAAAACTTATTTGTTGAGTTAAATGGCATCTTAGCCAATGATTTATCTGGTAATTCAGCAAATTATCTTCTTTATCTTGTTAATTCAATATCTTCTATTGGTTAAAAGAATTTAATCAAAGCAGTTTCAGATGCATCTCCAATAGTTGGAGTATCTAACCAATTGATATTTTATTTTTCTTTAGTTTAAATATTAAATTTAGCTTCACTTGTAATGATAGCACAATCATGTAAATCTCTAAATGTTGGATCACTAGTTTCATATTCATATTCAGCATTCTTTCCTGCGATCAATTTATTTAATGCTTTCCTCTTTAATCCATCATACCATACATTTTCAACACTCATCTTATTTTAAGTCAAAGTTCCTGTTTTATCTGAACAAATGCAACTTGTTGATCCAAGTGTTTCAACAGCTTCCAAATTTTTAACTAGCACTTACTTATCTGCCAATCTTTTTGCTGTAATAGCCAAAGAAACTNTACTTGAGGTTTACTGCACCAACTTCTGAGTTTTCTATCTTTCATTTCTTCAGGTAAATTTTCCCCTTAAGATGCTTCTTCTTCAAGTGCTTAAACAATAAGATCACCATGAATAACAATTGCTGGAGCAAGTCTAAAAGCATCCTCATAAGACATAGATGGATTCTCATCCAAAAGATCATCAACTGTTTTACCAGTAATGATACCAATTTATTTAGCGATAGCACCTGCAGTAGGTGGTTAATCTCCAGTAACCATAATAACCTTAATACCAGCAGATTAACATTTTCTAATAGCCTGAGGTACTGTAACTTTTGGAGGATCCATCAATGATAACAAACCCAAGAAAGTAAATCCTTCTAATCTAAATTTAAGTGTATCAACAGAATTTAAATTAAATTAATATCCTTTATGATATTCAGCTCTTGGTAAGTGCAATTTTGCAAATCCTAAAACTCTTTCTCCACCTTTACCAAAAGTTAAATTAACTTATTTGAATTTCTAAGTAATTTATTCATCAATTGGTTGATTTCTACCTTCAACTAAAAGATAACTGCAAAATGTCCATAATTTTTCAGGAGCTCCCTTAATATAAACACAATAGTAAGAATCATGAGTTTCCCAATTTACAATACAAAGAGAAAACTTATTTGTTGAGTTAAATGGCATCTTAGCCAATGATTTATCTGGTAATTCAGCAAATTATCTTCTTTATCTTGTTAATTCAATATCTTCTATTGGTTAAAAGAATTTAATCAAAGCAGTTTCAGATGCATCTCCAATAGTTGGAGTATCTAACCAATTGATATTTTATTTTTCTTTAGTTTAAATATTAAATTTAGCTTCACTTGTAATGATAGCACAATCATGTAAATCTCTAAATGTTGGATCACTAGTTTCATATTCATATTCAGCATTCTTTCCTGCGATCAATTTATTTAATGCTTTCCTCTTTAATCCATCATACCATACATTTTCAACACTCATCTTATTTTAAGTCAAAGTTCCTGTTTTATCTGAACAAATGCAACTTGTTGATCCAAGTGTTTCAACAGCTTCCAAATTTTTAACTAGCACTTACTTATCTGCCAATCTTTTTGCTGTAATAGCCAAAGAAACTGTAATGCATCCCAATAATCCTTCAGGCACATTTGCAACAATAATACCAATAGCTTATCCAACAGCCTAATCTACTGTTGCTTTTTCAACAACCAATGAGAGAATCAAAAATAATATACCCAAACTAACAGCAATAAAAGAAATCAAAATAACGAATCTCTTCAACTCAATATTTAATGGTGTTTCTGGTGTTTCTCCTCCTGTTGCCAAATCTGCTATCTATCCCATTACTGTTTTATCACCTATTTATATAACCATTCCTAATCCAGATCCTTCCTTACATAATGTTCCAAAAAATGCCAAGTTCTTAGTTTCTAAAGGATTCTCACTTGTACATTCAGTCACTCTTAATAATGGATCACATTCTCCTGTCAAAGCAGAATTATCCACTTTCATTTCTCTAGATTATATAATTCTAATATCAGCTGGTATCTTGTCACCCATCTTCACTTCCACTATATCTCCAGGTACTATCTTTTCTGCTGGAACCTACTTTCTTTGACCACCTCTAATTACTATACAATTTGATGGCAAAAAATTCTTAAAGCCTTCCATCAAAGCATCTGCCTTAGCAGATTAATTGTAAGTAATTGATCCTGTCAGCAAAATAATTGCTATAAGAATAATTGCTAAGAAATAGGCCTTTTTTTCATACCCAACCACAAGTTAGATTTTGCTCCTAGTGCCTCTGGGTTTACACCATATAAAGCAAAACAAGCAAATGATGCTATCCAAAGTAAAATTGAGAATGGCTAAATCATCTCTTTTATCAATTTAATCCACCATGGAGTCTTCGCTTTTTCTGATAATTTATTATCACCATATTAAAGATTCTTTTATACAGCTTAGTCATCAGATAATCCTTCATCTTTGCTTGTTCCCAATCTATATAATTATATTATTTAATTACCTGTTTGCTAAAACCAATACATCTATTTTATGTTCATCCATGTTCCTATACTCTTCTCCTTTATTTTAAGCCTTTTTCAAAACATCTTGTTTTGTATTTGTAGGTGCATCCACTGGTACTATGACATCCTTAACCATAATTTTTTATTCCTTTGAAATATAATTGTAGAGCTTACTTTCATTTGGTTAAGCATTTGACTTTATCTAGAAACTAATGCCTACGCCTTCATGGAGCTCTTACGAGCTGATTCACTTTACTGCATTCCTAAATCCACACTTTATCTTAAAATTTAGAATCCAGCAACAATCTAAGGATTCGTAGCTTATGTGAAGTTCTACTAACCATCATTCAATGGTCGATACTAAGCCATTCACAATAAATTAAGAAAAATAATATCAAATGAAATTCATTCCATCACACCTTAAAATATAGAATCATAATAATGAGCTAAAGATTGCATCACTAATTAAATCCATATATGTAAAATTATTCTGCTCAAATGAATCAATAAACTTAACTTTGTAAAAAATAAACACTTTCCCATCAAATTCATTCCTCTATCCAAACCTATAATAGAGAAATAAAAGAAGGAAGATTTATATTCAGAAATACAAAATACTAAAAAACTTCACTAAATAATATAAATCCAATCAGATTACAATTATTAACTATAGAATCCTCATGAAATACTTGTTAATTATAGACTTAATCCTTGACAACTATAATAAATGGACATTATGGAAATAATAAAATAATTATTAAAAGAATTCCAAGATCTATTTATACAAATAAATTTGGAATAAGAATGACTTATAAGTTAATAGAGATGTATTTAGAAGATGAATATATTCATTATGAAATGGAACCTTTTATTATTAATCAGAAAAGAAAATCTGAGAATATTTTGATGGAATTAAATGAGAAATTAAAAAAAACTTATATGTTAGAGTTAAATTATAATAATTCAGCAGCATTTTGGTTATTTTTACTCTTTTTATTTTTCTACCATTTCTTCAGTCATTTATGATCCAATCCTCACACCAATAGACTTATAATTTAAACAATTTATACTTCATTTGTTGCATCAATATCTCTCTATTCTATTTTTTTTAATACAGCTTCAGCAGCTTCTTAGAATATCTATTACATTTTATAATAGAAATTACTTTATCAACTTGAAAACCTGTTTTTGCAGAGGTCTCAACAAAAATTATATCATGCTTCTTAGCAAATGTTTATCCTTCTTCAGTCGAAATAACTCTCCTAATAGATTTTCCATATAATTTTTACTTGTCTGATAAATCTGTCTTATTACCAACTAATACTAATGTAATTTTATCATTTGCATAGCTTTTTGTTTCTTCCATCCATCTACTAATATTCTCAAAACTATCTCTGCTTGTCACATCATAAACAATTAATGCACAGATTGATCCTCTATAATATGATCTTGTAATTGATTTAAAACTTTCTTGTCCAGCCTAAGATAATTAAATTAGTTTATACAGTATCCCAAATTTAAAGCTTTATGTTCTTTTATCTAATATTCAAAGTCTTACTTCCAAACTCAACACCTATTGTTGTATCATGATCTAATTTAAACTTTCTATCCAAAAATTATAAAAGTAAGCATGATTTTCCAACACCTAAAATCTTTATGATTAATAATTACTTGAATCTCCGATAATAATAAATTTAAACAAGTATGCATAAGAACTCATCAGAATAAAAAATATATTTATATAAATATTAAAATATTATTTATAGTAATTATTACAATTTAAATGTTAAATTTGTAGAAAATTTAGAAATTATATAGATTAATAATGTAGTGTCTTATCAATTCTATTCAACAACAAGAACTTCGATTGATTTTTTTCTTTACCTCTTATACAACAACTTATTTTTTTAAACTTCTAATTCCCATTAATTCATCAATTTTTCCATTTTCTTCATTCTTTTTTATAAATTCTAATATTTCTTAAGTAAATTTAGTTAAAATAGAAGGAATACTCTAATAGTTCTCATCTTAAGCTAAAGAAAAAACACTGCTTGAAGTTTGAAAATACGACATAGAATGAGTAGCAGCAAATTATTCACCTTCTTCATATTATATATAATGCCTTACAATTAAATAAAAATCCTCATTACCTATCATTTCCTCCCTCTTTACCTAAATCCAAATCATCATAAAATAATTTATCACATTTATTACCAACTAATCTAATTATTATTTTCTCTTAATCAACATACTATTAAATTTCTTCATACCATTTCTTTAGATTCTCATAACTATCTCTGCTAGAAAGATCAAAAATTAAAATTATTCCAATACAAGTTCTATAATGAACCCATGCCATCGAACGAAATGGCTCTTTTCCAGACTAAAATATAATATAAATAGCTATTATACAATATCTATAAGTTTTAATTAAACTGCCTTCTAACCTATCATAATTTCCTTTTGACTTATTGTAATCTTGTCATTATGTCGTTACACAAATTAATTAGTTATAAACATTGATAAAAAAGTTGATTTTCCTACTCCAGAATCTCCTATGATAGCTATACTTAGCTCCCATTCACTTGACAACATTTCAAAATTATTTCAATATATTCAATTATTAATATCATTTATATTCAAATAAGTCAATAATTAATTATATTCATTTTTGTACCTTTGCTTTTTAAACTAAACTATTGTCTAGCTATTATTATTATATTAATTTATCAATCTATAGTTTCTTTTCTTTTTCATTATTTTCTAATTCAACTAATTTTTATTTCAAAATAGAATTCAATCTTTCAACTTCTAATATTAAAGTTGTATTTTTTTATTCCAATTCCTTATAATATTATGCATTTATTGAACAATTACATTTTTATTAACCCAATTCTTTAATTATTTTATCTTTAGATCTACAATTAATACATTATTTACTCTATTTATGATTGCAATTTCTGTATAATAACCTTGCTATCAGATATATGATTTGTTTTAATCATTAAATTTATTTGATTATCTTACTTTTATAATTAATCTAAATAGTAAGTTTCTATTGCTTGTTTTTCTTTATTCCATTAATTTTTATCATCTTTAAGAGTTTAACATTAATGACTTAAGATTTATAATTGATTTTATAGTTATAAAATCTATTAATTTAATTAATTTTCTAATTTCTTATATTAATCTTAATCCTATATAATTTGATTATATTTCGATTACATTTCTTCAATTTTCCTAATTAAAATTATTTTAAATATTTACATTTAATCAAATGATTTCAATTTCTCTTAATAAACATTTATTTAATCCTATAATTATTCAATTTCTTTCAATTTTTTAATCTTAAATTCATTATATTCATTCATTAAAACCTTTAATTGATGTTTATCCTCATTCCCATTTTTTTATCCAATATTTATCTGTAATTTATGTAATTCAGAATATAACAATCTAATCTTAAGAATATAATATACTTATTATCCAGTTCTTTGTTAAGTAATAGTTATTTCATTTACAATCTCTCCTATTAATATGTATTGTGTAAAGTCGTAATTTTATCTTAAAGAACTTGAACTTAAGTTTAAAGTGAATTTATATTATATTCCTTTCCTTCAATTTCTTCTTTTGAAACTTCTTGTTAACTAAATTATTTCTAAGTATTCACATAAACTTATTCAAGTTCAAATTGATAATTGTATAGTTCATTTTGTAAATATTCAGTTTGATCTGTTAATTCTGATACCTTTTTCTCAAGAGCCCCAACTTTCTCTAATGCTTAATTAAATCTTAACCTTAATATAATGTTAATTAAGTTTATAAGTATCTATTTGTCATTTTCAATTCTTCATTTTGATTTGAATTTTTTGAGTTCAATCCTGATATCTTACTATAATCTATGTTAGAATTCACTATAGGATTTAGAGGGTATTATATTTAATTGAATTAAATAGAAACTCTCTCTTAACTAGGTCTCTTAGAATTCATAAATTGATATTTTTCTGTTAATTATTATTGTTAATTTCTAATAATAAAAAATGAAATATGATATTTATCTGAAAATATTAAGAAAAGAATGAAAATATTTATAGTAATGGGTTAGGTAATGATTTAAGAAAAATTCAATACATTTAAATTAATAATCAATTCATGTTATAAACACTATAAAATTTATAGTTTACTAAATAATTTTTGAAAAGCTAGTAATAAAGAATAATTAAAGAAGATTATATTTATCAATAGAGCATCACATCAATTTGGCTAAAAATTATGAAAAAATAAAATTATAACTGTTAACTTTACTTAAATAAGAATTATATATTAAAAAATTTGTTTTGATATTTATTAAGATGAATAGATATGTTCTTACAATCTTAATTAAAATTCAATATTTATTATTTTACCTTAATTTTATTGCCAAGATAATTTAAAATGTACTTAAGTAACAAAATCATAAAATTTCTAAACATTACAACATGAAAATACCTTGATATCATCAATCTTTAAAGTTGCTCTCAATACAGGCAAAATTGATTAATTTAAAAGAATCATTTATCTTTTATATGCTAATTTTGATTTAATTCTTTGATAATTTTTTTTAATATTTATTAGTAGAATTCAGATTAGATTTTATTTTAAAATAAATTAATATTTTTGAGTCTTCAATCACAGTTGAAGTTAGGAACAAAAATTATTCTAAAGTTTTACTAGATCATCACCTCAAATCTAAGATGGTGATTAATCATAAAAAGATTATAATTTAAAAAGAGTCTTTATTTACTTGAATTTCATACTAAAATTAAATAAAACTTTGTTAAAAATCAAATATAACTTATCAAAGGATTTTTAATGTAATCTATCAACTAAGCCTTTAGTTTGATAATCCAAATTAAATATTGATTTTCTAATGAAGAATCAAATAAAAATTTAAAGGAGAATCTTTAAACTAATTTAAATAAAAAAAAGTAAGATTATGTTGCTAAAATGAGAGGTGAAGTTATTACAAATGTTATTGTAATATCTTTCAAATAAATTTAACATGATAATATAGTAAAGCCATTGTATTTGAAGAAATTTTAAATAGAGAAGTCGACATCAATTTATATGACAGTTTGGGAACAGCTTTTGTCATCTGAAATGTCTTCTAGGTTGATCTTGCTAGTTTGGTATTTACTCAATATTAAGAGATGATTAATGGTATAAAAATTATGGAATCTTGAAAGTTATCAAAAATATTTAGGATTTGTACTCTCTAGATATATCAAAGAATGATAAATGTATAAATAATAAGTTAAGTATGTAGTTCCTAACAAAAGAACTAAATATTTTAGTATTACAAAAAAAAATGTATTTGGTATAAAAAGGGATTAAGTATTGTAAAAGGACCATATATTAAATAATCTAATAAAGATTTAAATTAAAAATAAATAATTAAATAAATAAAAATCCTTTAGAATTTTATAATATTGGATTAGGCATTGTTGAAAATAGATGTATTTTCTCATTAGATTTAGTTAAATAAATATTATTTTTAAATGAAAATAAGTTTTATTTATAATATCTTCATATAATAAAATGTTAATATTTAAATTTGATTAAAAATAAGGTCAACGATTAAAATTAATAATATTAGAATTATGAACAAATATAGTTTAATATTTTTAGATAAAGGATCTGAAAAAGAATATTAAGAATAGAAAATTAATTAATTGAGAAAACCAGTCTATATCTTTAGTGCTATAGGGTTGTTTTTTATAAGCACGACAAAAATGATTACAGAAATCTTGGATAATTAGTTGAATAATTTAAGCATAATAATTGTAACATAAATTTATCTCATCTTATCAATTTTCATAATAAAGTGGAAACCTTCATTAGTATAGTCTTGTTTAGTGATTTTAAACTATTTACTTCTAGCATATTAATATATGTTAACAAGTACTATATCATAAGAAGCCCATCAATTATTTGCTAATAATTTTGTTGCTTGTAACTTTGTGATAATCTTGGCAGTAGATGTATTTTAAGGAATATTCCTAGTAATTACTACAATGTTAATAAAATTGGGTATTGCAATATTTGAAGCTAAAACTCCATAATATAATGTTTATTTTGCTACAATTTTACTTATTTGCTTTTTAATTTTTTATATTCGTAAGTTGAATTATGAAAGTCGTAGCTTCTTTTTATTGAGTTTAAAGGATAATTTGATGGAATAAATCTTACCAATTATAGTAAATAAGTCTTATATCTTATTTCAATTTGAAAGTAGTCATTTAAAATTTTCATTAATTTCATCACGATAATAAGAATTTTGTTGTGAGAATTCAGAGAATTTGAAAATATTTTTAAGAGAATGGAATTATAAATAGTAAAGTCTTGAATAATTTTGTTTTTCAGAGATTAAACGAAAACAATCTCAAGAAATCAAATCTTATAACAAATAAATTGAGATCCAAAAAGGTACAAAATAAAAAAAAATGATAACAATCTGTTTCTTTAGTTATTAATAACCAACATTTTTAATAAAATTTGAGAATAACCATCAAGCATAAGAGAAATTAAAATGTTATTTATTTAAGATATTTGAAAAAGAGAGACTCATTTAATTCAAAATTTTTAAATGTATAGTAAATAATTTATCAATTTCATTAAGATCTTCTAACTTTAATCAATTACATTTATTAAGGATATATAGTTTTAAATAAATTTTGAATTACAAAATCTTAAATAATTAGTTCAAATAATAAGAATTTATAATTGATCCTATTTTATCAAAATTAAAAGAATTATTTTAATTTAAAAAGATAAATTATAAAATAATAACATAATCAGAGGGCAAGGTTTCAATGATTAGAACCTATTTTATAAGACTAATATATGCTGTATTTAGTGAGAGCTTCAAAGATTCTACAGTAATAATTAATCTGGAACATTTTTCAGAACCATATATAAGATATTATGGAAAAGAGATTAATGAATTTACAGATACAGCTATTTTAACAGTTATTAAAACTTTAGTTAAAAAATAACAAAAGTTAAAAATTGGTAATAAAACAACTATTGTATTAATGCTAAATGAAGAACCAAGTTACCCATTCTAGTTTTCATTATACAATTGATTTAATTTTCTGATTTTTTAATTAGAATAAAAATATTAATTCAATATTCAAGTTTAAATTATTATTTGGAATAAAGAGTGTAATTTTCATTGAATGTAAATTTTAAATTAAATATCTGCCATTTAATTCAATTTAGTAGAATCTATTTGAAATTATTATCATTAAATCTACATTTAGTTGATTTCTATCTAATAACGCAATCCTAGATTTCTTGAATAGATTCATTCATTTTTTATCTTGAAATAAAGTATTAATGTAAATTATATATGAAAATATCATTATCTATTATTATATGGTTGTTTAAGTGGATCTCTAGTAAATGATATAATATTTTATTTGCGCATAACTGATAATTTATATTAAAAATTAATGCAATCAAGAGGTCTGTCAACACCTGGAAAATAAAAATAAGAGGTACTTTAAATAGTATTTGATCTTGGAGAAAAGAAAAAAGTATGTTAATCTATATAGGATTTAAGGAAACATTGCATGTATATGATGATTCTGATATAACTATGATTGCAAAAGAATTTGTTAACAAACATTAATTAAGAGAAGAGGCTTCTATTTTAATAGAATAAACTATAATCAGCAATCTATAAGACAGTCATTGTTCTAAATAAAGCATTTTCGATCGATTACATAATGAAGCTGCCGTTAAGACCCAAAAAAGATAATAATAATTTATCACAAACAGTTTATCTTAAACTTTCAGTCCTCAAAAAACATTAGCATATAATCCTGGAGAATAGTTGTATTTAAAATCAAAGCAAAGTCGAGTCTTAGAACCTAAATAAGATGTTTTATATTCATTCAAACCATATATAAGTGAGAAAAGTTTATCTTTAGCAAAAAGACCAAATATGTCTACTTAAGATTATTTGATTATGCAAGGCAAACAAATGGCATAAAAAAAAGAATAATTAAGAAGTAGTAGAATGGCTGAATAGAATTAATAATGCTCATTTTAACCTACTATCAATCCTATGTAAAATTAGTTTTAAAATTTTGATTAGAAGCCAAAAGATTACTCAAGAAAAAGAAAGAAATTATTCAAGTGCTTAAAAAACTCAAATACATGATAGATTATATTAATAAGGTTTAAATTCGATAAAGAAAAAGAAAGAAGCTAGTCAAATGATTAATTAATCTTATATGATGTCTCCATTAAAACGAAAACCTTCAGATATACCATTTCTAGAAAGAATGCAAATATCAATATAGAAAAGATAAAGAAAATTAGAAGAAACTGTAATGACTGAAGAACCTACACATGATATAACAACTGGTTAAAAATTATATCGTCCAATTATAGGAAGACCACCTAACAATGATGTAATCATTATTTAAAAAATGTATTATAGAGAAATAACTCTAATCTTCCAATTGGAGATTATCTATTTCAAATGAGAACTGTGTAAGAAGATCATCATAATTATTTAATTGAATAATAAAAATAATCTCATATGAATTCTTTGGCAAAATCTTCGGAAAAATCAAACTAGATTTATGAGGATAAAAAAAGAAAAGTTCTTGAAGAAATATTCACTTTACTTGATTCAGATGGAGATGGATAAATTTCGGCATCGTCTATAGAAATATCTGGTATATAATCAGAAATATTATAAATATTGGCACCACTCTTATGTGAAATGGAATCAATCTAAGCTCATTTAGATTTAGAATCATTTATTGAAGCAGCTAATAGATTAATATAATCTTTAAATGTATCAGATAAAAATAAATTAATAAATGGATTAAAACAAAAAAAAATACTAGATCTCGAATAATGTACTTTTTAAGTAAAAGTTTTTATTAAAAATAGCCTACATTATGTAATCACTCTATGAAAATAGTTAAATCCTGTCCAAAATAACAATAGAATGTAATTTATTCTTATTTTATTTAAGAAACTTGAATTAGTGAAATAAGAGTAGGAGTAAAAAGTTATGTAAGAATGTACATTTAAGCCTCAATTATATAATCCACTTAAAATTTATGATTTTATACTTAACCAATGAAGATTCCTGAGGATTTTCTTATAAATTATATGTGTTATATTATAACTAGTAATATATATGGATATACCTTTTTGAGTATTCTCAATTTCTAAATTTTTTGAATGGTTGCTGTAGATCTTAACCAATAAATAATTGAATAAAATAAAATTTCAGAAACTCTAAAACATCTAAAAGTCTTTGAATTCTTATATTCTTAATTGCCTTTTTATATAAATATCTTCTATATATATTCCCAATCAATAATTATATATATATCATAAGCGATATTGGTGTAATTAACCAAAAGTAATATTAATATAAAAATACATGAGAAATACAGAATTTTACTGAGATTAATATTCTATAAATTATTCTACACAGAAAATAGAGAAATTATTAAGATTTATATATCTGATAGATGAATAATGTGTATCGCAATTTATTTAATAATGATATATTATTAATATATAATCTTTATTTAATAAAAATGATTTTTGATAAATAAATTAATTATTTTTGAGATGGGCATTTGCTAAACAAGAAAAAGTAAATTAAATAGTTAAAATACTGCCACAACTCCTGTGAGTCAGTTTTCAAATAAGATAATTTCATATTCTCATAATTGTATTGACACAAAAACTCAACCAAAATTTGTTCCTTAAAGACCTCCTAATATTGAATATAGTGAATATGATCCAACAAGTATCTTTCTTTATTACATTAGATCCGCATCGATAGTTCAATGTGATGATAAATGGAGTACATTTTGAAGTCATAAATTCAGTTGAAGAAGACATTTTAAGATAACTAGATTGATACAAATTTTTTATGATATACGTTTTATTTCATTCAACTTTTCAATAATTTATCAATCATCATTAATGTTAACTTAAATACACTAAGCCTCAATTACTCAAAGAATCTTATTTTCAAAATTCTAAAGAAGACCTCTAAACGAGTAACATTATTGATAACTGTTATGGTTTATTTATAAATCACACTTTGAAAAAATCCAAATAAAGATAAAACTATTTTAGAAGGAAAGGGAAGATGATAAGTTATAGATAATGAGAATACAATATTACTGTTCAAAATCAATAATATTAAAATAGTGTTTTTGATTATCATCTAATTAAAAATTATTACCATCATTTTAATAAATAAGTACATGTCTAATTGAGAATTATCTATTATTTTTATATTTTCTTGATTACATGATTATGTAATAGACTTCAATTAATTAATTTATATTTATAAATCATTTCACAATATTTTAATTTTTATTTTGTGAATTCAAATTTAATAATAAATAAAATCTTTTTAATTATACTTCTTTAATATTCTTTAGCTGAAAAACTTCAATAAGAATAAACTTCTAATTAAATTTTGAATACCCATATTTAGACTTCAAAGCCTATTTATTTTTTTTGAAAAATTCTCTCATAAATGAATTAATCAAATCCTTTTGATAATTTTTATTATCATAAAATATTATTCTTTAATTCCAATTGAAGAAAATTGAAATATTAAAATATTTATCTTTGAACACTAATACTACAAAATATCATTTTGTATATACATCTTTCAGTAAAATATTATTATTCAAGATAATTTGATTATCTTTTTGATGAACAATTTATTTAAATCTAATTTGATAACATTTTCAATTTCTATTACTGTAATAAGATGTTTTAATCAATAATCAACCTTTATTATTGTATTTATAATATTTGCTACTTTAAGATAGTTCGACATGAAGTGTTAAAAGAAAATGATTAAATCATTTCCTTTAATTTTTAAACAAAATAGTATAATTAAAATTTATAATTGGTAAATGGAATATTGGTCTGAAATTACTAATGAGACCTTGGAAAATGCTAGAAAGTATAAGAAATAGGAATAAGAAAGACAACATAATTGTATAAATGAAAGTTTGATTGATTCAGAAGCTTAAGAATAGTATGAGAAATGTTCTGAATCCCTTTTTCGTAATTGGTAAGTGTTTATGCTAAAATTGGAATGGGAAAGACATAAATTACAAGATTGTTTGACTATTGCAAAAAAAGCCAATATAAAAGATGATTCAGAGATAAAGAAAATGTGTTGTGGAAGTATCAAATAAAATATTAAGAGTTATTTTGATTAATTATAGAGAGATGATTTTGATATTATTAAAAATTTATGATTCCTAAAGTTGTTGGTTATGCATCATTTTAATCATATGGAGATTTACCATACCCATCTCTTAAAGCAGGTAAACGTACTTTAGATTCTAATCAAATTTGGGAACAAAGTAAATATGTTTAATACATTAACTTAGCTGTTAGAAATGAAGATAAAGAGAGCTTTTACAAGAATTCCAACTATCATTATTCAAATAAATAAGTTTCTCTTGATTCAACAGTATAACCTCCTCATTATAAAAATGTATATAAGGCCAATAAAGTAAGAAAATGATATTCTAAATTATTTATAGGCACGTTTGGAGAGTGCAACTTCTAGTGATTTTTTCTAAAAAACAGGAAATTCAGCTATGACACCAGAGAATCCTCTACTCAAGACTGGTTGTGAACATTGGAAATCTACATATTAAGCATCAATTGTTGATCCATATGCAAAAAATAGAGCAATGCCACCTGAATGGAGTTTAAATAGACCACCTTATGTAGTGGAAACGTATTATAAATAGAAAATAATAATAGGAAAGTTGGACCTTCTGAATATAAGAAATAGTATGGATAAATAGGAGAGAATCCTAGAGAAAGATTAAATTAATTAGATGAAACTCATCCAAGAGCATTTGATGAATTAAGACTGGGAACATCATAAGAAGCATAGCATATACCTGGATATACAGGATTTATACCATCAATTATAACTAATTCAAAAGCTATGGAACATGGAAATGGAACTGAACCAAGAACAGATTTTATGAAAACTAATTTAAAAGAGAATTAGTATAATCATTATTAATAATAATAATAGTCATACAAAAATACCTGGATATGCAGGACATGTTCCAAGATCTGTAGTCAATTAAAGAGACTAACCAAGATAATCCTGCTTTAGCAATTGATAAAGATTTCATTTATTATTAATAATTCATATAGATATCTAATAATTTAATCTTTATACTCTTTATTCAGTAACAAATTATATAAAAATATTAGATAATGATATTGTAATAAGAAATTATTATTTTAAGTGTATATAAATTTGAATTTATTAGTAATTCTTTTATATGTATCTTAAATTTAAACTTAAAATAGAAATATATTATTTTTTAATACCATACTAATGAAAGAATTAATAATATATAAATTATTTCGATTTTGTAAAAATATTCATGGACTTAGATATAGCCATAGATGCAAGAGAGAAAGTACGCAATCCAACAATAAAATTGAATAAGAAATTAGCAATAGCTATAGGAGTACATATAATTATTTAATAAAGACACTTACTAAATCTGAAAAGAAGCCATTTGATGAATTAGTCTCATAGGAACCTACAAATAAATTAATAGCAGTTCATTTTGGAGTAGGTGATTAAGATGATTATAATACCATATGCAATTTTGTTAAATAATTTGGATAGAACAAAGTAATGATATATCCTGTAAGAAATTATGCATTTATTGAATTCCAAAATATCTAATAGAGTTTATAATTAATCTAAGTATAAGTTATTTGCCACTTAGTCTTTACAAATATTTGAGAATATCAAATATGCAAGTTTAAAGTATCCAAATAAAGAGAGAGCCACAATGTTTTTTTATACAAACTAATAAGAATTAAATGGAGGAGGTATGTGTGATATACCAAATGCAATGAGACAAGTCAATATCCCAGGATTATATTTAATACATGATTTCATAACACCAGAATATGAAAAATATATTATGGATTTAATTGATAAATAAGAATGGTCTAAATTGAAATAAAGAAGAGTTTAACATTATGGATATGAATTCATATATGGAGATAATACAGTTAATGTTAATAAACCAGCAGATAAAATTATACCTGATTTTCTTGAGGATGTTAGATCAAAAGTGTCTGATTTAATAAAACCTCAAGCTGAAATAAATCAACTTACAATTAATGAGTATTTACCAGGTATGGGTATTCCACCTCATTTTGATGTTCATCCTCCATTTCATGAAAAATTTGTTTCTATCAGTTTACTTAGTGGTTTAGTAATGACATTTAAATCTTTCAAAGGAGAAGAATAACATTTATATTTACCTCCTAGATCTTGTGCATTATTTACAGGAGAAGTAAGATTTGCTTGGTTTCATTCTATTGCATCAAGGAAAATAGATAAAGTAGAAGGTGAAACTCACTTTAGATCAAGAAGATTAAGTTTGACATTTAGAACAATAAGAAATGATTTAAAATGTGATTGTTAATATTAATTCTTTTGTGAATCATAGGGTTACAATCCATAAACAATGAAAAATAAAAATCCATTATTACAAGAATATTTAGCAAAATTGAATTAAATTGAAATTCAATAAGACAATAAAGTTGTTCCAAATAAAACTCAAGAAGAAATTTAATTACTTTAAGATTAATAATAATAATTATTATAAATACCTAAAGCTACAGAAGTAGAAAAGAAATATGTTTATGAGATTTATGAAAAAATTGCACCTCATTTTAGTTCAACTCGTTATAAACCTTGGCCTAAAATAGAACAATTCTTAAAATCTCTAGAACCTGGTTCTCTTGTTGCTGATGTTGGATGTGGAAATGGAAAATATTTAGGTTCAAATCCAGATATTGAAATGATAGGTACAGATAGAAGTGAAAATCTATTGAAAATTTGTAAAGAGAAATCTGATGCTTATTAAGTATTTAGTGCTGATTCTTTAAGATTACCTTTAAAATCTGAAATGTTTGATGCAGTAATCTCAATTGCAGTCATTCATCATTTCTCAAATAAGTAATGATTTTAATTTAAATAATTATATAGAATTCTCAGATAATAAGCAATCAGAGAATTGTTAAGGATTTGTAAGTCTAAAGGATTAATATTAATATATGTTTGGGCTATGGAATAAGAGGAAAAGACTTTTAATGAATAAGATGTATTTGTACCTTGGAATTTATAATTTAAATATGAAGATGAGAAAGTCATCAATTAAGAAGGTATTTCATATTAATTATAAATAATAGTGTAATAATAATTTAAAATTGACGATCAAAAAAAGACAGTTGTGTATAAGCGATATTATCATGTCTTTAAATAAGGTGAGATAGAGGAACTATTATCAGAAATGCCAGGCTTTAAGATAGTAAATAATTATTATGATCATGCTAATTGGGTAGTTGTGTTATAAAAAGATTGAAAATTATATGTTCATTTTAATATTATTATTAATAAAATATTAAAAATGGCATAATAAAATAATCATCTTCATCTTAGATATTGGAGTTCTAGTGATTGGGATTTTAAGAAAAAGAAAGAACTTCAACATTAAATGCTAGTTACTAGATAGAGATTCTTTGAATCTATGAAACCATAAGAAGTAAAACGGATTAATACTACTAATTTTCATTAATATGTTATTGATATAAGAGAATATTATGAAAAAAAAAATTAGCAACTATTGTCAAGTAAAAAATTTAGCAGAAGCACTAAATCCTTGAAAAATTTATTTAGTAATAACAATCTACTCCTTAAATTTAAATCGTAAACATTTTTTCCAGATATAAATTGATCTGTATTATTATTAATATCTTAAATATAAATTTCCTTATGATTCTGATTCCTCCTCCATTTATTTCTAGAATTTTTCAACTTATTTGTAATAAATTAGTACTGAAAATTCATTACTTTTCAAGAGTATGGATTATCAATCAATTTTTACAAAATTTTAATCACTTAATAAATTCGATTTATATTTCACTTTCACTTTTATTTATTCAAAACAATAAGTAATATATCAATTCAACTCTTAATGATATTATATTATTAAATTTAAACTAATTGTTTCATTATTAAAAATTATATAAACTAATATTATTATTGCTCTTAAAGAAAATCATTAAACAAAATGGAATTGTTTTAAGTTTATTTTGAATTTTAATTCAAAACAACATTTATTATTATTATAATAATCAATTCAAATCAAAGGTCATATATATATTCTTGTCTCTAAATTACTGAAACTAGAATTAAAATACATTTAATTTTTTTAATAAATAAACCAAGTAGGGAATATTATTTTATTTATAGATTAAAATTATTCCATTAAATTTAATATAATAATTTTATAAAAGTCAATTTTTTATATAAAATTATTATTTTTTTTTTAAAACAAACTAAAATCATATTGATCTATTTTTTAATTAGATTATAATATTAATTATCTATTATATAAATACTTCTTAAAAATATCATATAGAAAATATTTTTATTACAAAATAAAATCAAAAAATTTGATTTATAATGCAAGTAAGAATATAGTATAATAAGTTTTTAGAACTTATTTACAATTGTTTTAATCAATAATTAATCAAAGAAACATAACTAGTGAATAAATTAAAAATATTTTATATTAAGATATATATTTTTAAGTTATATATATATAAATATTGATAATTAAATTATTGCAATAGCTGAATAATAAAAAGAATCATTATTGTTATTGTTTTTTAAACTTTTTTTCTAATTATGGAAAGGCTATGAATACAACAGTAACATTATCTACGGTTTTTCTAGACATGGATTGTCTCATAATAGTTTCAACTGCTTTTCCAGCAAAATGATGAACATCATGCGAGATCACAGTCCAAACACTTTAAATGACTTCTTCACTATACATTTTATCAAATATTCCATCACCTTGATCTACAATTAAAATTACAAGCCAAAATCAAGAAATCTTAATCAGTAACTGAGATTTGAAAAATATCGGGTTGAGCTGATATTACTCCTTGAATTCCACCATATTTTGGTAATTTGGCTTCTGCATCTCCTAATGTTCTTGAAACAGCTAGTCTACCAGGTAGTACTCTATAGGGACCAAATTAAATATCACCATTTGAAACCTAAATCTAAGCCTAATAGATTTATCCACCAAGTTTAGTAATTCTTTATTGTTCATTTTCTTAAGAGGGTTTATGATCAACAGTAATGGATGAACATTTGCCTTAATGAGAGATTATTGCACGAGAGTCTCCAATATTGGCAATATAAATAGCTTTATCAACAATCAAGGCTATCACAGCACAAGAACCAGATTTATCTAATACTTTTTGATCAGCTAATTAAAGATAGTTTTTTTCAGCTTTTTCTATACCTCTCGATATTGCTAATCTTGGATTTGATGGAAAACAATCTTCTCTTATTATCTACATTAAATAAAGAAATTACATATTAATGTAAATTATCTCTCATATAGTCAGCACATGCAGCACCACCATGACCATCATAAATTGCAAAAAATGAACTTTAAGGCCATTATCCAGCAAATGTATTTGAAGCAGGTTTCATTAAATTAAGAATTATTGATACTCTATCTTCATTGTAAGTTCTTACTAATCCTTAATGTGTATTTGCAGCATAGGCAGAAACTATACCAACATTTTTGGTTGAAATTTTTGATGGTTCAATTTAAGGTAAACTATCAATAGGAATTAAAGGAGAGTCAGATCTTTATTATTACTTTGTCTTATGAATAACTTATTGAGATTATCTTGATTTTAGTATGTCTTTCTTAAATTAAGGTAATATTTGAGAATCATCAGATTTTTGATTATCTCTACTAACATTTATTTTCTTATAAGTTACTATACTTTGAGATTTACTCTTTTCATTTAATTAATAATTAGTTTCTTTTGCTTCAATATAAGAATTAATTATATACTCTTGTTCGTATCATCAATATATGTTGATTTTCCTTTATTGATTTTTTGAGCATTTTGAGAACCCACTAAAGAAGAGGATAAATAGTATTGGGTTCTGATATTGGAAATGCTTTTTAAAGATTATTATGATTATTTCATAAATTTAATTTTATCAATTATCTTTTTCAACACATAATTCCCTATATGCATATATGTTTTTATTTGCTATTCCTTTAATAATATTTCCATAATCCATTAAAAATTAAACAATCTTTATAAATTTAGTATGCTCAACCTTCACTTAAGTAATTTATAATTTAAAAATATGTTTGAATATATAAACTAAGAAGGTCATTTCTATTTAATAATTTTAATAATATATGAAAATATATTAATTAACATAAATACAAATATATTAGAGGTATAAGATTATTATTATTATTATTATTATTATTATTATTATTATTATTATTATTATTATTATTATTATTATTATTATTATTATTATTATTATTATTATTATTATTATTATTATTATTATTATTATTATTATTATTATTATTATTATTATTATTATTATTATTATTATTATTATTATTATTATTATTATTATTATTATTATTATTATTATTATTATTATTATTATTATTATTATTATTATTATTATTATTATTATTATTATTATTATTATTATTATTATTATTATTATTATTATTATTATTATTATTATTATTATTATTATTATTATTATTATTATTATTATTATTATTATTATTATTATTATTATTATTATTATTATTATTATTATTATTATTATTATTATTATTATTATTATTATTATTATTATTATTATTATTATTATTATTATTATTATTATTATTATTATTATTATTATTATTATTATTATTATTATTATTATTATTATTATTATTATTATTATTATTATTATTATTATTATTATTATTATTATTATTATTATTATTATTATTATTATTATTATTATTATTATTATTATTATTATATAGTTCTTTGTAATTATTCTTATATTTAATAAATGAATAGAATTGATACTTTATATATTTTCTAATTAATTATATGTTTATTACATTTTTAACTAAAATTATTTTTGATTAATTTAAAATAATTAAATGAGCATAAGTCATAATCATCAAGAAAATAATTATTCAAGTGAAATTGTGGGTTATTAGCTTCAATAATTGATAAGTGATTTAGAACACATTTAAAATCTAACTAAAATTAGGGGTAACGATTCACCATTTCCAAGAAGATGCACTTACTGCAAAATTTAGCATGATTATGATAGTGAGCATAATTTAGTAGTAACCTAATATACTGACTCAGAATTTATTAGTGATCTAATTTAAGAACATGACACTCTCTATAAAATTTGTTAATGGGCGCATTAAAGTATTGGATAATAAACAATCAGAGATTCAATGTCACCATAAGATAAAGCATGGAATCATATTTTATCTAATAATTACGATGAAGTGAATAAATATTTAAATGATGAAGAGAAATGTATTTTGAATTCTTTGCAGCCTTTTGGAACTGGAAATAAATTATTTGACTTCATGAAATTATCAAAATATCAAAATGAAAATTGGGTACTTACTCTTGAATTACTCTACAAAGCAACATAAAGAGCACCTTATGATAATAATAAATTATATTTATGGGCAACATGTTAAAGTGTTGAATGGTAAAGTGGGATTTCTAAATTTAATGAAGATTTATGGTTAAATGTTAGGGCTGAATTATTTTATAAAGTCATGAGTAAACATAATGAAATCTATCTAAAAATGAATAGATGTATCAATTTTGGAATCAATAAACCTTTCATTTGGAAACCAAAATTTTATGAACTTAATTGCGGTTATATGAATGACGAAATAGATAGAATTGGTAAGAAATTCATTATCGAAATCATTAAATATATTACATCCAAAAATAATATATTCTAATTCCTTTAACTTATTAAAGACTCCCTTTTCACACTCTTAAACAAAACTAATGATTTAAAGTAAGCTTCTCTGAGATCTAAATGCTATTTCAAAATTGCACTTATGATCTCAGATTTATTGGATATTGATCCAAACAATGAATAAGTTTTATTAGAATAAATAGAGGAAATTGTAAAGTTAATTTAAGAAGAATTCATAGATAGAAATACAAAATTATAATATTTGATTCAACTTTTAAGTATTTTAAGACGATAGGATAATTTCAATTCTTTTATTTTTCAAGTTTGTTAAAACATAATCAATTCTTTAGGAGATTCTTTAAGTTCCTTTTTATAATTGTTAATTAATTTTAATTTTGATAAAGATTTTATTACAAATATTGCATTTGAATAATTCCATAAATTAAGTCCTTACTAATAGAATGAATTGTTATCAAAAGAATTTTAGAAATATTTCTCATAGGATTGTCTAAAATAATAGGTTTATAGTTTACTTTCATACATAATTGAAAATATTGAAAATTTCAAAAATATATTTGGATTTTTATTACAAGAATACTAGGATTTTCTACGTGATGAAGGTGAATATTATAAAGTTTATATTGATGAAGATATAGAAAAAATGTTATATTATTTAAAATAACAAAGAATTCCTCCTTATTGGTTTGCAAAATATATTTAGTTTATTTTAAGTAATCCAAATTTAAATCAATTATAAATGTATATAAAATTATTTTATAATTAGTTTTGGAATAATGGAAGCTATCAAACTAAATGATTATTTATTTATAAATTTGCCAAAAAAAAGACAGTTATTAGCTGAACTTGCAAAAAAGCTGACATCAATCAAATCATTTGTTAATCATTTGCTTTAATGATTTAATTTTTATATCTATATATAAGTTTAAGCTTCAATATTAGAATGTTATAAATAATTATTGAAATAGAATAAGATTTTTTAAAGTAATTTTATTAAACTAAATACTTATATTTTAAATTATTTAGATTCTAAAAAATAAATAATTTGAATAAATCTACCTATATATAAATTGACAGAAATTATTCACATTTAAATTAATAAGTAAATAAATTATTAATTTTCAGTTTAAGTTTAGATATATATATATATATGTTAGACAAATAAAATACAAAATTATTAATATTGACTTGATTAACATAAGTGACTGTAAGGTTCCTTTGAATCTATTGATCCTTTAACTCTAAGATTTTAAATTATGACATCCTTGAATTACTATTTAAGGATAGAGTTTCTTATTTCGATTTATTAATATTATTAAAAAAATATTTAAGTGATGGGAGCTACTTGTTGTACTGGAACACCATAAAGTTAGGAGATTCCTACAGCTCCTGCTAAATTTGATGCAACTGTTGAAGGAAATGAACATTTGGAAACAGTAAAACCTACGGAAGCAAAAAATGAATACTAAGAGAAAGAGCCAATTAAACATGAAGAATCCTAACCGGTTCAAGTTGATGAGCCTCAATAAAGTGCAAATCCTCCAGATGATGTATTATAATTCAATATATTAAGGCTTTAAGAGAAAAATAAAGGTAACAGATTTCGACTCATGGCCCAAACCCTGAAGATGCTAAGCCATATGATAAAGATCCTTTTATCGAAAATGAATAGGTTCGTAAAACTCTTGAAAAACTTGGAAATTATCATTATGATCAAACATCTTTATAACATTTTCATGATTGTATTGAGTTAGGACCATATGTAAATAATCAGATGATAACTCTAGCAATTTGAGAATGGAGCTATATATGTGGGACAATGGAAAAACCATTAGAGATGGGGAAAAGGCAAATAGTATTGGCCAGATGGATCCGTTTATGAAGGATTTTGGAGTTCTCATACAGCTAATGGAAAGGGAAGATTGATTCATGCAGATGGAGATGCTTATGTAATTATATGAATAAACTTTTAGGATGGAGATTGGGTTGATGATAGAGCATAGGGATAAGGAACTTATTATCATGTTGATGGAGCCAGATATGAAGGAGATTGGTTAGAAGATTAATAACACGGTAAAGGAACTGAAATGTGGCCAGATGGTGCTTAATATATTGGAAGTTATGTAAATGGAAAGAAGGATGGGAAAGGTAAATTTAAATGGAGTGACGGCGCAACTTATGAAGGTGATTTTCGAGATAACAATATTGAAGGTATTAATTCTATATTATAAATAAAGGTTTTGGAGAGTATGTTTGGGCTGATGGTAGAAAATATAAAGGATAATGGTTAAATAATAAAATGCATGGTAAAGGAGACTTTAACTGGCCTGATGGAAAGTAATATAGTGGTAATAGATATACCTATTTTTAAGGGGATTATGTTGAAGATAAAAAGGAAGGTTATGGAATCTTCAAGTGGTCTGATGGTAAACAATATAAAGGATATTGGAAAGATGGAAAATAACATGGAAGAGGAATTTTGGTTGATAGGGAAGCAAGAGAAGTTGAAGCTGAATGGGTTGAAGGAAGAAGAGTTAGATAGGATAATTGAATTATCACACATTATTAAGATAAATACTGTATAGATTTATTATTTTATATTGAATCTATGAAAAAAAAATTTTCTGGTACTCCCTAAATTATAAGTTTATCTTATGAATTTAAATAAATAAAGTTATAGATAAATGTTATAATAGCAATTTTATTAAATAAAAGTTGTACTATTTATTTTCTATTTTTGTGACTATAAAGTTGTAGAAATATATATTAATTTAATTTTATATAATGTTTAATAAAACTAAGAAATTCCTAACATTAATATATTAACCAATAAGACATCCCTTTAAGACATTTTAAAAATCATTTGAGATTGAATAAGAATGGGCCAATGTAAAATTAGTTTTGTAACCACATAAAGGAAAAATGCTAACACTTTTTGCATTAATAACTTATCCTATTTATAAGGACATGTTTCAAACAATTAGAAATTCATTTGTTTCAACAGTTTAGAGTGAATTAGGACCTGGATAACCTTTTTAAGTCTTTATTAATAGTTTTGTTAAAGTAAACTTTTTTTGATCAATAGACTGAAGTTTAAACAATTCTTAAAGATCCTGTTGTATAATAAGAATCTGTAGATTTTGTATAAAGATTGGGAAAACAATAATAGGTTTAAGATAGCATTGTTACTTTACTGAAATAATCTATATAGGATCCTTCATTTTTAGAGGATTCAAAAGTTTTTGGAAAGAAATTAGTTTTGGATTTAGTTTAAGATAAATAAATTCAAGAATAAACTCAAAAATTAATAATACAAGTAGTAAATGATCCAATATTTAAATATGAAGTGAAAGAATTTTGTAAATCTTTATCATAAGAAGCAGAAATTAATGAAGCGTAAATTATAAATTTATTTGAGAGTTGCAGAAATCTTAAAAAATGCAGGTATGGACCCAAGCTTTAGGGCTGCATTTGCAAATGCTTTTGCATATGCTTTCAATGATGTATTAATGAGAAAGGATACTACTGATAAAATAAGAATGTTTTTGTTATTTTTAATAGAGACTGAAAAATCATAAGAATAAGGAATTAAGGGATTTATAGACATGATCATTGATAAATTGTTAAATAAGTATTGAAATAATTTTAAATTAGAAAAACAATGATAAGTAAAGAAAATGAATTTGATTCATTATTGGAAAAACTTTTAGGCAAAGAAAAAATGAAAAATTTATCTGAGGAACATAAATTTTCAGGGCCTAAAAATTCTGAATTATATTGAATGATACTTGAGTAAACATAAAATAATCATTTAATCATAGATTTTGAAAAAGGTATTTCCATTTCTTCATCATCTTCAGAATCTTATTATTATTATTATTTTCTTTATTTATCATTATTTTGTATTCCTTTTTCTATACTCAATTTATTATTAGTTCTATCTATACTTTCTTTTTAACCACTTTTCTAAACTTAATTTACAATTTTATTAACATCTTTTTTTGTTAAACCACTTGAGTATTTTAATTTATTTCTTAAAGAATATTCTTGTTTTATTGCTTCTTTTTTAAAATCTTCAGGTTTATTACTTTAATGAAATTCTTAACTTTTAGATTCATAAAATGCATAAAATTTTTAATATGTTAATTTATCTATTTACAACACTTTTAAAAGTTTTGTAGGTTTATGAAATATGAAATTAAGTAATCCAAATAGATGTAAATTATCAATATCTTAAAATCCTGCTTGTATCATTTCTGCACAATTATTAATAAATTTCATTCTTTTTTCAAATACATTTAATTTAGTAACTGATGTTAAATAAGTATTAATACACAATTTAACAAATTCATTAAATAAATCATCTTATTATTATTATTATTTAAGTTATGAATAATTTTTCATAAATTTCCAAAATTCATCTTTTTTTGATATTTGATCATTTTCTATTACTTTTTATAATGATTATTAAAGAGCTTAAGTAATTGATATTTTTAAATCTCTAAAATAATTATGATTTTTTATTAATTCTAATATTTAAGCTAAATATTGAATTCCAAATTCTTTATTTAATAAAATAGAAGGACATTAATTAATTAATTTAATTGAATTATTAAGTAATTCCATTTATTATATATTAAGTTAAGGTAAATTATCTATTATTGAATGTGTGTTTCTTTTTCTTATTTCATTAATATTATCTTCTTCTTTTTTAGATTGTCTTATTAATTCATTAAATAAAAATTCATGTAAATACATATAAAGTAAAGAATAAGTTTATGATTAAATATCTTAATGTAAACCTAAACGTTATAATTTAAAATTATTTGTATATATCAAATTAGTTATAATTAATTGTAAAATTTAAAGATGGAATCTATCTTTGTTTCTATTTTCCAAAATTGAAAAACAATAATTATAAAATGAATCACGTATTTCTTTGTAATCACTTTCTGTTTCAATGTCTTAATTCTTCATTTAATTTAATAAAGATTTTAAATAATTTTATAAACTTGATGCAAGTAAATTAGCTAAAATTACTATACTCTTGTCATCTTTTATTTCAAAAATTAAATTAAAAGGATTTAAAATTATTTTTGGATTCACTAAATTATTCTTAATTAAACATTCAATCTTTTAGATTGTAATTATTGTTAATTTTTCCTTAAATATCTTTTAAGAGTATTTAATTATTTCTTTAACATTATCTTTTACTATCTCTGAATCTTTAAGCACTTAACTACAATTATAGATCATTTTGCATAATTAATTGATAACTTAAATATTCTAACTTTTTTAAAAAATCTTTTATGCACTTCCAAATATTGCTTTTATAAATTTACTTTGTATAATTTTGAAATTCAAATTTGCATAAATGTGTAAGTATGGTAATTATAAATTCTACTATAAATATATAATAATATACTTCATCTATTAAATCTAATGAAACTTTTGTATAACTAATAAAATAATTAGTAAATGCATCATTATATTAAGGAGGTCCATCTGTTTCCTCTAACCACCAAAATTTTGTATATACAAATTCATATTATAGAAATGAAGCATAAAAATATAATCCTAAACTCTAAAATATTTCACTTTAATTGCAATCAAAGAATACAGCATATTGCTCAGGTGAAGTAATAAATGGATGACTATGAATGAATGATATTATAAAATTGAAGCTTTCTTCATAAGATTATAGTTCAAATGGAGCATATTTCAAATAAAATTCAACTAATTTTTCTACTGATTTTATTGGTTTTTCGAATAAATGTAAAATTGAAGTTGAATCATATCTAATTCTTAAATTTTTTGAAAATAGTATACGAATGAATGCTTAACAACTTTTTGGACCAAAAAAATCTGAATAAATTTTTGTAGATTGTGATAATGCCTTTAAAAAATATCTTTTATTTTCTATACTTTTAAAAAATTGATTAATCTTAATTAAACACTTTCATTTGGATCAAAAATTAAACTCAAAATTGCTTCTTATTCTTCTTTCAAAAATTCTAGTATAGATTCTAATGACTTTTTTCTCTCAATTAAATACTTATATATCTTTTCAAGCTCTATCATTGATGCTTCTCTACATTCATGATTTTCACTTAAAAATAAATAACCTAATTAATTATAATATGGATCATTTGGAATTGAATTATTTAAAAAAGCACTAAAAAGTATTTATATTGATTTCTTTTTAATTGCAGATTAAATATCTTAAGTTCTATTTGTTACTAAGTATTCAAATATATTATTTATAAATTATAGAATCTCTTTTTGTTTTTCTTTATTTTCTAAAAATATATGATAAAACATAAATATTACCATTAATTTCTAAACAATTAAGTATAGAATTCATAATTATTGAAATAATTTCCATTGTTGCTAATCTTGCTGTTCTAAATTTAGTTTATGATAATGTTGTTAACCAATTAAAAGTATATTAAAAGAAATGATCACATTCAAATGGTAATTCTGTTTATGTTGAAAATAATGTATCAAAAAAATGAATTAGTTTTTTATTATTCTCTATTTTTATGCATTATTCTTCATCTATTAAAGTTTATTGATTTTCTGTTTATAATTATTCTAATTTGCTTATAATTTCTTCTAAATTGATTTTATCTAAATTCATTCCTTTTAAATATTGATTACATTAATCTAAACCAACTAATTTTAAATAGAAATTAAGAAAGCTTTATAATACAATCTCACTACTTTCTTGTAATTAATCTTCTAATTTTATTATTACTTAATATTATTTCATATCTGGATCCTCCATCATATCTATATATATAAAAATTGATATAATACCATAAATATTAATTATTTTGTATTCATCTATTGATTATAATTATGATTGCTTTTTATTTTATTTTTTGGTTCCTTTTTTCATTAATTTGTATTCAAATTTAAATAAATTAATAATTATATTTTATATTTCCCTCTTCACAAAAATTTAATTATAATTAGGATTCTTTTTGTAAATTCAACACATATTTGAAACTATATATTTAGTAAAAGTAATTAACATTTTTAAATCAAGAGTTGATAACTCATCTTGTTATATGTGGATAATATATTTTTAGTATTAAAATTAAAAAAAGAGATAACTCTTAAAATCATTTTGAATATTAGATTTAAACATCAATTTTAGATATTAATAAATTGAATTCTTCATATCTGTATATATCATAATTAGAATTAGGTATACTAATAAATTACAATAGAACTCATTTAATAAATTTATTAATTAATTGAAATATAAAATTTTAATGAATTTAATAAAACATTGTTCATTATAATCAGACCAATTTGTCACTCAAATGAAAATTTCTTGTTCTTCGAAATTTATTTTTTTTATCTTCTTCATCAATCTATTATTCCTTAATTTCTGGTTTTTATATGTGTTATAATGGTTTAGAATTTTCAGATAATTAATCTTTGGTAACTTGACCATTATTCATATCAATCACAAATATTGATTAACGAAATGAGACTGTTTTTTTATGATGTGGTGGCTAATGCATATTATTTTATGTATTAGTTTATTCAGGTAGTGATGAATGATGAATTGGTTGTCTTGAATCAATTTCTTTTGTAATTCTATAATCAATCATTTGAATTGGAGTGTCATGGTTTACATTAAGAGTACTTTATTTTGCAATAGGAGAGTTTAAAACTTGAGAATCATTTGGAATACTATTTAGTGTGGAAATTTTATTTTTAGGTGTAGAATAATGAACATTTCTTTCATTATGATCATCAATTTAAGGTAAAAATTACTGAGATCGATGACTGTCTTTTATAAATAGTTTTTATTTTTTTAGTTTTCTGACTTTGTTTTAAAGAAATAAAAATTGATCTTATGAATCTTATTGAATTTAAGTTCTTCTAAATACAGGACTTACAGCTTCGCTCTTAGGTAAAGTTTATTTTATGATTTAATAGTCAGTAACTTATCTTTTTTAAGGAGATATTAATGGTAGATGAAAATCAGCCTCATTTAAAAATAGGGATGGTCTTATTGTTCTAGCACTTAGAAATTAAGATGGAGGTGAATTAGTATTTTATTCTATCATTTTGATTTCTGATATTGTTTTTTAATGGGTATTTGAATGCATAAGAAATTACTACATATATAAAATTAATAATTATAGTCTATGATTAACATTAGATGTGGATATGAAAGTTAGATAATCAAATCAAATCATAACCAATATATAATATTAAAATGTTATATTGATTTATATATATATTTATATAATCAAAATAATGTCTAATCCAATTATTGAAGATTCAGGAACAGGGTAAAAAAAATTAATATTTGTTAGATATCTAAAGATAGGATTTGCAGGTGATAATTTTCCATCCCATTCATTTCCAGCTATGGTAGGAAGACCAACACTTAGAGCAGATGAATAATTGGATGATGCCAACTTAAAAGTATTAAGAAATAATCATTGTTTTAGGATATTATGATTGGAGATGAAGCTTAACCATATAGAGGATTATTAGAATTGACTCATCCTTTAGAAGAAGGAGTTGTAAAAAATTGGGATGATATGGAATTAATTTGGGATTATGGTTATAAGAAAGTAAGAATATTATAATAATTATAAAGTTAGGCATTGATCCAAAAGGTTAAACAGTATTAATGACAGAAGCTGCTGGAAATCCAAAAAAAAATAGAGAAAAAATGGCAGAAATAAAATTTGAGAAATTTGGATTTGCTTAACTCAACGTAGGAATATAAGCTTTACTTCCCCTATTTGCAGAAGGTTTAAGAACAGCCTTATTGCTTGATGCAGGAGATGGTGTCACACATTGTATGCCTGTATATGATGGATTTTGTTTGAATCAAGGAGCTTAGAGAATGAATATTGCAGGAAGACATGTTACAGACTAATTAGTCAAATTATTATTCTAAAGAGGATATGCATTTAATTCTTCAGCTGATTTTGAATTAGTAAGAGAAATAAAAGAAGCTTTATGTTTTGTAAGTTCTGATATTAGAATGGATACTAAATTGGCATAAGAGACAACATGTCATGAGAGTACATTTAGATTGCCTGATGGAGGTAGAGTAAAGATTGGCCAAGAAAGATATATGGCTCCAGAGATTTTGTTTTCTCCATGGTTACTTGGTAAAGATGCTCCTGGATGTGCTGATATTGTATTTAATGCTATTTAAGTAATTAATATTTTACATTATAAATAGAAATCTCCTATTGATTCTAGGAAAGTATTTTATGAAAATATTCTCATAAGTGGAGGTACTACTATGTTTCCAGGTTTTCCAACTAGATTATAAAATTAATTGAGATCTATTTTTGAAGAAACTGTGCTAAAAGGAAATACTGCATATGCTGCTAGTTCAAAAATTAAAATAAAAGTCTTGGTATTTATTTAGATTTAAATATTTTATTTTAGGATCCTGCAAGAAGAAAATATAATGTATTCATTGGTGCTTCTTTCCTATCAAATGTAATGAAGGATAAAAAAAATTTCTGGATATCTAATTAAGATTGGATGGAATTAGGAGCTGAAAGAGCCATGATGAAAGTTATGGAATCTTTATTATGAAATATATAGTCGTATTACAAATTGATATTGACAAATAATTATTTCTTAATGTATAAAAAAGATAGTTTGATTGATCTTACTCCAATCACATTAAGAAAATAAAAACATTTAGGATAGAACAAACCTTTTTGTCCTTCTTTGTTTTTAAATCAAATTGATAGTTAACCAAAAAAATTTGAAGAAGAAAAGAGAGAAAAAGTTTTAGAATTAGAAATACCAGAAGATATCATATTCCCTAAGACTGTTAGAAGAAGATATGCTATTGGAAAGGGATTGTCTCCATAAAAAATAGATCAAATCTTACCTAACATCCCAAGTCTTTCTTTACATATAAACATGTAAAAAAGGAATATGGATGATCTTATTTAATTTTAAGAAATATAAACTTAAAGGGAGAATACAGAGATGGAAAACATAAACAAAAAGATTAAATCCATCATCAATAGTAATAAAAGATAAGTTTCTTTTTAATCCTCTCATGTTATTATTGATGAATTTGATAATTATTAAGTTATCCAAGATTTACCAACTTAAAGACAATAAGCCCCAAGAAGAAGAACACATCTAAAATAGTTGACAACTGAAATCTGATTACATTTATAATTCATTTTATAGTATAATTAACTCTATCATTAACATTCCCATAACGAAAAGTATTATTTACTCTACTGAGAAAATTCAAATGTACAATAATCTTGATAATTTTCATATTTAAATTAATTTAATATATCTATTAATGATATATCATAGATATATTTTGATAAATTCAAATAATTAATTATTATATATATTTATTTATTTTTATATATATATATGTTTCTAAAAGGAAAAAAATAATCAAACTAAGATAACTTTAATCCTGGTGTGGGACTTTATGATATTATTACTAAACTAGATAAACCAGTACCTATAATGCATCCAGATAAACATAGTCTTCATAAAAAAAATGATTCATATCCTCAAAGTGATTCCTAACTCTCTTTTGATAGAAAAGTTGATTTAAATTATCCTTTGCATAGTTATGCAAGTGGAATTTAAAGAGTTAGATAAAATAAAATTTATTAAGAACTCAAGAAACAAGTTAGATTTGACAATAAACTAAATGAATTTAATCAAGAATTTGATACTTAAATACGTTCCACTAATAAAAAGGGAAAACTTGTTAAATTATAGAAATTATAAAGATGTTCAAAATAATAATTAAATGATTCTCAATCACTTTGTTTAGGATAATAATCACCAATTAATAAAAAATCTTCAAGTTAACAATATCTCAAACATCCACCTAAATTATAATCATTGGAAAGTTTAGAACTCTTTTTATTAAGAGATAAATTATAGAAAATATAAGATGTTCCAGGTCCTGGTTCCTATGAATTACCAAGTGTTTTCAAATAATCAGATAGCAGAGTTTAACCTTTTGGAAAACAGAAAGGAAGAACAAAATATATAGATTAAGATGTCTCAGTTGGAGTTGGATAATATAATATCCAAGATTAATCAATAATCAAAAGTGTTATAAGATTTGACAAATATTCAAAAAGGGTTAGCATTTTTGAAAACAAACAAAATTCTCCCACATATTATGACAATAACTCAAATCTTATCAGCAATTAATCCAAGCTGAATCTCGAATTTCCTATTGCCTTTGGTTCTACTTCCAAAAGATGAATAGTAATTTAAATATATATAATCCTATTTTAATATCTGTAAATATTGTATTAACTAATTTAAAATAACATTCAATGTGTCTAAACATCTTGTAAATGATTTTATTAACTATTTCAATCTAATAAAAAATTTAATTTTTTGAAAAGGGTTATATTAAAATAATAGATATTATGGATATAAATAAATATAATGCTACTTATAATAAAATTTATAGTTCAATTCAGTATGTTAACTGTTTGAAATTATTTAAAATCTAATTATAAAAAACCAATTATTGATTTTAATTTAGGTTTCTCAAAGAAGTTTGTATTATAATATGAAGTATATTAATTAAATCAGAAATTTAATTGAATTTTTAGAAGTTAAAAGTAAAGAAATTTAAATTATAATTATTATTATTTAATTTATATGCCTAATCAAATTATATTTCAGTTTGTTGAAAGTATATTAATTTTATTAAATTTGTATTATTCATATATTAATTGCCTTGATAAATTTCATATTCAAGAAAAGTAAAATATTCAAATCAATTATTTAAAGCATCAAAATATAAAATACTAACATATTTGTATCATTAAATTGAGGTATAAAATAGAGAAATAAATTTTGCTAAAAACAAAATTTATAGAAATATTAATATCCTTATGTCAAATAAAACCCAAATATCAACATAAGCATAGGCTACAGGTGATGATGTACCTATAGTCTCTGTAATTTAATAAATGAGATAAAATAATAAAGATTAAGAGGATGTTCCTCTAAAGACAAGATTACCTGCATCTTAAATAAACTAAAATTTGAATTAAGTTTAAGAGTAAAGGGATAATTTCAGATAATCTATTCAATAATAACCTTAGTCATAACATTTTGTAATATAGTAGCGATAATAGTAATATGAAATGATTCAACAAAGAAAGTAATTAGATCAACCTAATGAAGTAGATGATGATAATAAATCATTCAGGAATGAAGAATTAAAAAAAGAGGATAGAAGTATTGTTATATTATAGTATTAAGTAATTTTACTAGCACCATCTTAACCATATAGTAGAGAACCTTAAGTTCTAAAATGTGAAAAATGTTAAACTGTTATGATATCAAAAGTGGAATCAAAGCCAGGATGGGGAAGTTGTCTTTGTTGCTGTTTAATGTTTTTAACTCCTTTTTTCTTTTTGTTTTTTTTACCTTTTTTTTTGAGAGTATTAAGTATATGATAAATAAGTAATGTAAAGATGCTCATCATTATTGTTAATCCTGCTCAAATAAACTTGGTACATATTATTTTATTTGTGAATGAATTAATATAAAATATTATCTTAACTATTAAATTGTAAAAATAATAATATGATATTATAATATAATATATGTAATATTTCAGATTAAATTTTTGTATCAAATAAAAGGTTTATTCATTATTAAGCTTCTTATTAAACTAAATGGATAGTTATTGGATTGCTATCTCTAATTTAACATTTAACAATATCAATTTAAGGATGAAATACATCTTTGATTCTGAAAATATTTAAGTTTTAAGTCTCTTCATCCAAAACATAAATAGAATCTTTATAGATAGCCATTGATAAATCATCTTGTAAAGTTCTTTCATAATCTCTAGGTGTTTTTTCAGCATAAGCTTCTAAATTTTCTTTTTCATTTTTCTTTTTAGCTATTGGATTCTTTATTTTAAATTTCAAGCTAACACCAGCTTTAACAAGTTCGAAAACTTCTATAAAAAAATCTTCTTCAGTTTTGTAATAAGATATAAATAATTTTGGACTTACCATATCAACAATTGGTTTTGTAAATCTTGAATTTACAAAAGGGGATTTAAATGATAAATCAACATTAAATTCCCAATTATCTTTCAATATATCATAAGTAAAATAGATAAGTTTGTCTGAAGTCAAATCAATCTCACTTGAAACACCACCAAATAAGTATATTATATTTTTGTCTGCATCATGTAGGGCTGTTCCTCCATAGATGTTGATAGGTAGATTTTTTAAAGACTTCCTAATGAAATTGATTAGAATAATAATGTTACCATTATTTAGTCTTAATAGTATAGACAAAGACCTTATCAGTAATTTATTTGTTAAGGTTATCTCCAAGTTCATAACCACCTATCACATAGATCTTACCTTCAGCATATAACAAGGATGGACTCAATATAGGAGCTGGAATATCAGGTAATCTCTTTAAAGTAACAGTCTGTGTATCTTTGTGCTTATTGTATGCACATTCATAAAGGTGTTAAGTTTTCATATCCTCTTTAATTGCTCCAGAGATGTAAATAATATCAATAAAATTGAATGTAAACATACAGTGTTTAGATATTTTAAAATTAGTTTAGTTTGGTTTTAAGATGGATACTTTCATAAATCTAGGGTCCTTCATATTTTCTAATGGAGTTATTATAATGTAGTTCTGTCCATAACCAACCCATAAGATTGCTTAGGCCTTACTTTACATATCATTGAAATCAACATTTTATGCTGTCAATTATTTACTCAAAGTCAATGCTGAATTTAAAATATTAAGATAAGGTGTTTTTTTAGGTAATTTATAGGTTGCCTTTAAAAATTCACTTAAACCATCATAAACTGTAATTGCAGGATCTGAAAAATCCATGGTATCAATATCTTAGATTCTTTATAGTGTAGCTAGACAATATAAAACTTTGACTGCATCATCAATATCAGTAGAGAAATTCTTTCTATTAGCTACATACCAACCTGATATTTTAATAATTCCAGCTTTAGTAAAACATAAGCTATTAGTTGATAAATTTCCATGTTCCATATGATTGTCTTTCAATTCTTTTAAAGCCTTAAAGATAATTTTTACAATCAATGCTAATTCTTTTGCTTCAAAAGGGTTTTTATAAAGTTTTCTATTTTCAACTTCAGAATCTAAAGTAGTTGAAATTTCCTCATTAACATAATACATGTAAAAGGAGTTTTCTAAAATAAAAGTTTTGTTTACTTTCTTCAGAACATGCAAAATATTCAATAGGAGTCAATAGAATTTCTGATTGAATCTTTTTATTAAATGCTTAGAACAACTAAGATACTTCAACTAAGGTTTCAACTTTGATTTGATGTAAATAAAACTTTTGTTTTTCTTCTATAGTTTCAGCACTTAAATAAGCTTCATTATGATCTGCATACAAGTCTTTAATTACACCATATTATCTAACATGCTAAATAATAATAATAAATAATATTATACTTTTGAATATCTTCTAAATACACTTTCATCTACTTATTTTTATTATGCTTTTACAACAAAACTTAAGGTTTTAGGAATGAAAAGTAGTAAATCTTAATTAGTGTGTAAGGAATAACAATTCAATAATTCTATACATGCTTAATTTGGAAGAATATTATATACACAATGAACTGTTTCTATCTCTTTTCTAGCTAAACAATGCAAATATCCATTCTAAAATAAATAATTATGTCCTCCAGCATCTAAACATTTTAATTCAAAAGGTTAATTTCTGGTTTCATATGCATTTTGATATAAAATAGGATTTTCTTTATTATTTTCTTTGAAATTTTATAATTATGTAAGAGAAGCTAAAGAATAAAAACATCTAAAATTAAAATCTAAAATCAACATGTTTTTTGATGCTTACATTAAAAATACTCCATGTTATACTTCTATACAATATACAATATGTTTAATTTTAAAGTTTAATAAACAAAATTACTTAAATATTTCATCAGTACTACAAGCAAATCTTAATAAACCTTCTTTAAAATTTCCTTTTCTTTTTGATATATCATAATAACAATATCTTATTCCATTTTAAAATACATTATTATAATCAGGTATACAATATATATAATTATTATGAGGATCAAAGAAATGAAAAGAACTTCTATGCCATTAAAAATTTTTAGGTCCTTAATATATTTTGATTACTTTTTTGGTTATATATTCATCATCTCCATAATTATAAATATCTTCTTCATTATCATTTTTAACTAATTCTAAATTAAATGCCACTTCAAAAGAATTAAAATAAACTTCTTAAGTAGCCTCATCAAGTTATTATTATTAATTCATGACCATAATTTTTGATAATAATTTAGGTTCTTAATCTAAGACATTCTATTATTATTATTATTACTATTTATTTCCCTTTTTAATTTCTTTTTTATCTTCAATTATTTCTAAAGGTTAATCTTAATTTACATCATCTTCTGTTGCAAAATTAATTACCAATAATTATGGATCTTCAAATTTAACATTCTTAATATTTCTAAATAATTCAACTTCTCTTTTTTGACTAATACTACCTCTATCATGTGATTCATCATATACTTTTAATAGAAATGTAGATGCATTATGACTAAAGAAAAAGAATTTATCTTCAACTGGATGATAAACTACATCAGAATCTATTTTAAATGGTTATTTCTTTCTATAAACCTTCAAAAAATGAAATTTATTAGTTTCATAATTATACAAATGAATTTAATTTGCTTTAGTAAAATATAACCAAGGAGATGCTTCAGGTAATGTCTTTTCTTTATGATATTATAAATATGCTCCAAGTGAATCATTTTTAAAATATGTTTGCATTCCTTTTTAACGAACACTTCTAATTGCATGATTAATCTCACTCATTTTAGGAATGTCAAATTTATCAAAGACACTCATTTGTTCAATTAATTGCATTATCATTTAAGGGACATCATTTTCAAATTAAGATGCAATTGACTATTTATAGTTATCAACTAATCTAAACTGATTAAGCAAATATATAATTACCCTTCCCATTCATCTTAATTCAATCTAAGTTCAATTAATGAATCAAAAGTATAAATTTTATGATCAACAAGAAATAGAAATAATAATGAAAATATTACACAATCATATATGTAATAATCACTTTCTTATTAAACAAAATGTTTAATAATTTTCTAAAATATATATTTATATATATATTTACTTGTTCTTTATGATTTATTTATATTGATGGATTACTTAATAGAAACTTTTTACCATCTTTTGTTAATATACTTTCAGGTCTTAAAAAACGATATGCAAATTTCTCTTTATGTAGTTAATTTAATGCATCACTAACTTATTCTAAAATGAGTAAACTTTGCATTAGAGATTCTAATTTTAAATTCTCTAAAGAGTCACTCAAAGTATTGTATTTTGGTATCATTCTATCTATTGCATAAAGAGTTTTATCAGGTCTTAATTAAACATTAATTGATTCAAATTGACTTATTGTTAATGAAGTAAACCTTAACAAACCATCTGTACTTACCTTATTCATATTATACAAATATGATATATTATTTGAAGCATTATCAAAGCTATCAAAAAGAGAACGTTTAAATATTAATTATGTTCCAAAACCCTAAACTATTTCAAAATTAAGTTACATCTAGAACTTCTGCTGTAATTGATGAACTTGTTGTCTTTAGAATTCTTGCAACTTTATAACCTTTTGGTTTAAGTAGATTTGTGCAATGCTTCATTGGATCATCCCAATTTACTAAATCTTCATCTTAGATATCCAATTTATGAATTTGATTAATCTCTTATGTTTTTTTATTTAATTGTTGCTAAAACACAGATTAAGATGAAATTGTTTGCCCAGATCTTAATCCTAAATGTGCTTTCTTTGTTTTTGGAATTACTCTTTTATTATTAGTTCCACAGATAGAACCCATATGAGAATTTAATTATAATTATTATTATTATTTGAATAATATCAATAAGAATAATACCTGATCAGTCTTTAATGCTTATAAGGATGATTGTTTTTTATATATTGTAATATTCAATATGTTTCTGATGAAACTAATTTTTTAATAAGAATTAAGAATAATATTTTGATTTAATTTTATGCCTTATTTAAATCATCTATTCAATGGCTAATTTGGATTCTGATAGTTTCTGTATTCTAATTTTAATCTGGAATCAAATCTTAAGGATAGTACTTATTAGAATCTTGAAACTGTATAGAAAAAGTCTAAATTAAATAGAAAATTTATAAATTACTTCCATAACTTATGGGTTCCAACCAAAAGTAGGTGCAACAAATTAATCATAACTTTGTATTTACTAACCTTGAATCCTTATTTGAAGATCTTTACTCTCTGTTTCTGCAAGACATAAGAATATTCCTTTCAATTCTGCAGAAACAGAAAATTAATAATTACTCATAATAATCTTTCCATTTGTAGTTGGATTCAAAGGTATATTAGTCCCTTAATCCTAAAATTTTAAGGTCATAATATTATTTAGATTATTTTAACCTGCTTGAATTCCTGGAATTGAGGATGTTCCACAGGTTCTTGATATCTATTTAGTCTGGCCTGTTTTACTCACAAGCTTTAATGTGTTTTTCAGGTTACCTGTGATAGTAGATATACCAACTTTAGATTAAGAATTATTAATTTTAACTCTTAAATTAGCAATATCATTAGATTAATAAACTTATTAATCAAATTGATAGTTTAATTAAATAGTCTAAATGATATTTTATTAAAATTACTCCCATTGGTATACAATAACATGTCTTAGGATATAAAGTCTATTCTTCAACTTTTGGTTTGTCATTATTAATAATATGTTCTCTGACAAGAAATTCTTATTTAAATTTAATCTTTTTTTAATCGTTATTAGGTGAATCTATTTCAGCTTTAACACTGTATTTAATTCTGCATTCTAAATTTTATTCTTTATATTCAAATGATACTGGGAGATTTTATTTCAATTAGAATTTAAATGGAAATTAATATTGTCCTTAGGGTATCATTCTATTAATTATTTCAACAAATACTTTGATTAAAATTAATAAACTTGAATTTTGTGTAAATAGAATACATTTTCATTATCATAAAATTCTATAGCTTCTCTTGATTAATTTTAAAGAAGTTAAGTTTAAGGAATGTTTTACTAAATAGTTCTAGTTTCTTTCCATTTAGCTTTTTCATATCCTTTCACTTTTAAGTAAATAGTAGGTTCAAGTTATTCATCTTTTACCAAATTCAAGTAAATATTTCCTAATTATACTTTATAATTTACCTTTGACTTCTTCACCAGGATTATAAGATAATTTATCTGTACGAATATACAAACCAGTTTGATTTGAAAAGTCAAATTCTTTGAAATTTTAATTTCCCATAAGTAAATTAAATTAATTTAATAATGAACAATGATTATATAATTGAGAATTTATAATATTAAATGAAATTAAAGTCATCATAATTGATAGTTAATCAAAGCTAAATTAACAAGAAATCAATTTATTTTATTTTACATCTGAGTTTGTTTATCATACTTTTAATAAAAATAATATTATAATATTTCAATCACTTCCTCCTCCTGGACAAGCTGCTTATGGTTTTTAAGAGTAGAAATCATATACAGATTATTTCACTTAATTTATAAGATCTATTTGATCCTTTCTTACTTGACTAGCCTTTTCATATTCTAATAAGAAATCCTTACACATTTTATCAACAGAATCTAACATTTAAAGATTTCTCACCTAAATATAAAAATTGAATATACCTTTTTTCCTCTTGCAGTATCTACAATAGCTGTTTATTAATTAATACACATACTCATAGCTGTTATATGATCTCTTAATTATTATTCTGTTCTTTTTAGATTATTAAAATATTCAACTAAATGAATATTACGATCATCATATTCCTAGATTTATAAATCTTCAACATCTTAATAATCTTATAAATTTTTTTATAAAGTTTATTCAAAATTGACAATTAATTACTTTAGTTTTTCATATACTTCTCTATATCCTCCATTTTCAGTTGCTACTTATGCAAATATCTCAGAAATATCTACTAAAGGTTAATCATTCTTAGCCATTACTGCTGTTTAAATAAAAGTCATTGCTACTTTTCCTAATTCAGCTAATGAACAATCTCCTCCAGTAAATCCATCTAATGTAAGTAATACTTATTAAAGTGATGTTAAAGCATCTAAATGATCTCTTTTTTTATTTTAAAATAATCTTGCTGCTTCATCTCTAATTCCTTTCAATATTTTAATATCACTATCTGTAGTCTATTTAGAATTGATTAAAGTACTTTTTAAGATTCTAAATTATTATCTAATTCAGATCTTGCTTTATTATTAGATGTAGAACAATTTTCTAATTATTCATTTGCTCTAGAACCAACTTATTCAGCATCTTTTATGTCTTTTTTTCTTAAATCTAATTCCAAAGAACATTAATTTCTTTGTTAAGTATATAATTAATCATGTCTAATTTATTCTTCATCTATTGTTGATTTTAGATTATCTAAAAATGCTATTGTTGTAGTTTATGCTCCACCTGATTTTATTTAAGTTTATAATTCTGTTAAAATACTAACCAAACTAGGTTTTGGATTTCCAATTATCTAATACCTTTCCAATAATTGTGAATATCCTATCATCACTAACAAATACACACTAATTAGTTTCATAAAACGAATTAAAATATATTATGTCAAATGATAATAATATTGAGAGACATAAAAGAATACTAAATATTGTTTCTCATTTGGGTTTAAATAAGAAAAAAAGTTCAATTCCAGCATTCGAAAAGAAAAGATTATCTTAAACAAGGATTGTATTTTATAAACCAGAATAATAATAAGAAGAAGAAGAAGATTAATTAATTATTAAAGCAAAAGAATTATTATCTAAACCAGTTAAAAGAAAGTAAATCAGATCAGAATCTTAATTAGTCTAAATGATCTCAGATAAATATAATATGCTTAAAGATGATGCTGATGAAAACAGTGCTTATAATCATATATAACTTAGTTTACTCAAATTATAGGAACAAGAAATACTTGGACAATATCATGAACTTAAACCAAATTTAAGAATGTCTAAAACTACTTATCCTTTACCTATTACAGTTACATAACAAAAAGTTTAAATATAAAACATGTTCGAAAAAAAATGTAGTCAGCATATTATACAATCGCCTAAAGATAATACAATTAGATAAAAAATTAATGATTTCTTATACAAAACAAGAGAATCCTTCAAAGATTTCTAAGTTGACGTTTCGCATTATAAAAATCTCAAATAACATCATAGATTATATAAATAGAGAACTGCTAGCTATTTCTAATAATGACTTTCAATTAAAGTTTTTTATATATTCATATATTTATAAAAAATGAACAAATTTTCTAAAAAGACCAAACATATTGTTAATATTGAAACAATTATTAATTTTGATGAATAATTTATTAATTTCTTATGATATTATTTATAGGCAACAACATGTTAATGATAGATTGAAATAATATATATATATGACCTAGAAATCTAATAATTTATATATTCAATTCAATGAGTGGATGGCATTATTAATAAATAAGTAAAATTATACCATAAAATTGATAATTTGAAAGATCTATAAAATTTAAGGATATAATGTAAAATAAAATAATCACAACTAGATTAGATGTAAATAAATTATAATGAAATATACGAAAGGTTGTTAGAGTAAATTCTAAAAATTTAAATTTATTTTGTCTAGTATAAAATAGAGATATAAACTTATATTGAATACCTAAAATTTAATCAATACTCTTTATAAATAAGATGCTTTTTGAAAATCTAAAAATATGAGACATCAAGATATGTAAATTTAAGTATTACCTAAATATTAATAATATATAAATTCGTTTTAAAAATATGATGAAAAGTCTAGTAATGATAACTTTCATAATTACTCTATCTAATTGTCTAAACTTAAGATAATGTAATCCTGCTATGTGTAAGGGTACAGCTATGGAATGTATGGAGTAAAGCGATTGGTATTAAAAGTGGAATATCACTATAATAGTGCCAAACAATTAACCACTTGTTTGAAAGATTTGAAATCTCATATTGCTGAAGATAATTTCTATGAATAATTTGAGACATGCTTGAATAAGAGTTTTGCAGCAGGAAAACTTTTAGGTTGTGCAAAAATTCAATGTCCAAATTCTGCAGCATAATTTGTGACTATGGTTTTCAACTAGGCTTAATCTTAGTCCTATATATCAATAGACTTTAAAAAGTCCATCATTTGATTTACAATCATCAAAAAATTAATTAAAATTCATATTCCCATTAATATAATACCAAAATCTCATTTTTTTTTGAAAAATTCTTATTTTAATAACACTTATTAAACTAATAAGTTTTTTTCAATTTGTTAGATATCAGTTAGATATAATTATATTCCAAATAATAATCATTATATAACAGTTATATATTTATATATTATTACTAAAAAATATACTCTTGAAATTGATTGCCTAAAACTAAATATATTTTAATAAGAAGAGAAATGATTTAAGTTTATACATATTAATGATTTAATTAAAGAAATTTATAGATAATCTTGCATATTTGTGTTAAAATAAATAAATTATAAATGTTTCTTTTTTATAATTTAAAACATCAATAAATTAATAGAATTGATGATTTGGAGAATAACGTTATTCAATCCCATCATTAAAATTTTAAAATAATGATAATTTTATATTGTAGAGTATACAAATTCTCATATATTTTTTATAATTAGAACTATAACCAAACTACAATTATAACTTTTTTTTCAAATTGTCACCTTTTACATCCTAGATTGTTTTTTATCAAAATGATCTTTATAGAAGATTAGATTTATCTAAAAATAGAATAAATATATAAAAAAATTGAAATTTATAATAAAATAAATAAAATGGGTTAAGTTTGCTCCAAACGACATAGGTCTTAGAAGTCTGAATTAATTTAATAAGAAAAAAATGTAAAAAGAAGTTTCATAGATGAACTAATTTAAAAAGAAAAAATAGGAAAAAGTAGTGTCAAAGCTGAAGTAATAGAAGAAAAAGAAGAAGGATTTCGTTTATATTGTATTAGAAAACAGCCAATGATAGAAATACTAAGTAAAGAAGAAAATTTAAAGTTATTAATGCAACCTGAGCTTTATCAGGAGCTATAAAAAAAGCTTTTAAATGAATAAATTAATACTAAAGAAAGCATTTAAATTGTGTTGAATGTATAAAAATTAAATATTCTAAGATATTTATATATTGTAATTTTTAAGCAGAGAATATTAAGAATTGCTTTAAGTTGTTAAATGCTAATAATGATTATAAAGAAGACTTAAAATAAATAGGAATTTATAGGGATTCATCTTTAAAATACTATAAGAGTGAGTCTTGCTTATTATGTTTATCTGAAAATATGGAATGTTATAGTTTAAAGTGTTAACATATATTTTGTAAAGATTGTTGGAATTAAATGATAGAAATTTAATTATCAAACTTTATACCGATTGTGAAATGTTTAGAATATAAATGTTTAGAAAGATTACCTCATAAATTTTTAGAGTAGTATTAGTCTTACAAAGAAATTTTGGTTAAGAGAATGTTGGACAATGACAAAAATTTTACCTGGTGTCCAGGTATAGATATATTATTATATTTAAGGATTTTTATGTTAAAATATATATAAATAGGAGTATTTTAAATAGAAATAGAAATGTCATTGTGGCTTAAAGTTTTGTCCAAATTGTAAAACAGAAAATCATTATCCTATAACTTGTGATATATATAAGGAGATTACATAATTTCAAGAATCATATTAATCTTGGACTAGATTAGATATATCTGCATGTCCAAATTGTAAGAGATATATCCAGAAAATTCAAGGTTGTATGTAAATTTCATGCATCTGTGGTAAAGATTTCTGTATCAAATGTTCATAATCTTGGAATCCAGAGCATGGATAAGATTTTTATAATTGCCCTTTTTCAGCTCATAATAAGAATCCTTCTTAAATATTCAATAAGATGTGCCAAAATGAGTCTAAAATATAGAAGAATATTTTTTAATTGGAATATTATTAGAAGTTAATAAATTAATAACAGTAAGATGAATACACATATATACTTAAAAGAGGGTTGAATAATTTAATAAAATTTCAGAAATTCGAAAAAATGTAATAAATTATTTTATTTAGATTTTTATATTATACATATTATTTAAATGAAAAATTTTGTGAGAATGGATTTGATCATTATTATCAATAATATTCTCTAGAAATATAAAATTATTATAGAATTCTATTAAAGTAATTATAAGCTATTCTTGTGGATGACTAAAAAAATGAAAAAAATGAAATGATTGATTTCAACATTTTTTAAAATTAATTATTTTAGATGGATGAGAATTTATCAACATAAAAATAGTGTTTTAAAAAATACATAATCTAAAATCAATAAGAAAAATAGTAGAATATAAATTGAATTTATTAAATATTCATATATATTATACCTGAAATTATCAAAATCCAAATAATTTAAATTCTATTTTTCATTATCTGAATCAAAAGTATCAATATAACTAAGGAAAAGTAAGGATATCAACAATATTATTAAATTTATATTTTATATTGTTATTAATACATAAAAATGTATAAAAATGAATTATTATTATAATATAATTGCAAAACTGATATTTAATAAAACCTCTAAAATATAAATTATTGATCAACATTATTAATTCTTAGTTAAAGATTCAAGATCAATTAACTCTAACTTTAAGTTGATTATTAATATTGACATAGAAATACTGAATATAATTATATTTAAATTAATATAAAATATGGGTTGTGGTTCTTCAAATTCTTCTCAATTAGCGGCAGAACCAGAATAAAAATAGAGAAGTGCCTCACTTAAATCTAATTCAACATCAGAAATAGAAGATCTCATTGGCAAAAAAATTCCAAAAGTATTAGAATGAATATATCTAATCAATAGTTATTGGTCTAACCTGAATCAAAGCATAAGTAAACAATAGACAATGAAGAATAATTAAAAATGTATTAAATGTTATTATTTAGTGATTCTTAACTAGGTCCAGCTTAGCCACCTCCAGAAGATGTTGTCAGAGCTTAAAAAAAATAACAAAAAAAATATAGAGGTGGAGATGATGTAAATCATTAAATACATGAAAATGTTACAAGAATTGATAGAGAAATGCAATGTATTATACACAAATATTGTAGAATCTGATATTGATTTGATAAGAAAAAGCTTTAAAGGTCATTTTGTATTTTTTAGTCTGCCAGAAGATTAAATAGCTTAATTAATAGAACATATGTTTTATTGCACTTTAAAAGCTAATTAATTTATTTTTAAATAAGGAGATCAAGTATTGCATTGATCTCTAAAAAATAGGCAAGTTCCTATTTTGTGATTGAAAGAGGATCTGTAGAAATTATAATAAACGATAAACAAATTCGAACATTAGCAGAAGGCAGTTATTTCGGTGAAATTGCACTTCTTTACAATGCCACTAGATCTGCTTCTATTAGAACTTTGACAGATTGTGGATTTTGGTCATTAGATCGTAGTACATTTAAAAAAACAATTGAAGAGTTAATGTTAAAAGAATATGATGAAAATAGAAAATTTATAGATGAAGTACTAACACTTATTAATAATAGGTTCCATTTTTTTCATTTATGACATCAGATTAAAAAGATTCAATTGCACATGCTTTAATAACAACTAAATTTGCTCCAGGTTAAGCAATAGTTAATGAAGGAGATTAGGCAGATTCATTTTATGTGATAAAGAGTGGTGAAGTTTCAGTTTTGAAAGGAACCAAAGAGATAAGAAAGATGGGTGCTAAGGATAGTTTTGGGTATATAATGAAGATTTATAATTAGAGAATAAGCTTTATATGAAAAATCTAAAAGAGGAGCAACTTGTGTTGCTGAGACAGAAGTTAAATGTGTTGCATTGGGTAGAGAAAATCTAACAAAAATATTAGGAGATAAAGTTTAAATAATCATTTTTAGTAATATTATGAGATGGAGTTTTGAGAAAAGTGAAGTTTTAAAATAATTATCAAAAATTTAATTAGAAAAAATAGCTTAGAGAGCTAAAATAGATAATTATAAAAAAGGTTAGGTTATTTTAGAAGCTGGCAAGGCTTGTGATAAATTAATTGTTGTTTTAGAAGGAGTGATGACTAATGCTAAATAAGATTCAGTACCTAAAGGATTATGTTTTGGAGATTAATTTTTAATGAAAGAAAAATATGGATAAATAATTGAATCTCAATATGAAATGGTTAGAGATGGAGTATTAGCTACTATTTCATATCAATCTCTCTTTAAAATATTTGGAGGAGATTTAGAAACTGCATTAAAGAAAAATGAAAATTCACATGAAAAGAAAATTAAATAATTAGGAGAAAGGGCAGATGCATCTCATATTTCAGTTGAAGATTTAATATATATTAAAAAATTAGGAGAAGGATAATTTGGTATGGTCTATTTGGTTAAGCATAAATCAATTAATAAAGTTTTTGCTCTTAAATCTGTTAGCAAAGCTTCAATAATTGAATAAAATTTAGAAAAACATATATTATAAGAAAAAACTGTTTTGGAACAATGTAATTTTCCTTTTATTATGGGTTTCATAAGAACATTCAAGGATGACATTTCTATCTACTTTTTAGTAGAGTATATCAGAGGAATGGAATTGTTTGATGTAACATTTAGATCTATTATCTAAGGTAATTAGAGACATGGGTTTATTAACAAAATATGATACTTAATTCTATGTTGCTACTATGATATTAGCATTAGAATATCTACATTCAAAATCAATAGTATATAGAGATTTAAAACCAGAAAATATTATGGTAAATGATGCAGGCTACATGTATTTAATTGATTTGGGAACTGCAAAACCATTAATTAAATCAAGAGCTTACAGAACTTACACTATTATTGGAACTCCTCATTATATGGCACCTGAGATTATATTAGGAAAGGGATATTCATTTAATGTAGATTTATGGAGCATGGGTATTTGTATGTATGAATTTATGTGTGGAGGAGTTCCTTATGCAGAAGAATAAGATGTATTTATTAATTATAGTTTAGGATCCTTATGAAATTTATGAAGAAATAATGAATACATAATTAAAATTCCCTACTTTCATTAGAGATAGATAAGCTAAAAAGTTTATGGAATAATTACTCAGTAAATAACCAGAAACAAGATTAGGATCATCATTTTCTGCTTTAAAAGCTAATCCATGGTTTGATGATTTTGATTTTGATAAATTGTTTAGCAGAGAATTATCAAAAGTTCCTGTATTAAATCTATATTAATTATTATTTTAGTATGTTCCTCCTAAAGATAGAATGATCTCAGAACATGATATTGAGAAGAAATTCTAATAGGGTAAACCAGTTGTTCAAGAAATCAAATAAGAACAATCGATGCAAAAACAAAAATATAAAAAGGAATTAGCCAAAGATCCTAATTGGGACAAAGATTTCTGATCATTTTCTTATTCCATTTTTTGACCAAAATAATTATGTCAAAATATTATCATTCAGACTATTTTCAATATTTATATCTTACATCCCTATTTGAATTGAAAATAGAATAATTCTTATATAATTTTTTCTATTAAAATCATAATATTGAATATCTATTAATATTCTAATTTACAATAAATTAATCTATCTTAAATATATATAAGTAAGAAATCTAAAGATTATTAATAGAATAATAATTAGAGATCATCTCAAAATGGAACTATTTTTAAAGCACAAATAAGATGGATCTATAAAAATAATTTTATCTATAAATATATAATGATAAATCAATATCATCCCCATAATTCTGTAATTAGCTATTATTTCTGTTCCAATTCACTAATTTTTTTAAATGCTAAATAAGGTGCAATATTTTCTATATCTTTATACATATCCTATATTTTGTTTGTAATATCTCTACCCATTTATGAAGATCCACAAATGTAAATTATTCCTTCCATTGATAAATGCGAATGTATTTAGTTTAAATCCATAATATCTGTCACATATTGTTTTATAGTCTTCCTTGAAAAGGCAACTTTCAAATTACTTAAAGCACCATTCTTTTCATAATGCTTAAGTTCTTCTTCAAAAAAATATTCATCTTCAGTTCTGCATCCAAATAATAATTCCATATTTCCTTATAAAGGACATTTCTCTAAATTATTAGATTCCAAATAATAATCTCTTTCTTAAATCAAAGCTCTCATTGGAGCCAATCCTGCTCCTGGTCCAATTAATAATATTGGAACTTTAGGGTTTTTAGGGAAAACAAATTTAGAATCAGAAAGATACCCTTTTAACACAGATCCTTTTTTTAAATTTGAAAAATATTAACTACAAAGTCCAAGTCTTTTTTCATACAAAATAAGTTAACTAGCTAAAATATGAATATTTTTTGGATATTTCATATTGCTAGATGCTATGGTGAAAAATCTAGGATTTATCAAAGGACATATTTCTAATAATTATTCAATAGATAAATTGCGTATATTGTATTTTTTTATAACTGTAAGCAAATTTTCTCTCTTTTTATTAAAATTTTCATCATAGAATTCTCTTCCTTCAAATGAAGCAGCATTTAATAATTCCTCTTTATGTTATTTATTAATAACCTAATTAGATAATTCCATTAATTATTTTTTTGTTATCAAACCAGTAAAATCACAATATCTATTTTAATAAATATTATCTATACTTTTTTAAATAATTGTAGATTGAAATAGGATTAGGAAATGGATGTTTAGATGTTGTAATGATTTCAAATTTCATATTTTTATCAAATCTAAGTTAATTACATAATTCATTGATATCTTGACTAAAAATAAAATATTTATATTACTCTGAGTTCTATGGATAAATAGCAATATTACAAGCTGTTACATAGTTAATATTATCAGCAATAAGATCAATAAATAGAGTTGAGTTTCCAAGTGTTGGTTTCTTCTTTAGTTCTTTTATTTCATTTATAGTAAAAGTAATGCTATTTTTATATTTTTATGCCTAATAATCTAAATTAGGATGATTTTCATTTTCTGATTCATTTGTATATTTGATCTTTTAAATTGATTATTCAAACTTTTTTGGATCACATGTCTATGCTGGATATGTTTATATAAGAGTTTATTCTACTCCTGTATTTATCCAATTTTGATAATCATTTTCAGTTGTATTTTCAGCTGCATTACCTTTACCTAAAGCAAAGAGTCTTTTTGCTCCAAGTTCTTCTAATCTTTTATCTAGTTTTATTCCAAATTAACAATAATTTTCATGATTAGTATTCCCAAGAGCAAATACTATATAAGACATATTATTGAATTCATCATTTTTTCTCTCTTTTGAAAAAATCCAAGAATTAAACTTTTAAGCATCAGAGGAGCAGGATCCAACTCCATATGTAGAGACAAAAAACACAGCCAGCTTCTATGAACTTATTTAATCAGGTTCAAATTCACTAAGATTAATTACTATATTTTAGATAACATCCTTACCCTTAGGTAGAAAGTTTAATTTTCTTGTTTCGTTAGCAAAAGTAAATGCCAGTCTACTCGAGTTTCCAGATGTAGTACCATAATAAATGTAAATCAAGCCTCTGGATTCAAAAAATGAAGCAGATGATTAACCACAACCCATTTTTAAAATAAGATTTTTCAAATAAATTTAATCGAACAATATTATTTACTAATATACTTAATTTTTTATTAATATAATTTAACGTAATTTAATGTGTTTGTATTTATATATATATAAATATATCCAATTCAAAAAATAATTTATCATCCAAAAGGAAGTTAATAAATAAAAAAAGAAGAATAAATAAGACAAAAAGAATAAATAGTTCTATAATTCTTAAATTAAATGATATATTAAATTCTGAAAATCTATTTGTTTAATAATTATAAATTGAATTATTGGAATGAATAAAAGATGTGATCAAAATTCAAAATATTTTAGTAACCAAAGATGAAGATTAATTATAAAACAATTTAATTATAATTAGAAGATATCATAAATTATTTACTAATAGATTTAATTTAAATACTCAAATAAGTGAATCAGATATATTTAAAAACCTTTTCAACTTGTCTTAGATATTTCTGATATATAATGAAATTAAAGTTAATTACATTTTGAAGATAATATAATTATTTTTATAAATCTGTAAAAATTGACTTTGTATTTCATCTATTCCTATTAAATTTAGAGAAAAAGATTTGAAAAATAAAGATGAAAGTAGGGATTTCAATGAAATCGAATTGATTAAATTAATTTAATTTTTGATATATTAATATATTATAATATATTTTTGAATCGGAGAGTATTTCATTTAATTATTATATCATATTAAAAGATTGTGAAATATAAGTATTATTATTCAATCTTAATAATTTTTTAAATATTGATTTAATTCTTTGAATATTTGAATAAATTTACTTAAGTATTTAACATTCAAGTATAAATAAATAAATTAATGAATAATTTATTGGCTATCTTCTTAATTACATTAAATGTAATAAATGCATTTGAATTGGATGTTTATAGAATGGTAGGCATTGAATAAGATCAATTTTGGAGTGGAAGTAAGATAGCTTCTTTCTAATTACTCACAACTCATTGGTCAGAATTGTCATCAAGAAAAGTGGCATTAATTAAATTTTCAGAAATAAATGCAAATTCGATATCTGAATTACTTACTAACAAACCAAATGGCATTTTGATAATTCTAGATCAATTATCTCAAGATAATGAATCATAAATATGGGACTTAATCACAACTAATTTGGGTATTTAAATTATTGAATGTAGGTCCTAAGGGAGCAACAATCCCCATTTATTTTACTTATGAATCTGAGAATATTAATAATCATTATAAGGAAATTCAAAGTGAAACAGAGTAGGAATATTAATTATAAGTCACAAGTGTAGATTAAAAATAAGTGCTTACTTTAGAGGATTCATATGTAATATTTAATATCTAAAATATTAGAATTTATTAGAAAGCATTTCTAATTTTAAGTAAAACAATCCTTCTACACTTATTGTGTTAGGAATTGATGAGAATTTACCATCAGCTGAAATAACAATTCCAATAAATAGATTTGGAATATAATCATCCATCTTTTTTAAGATTGCTAGAGAGTTTAAATATTAATAAAGATTAAAGTAATAATCATATATTTATATAATTAGTCGAAATATAATATTTTATATTTCCACATCTACATCATTAAATGAATATGGATTAAACTAATTCTATAAGAAATAAGAATATTAAAGAATTCTATCAACTATAGACACAATAATAATCTTTGATTAAATTAAATAAAATGAAAAACTATATGTTGAAGTCAGTTCTTCATTATTAAATTAAATTTAAGAATAATTGACTGAATTTGATGTATCAATTATAGAATCTGAAACTACAAACATTTCAAATAAAGAAATAGATACAATCAGAATATATACATAGAAATAACTTAAGATATTAACTCAATAAAATTCTACAATAGTACAAGACAATTAATAAATTATAATAAATTTAGTGAGTTAATTGATTGATGGTTAACCATATTAAAAATAACATTAAGATTAATTATTTGATGAAGCTTTGAATTAATTTATCAATACACCAAATAGACATCCTGCAAATCTTTAAAAAGATTCAAAATTCATGAATGATTTGAACTCTGTAAATAATTTTATATTATATAATAGTTATTAAGATAATTATTTAAACATACAACTAAAATGCAGTATGTAGTAAAAGATAGAAAATTCTTTACATCATCTCAATTAAAAGGACAAATTATCAAATTTTATTCAGCATTTATTGATTTGTATCTAATTCTAGGAGTGAGTGCATGGTTAGTAGTTATTTATGGAATAACAAAAGTAAATTTAAATATTATTTTAAGTATGTTCCAATATTTAGAATTGAATAAAATGCTAATAAAAAAAGAAAGTGATTTATTTATCAATGTAAATAAATTTTATTTGTTATAATTTTAATAAAAATGGGAAATCTTTAAACTCTAATAAATTATCATGCACCATTGAACTATGCATAAGATTTAAGTGAATAACTAATAGATTAAGGAATGTTACAACATCCAGGTTTAGGATAAATTTAATTATGGAAAATTAAAGAAACTAATTAGCCTTTGTTATTTTCATTTGTAAATTATCTAATCTATTTTATAGCATGTACATATATTTGAAAAAGATTCATCAATTATTGATATACATAATTTTAGAAGTTCTCTCAATCATCCTAATTTAATTGAATATTTTGCTTGTACAAGTTCAAATGCACTAAACATTGGTAAAGTATAATCTTAATAATACTTTTTTGCATACTATGAATAAACTTTAAAGGCTTATATTTAATCTATAACCTTGACTGAAGTATAAATATGGAAGGTAAAATAATAAATACTATTTGGTAGATAATAGAATAAATAGTAGATGTTATGGTTTATTTATAAAGTTTGAATAGATATCATTCAAACATCAATTCAGAATCAATATTCATAACTGATAATTTACATATCAAGTTGTTAGATAAAATAGGATAATAACCAAATAAATTAGCAATCAAAGATGATGTACATGATTTAGGAATTGTTATTATAGAACTTTTAACTAAAAGAAGTAATATTTTATAATACTCTAGCAAATTAATTAAATTTTATTTAATAAATAAAAAATTTACATGGAAAATTCACTTTATAATTATTATAATTGGTTGCAAAAATGATTGATGAAAATATTGATAGACGACCTGATTTTATTTAAATCTAATAGATGATTATCAATAGATTCAAAGAACCCATATTTTTTTAAAATCCATAAAAATATCAAGATCTTAAAAAATTAACTTCAAGATTACCAACTTAAGAGTATTTTACTAATAGAATAAATTAAATTAAATCAAATTAATAACAATCACCTATAAGATATGAATCCAATAATATAGTAACTTAAAAATTGAATATGCCTTTGACTAAACTTTTATGCAATACTTAAAATTAATTAAATACTATTTCAAAAGTTGACTCTATTAATAAGAATATTTATTAATTATCTCCTCCACGTAAAACTTATTAAAGTAAAATTACTCAATTATCTACTACTGCTGGTAAAAATAGTCCCATAAGTAATTATTAATTTTTATGTTTAGCTTAAAGGAACAATGATAATATGATTATTCCGTGTACTAAAGCTTTTAATGGTATAAATATAAAGAATTGATTAAATTATTATTATTATTTTGATTTAACACTAAACTTTTTTTATTTAATTTCTTTTGTTTTCATTCTCATTAAAGTTTAATTATATAGCACAAAATAATAAAATAATACTTGTGTTGCATAAAAAAATAATTAAAATATAATTTATATGACAACATAATCTGGTCCGTTTTCCACTCCAGCTTTTATAATTAAGCTTTATGATATTTTAGATGAACAAGTATATATTATATATTTATATAATCATTAGGTGTAGTTTAACTAGATTATAAAATGGAGTGATGATGGAGAATATTTTATTGTACTATAACCTAAATTGATGGAGAATGAAATCCTCTTGTAATACTTCAAACACAATCATTATCAATCCTTTCTAAGGTAACTCAACATGTATGAATTTATCAAAGCCAGAAACTCAGAAAATTATGAGATATTTAGTCATCCCTTCTTTAAAAGAGGCAATAAGTAATATAATATTAATGTTTTAGAAAACAATTATCATTGATTAAACGTAATCCTATTAAAACCAAATGTAAAGTAAAGAAAGAATTGAAGTCAGCTGTAAAATAGTATGATTTTTAAAAATAAATGGATTCAGAATTATTATTCTTAAAGTAAAGACAAACTAAATTTGAAACATAATTTTAAGATATTATATCTTAAAATGAATAAATTATGGAACAACATAAACAAATTTGGTAGGAACTTGGTAATTCAAAAAAAACACTTGATGTTAAAATTGATAGAATCAGTTATTTGCTTAGCTTTATCATCCAATAATAAGGAATTAATAATTAGGACTCAATCGAAATGTTAAATTAGATTTAGTGTAAACAAAAATAAGAATATTAACCAGTGGAATCATTATCTCCACTGTTAAAAATGATGTAGAATCAAATGACATGGAACTTAAAAGTACCAACTTAAATGAGTACTTTTAGTCCCATGTATAATGATTAAGGTATAATATTTCAATAAATTAACAATATAGCTTATTCACCTTTAGCTTTAAGGAGCCAAGAAAGTCTTGATAGTTATTAAAGTTTAAGTCCCTTCTACTAATAATTCAAAGAGTAGTGATATATAACATAACTTTATTAATTAATTATTGAAATCACCCATTCTTCAATGTGAAAAATGAGGAAATATCATTGATTTTAAAAATCATAAAATACATAATTGTAAACAAATATTTGTAAAATATCAACAATTATATGTTCTTACTTATACATTTAATATTCCCAAGTTACACATACATGGATATTTTTGAGTCAGTGTAAATAAGAATAACTCATCACTTTCAAATGTATAAAGATATTAATAATTAATATTAATTCTGAATAAATATTTCAGTAATAATAATAAAATTAATTTAATTATGCGTTCTAACTTGAGTAGAACATAATAAAGAAAATTTTAGTTAAAAAAGAGGGAATTAATAAAAAGTAATTCAAAAAGAATGAATTGACAAAATTTTAGATTAAGAATTAACTAAATCAATATAAGTAAAAATTATTTTATTATTTTTTAATTGAATGAAATATAGGTATGAGAAAATATTTTCATAAAAAAGTATAAAATTAGGATTATTATTATATGATTGAAAGTCAAAATTATAAGTTTATACGATTATAAAATTATACTATTTTTCTAAAGCTAAATTCTTAATATTGTCAAATTAGACAATTCGATTAAAAAGGGAAATCTAAGAATTTTTTGTTTAATATTATCATTATAACAGAAATTATCTAAAAGAAGAAATAGTAACACTTGGAAAATACTGAATTCAAATCTAATTACAAATATTTAATGTAAATAGAACTCATTCTTATGAATGAAAAATATAAATAAAATCTTTCTAATTCTTGTAGTCAAGTTTGAAATAAATTTATTTGCTATAAAATATTATTAAAGGATTAAGAAATTTATATAGATTTAATGATTAATTATCACTCTTCAAATCTTACTGATTATACCTTCTCTCTTTTTGTTTTTAATTTTTGGATATTATGGATGAGGTTGATTGAAATTATCATTTAAATTAGGTCTTTATGATCTTTAAAATTTTTTGAATTTTTTAACAATTTTGTTTGTCAACTTTTAACAAAAATAATAGGTTCCAAAAAATCCATTCTAATTTTTATAATCTATTCGAAATGATTACCATTTATAAAAAAAGATTTAAATGTTATTTAATCTTGATAAACTAGATATATTTTATCTTACTTAACTCTATTTAATATTAAAGATCGATTTCCTTGATTTTTTGAAACAAATCTTATGACTTCAGATACATAGATTTAGAATAGTTAGTCAGTTTAAAATAGCGAAAATATATAGCAATATCAATCTGCTTAGAATTTTTTAAATACTTTTTAGAGAGTTGTCATATGAATCATCAACAGGCTATTAGAATAATACATGTCTTTCTAGCAATTTTAAATTTTTGATAGGAAAGATTTACTTATTATTGAATATATATAATAATTTTAAGCAATTCGATATAATGAAGACATTTATAAATATTTTTTTATTGATTGTATATATGATTTATTTTTCAATGCCATAATTTTAATGGATTATACTATTCTTAAGTTTTTTAAGCTAATATTTGATCTGCATTTTGATCTCTTAAATAGATTTCAGGTCTATAGACTGATCTGACTGGATTTTAGGCAATTCTAAACAAATTAGTGATTTAATTAGTTGTCGATAATTTAGCCCATACTCCTTCAACCAAATTCTTAAATGATTATAATAATACATACATATCCAACATAAAACACTGCTATTGATGCAATAGTACCAAAAGTAAATGCATGTGCTCTTTACAATCTCAAGTGATAGGATCTTTATTTTGCATCTTAAATGCTATAAATAAATTAAAATTTTACTATGAATATTCATAAAGTTTTTTTAAAGATTCCTCAGCAGTCAAATGTGAACGATTTTGATTCACCAAGTCTTTCATTTATATATTTTTATAATTATTAACAAAAATAAATTGAGTTATCAACACTATTATCACATCTTTAATAAATTTTTATGATCAATCTTATATAATATAGTACTCAATTATGTATGAATTAATATCTCTGTCTATTCTATTACTTTGATACTTAATAAATTATAGTAAATTATAGAGATGATCTAATAAATTAAAATAATTATAAATAGGGAATTCCTTATCATCAGTAAAATTATAATTTTCACATATTTTCTTTCTTTTAGAGATTGGTAAGTTTTTCATATATTTAAATCTATTTTAATAAGTATTTTAACATAAATATTTAATAATCAATTATCTTGTATATTCAATCATCATCTGAGCTACTTTCTACTTTTAATCTTCTTATTCTTCTGCCTTGAACCGATTATGAAACTTGCTTTGAATTATCAATCTATAATTTTGATTCCTATTACTTTGAATTGAGTTATTTAGAATTGAAATCATTTTGTTTAGAATTAATTTCACTTAATTTATCATCTTATTTTTTATATTTTGATAAAATTTCTTCAACTGGATCCTTACTCTTTATAGCTTTTGACTTTTATACTTTCTCTTCAACTATTTTTTGTTCTTATTTTTCATTTTTCTTTTTAGGTTTTTTCATCTATTTTCCTGGCATTTTTTCTTATTAATTAATCAATCGCAATTCTATTTCATTCATTTCTTCATAAGATTCTAAAAACTTATCTAAATCTTCTCTCCACATGACTGATATTTCTTTATTAATCAAAGCTTCTCTGCTTTAAACCCTTTGATTTAATTCATCTTATAATTTCTCAACTTTTTCATAAGTAAGTGAAAATAATGGCATTGATAATAAATAATTAAATTCACTTATATCAATCGATGGTGTTTATTATAATTTTTTTGAGATTTATTTTTTTATTTGCTTTTCTTCATCTCCTGATACTTCTTCAACTTCACTTTCATCATCATCAACATTTTTCTATTATTTTTAAGAATCACCAAATGCTTTTACTTTTGTAGATTTTACTTAAATTAATTATGAAAATCTAGTAAATCCATATTTATCTAATTATTTCACTAAATCTATTTTCTTAATATTTCTTAATTTAATCTCTTCACTTATAACCATTTTTATGAATTTTAATTTATTATCTAATAATTATACTTCTCTATCCAATTTTGATATAAGATAATCTTTTCTTTTATGATAAAACTCTAATCTAACTAAATAAAACTCTTCCATTATATCCTAAACACATTCATATTTTTTTATTTTATTATTTGAATCAAATAATACCATATTGCTGCATGATGCTGGTGAAGTCAGTTTAAAATATTCTAAGGGATTTCTCAAATCTTATACAAATCCATCAACCATTTATATTTCAAAATGAATTTTATATTTTGTATGATATTCTCTCAAATCCACAATTTAACTACCTTCTTCAGCCATTTCTTTATCTAACCATTCCTTGTAATTTTTTGTCCATTTTTTAATTGGGAGTTCTCTAATAGTAATAATATCTGTTTCTTAATTACAATCAATAAGACCTTTGATAATACCATTACCATTAGGTAAATTTTCAATTATACCATCAAAATTTCTATAAAATGGTGTCATTGGCTAAAATTATTATCCATCCAATCTATTTTTAATCTATTAAACAATATCAATTGGATTATAATTTTAAATTGATGTAGACCAACCAGTACCTATACCTTCAGCTCCATTAACTAAACTCATAGGAATGATAGGAACATAATATTCTGGTTCAACCATTTATCCATCATCTTCCAAATACTTTAATAAATGATCATCTTATTCAGGGAATAAGTATCTTGTAATTTTATTAAGAGCTGTAGAGATATATCTTGCAGATGCATGATCCTTGCCACCCATAGCTCTACTACCAAATTAACCTTTTGGTAATAATAAATTAATATTATTTGAACCAACAAAATTTTATGCCATACCTATAATTGTAGAAACTAATGATATATCTCCATGATGATAAGCAGAATGTTCTGCAATATAACCACCCAATTAGACCACCTTAATTTCTTATTTTAAATTTCTCTTAAAACATGCAAATAATACTTTTCTCTATCCTGGTTTTAAACCATCCATTAGAGATGGAATAGATCTAATATTATCTGCCATAGAAAAATGAATCAATTCTTTATGTATGAATTCTGAATAACCTAATTCTTTTTTTGTATGATCTACATATAAATCATGATTGTATTAAGCTAACCATTATTTTCGATCATTTGCTTTTTTCTTATTAAAACATAGATCAATTGAATTATCATCTTCATCACCATCATATCTAAATTAAATTGTATGTGTTCTTAAATTTTTAAAGTACTCTTAAGCTTCTTAATCATCAGATGTACCTAAACCTTTGTAATATTTTATCTTCCATGTTTTAATATCTTCATCTTAAGCAAATTTGTTAAAATCTTAAACTGTAAAGAATGGGATCGTTTAATTACCTTTTATTGCTTTTATTAAAGGTGTTACAAACTCTTTGAGAAATCCACGATATTTAACTAAAGATGGCCAAAAATGATGAATAAAATTGATAATCAAACCTTTAATATGTGAACCATCTATATCCTGATCTGTCATAATCATTACTGATCCATATCTAAGTGATTTTAAATCATTATATTGTCTTTCCTTCTATAAACCTATTATTTTTATCAAATTTTCAATTTCTTCATTTTATAAAATTTATTTTAAAGATGCCTCCCTAACATTTAAGAGTTTACCTTTTAAAGGAAATACACCATATCTATCTCTGCCTACAATATCAATACCTGCCATAGCTAAAGCTTTTGCTGAATCTCCTTCTGTTAATATTAATGTACAAAGTTCTGAGTTCTTTTTTCCTGCATCATTAGCATCATCCAATTTTTCAATTCCATGTAATCTGCCAGTTTTTGTACCTTTCAATTATTTATTTAATTTAGCATCAGCTTTAGCTTTAGCTTATTAAAATATAGTTTCAATAATATCAGTCTTTATTAAAGCTTTTGAGAATTTTTCAGTCACTTTAAATTTCTCTTCATTAGTACCTCCAAATTCTGATACCTTAGTAGTCATATTCTCCTTTGTTTATGAATCAAAGGTTGGATTATCAATTAAGCAATTAATAAATACCCAAAGAGATTGTTTAATTTGATATTTTTAAACTTCAATTGATTTGTATTTTTTATTATTATTCATTTCATTTTAAATTTCTTATATAATTTTATCAGTCACATAATTAACATGGGTACCTCCTTTTGCAGTATATATAGCATTAACAAAAGAAACATGTTAAAATTATGTAGGAGAATAACTAACAACTACTTCCCATCTTGGAGTAGTCATTTCTTTATCAAATATTTTAATTGCTCCTTCATTTGGTAAATATAAATCTACATATTTTTAGAATGAATTGATTTTAATCTTCTCATCATTCAAATAAACAGTGATTCTATTACCATATATTCCAGCCAAATCGTATACTCTTCTAGTTAACAAAGCCTAAGTATCTGCTTCTATCTCCTTCATTCCAAACCTTTTATAATCTGGTTTATATGAAATACTCACATAAGGATCTTTCTTTACTTGTTTAATAATTGGAATCTGTTTATTACTCATATTATTGTTCCAAACTAACTTAAAATAACTTTTCCCATCACAAACTTCTAATGTGAACTCTGTTGAATAAACATTTGTCAATTTTGCTCCATATCCATTCCTTCCACCTACCACTCTTTTTTCAGTATCATCAAAATTACTTCCTGTCAGAAACACTCCAAAAATTAACTCTGGTACATAGATTTAATATTCCTTATGAATTTCAACAGGTATAGGAAATCCATCATTTTTAATTGAAATTTCATTTCCTATGTCTACTTTGATATAAGACTATTTAAATTATTTGGTATCTCTTTAGAGATTATCAGCTGCATTAACCAAAATTTCATCGAATATTTTAAAAAAACCGGGCACATATTCAATTTCTTTTTAAATCATTTTTCCATTTTGAATTATCCACATTTATTCTGAAGTTCTTTACAAACTACCAATATATGTATCAGGCCTTTAAAGAATATGCTCAATATGAGTCATCTTTTTATATTACTCTTCTATAGTCTTTTGGCGCATAATAATTGAAATTATAAACAATTTAAATTTATTCAACCAGAGAATAGAGATTAACTGCGAGCCTCTTAAACTTATTTACTTTTAGATTGATGATGCATAAGAGTTTAAGTTTTACGATGTTTTGGCACATCATCAATTATTATACAACTTTCTTCATTAAGACTACCTTCGTCTCCATCTATATGACATTATAGAGTGATATGAGTATCACTAAATAATGAACCATGAATAGTTTCATAATCTTTCAAGAACTAATTAACTGGTTTAACAGAAGATTTATTAGCCATGAATTTTAAAAATGGAATCAATCTAAGTAGACATTCGTCTTCATCTGAATCTAAAAATGATGGAATTAACAAACCATTATCAGGTTATAATTCAAAAGCATTTGGATTATTCTATCAATATTATAAAAATGATACATCTATAAAGATTAACTAATCCAGTGGCCGATCTAAAATGGCAAGATCTTTCAAACAGTTTCCATTGACAAATATACAATTTGATCTAGCAAAATAATCACTTATATGTTTATCGACATCTATGTATTGCAATACCTTATCACAATATGATTCATAGCCAGCAGTAAATATGATGATTTCATAGTATACACTCATTTACTTAAGAAATTCTCTCAAATAAGGTCTTCTACATAAATACACATTATATAGCACTCCTTTATGCCAAACATCCAAAATAGTTTCATAATTGAAATTTTGATTTTCTTTAAATTCACAATGTACTAAGGTTTCATCTAAATCAAGAACTAATATTTTCTTTTTCCTCACTTCAGATTCTTATGTTGATAATCTATAAGAATCATCTTATCCTTCTCTTTTCTATCTAAGATTTTCATAACATTTTTTTATATATTGCAAACAATTCATTTTAATTACTTAATGCTATATTGAGTGATAACTTATATGAAAATTAGAAAAATCATTAAAATAAATCTATAAGATATACTATTTAGAATTATATATATATATATATGTATGACTTAAGTCAATCTAAAGTAATAAATTAATGTTTAGAAATTCTATTCAATATTCATCATAAAAAATAATAAAATAAAACATTTTATATTTATATGTTATAACAAAAATTATTTCAATAACTTTCAGAATAAATTCATTAATATGCTTATGGAGATTCAATCCATGTTAGGTATGTAGTATTATATACATCTTATGAAAACCTTATAATTATTGCAGAAGACAAATATAAATTATCTGTATAAATAGAAACTTTGAAATGGAAAAATGATCCAATAATTTCTATGAAATTTCAAACATTTGCTTTACATATTCTAACAATGGAAGGAGAATACATTGAAATAATATTATCTAATCTTTTCTAATAAAATAAACAATATGATAACCTTATGTCTAATATCAAAATTAATGATGTTTATTTACCAAATAATGTTAAATTAAAAGAAGCATATCAAATAAAAAGGTTTAGTGATTTTGTTATAATGAACAAGAATAAATTAAAAATTGCCTTCATATCTTAATAAGGATAAATAGTATTTTATAGTCCTGATTAAAAGGTTATCACTTAAATTATTGCTCTAAGATAAAGTCTTATATCTTTTTAAACAATTGAAATTGATCAAAAAGAAATGGTTGTTGGAATCACAGAATTTAATGATTTAATCACTTTTAGTGATAATGAATAAGAACCATAAATACATCGTTTTACTGATCCCAATTATTCTATTATTCATATTTATTTTGTTGGCAATGAGAATATTTTAATATTGTAAGAAAATAAAACTGAATAACGATTTGTTAAGTATCAATTAAAATAACTTAAATTTGTCAAAAAATATTATTATCTACCAAAAGATGATTGTAATTATAAATTTGTAGAAATACATGAATTACCTAAAATATTTATTGCATTAGTATTTTCAACATAATTTTAAATTATATCTTTATCAAAAACAGTACTTCAAGATAGATTATTTAAATGCATTTAATTCAATTTTTAAAATGTAATAGATGAATTTAATCATCCTATAAATTTTAATTAAATCCTATATTGTCCTGAAACAACTACTTTAAATATTAAAGAGATTAATAATTAAGCTATTCATTTCTCTAGATATAATTAATAATTTGGGATTAAAATAACTAAAAAGAAAATGGTTGAAGTCTTATAATCAGATTCATAAATTTTAAACAAAGAAGATCAAGTATCAAAAACAAAGTAAATAACATTATTTATTAAATAATAGAGATTATGATTAGTTTTGTAGTTTATTAATAACCTCAACTTAAATTTATACCATTTAAATATCTTAAGAATGTATACAAGATCTTACATTTAAAGTCCTTTAGTAATTTGAAAACTATCAAAGAACATTTGATTCAATACCATAAATGAAATTGAGTTGGTAAGAATAAGTAATTTCTAATTTATGGCATCACTTGAATTGTGAATAAGGTTTAAAACTCTATTTTACAAAAAAGGATCAGGTTTCAGAAAATATACATACATGGGTTAATTCATTAAAATTTCATAAATAAATGTTATATCAAATATATGATGAAGATTAGGATTAAGAAATTCTTATTGAAACTTAATATGATAAATGTTTAACTACAATTGCATTATTAAATTTCAAGAATCTATCTAATGAAATATCAATTTCTAAAATTATTGCAATGGTTTTTAATAAAGTTTTATCATAATGTAGTAAAATTGTAACAGATAATTCCAATTCTTTTTTGTAATTAATTTAATGTATCAAATAAAACAGTAATCCAGTATTATGTTATAATTATTGGAAGAACTCTTAACAACTTTTATTCATCTTAATAAATATCTTAGAAGTTTGGTTAACTAATACTATGATTAAATATGATGTAATATTGCTTAAGGCTTAAGAATTCTTTGAACCTCTTTTTATTAATAAAATTAGAAGTTTAATAGTTTGTTCAAAAGTTCCAATTATGCTTAGATTAAAATTAATCATTTTCTTATAAGATTAATCATACATTAAATTATTTACTTTAGGTGTTTAAACAATTTAAAATAGATAAGAATTATTATAATTTAGTAAAGTATGTAATATTACAAATGATGCTCCATCTTTTAATATATTTAGTATTTCATATTTAATAGATGAATGTGATATACAATATCTTAAAAATTTAATATAAATTTCAGGAAATTTAGAATAAATGAATAAGTATGAACCTACTAAATGTAAAAATCCATCATTTGGATTAATAATTATGAGCATTTTAACATAATCATCAAATGAATATGAAATTTGTAAGATTATCAATTGGTTTTTATCTTGATTTCATTATGTATAATATTATAAAGTAGATTTTTATTGATAATTATACAATATTTTGTATATCATATATTCAAATTAAATTATAAAATATCCTCAAAATTCAAATATTTTATAATTATAACCAATATAGTATTGAAATAAAAAGGTTTGTTATTTATAAAACCAAAAAGATTTCTTTAAATAATTCTATATTAACTGAGTGTTTTCATTTATTTAATTATTAGATGCAAAAACGAATTCTTCTTGTATTAAAATATTATTTGCATATTTATACAGTCAATTTTAATTTAGTATATTATGATATTTAATAGTCTATTAAATAACGTAAATATATAAAAAATACTTGTTCAATTTAACAATAAAATTTAGACTGATTGAATTTACATGTAATGAACTAAATGAGGAAAGTTATGATTGTAAAAAATATAAATTCAAACTGTAATATTTTAAGATTCAGATAACCCTTAAGATCCAAATAGATTAAAGTGTTATTATTTTGACTTCAAAGAAAATTAAGAATTGAGGGAAATTTAAAATTTAATGAATAGATAATGTTTTTCTTTAAATATGATTTGAGTAATAGAAGTTTTCCTTGTATATTAATTTTCCTTATACTCATCTTTCATAACCTAAATAAAAATCATTTGTGATTAACATTTATTACTAATTTTGAATATCTATAAAATATACAATAACTAATGGATTCAGATTTGTTTTATAAATTGCAATTCAAATGAATTTAGGATATATGTATAAGAATTAAGGTCAAAATAAAAATAGGGATTAATATCAAAAAAAGAACAGTTTTTATCCATTTAGAAAATAGCCAATAAATTATATAAGAGAATAGCAAACTATATAATATAATAATTTATTTTAGAATGGAGAATTTGAAAATAGGAAATTATAGTGATTATTTATATTATAATTATTCTTTTTAAAAAACGGTTTATATATATTATTATTTTTATGAAACAAATAGTCATACTCTTTGTTTTGATATTATTCACAACAGCTTCCAGTGGTAACTAACTTAATATAAATTGTAGATCTACTAAAGTCAATATCTAAATTTGCTGATGATGGAGATAATTCTTCCAAATTTGCCAAAAGTAAAGTTTCTCCATTTTCCGAAGAAGAATCAGAAGATTATGATAACGAAGATACTGAACCCTCAAAGAAAATGACACCTAATTCTTCTTAAGATGATGATGATGAAGAAGTTGATGTTATGGCTTAATTGAAAAGTTATTAACAGAAACTTTCTACAAGCAAAGATGTTAAGCCACCATAACCATAAAAGAAATAGGTTCAAGTAATATCTGAATCAGAATCTGAATATGATGATGAAGATGACAGTGGTAATATGTGGAGTAGAGGAATATCAAAAAAATTAGCTTAAACTGAATCTAAACCATTAGTATTACCAATATAAACAGCTAAAGAATAAATAAAGAACGATTTCAATCAATTTACAAGTTTAAAAATGCCTGAAGTACAATAAAGACCTTAAGAAACTAAAATACAAGATTAAACTTAAAAAGTATAAGATGATTAAGGAAAAGAACATTCAGCTGATTTTGAAAAAATGAAATAAGCTTAATTAGAAAAATATAGTAAAAGATTTCATCTTGATGAACCTAAAGAATCTAAAAGTATGTATGAAGATGATAGTTTGAAAGAATTTATGCCAAAAATCAATTTTCAACCTATTAACATATAAGAGACTAAAACTTCATAATAAATCTAATAAAATCCAGAAAAAAAATAAGTAAATAAATATGATGAATTAGAAAGTGAAAGTGATGAAGAAGATGATATTTTAGAAATTAATAATAAGAATTCATAATCAAATAAAAACAATAATAAAAATTCTAATGATTTATAGTCTACTTCAGATGCATTTGATTTCTTTAATCAAAATAAACAATAATAAAAGTCAAATAAAAAAAGTTAAAAAATTGAATAATCAGAGTCTGAAGATGAGGATAGTGAAACAGAATAAGAAGATGAAGAAGATGAAGATTATGTTTAGTAAGTGAAGAAAAATAAAAAATAAAAGGATGATAGAGAAGAATAAAAAAGAAAATAACAATAACTTTAATAATAATAGGAAGAAGAGGAAGAATAAAGAAGATAAATGTTGAAAAAATAAAAAGAATAATAAATTTAATAAGAGGAATTAAGAAAAAAATAAGAAGAGGAAGAGAGATTGTAAGAACTATCCAAACAATAAAAAGTAAAAAGAGATATTGATGATGATTAAATTACATAAAAGAAAAAATAAAAAAAATAAAAAAAACAATTAAGTTTAGAAGAGTTTTAATAATCTTTAAAATTAGATGAAGAATAACCTTAATTAACATCTTTTGCATAAAAGGAAGCTAAAGAAAAAGCAATTTTAGAATAAAAGACATTTACATTAGTAAAAGAAACTCCATAATAAATTTAAGAATAAAAAGTATTTAAATTATAAGCAATTCCTAAAAAACAATAATAATTTATTCAAGAAGAAGAATCTGAATTAGAATCAGAAAGTGATAATGATGAAGAATTTGATACTCCAAAATCAATAAATTGCTTTGAAAGTAAGAACAAATTTATATAATAAATCTGTTAATTATGTTAAACTAAAGTTGCTTATTAGGTTAATTAATAGAATTGGTAGAAGATTGGAATAAATGAAGGTTTCAGGTATTTATTAAAAATTGTATCATATATCTTAGGAATTTAGGCAATCCTTTGAGCCGCTGATCGAGTTCACTTTCAAAAGCATAGGTGAAATTGGATCATATTATTTAAGTTTTAAAGATCACACTGTCTGTTTAAGTGCTGAAAATTTATCTAAAATTGTACAATATCTTTATAAATATATAGACTAATGTTGATAAAGTATTAAAGCATTTCACTGGAAATTAATTAGCTGATTACAATTCCCCAGTTGATATTCCAGCTAAAAGTTAACCGATTAACTTTTTATTGAGTGCAGAATATGGTAAGCAATAGAGAATAAAATTAGATTCTTTATTAAATGGATTTTCATGCAGAAGATTTTAAATTGCTATTAAAACAGATTTAAAATATAAATTGAGTAAGAAAAATGATATTAATGTTAAGTAGATAATCTTTTATAAAAATAAAGTAAAAAATAATATAAATTAATAGTTAAAATTAAAATATATTGGTTTAATTTAAATAAATGGTGTTGTCCATCAAGCCAGTTTTGATTAGGAAGAAGGAGGAGAAGCCACTAATTTAATTGTTACTCAATTGAATTTGCCTAAAGAATAAGGAGTAATAGCTAGTTTGGTTGATAAATATATTGATAACAATTTTGTTGCAGATATGCTACAAAAATCAGGTAATCTTTTCTTTTTAAATTTTTAGAATAAATGATGGCTGATTTATAGATCTAGACACATATTAAAAATGATGATATAGGACTCACATTTAATTTAAGAAAGAGAAAGGGAAAATGATGAATTTAGATTTATTATAAATTGAAGAATATATCAATATCAGATTTCTTCTCCAGCTAATTATATTAAAGCTAATTTAGGTTTTAAATTCTTTGTTGTAATTGTTTATGAAATAACTCTGGCTATCATATCAAATTAAAACTCATTAGTATTTAGTTTATTTCTAAAATATTTTCTTATCATTGTCATAAACGGCTAAAATAATCTATTTTTATTTATTTTGGTAGAATATATAAACAAATTTCTTTTAAAATACTATTTAAAGAATTGAAGAATGTAAATATATAAAAATTCTATATTTTCAGGTTAAGGTTGTTTATCACAAAAATATCAAATAAATTTAACCATTAGTTTAATAAGGTAATAAAATTGATCATGTGATAAGATCAATATTCTATTAATATTATTTCTCAATAATCTATAAGAGTATCCTAGAATTTATGGTTTTTTATTTATCCAAATAATATTGAAATAATTATCAATAAATGCATTATAAGCAAGATAAAGAACACTAGTTCTTATTTTAAGACGTATATGAAAAATGGAATTAAAAATATATTGAGTAAAAAGAAAGCTTTAATTTATTCTATGTTTTGACAAATATTAATTAATTTAGTATTATTGATATCTTAATCAGTTCTTGAATTTTTCAACATATATAATTTACAATTAATTTTCTTATGAAATTTTTGATTGTTAATGGATTTACTGCAACTGCTTCTCATTCAAAGATCTTTAATTAATTTAGACAATAAATATATGATGTATAAATTCAAAATATCTAGATCACTTAAGCATAGAAGGAAGTCGCTGATATTGACTTTGATTATATTGAGCTTGATAGACATAATTTAGAAGAATATTTATTTGAGCCAGAGACATCTCATATTAAGCCTGAAAAAGGGCAGAAATTTAATTCATTAGATATGGTTTTTATTATAGCTTCCCCAAATACAAGACCTTGGAATCCAAATATGAGAAATGTATCAATATATTTACTATTCTAGATTATAAGTCTTATAAGAATGTGCATAAAAACTAAGAAACTACTTTTTATGACCTCTTTTGGAGCTTAAGCACTTGCATATTTATGTGCTTCCAATATTTCAACAGTACTTTATTTCATTTAATAACAGCATATTAATATTACTAATGGAAATGGAGAAGGCAGTAAATTAGTTGATTTTCCAAAATATACTCTATAAGCATTAAAAAATTCTCATGATGATTATTTTTTAGATACTACAACAGGAGATTTGTATACATATAATAAAGTTACAGATGAATGGATGCCTAAATGTAATATTGGAATTCATCACAGAAGAGATGCAATGGAATTTTAATCTATAGGAAAGTATGTTGTAAAATCTCCTGCATATAAACCTAAATAACCAATGCTTAGCAATTAAACAGAAATGACTTGTATAATTAAAAAGCCATTTTTACATTATTGGTTGTTTAAAGATGTTAATATTGAGTTTTAAATAAAATAAACAAATACTTGGGATATACATACTATAACATTTACAAATCCAGAAAAAGTAATTAAATCAATTAAATTATAGAGATTTTAATCATTAGCTGAAAATAACTTACGAGGTCCTTTAATCTTATAATGTGATAATATAATTGCAATTTTATTCGAATTAGATTATAAATAAAAAGATTAAATTAATCTATTATCAAATTTTATTGAAAATGGAATCAAGATAATAAGATATTCAAATACATATGTAATAATATTTTATTCATTTTAGAATACAATAAGTATTACTAATGAAAAGTAATTTTTTTCACCAAGAGGATTAGAAAATATAGAATTAATATACAATTAAGATACAAAATAGAAATCATAACATTTATAAGAAGATATAATGAAGAAATAACATAAAGCTTATGTGAGAGAATATCGAAAATTAGTTAATAAGGCAATTCTAGATTCAGAAAAAGAGAGAGATAAAATATTACATGTTGGATTCTCAGTAAAGAAAAATCGTTTACCAGAGTATGTAATATACTATATAGAGTTGTTGAATAAAATAATATACAGCAGAAAACATTGAAAGCAACTCAAAGAAAATCATTTCTTGCTAAAAAAGAACAATTTTATTAAAATTTTGAATCTTTGAAACTTAATTTAGATGAAAATCAAAGTTATAAGAATCCTTCAACTAGTAGAAAACATTTAAAATTACGAACTGAACCTAAAGGAGTGACATATTAAATGATTGAAGAACCTGAAGATCCAAATTTAATCTAAACACATAGAGTTCTATCCCAAATTGAAGTCAGAAGATAATTACATCCTTCACTAAATCAAGAATTTTTAGGATCTCAAAAAATTTGGATCCCAGGATTCTTGAAATAAAATAAATCTAAGTTCTCTTAATCATAACCAAATTCTGGTAGATAAACATTTTAATAACTACTTGATTGATTAATTTATAATAATTTATTAAAAACTATATATATATATATGTATATATGTTTATTTTAATGATTCATGACACACATACTCTAATTATTTAATGAAGTTATCTATATCTAATAGTAATTGTATCAAGAATTCTAATTGATAACTAAAATTAATTTAAGTATTCTTATATCAATTACAACAAAATATTTTAAAATAATTTCATAATAAATTGTAGACTTTTTTTTCAGATTAAATAAAGAAATTGTATATATTTGTTTATTTTATCTGTCTAATATTATGTTATTTAAAAAATCAAAGTTTATATAGCACTTAATTTTATATATGATTTAGATGATTTAAGGATCTTTTATGTCAATATAAAAAGTAACTATTATTGTATAATGTTATTTTTGATTGCTAAAGATATTAAAATCTATAATACTATTCTAATTCTTCAAAAGGAGTTTAGTTTTAATAAAGGTTGAAGTATATTAATAAATATAGATCCTTGGGTTACTTATTTATACATTAGGGAATAGAGAATAAAATATTTTAAGGTTTTGATTGAGACTAAAAGAATTCATAAAGAGAAGCAAATTATTTCAATCCAAAATAGATTTATGAGTTTATTGAGAGAGATAATAGAAATGTTGAAAGATAACGTAAAATCACCAGCTTGAAAGATTTATAAAGAATAATTAAGTTTATTAAAGCACTTATATTGAATACATTTATTAATTTTAATTATATGAGTGAAATATTATAGTAAGAGGATGAAATTTAATTAGATTAAGAAAATATTAGAGGATACTTGGATGATGAAATTTTAGGATAGATAGTTGAACAATATTCACATTAAGGACTTACAAATTAAACAATAAACTAATATACTTAGTTAGTTTCAAGAGGTTGCTAATTAGTAAATTTAAATAACTTATTTTTCAGTTGCATCCATTATTACCCAAGCTACCAGACTAGAAAGGAGTTAAATTTATAAGTTAACAAGAATTACTCAATTTAGATAAAACTTTGTTGGGACGACTTGAGAGTGATTAGAGATTTAGAACATATAGAGAGAAGATAATGCGTAACCATTCTCAATCCTATGTGCGAAAATTCAATCTAACTGACAAGAGTTAATCTATTTTGAATGAAAGCTGTTGTTTAAAAGAATAGATTGCATTTTAATTGGATCATAATAAAACTTAGTTAAAGTACTAAGAAGAATAATAAAAACAAAATATCATGAGAACAACATTTGCTAGATCAAGATCTTATAACCATAATAAGTTACCAAAAATAAAAACTTATCCAGCCAAGATTGATGAAGAAGGATAAATTATGCCAGCAATAAAAGCAAAAGTTATATAAGTTCAACAACCTGAAGAAGAGATTACAATACCTACTCACTATTTAGGATGGATAGATTCTTTTTATGGAAAATGGAGACCTTAAATGAGAGAAGGAGCTTCATTAAATAATATATCAGGAAAATTATATTTGTTTGGAGGAATAAGTAGCCAACTTTTTAATGATATTGTTATTTGGGATCATAAGGATTGGTTTCAACCTCAAATAATTGGAGAGAAGGCTCCTTTTGGTAGAACCAATCATATTCACTGTGTTTATAGAAGAAATATCTATATATTTGGAGGTGAAAAACCCTATGATGGTTAATAGAGAATAAGAGAAAGCACTAATGATTTTAGAGTATTTAATACAGGTATTTTGAAAGATATATGAAATAGAAAATAATGAATTCAAAGCATTGAGGTTTGGAGGAGAAGTAATTGAAGGGAGAAGGGGAGCATCTGGAGCTATTGTAGGAAAGCATATTATTATACATGCAGGTATCAATACTAAAGGAAAATATTTAAGTGATTTATATCACTATGATATTTAGAACAATAAAATGATTTTAAGTTAGGTAGAATAGAATGATTTCTTTTCTAATGGAATTGCCTTTCATACACTCATATCTGTTTTTAGTAGTTCAAGAAATATTCAAATTTATAAAAACTATATGGATCCAGAGGAAATGAAAGAAATCAAATATAAAGTAGAAGGTGTATACTTGTTTGGTGGAGAATCAAAAATTGGAACTTTATATTCTGGTTTATATATGCTGAATCCTTGTACACGTCCTATGTAATGGTCTTTAGTTTCTGGAAAAGGAAAATTACCAAGTAAAATAAATTGAAATTAAAATATTAGTCTCTAGATATAAACATTCTGCTTCTTATTGTGATAGATAGGGAATTATAATTATTTATGGTGGCATAAGTGAATCATCTACTTTCTTAAATGATTGTCATATTTTCAAAATTGAAACTTAATCTTGGAGTATTGTTGATTTTGAGTAAAAAGAAGGTAGAGCAGGTCATTGTGCTGTTGTGGATGATCATAAACTTATGATTTTTGGAGGTTATAATGAAACTGGATTTCTTAGTGCTGAATTTTAGGTTCTAGAAATCGATTCTATGATTGCTTATCGAAATAGAAGATAAGCAAATATATCTAATCATCTTCAAACAAATCCATTATAATTATCGACAAGTAATTAAAATGTCAAAACAAAGCAATAAATTTATACTGATAGAATGACTAAAATAAGAGAATAAGTTGCTAGTCTTTCTTATAATATTAAATCTTTTATACCTAAACCTATCATGAAATAAATATCTGCTAAAAATCTCAACAAAATTAATAAAGAATAAATGCTATTTTCTTAAAGATTAAATGAAGAGACTTCTGAATTAATCAAAGATTTTGATTATGTAGAAGAAAGCAAAGATGAAATGAAAGCTTCTTCCAAATTAGATGGCTCTCCACATTCAAATAAAAAATTTACTGATAGGCGCTCAATTTCAATTAGAAATTTATAACCATTTTCCCATTGACTAGTATTAATTTATATGTTTAATCAATATTTTATATTTAAATTTGAAAATGACTACCTAATGGAATCCCTATTTTATACCAAAAGAAAATTATCAATAGTTGAATGTAAAGCATATAATCAAATTAGAATATTTCCTTTGTAAGATTTGATGAGAATTCCAAATAGCCTCAAAATCCAAAATCTATACTATTCAATAATAAAATTTAGATTTAAGTATTTATTGATTATCATACTAGGCAAATCCAAAACCTGAAGATGTTAAATATAAAAGAAATAAAAAGTAATCTAGTTGTATTCCTTTTTAAATAAATATTCCCTAACAAACTTCTAATTCAACCTTAACAAAAGTTGCTTAACCAAGTTTAAAAATAACCTTACATAAGCCAAAACTGAATGAAGATATTAATTTAAAAGATTCAGCTGTATGGGAAAGAAAAGATTACTAAAATCCTCAAGTAAATTTTGAATCATTTCTCAATTAATAAAATCTCTCCAGAAATAATTCCATTGATAGCAATAATAAAACTTAATTCAAAAAAAACCATAGGCAATATAGTCATGTCGTTTAAGGTAATTCAGGGACATATTTTATGATTTCGAATATCCCTTAAAATAAAAATACTCTTAACAATACTTCTAATTCTTACTATTCTAATTATGAAAAGTATATAATGAATATAAAATATATCTAGCTGCAATTCTTAAAGAGAAGAAAAAAAAATAGAAAAATTAAATGTTCCTAAATTTATAATTTAAGATAATTCCTCTAATTAATTAAGTGAAAGAACTATCAAAAAATAAAGTCCAAATAATAATTTATTGAAACATAAGAAAAATACTAGATGCATTTCAATGGGAGAATAAAAACATTTAGGACTCACTCTAGAATGTGATGAATCTAGTATAACTATATTAAGTGATAATGCCAATTCAACCAAATCAAAAAACATTTAAATGAATTAAACTTTTCTTTAAAATTAAAATGATTAAGATTCATAAATTGGTGGATTTTCTTCTGAAACTTTATAAACACTTATGTTATAAGAAATAGAACACTTTCCAAATCCTGATTATATGGTTTCTATTCAAACATAAATAAATCCAAAAGTCAGGGCCATATTAATGGATTGGATGATAGATGTTTGTTCTGTTTATCATATGAAAAGAGATACTTATTATTTAGCTGTGGCATATGTTGATAGTTATTTATCTAAAAAGTCCATACCAAAAATAGATGTATAATTATTGGGTACAGCCTCAATGCTTATTGCATCGAAAATGGAAGTAAATTCATTTGTTATATTTGAGGAAGTAGAGGCAAAACATGTAAGTGAATTTGAAAAAGCAGCCAATCATGGTTATAGTATCGATTAAATTTATCAAATGGAGATTGATGTTTGCACTGTACTATAATGGCATTTGAATCTACCTACAATTAATCTTTGGATTGAATTTTATACTAATTAATGGGATAATTTTAACAAAGATATTTAAAAGAAATTTAGAGCCAATAACACAGCTTCTTATAAATGTAATTGATTATAGTTATTTTGATAGTAATATTAAAATTGCAGGCATATATTGATTGTTGTTATTTGGATATCTAAACATTGAATTATAAACCAAGAACTTTAGTAGCATCATTTATGTATTTAATCTTGGCTATCGAATATTAACAATTCACTAAAGAATAAATATATTATGAAATTCCTAAGAATAGTAAATTTATACTTGTTGATTGTAATCCTTTATTTAATTAATAGCTTAGAAATCATTCAATAAGTTATTTACTGAATTTGTTTAATTTAGCTTTGGTTTCAATCTAGTTGATCTAATAGATGTAATCAAATATGCATCAAAATTTATTATGCTTGATTTTAAATTTAGTGATACTATTTAAGATAAAATCATTTAAGTAATCATATTTATAACTTATATAGAGACATGAAGACTTACTTATATACTAAAAATATAATTAATCAGGACTTTTGTACATTGAAAACAAACTTCAAAAATGAAATATGTTGAATTTAATTTAATTTGTTTTTTGTTTTACTTTTAAACAATTCACATAGTCTTTTTTAACTTATTCTTTGATTTATATGAAAATTTAAGATATATTATTTTGAATATAGAATATGTTCAGATTATTGGAATATTTCTAAATATTCTAAATAAATAATAATATAATATTCTTATAATCATATTAGATGAACTAAAACGATGCAAATTTGGGATTGTTATCCAATAAATCTAATGCTAAATATAAAGAACCGAAGTAGAACATCGATGATTTTGAAATTTAGGATTACGGAGATGATTAGGAATATGTCTCTTTAGATGAAGCTAGTAAACATGATTTATTATTTCTTAGAAGTACAACATGCTGAAGTTATTTAACCAACATAAATTTAATAACCAATTACTCCTCCTTAATAAAACAATCAAAATTAACCAGAACTTTAAAATAATTAGAAATAATAATAGTCTTAACAACAGAACTAGTTTCCACCATAGTAATAAATTCAGTACCCTTAGTTTTAGTAACAATAACAAGTACCAATCAACTAATAATAAGTATTTAAATTTTGCATAATATAGAATTAGTATAGCTAATATCAATATACTCCATATCAAAATCAATAATATTCTTAGCTTTAAAACTAAATAATTAATCCTATTTCTAATATTTTCCAATAAACAGCAATCCTAATTGATAGGAACTTAAATCAATAAACGTAACTTTTATTTTAACAATAAGACAAGCGTATTCAACTTGCATATATTGTAAAACTCCCTAGATGATTTAAGATGAAAAATAACCTTTTATGTGCTTTAGATGCTAACAAATTAATAAGCCTAATTTTGGATATTTTCAATGTGGCTCTTGCAAAATTACGGTCATGTACCAAATTGGATGTAATTACCTTAAATTTAATTAGTATCTAATTTAATCAGATGCACAAAATGCCAAACTATGAATTATGTTTAATAACCCAATCTACCAAATACGTTATAACAATATCAATAATCATAATAATAGTAGAATTTATCATAATAAAAACAACAATAGCAAATTAATAGTCCAAATTCTTAAATGTTGTATCAATAAAATTAATTTACTAATCAACAAAAGATAAATGAATATTCACAGTACTAACAGTTGAATAAAGAATAAAAACCTATTGCAAGAAACTAAGTTGATCCGATGTATCAAGAAAAATGATATAAATTATATATTATTAAAAATTATTTATTAGTTTATGTAAAACTAGGATTTTGACATCGAAAGTCTATCTTAAAATCTTGTAGGGATTTCAAATGATAATTAATAACTAATAAAGGATGTATAAAATATTCTGAGAAATGAAATTGTGGATGAAGATGGATTGATTAAGTTGTGCCAATAAGGATTCACTAATTAAACTAGTAGATTGAGAGGTATAGTTTGGAGATTGTTGTTGGGGTAAATAATTTATTTGTTGAAGGTATTTCCCTTTTAATAGAAAGTATTGGACTTAAGTGATCATTAAAAACAAAGATAATTACAATAATATTAAAATAGAAAATATTAAGAAAGCTCCTCCTCAAAAGAAGAATGATCATCCTTTATCTAGAAATACAGATTCTGATTGGAATAATCATTTTTAGGATTAATAATTATGGTCTAAAATCTAGAAGGATGTCATTAGAACAAGAGTGAAAGAATTGGGAAAAGAGGATTATAGAGAAATGTTAAATAGGATTTTATTTTTGTGTTGTAAATTAAATAAAATGGATTATGTCTAAGGAATGAATGAATTTGCTGCATTAATGTAATGCTAAATAGATTTAGTCTGTATATGTGTATGAGTGATCCAAATGAGAAATTACAGAATGAGAGTGATGCATTTTACTGTTTTATGATATTGATGACAAGTTTGAAAAACAACTTTTAGCTTTAAAAGGAAAAAGTAAGGGCATTTTAGGATTTATTAAAGAAAGTAGATTGGAAATTACATGATCATTTAGTAAATTAAAAGATGGATTTTTCTATCCTATATGTAAAATGGTTTATGATTTTGTTTGCGTAAGATTTTCATATAGATGATTCTTTACGTATTTGGGATTGTTTATTTTGTTAGAAAAACAATAGAGAAGAATTTTTATACTGTTTAGCTATTTCATTTTTGATTTAATTAAGGGAAGACTTAATTGTAGGAGATTTTGGATAAATATTATTGATTTTGCAAAATTTGGAGAAATAAGATATCAATTTAAGTGAAGTAATCTAAAGAGCACATCTCTTATAGAAAGAACAAAAAAAATGTTGATGGTGTAAAGCAAAACTTAAATATATTTTAAATAAATTATAATCATGATTAACTAAAAGAAAAGTCCATTTATTCCTTCTTAAAATGAAAATTGTTCTATTATATTATTGAATGCTGTAATAAATCATCTTTGTCTACTCCTTTTAAATTTGGGAATATTTTAAATAATAATCTTTTATAATCTTTTGATTAAGCACATTAATTTTGATGACAATTAATGAATTCTAATGATTTATTAATGTGCATTAACTATTATATAGAAGATATGCAGTTTTAACTGATATTTAATATCTTTAAACATTTTGTATTACTTAATTAAGAAATTTAATTATGTTGAGCATACAACTCAATTAAATTTGGTGGTAATCCCTCTAATGATTTTAAATTATTTCCACCTACAGATAATACTTTTAGTTCTGTCAATTCTTCTAATTTTAATTCTTTTATTAATAAGGAATTTATGCTCAAATATTATAAGTTTTTAAATATCATTGTTACTTCTCTAATTTCTGTACATCTATCATTAAATATAAGTGTTTAAATATTGAAAATCACTTTATTTAAGTTATGGAAAACTAAATAAAAGTCTTAAAGTGTAAAGGTACTTATTCCATTTAAAATTATCTCTTATTCATTTTATTATAGTTATTTAGTCAATTCCTTTATTTATAAAATATGTGGCTTCTTTAATTAATGCTACTACTTCTACTTCGTTATATATTCAAATAATCATACATACTCTATCTCATTTTCTATATGAGTTATTTTAGCCAGAATCTTCTTTTATGCTTCTTATAAATTTTCAATTCTCATTCTTGGACTTTTTGAAATCTTGGATGCTTTACAACTTTATTGAGTCTTAATTAATTTTGTTGGGTCATGATAAGATACTCTTATTTCTTATTTGACTTTAGCATCATTCAAGGTTAGATCATTAATAGAATCTGCCAAAGAATTCACACAAGTTGATAATTGTGGATCCTATTAATGAAGATTACCAATAATTTAAAAGAAATCATCATATGATAATCTAATTTTCTTATATTTATAAACTTCTTCAATAACTTCTTCTAATGAAAATAATTCATCTTGAGGATTAACTTATTCTGTAATAATCTCATTCTTTAAAGAACTGATCAAATCTGAAATGTCTAACACACTTTCCTTTAAAAAGAGCTTCTTAATATGGATCAACCAATTCAACTTAGATGAAAATATCTCCATTAAATGTTTGATAAATTAATTATTAGTATATGAGTACAGATCTAGCTTAATAAAAATTCCTTATTGTACACACACTTTATTATATTAATAAGATTAGATAATTTAATGGTTGTTTTGTTTTTATCAATTTTGATCAACATCACAATAGGAAATGTGATAGTCTAAGAAAATCAAGATTCTACAGAATCTTTCAAAATCCATTTTGGTGAACCTAAGATTATCATATCAATACCAGAAGCTGAAGATGCTGTATTGGAAAGTTTTGAAAAATTGAATTTTTGTGAAGTAAAACAATAAACAGTTTAAACAAGAACATAATAATTTACTATACTTAAATCTGATGAATTTAAAGAGTATATATATTATATAATTGATTAATAGTTATGAGTTTGAGAATGATACTCCATTAAATTTTAGATAATTCATTGGGATGGTTCATGTTAATGATGGGATGATTGCTATTACTTCTGATTCTATAGCTTACTTTTTGAAATTCAATTATGATAAAGTAATAAATTAAGATGGTTTTGAAACATATGGAAATAGCGGTGATTTTGCAGGTGTAATTTGGAAGGCAAATTTACAAGAAATTCTCTAATCAACTGAGTCAAAATCATAATTACCCTAATTAGTTTATTCAAATACTAGAAATCTTGCTTTCATTTTATACACAGATACTGCTCATTATTTTAGTGTTTCAGAAATGGAAACCAATTAAAATATGCTTTCCATATATTAAATTTCAACTTTTATAAGAAGAGAAGAAAGAGGATTAACAAAAGAAGTTGAAGGTTATTTAATTTCAGCAGTAGGGAAGGCAGGTTTGGATATATATAGAATTCTAGAGTTATAAATTGAATATTTAACAAATATTTCTTTTAGAGATTTTGATATACTCTCTCATTAATTGGATGTAAGAGACTTTGCTGTAATAAAAATTAATTAAGGAAAATATTAATTGTATTTGCTAGATGCAAAATTAGGTTTAATTTTAGCTTACATGTATATCAATTAGGATAGTGTAAAATTTGAAAAAGTAATTGATGTTCATCCTATACCAAATGGTATAGCAGTTGATACAAAGAATGGAAAAAATGTATTTGTTGCTTATGAAGATGATGGGATGTACTTTTATATTGAATATTTTGTCGATTTTACTTAAAAAAATTATACAATTATAACAAAAAAATAGAGTAATTATAGAATATTAGATGTTGATGCTACAGATGAATTTGCTATTATAAGTGGTGTAAGCAATCACTAAATAGTGTTTTAAAATGGATATGATTTTATTGCTCCTCACAATTAGCCAATAAGATTTTCTTAAATAGGTATGAGAGATTTTGAATTTTTTAAATATTCTTATACTAATGATAAACTCAAAAAAGCTGCTCAATCTGATGAATATCAATATGATGATTTCTTTTTTGGAGTCACTGCAACTAATGCATTTTTAACATAATTTAAATTTATTCCTGCTAGAGTAGTTTGTTTTACTGATAATAGTAATTATTTAATATATATTTTAGAATAATTCAAAAATGCAAAATAATTTTATACTTTACAATATAATTAATCATATGTCACAAATAGCATTGTGTCTTTAGATAAAGTAATTAGAACTACAAAACATTTTTCAGTTGAAGTTGTCACTACATTTTTATTTGAATAGTAGATTCACTTAATTTATTTTGTTTTAATAGTTATAGGATTTGTGATATTTTTCTCTGGTATTAATATATAATGATTATTATATAGTAGGTGCAATTTGTTACTAATTTAAATTATTAAGAAAAGAGGAAATAAGGCTAGATACAGAAATAGAAAATAAATAAAAAACAAATGATTCTAATAATCAAATAAAATTTGATGAAAGTTAAGTAATTTAGGCTCCATGACATTGTTTAAGATCTTATTTTTGATTTATATTTTAATAAGAACAAATAAAGAATATTTTCTTCTTTTCAAATTTTCATTATATAATGATAAAATAATGATTTTAATTCTAATTTTAGTTAACTTCATAGAAGGAATTATAATTAAGGAAGTGACTGACAAAAACTAAACAAAGAAATTTCATTTAGATAGAGCGACAACAATAATTACAATGCCTGGAGCAGCAGATTCCATTCTAATTGGTAATCAAAATGATAGTTACTGTTGGTCTCAACAACCAGCTGTCAAAACTGAGACTAAAACTATGAATATTATTACAGAAAAGGATCTAACTGATTATGTTTATTAAGAAGAAACTCCATTAAATTTTGGATAATTCATTTCAATGGTCCATGTTAGGGATGGTTTTATTGCTATTACTTCAAATGCCAAGATATATCATTTGAAATTTAACTACAATTACATACATGAAATATTCAGTTTTCCAGAATATGGAAATCCTTATGAATTTGCAGGATTTCGATGGAAGGTAGATTTATAGGCTTATGCTCCAACAACAGAAGATAAAGAAGAAATCCCTCAAATTCTATACCTAAAGACAAACAATTTAGTGTTAGTGCTATATCCAAACAGTGCATAATTTTTTAGTATGTATGAAATGGATGCAAATTCAAAACACTTGATTTTGTACACTGCTTCATCATGGAAAAAGAGAAAAGAGAGAGGACTTACTAAAGAATATTTTGGCTATGTTTATAGTAGTGTTGGTAGAGAGGGAATTGATGTTTATAGAGTATCATCTTATGATGTTAGATTTGAATTAACAATCGATTTAATAAGGTTGTTTCCAGATTTTACAAAATTGTCAGATTTCATTGTAATTAAGAAAGATCATGATGAATTTCATATGTTTATGTTGGATGTTGTAATAGGATTGATTGAATTAGCAATAGAGATTGATGATGGAGAATTCAAATACAAAGTGAGACCTGAAATACCAAGAAAGGAGGGAGGTATTGCAGTTGATACAAAAAATGGTAGAAATGTGTTTGTTGTTTATAAAGAATTATTTAGATATTCAATTATTGAATATTTGTATGATAAAAATATAGAAGGGTATGAAATTGTCAATTAACATATTTCTTATTAGAAAGTTGTAGGATTGAAAGTAACAGATGAATTTGTTTTAATATAAGGTTTGATCCATCATTAATTGATTTTTTCTAATTCCTTTAAATTAGTAAATCCAGACACCGAACCAACTATTTACACATTATTTGGTGTTCGTAATTTCATGTTTTTTGATTAAAATATTACAGATTATCCATTATTAAAGAAATTCAATATAACTGGATTCCAATATGATGATTTCTTTTTTGGTGTAACTGCATCAGGAGCATTTTTAGTTAGATATAATTTTACACCTGCAGGAGTTAAATGTTATAGTAACAATGGTAAATTTATGATATATAATTATTAGAAACTTAAATTTTAACTTAACAAAGTTATTTAGTTAAGTATAATGTTACATAATTTATTGATGGAGAAGTAAATAGAGATTTAGTTGTAAGACATAATTTTTATTTAAATGTTTAACTATCTTATCCTGAACCTATATTAGAAGATGAGTTAATTAAAACCTTAATTCTCGTTTTTGTTTTACTATTAGGTAAAAAGAATTATGATAAATTAAGTTTGTTTATTGGCTTTAGGATGTGTAGAGAAAGTAAGACAAAAGAACGAAAATGAAAAGTTTTAGAGTCAACCTAAAACTGTAGAAATGATGATCTAACAAAATCCTTTTTCAAAGATAAATTAGAAATTAATGAGTGATGATTATAAATCAAAATAAGAGAGAAAAAAAGACAAAAAAAAATCATAGATGTAGTCATAATTGATTTGAAATGTTTATAATTAATAAATCTATATTAATTATTTTAACATATATATCATAATTCTGATTCAGCTTCGTAATATTATTCTAGAATGTTAAAACATTTTTGATAAACACTTTGATTCTAATGTTTTTGTAATTATTCTATCTTCGAAATTACACCCATTTATTCCAATTAGGTTAAGTAATAATTGTCATCTTTAAAATCTTAATCGCCTAAATTCAAAAACAGAACAACATACCTCTCTTTAATACATTCAATAAAGCCTCAAGTACTACAGTCATAGTTTGTGTGTCCTCTCCTTCTAATAGTTATTTAAACACATTAAGCAATCCTTTTTAAACTAACAATTAAATATCTGAATTAGTTCCATGTTTAGTTGAATTGGAAATAGCCCATGTTGCTTCCCTTACAATTTCTTCAACATCTGTGGTCATCAATGTAAATAGCTTTTCTAATATTGCAGAATCTCTAACGACTTAACTAACTTAATTGATACTCCCTGCAGTAATGTTAGAAATGGTCCAACAGGCCTATTATAAAATATAATATTACTTCTCTTCTTATGGCCTTCTTGTCATGAGAGAGTAACTTAGGTATTTTAAGTAACAAACCTTAATTTAATACATATGTTGTTTAAGTTTCATCTCCTGTCACAACATTTCCCAATATTCTTAAAGTAGGAATAACTAGTTGGAGAGATGAATGATCAAGTAATTTAATGAGAGTTGGGACTACTTAAGAATCAATCACAGTTTATAATCTACTATTATCTCCATCACTTAAATAAGACAAAGCCCAACAAGCATCTGTCAAAACTTCTGGGTCAGTCTCATCTATTATGACTTTGCAAAATACAGGTAAAGCATTTTTCACATACTATTTATAAATAGAATATATTATAAACCTTAAAATCAGGAATTGGTTTTCCTCGACAAAGATTGCTCAATGACCAAGTGCAATGCTTAATTGTGTTTTTATTTGGAGCATTTTGCATAATATTAATCAATGGATCCACTCCACCTACTCTTAATATAAGATCTCTGTATTATGTACAATCTCCAGCAATATTACCTATGGCCCATACTGCTTATTCAGCAATATCTCTATATTATGAACTCAAGAGTTTAACGAATAAATATATTCCTCCCTTATCAATTATAGATTGGGTTTATAAAGTTGTTCCACTTGCTACATTTGTTAAAGCCCAAGCTGCTTCAAGAACAAGTTGAGGAATTTGCTCTTTTTAAATAATGTCAATTAATTTAGGTACCAAATTTGCATCAATAACCTATTATATAGGTGCGCCTGACTTGAATAATAGAATATTTTTTTTACTTCAACTGACAACATCTTTCTTAATCCTGTTACTCCATAATGTAATTACAAAATATCAGAAGAAAAGATCTTTTGTAGAATATCAGGAAAATCTTCAAATGTAAATGATCGTTTCATAAGTTGTTCTTATTGTGCTTTTAAGGCTAATTGTAAATCTTATGGAAGTGTGGATGGTATTAAGGGTAAAGATTCAGGAATTGTTGTTGTTTAATTCTAAAATTGAAAATCAATATGAACTACATTTTAAGCTAATCTTTTATTGTTTATTATATTATTTCTTTCCCTGGACCTGATTTCTGTTGCAAATTCTTCTCTCTTTTTTTTGACTTCACTATTTTATTCAGCTTCATTAACCTGCACATTCCCAAATAATGAAAACTAATTTTATGGCTACATAATAAATTATTTTATGATAAATTTTACTTTAATAAAAATTATTAACTATATTGTATTTATTATTCAAAATAAATATGAAATACAACAGTTAAACTAATCCTCCTTCAAATTTCCAACACTTTATGGGAGTTGCTCCAAATTAGTTCAACTCTAATGTCAAAGGTTAGGTAATATATTCTTTATTTATTTGTTATAGACATTGAATTTATAATAACAGAATCAACATGATTAATCTAGGGTCTCATAAGTACAAGTTTCCAAGATTGAAGAGATCAATTACTAACAATACCATGAAGTTAATCATACTAATAATGATATCCATTAACACTCTTCTAAAGGCTAGCATTATCATCCTCTAACTATGCCATGTAATTGGGATTTGGCTAGAAAGCATGCTTAATCAAGAAGAACAGCCTTAGAAAAAAAGAAAGACATTAATAAAACAACAAATGGTATATTAATGATTAAAATTAATCAGTTGAAACATGTCCTTGTTGTGGTTTTGAAGTAGAGAGAGATGAAATCCCATATTGTTCAAATCCTATGGCATTGTCATTTCTAGGTTCTGGATTTACATTATTTTACAATTATCTCAAATATTGCATAATAATCTTATTCATAACTTTGATAACAAAACAGATTTATAATCTTTATACAAGTTATGAAGGATCATATTGTAGTCATGTTAAAAGAGAAAAAATAGAAGGACACTTTGTAGAATTACCAAATTGTTCAGATTCATTGTTTTTAAAATTATCTTTAGCAAATAAATTAGAGTAAATTTATATTTTAATAACTAGTAATCGTTAAGCTTTAGAGTATGTACAAATCTTAAATTTTATCAATTTATTTATTGTTATGATTGTCCTTATTTATTTTAGAAAAAGCTAGAGATAGATAGATACAACTATAGATGAAGAACTATTGACACCTGCTGATTATACAGTTTGTGTCAAAAATATTCCTTTAGGATTAGGATTAGATTATAAATGGGAATTGAAACATATGTTTGAGACTTGTGCAGTTATATCAGATACAAAACCTATAGTAGTAAAAAAAGTTGTTTTGGTTTATGATATCGAAGAAATTATTGAAATGGAAAAGCAACTTGATGAATTAGTGGATAGAAAGAAAGATATTATAAAAGAATATAATTATAATTTTAATCATCCAAAGGTTTTGGAGATGGATTAGAAAATAAAAGAGTTGGAGCATAAAATACATTTGACAGAGAAAGAGTATGAGAGAGAAAATAAAAAATTTGCTGGTATAGCATTCATATCATTTGATGATGAAAATATGAAAAATTTGGTGTTACAAGAAAATCAACATACATAATTTGAAAGAATGAAGTCATATTGGAATAAAGGTAAATTGGAAGGATTGTCTGAAAATGATTTATCTTGGCATGATCAAAAATTATTTATAGAATAAGCTCCAGAACCTAATGAAGTTGATTGGGAATTCATTCATGTTAAGACTGAAGAAAAGATTAGCAAGAGAGTTAAGGCTTGGATAATTTATTTATTAGTTGAAAGTGCAGCATTCTATTCAATATATCTAATAGCACATAAAGTGGCTAAATATGGAGATGAGGCAAGAGAAGAAGAAATATAAGGAAAATTAGATCATGACACAATGTTGAAAATAAACATACTATCTTTTATTATATCCTTGAGCATTGTTTTATTTAATAAATTTGCAGTTGCTAAAATAGTCCATTATATTGTAGATGATGAAAAGATTTCAAGCAAAACTAAATTTCAAATATCATTTGTATACAAATATGCATTAGCATTATTTTTGAATGCAGCCATAATTAGTTTCTTAGTAGATATTGTAATTTTAAAGAATGTTGAAGGAGCAGGAGGGTTCTTATAAAATGAAAGTTAGATTTTTATTCTGAATGCTGTATTGCCTCCATTTATATGGTGTGTAGATCCATGGAGTTTATGTAAAAATATTTGGAGATGGTATATTGTAAGAAAGGGAGATAAAGCCTTATTAACTCAATAAGAAGCAAATAAATTAATGGAAGAACCAGATTATTTATCAGCCAAAAGGTACTCAGATATTATGAAAACAATGTGGTTTACTTTCCTATATGGTACTGCAATTCCTTTGGGTACAGTTTGTAGTGCTTTCGGTATTCTGATTTACTATTATGTTGACTATTATAACATTTTAAGAAGGAGAACAGTGAAGGAGTCAATTAGCATATAATTATCAACAGGTAAGTATAATTTTAAGTTTATTAGAGATGATAGAGATGTTGGAATATCTAATAGTGTGGAGTGCATTTGGAGAAATGATCATGACTTATGCATTTTTCAAAGAGATAAGTTAGATTGATGTTTTATTGATGGTGATTGCTATAATCTATGCTTCTTTACCAATGGAAGACATCTCAGAATATTTGTTCCCGGTAGTCAATAATGAAGAAGTATAAAATTATTTCTCATTTAATTTATAGATTAAATCATATGATGAAGGAAGTTTGGGATTTGATACAGATTATGATAGAGAAAATCCAGTTACTAGACATAAGGCTATCGAATAATGGAATGAAAAATAAAAAATGTTAATCGATTCAAACCACAAAATTCAAAAATACTATCAATAATAAGATCAATTTGGATATAACAATGATGACCATTATGGAAGAAGATGATTTTTGAATAAATATTATTATCATTTTTAAATAATTATAAATGTTGAAAAGAATGTAAAGTAAAGAGGACATCATAAAGGATTAATACATGAAGACTTTAACATGTTTCTTATAAGATAGCACACTTTACGATTGCTTATCTATCAATAATTAAGTCAGTGTAATTGATTAGTCATTCTCTTTGTTTGATGTTTTCAATGTCTTTATCGAGACGCATATTGATGAAGTATTGTTTTGGAATCCAGATGTAGCTTATTATGATGGAGTGTTCACTCAAACTGATTTGATTAGAATCATTCTCAAATGCTATCAAAACATTATAAATGGCATTCCTAATGGTAATCTTTAAGCATATTTTAGTCAGTTTGGGGAAATAGTAAAAATTAAGTTTAGCCCATAATGGAAGAAGAAGATGAAGATAGAACATCAACTCCTGTTAGCAAAACCTAAGCAATTGGTTAGGAGTAAATTAATAAGTTGCTCATTGATTTAAAGACTATTTCTGTAAGAGATTGGTTTAATTCATATGGAGAAAATCTTCATTAAAGCAGTCTCGTCTAGGCAGATATGGCTGATAACCTAAATGATGCCATGAAAAAAATATTAAAGTAGGGTGTAACTAGAATTGTAGTTATTGATACTGAATCTAGAGTTATTGTGGGCATCCTATAGTAAAAGGATATTTTGGCTTTTCTTGTTAAAGGATTTAGTTAATATTTCCATTTATAATTATCCTAAAAATCACACAAGATTGAAGTTCGAAATGAAAATTAATAACAATCTGAATAACATGAGTTAGAAATTAATTACTTTAGTGACAGGATACTCCAGTTGAATGATAAACTTTCATTCGATACTAATGTATATGAGTAAATTGCTCTCCTAATTCTAGAGTGTTTTATAAATTGATTTATGTTTTCAAAAGAAATGCTATTCCTATTGTGGATGCTAACAACTAGTATTTGGGCTTGATTGATAGAAGAGATTTTTAATTCATCCTCAAGTATCAAGTCTACGACATGGTATAACTCAACATTTAGATTAGCTCAATAGATAAGCCATTGATTTATTGAATTTTATTAGAATTGAGAAATCTAAATATGCTGGCTTTTGTATTTGTAACAAAGAACTATTTCACATGAAATAAACTGTAAAAGAAGTATTACTTTAATTTATCAAAGGTAGTAGAAAACTTGCTTCTCTCATCTAGAGGTAGTCTAGTATGTCTGAATGAAAACAAAGAACCTATTTCCACACTTTAAATGTCTGATCTCTTCAAAATATGTTTAGATGATATTGAAATAGAATGAAATTATTCTACAATAATATATGTGTAATAAATAATTCTTTTATCTAACTATTAAACTGTATCTAAATTTTTGTTATTTTATGATAATTTCTATTAACTTTTATGTAATAAACATAGATATTGTTATAAAGGTTATATCATTTTACCATTTAATTTAGAAATTTTCATAAAATCATCAGATATAATTTTAGATTAATATCAAAATAATTTTTTATATTAATAAACTGAATTTTTCATCAGATTATAATCTGATTAGAGAATTTATTTTTAATGAGTTCACAAAACTGATAAAAATAGCATTTTAAAAAATTTAAACTACAATGAAGTTATTTAGAATTAGGAAGAGTGGTTTTTGTAAAATAATAACTAAAAGGATTCAGAAAAATATTTACCTTAAATTTAAAAGCATAGAAAAATATGATCAGGTTGTTAAATAAAATTTAGGAGAATTACGATTAATAGTACTTTAATTGATTAACCATCAACTAAAATAAATTAATCTATCATGAGCATATATTATTTTTTATATCTACAAGATTAGAAGGACTTAAAGTGTAAATATAGTTATTGTATTAATAACACTTTAAAAATTTAAAAAGACAAAATATTAGTTGTCAATTAACAATTTACCTCAAATCTTCAAATTAAATTTCAATTCCAAATTTATGGACTTAAATATAAAAACTTTGAACTCTCAGGATTTGGTTTTCAAAATGGCTAAGCACAAAGAGATAAATTTAACATAGCAAATTCACTCATACCTTTTGTAAAATTGCAAATGTAGTTTTGAAATTTTACAGAAAAAATTTGGAATAATTTTTTTATTTATAAATTTTGTTAATAATAATTCATATTTCTTTTATTTTGAAAATTGTAGATAATAATTTGATATTAGATAAGGAGGGATTCTTTGAGGTATAAATAAGAATTAATAATTTATATAAAGTTATCTGTTGTTTGTTTTGATAAATTGGATGATAAATTAAATCTTTTTTTTTAAAAATAAGAAATGGTTAAAAACTCTGCTTAAGACCCATAAGACAATTCTTTATAAATGAAAGTAAAGAATAAATTTATTTTGAATAGATTAGATAATACTTAGTATCTGGTAGAAGACTTCCATCAAAGGAAGATCCAAATCCTAAAGTCATTAGTATGAGAATTTTTGCAAGAAATACAGTAGCAGCCAAAAGCAGATTTTGGTATTGATCAAATGAATAAATTTTAGGTGGAATTTAAGAAGATTGAATAAACTTAAACCCTCACATGGTTAGATTTTAGCAGTTTAAGAATTATTTGAAAGAAGAGACACAAATGTTAAGACATATGGAATCGTACTTAAATATTAATCAAGAACAACAATTCACAATATGTATAAAGAATTCAGAGATACTACACTAAATGGTGCTGTGTCTTAATTATGTAAGCATCCTATAAATTACTTCATTAGACCAAGAAATGGCAGGAAATCATAGAGCATAGCCATAAACTATTCACATTCTCAGGACATCGGTATTGACAAAGAGTGCTGATATCAAGAGAGGCAAAACAAATTAATACAGAGTATAAGAATTTGCAATTTATTTAAGGGCGATTCGATAAAATTCCCAATTGTTAAGACTGTTCCAAGAGCTAGCCATAAAAAATTCAGAACTATATTCAAAGCAAAAAGACCAAATCTTTACAGATCATGATAATGATGATCGTTTAGTACAATATTAATAATTAAAATAAATGGCAAACAAGCATTCTAATAATGACATAAAATTTAAAATTCTTCTTTGCTGATAATTCTAAATCCTAAGATCCTCATAGCTCCTCATTCTCAATATAAAAAATGTAAAATAGCTCATAACATGGTGGAAATATGGGCACTTAAATAAACAATAGCGAAAATATAGTATCAGCAGCAATTTATTTATAGTAAATAGATGAAAAGTATTCATAAATGTACATGAACAAGTAAATTGATAAAGCCAAAAAAGACAAATCACATAATCAAAAACCAAGTCATAATGATCATACTTAAGTATATAATAATATGGATGTAACTAACAAATTTTGATAATAAAAACAATCAGAAATTTTAGGAAATAATTCATACATACCTCAAATACAGCCTATCATAAAAAGTGAAGTATTATAGCCTTAAAATCCATATATAATCTATCCAATATCCCAAATGAGAACTCCAGTTTTAAAATATTTCTGGTGATATTTCTTTATTTTGAGAAATGAGTGAAAGTGGACTCAAATGAAATATTTATGAATAAAAATAGCACTTATTCTAAATATAAATTGAGAAATCAAAATATTTAATTAATCAAACGAGGAATGTCTTTATTGAAATTGATTTGACTGGTTGAAATTATTATTCCTCTGATGTATCAGGGAAATCTTCATAGCTATTATCGTCAAAATCAATATCTTCTAAAAAATAAATAGCATTCTATATTGTTATCCTCCCCTTTGGATCTGGTTCTAACATTCTTTGCAATAATTAGCATAAATAATATTTTGGTGATTTATGAATTAGTATAGTCTTATTAATTGTGAGTTGCCTTGCCCTTTCTTGGGGATGTAATTGTTAGACTTTACTAGTTAACCTAAAATGCAATTTCTTAATACATTTCCTTTAATAGATATCCTAAAATCAAAACATCATGTTATTCATAACAAAATCGTTCCATTTCAACCCAATCTTCATGAGTATTTTTGGTTGAATCCTTAAACTCATGCATAAAGTCTTTCTCTTTAGAAACAGCCTTAGTTCTGAAGGCTTCTTCAATTTTTACTAGTAATTCAAAATCTATGAGAAGAATTTCTCCATCACTCTAAAGAAATATATTTGTCGATGTGATTTCTCTAAATACATACCCTTACTTATGCATATCGTTTATAAACTTAAGAAGAGTTTTCATAATAGAAATGATTTCTTAAGGTTCCATCCTATACTGACTACCTATCCTTTCCTTTAACGTTCTTCCATTTAAAATATTTGTTACTATATACAAATTCTTTTCTTCCACAAAATACTCTTCACATTTAAGAATGTTTGGATGAGTAATGTTTATAATTTGTATTAATCTTATATATTCCTACTTAATAAAAGTCTAATACCTAATTAGTCAAATCAGAGATTGGAAAAATTTACATATAATATTTTTTTTGATTGGCACAACAATAAGTTAAATAAACCTAATATTACTGAAAAGGTTACCTTGCTAGAATAGCCTGATCTCTCACAATGGATTAGATTATACATTTTAGCTAAGTTACTATAAGTAACCTTTCCATCCAGATTATCCTTAAGAGTCAAAGATTGATCATGAGTCAACAGAATAGTTTTCCAGGAGTTTTTCCACTAAAACTAAAATCCGTTGAATGTAGAATCCCCGTTGAAAATCCATTTGATAATTGTTGAAAGATTCAAAGGAATTTTATACTTTAGGTTCTATTCACTCTTAAGAATAAAATTCATCCTTACCTTCCCAATAACTATTTATTTTGGATTGAGATATAATTTATAGTCGGTACTAAAAAGAAAATGCTTGCTTTTACAATTCATTATTTATTGAAATATTTATGAGGACTTACGTTTTATAAATTTATGCTTTTTAATAAGAATATAAAATAAAGATTTGAATCTCATAAATATTCTTACTTAAGAGTTTCTCTAAGACTATCTTGGATTCCATTCTACAATCAACAAGTACTTCATGACCTGCATTCCTAAAGCTAACAATAGGTCAATCCTTCAATATCAAATATATTTTCTGCATCTTAAACTCTATTAAATAATCTAAAAACAAGAAAATACCAGGGTCTAAATGGTTTTATTGTATTCAGCTCTATAATTAATAAATAATGAGTCCAATAAAGAGTGCCCGTATTGGAACAATTCCATTAACATCTCCAATTAGAATAAGAACTCTAATATTATTTTTCATGATATTGGATTTATTTGGATATATTCAATAATCCTGAAAATTTAATGAGCAAGCAACTCATTTTGGTGATTTTGAATCTATGTTTAATAACTAGAATAATTATGACAATTGATAACATTTCGAGCTTCTCCCTTCGAAAACCAATGAAAAAGACCTTTACATTCACACATGGAGGTAAATCAGAATCAATTTTCTCTTCATCTGAACCTCAAAGACTTTTCATTCTTTTACTTTCTTCAGGAGTGTAAGTCACACATTTGGAATAAACATTATATTAGTTTAAGTTGTAGGAATATTAGAGTCCAGTATTTAAGCTAAAATCTCTTATGATAAAGCTTGACATTATGCTGTTGTAGATCAGTAAAATTCTTCTGTATGATCAATGATTTTTTAATAGGTTTCTTCACTAATGAAGCCATGTCTTCCATAAAAGTCTAATCTATGTCTTAGAAAAAGATATCCTAATAAAGTACACTCACTCGGATAAGTGCAACCATTTCCAATTATTATACTTTAAGTTTTAATTCTTAAAACTTCAGGATTAACTGGTATTCATTATATTTTACAATTCCTTGAGTCAATATTGGCACATAGATGTCACCGTATGATTCACCATTATTATAGAATTTTTAATTTTGGAAATTTGGAAATCTCACAAAAAACTCAATCAATGCTTGTATATTGTATTCAGCAGTTGACTCATCCGTAATGTTCTGTGCCATATGAATATCTAATATAAATTGGAGATTTTATTTAAAGTATATTGGCCAAAAGCATAACTTAATCAGTTTACTAGTGCTGTCCAAGTATATGGATTCTCTTCAAAATCAATAGATTCTGAAATAAATGTGTAAGGTCTAATTTCTGTAAATGCTGCATTCATTGATGAATATCTTGGTCCTCAAAGTAACAATAATTTCAAAGATTTTCAGAAGCTGAATCGATAGAGGGATAAAAAAGATAATGAAACTAGACTGATCCATCATCTTTTCCCCTAAAATACTCAGAAATCTATAAAATATTCAAACATCTATGTTTATAATTAGTACCCAAAAGGGCATTAAGTTTGATGATGTTAACTTCATCCTTATCCAATGACTGAGTTTCTAAGGCTTACAAAGCAAGGAAGCAGACCGAGATTAGCATAATTGCTTTTTTCATAATATAATCAAACTAATTAAATCATTGAAATTAACAATGAAGTGTGTAAAAAAATAGTATGAAATCACAATATTTGGCATCTCTTTATATTTACCTTAAATATCAAAAATAAACATTTATTATTATCCTTTTCAATATCTTGGTTGAACATTTTATAATATCTTCAATAATTTTCTTAATGCGTTTAGTGTAAACTAATATAAAATTCTAATATTGATTAAAATGAATAAATTAGGGTTTGAATTTTTCTTGATTACATGAACTAAACTTATAATGCATAAGCTGATTGTAATTAAATATAGAATGATTCTTAACTATCATATATATTATAATATATTTCTGTTTTTGATAAATATTTTAATATTAGAGTGAGATGTTTGTTAATTATATTCTTATTATTATAATGTTGAAATTAAACTAATTAAATGAACACTTAGATTTAAACATTAAGCCTAACATCGCAGAAAATAACATGAGGGATAGTACATCTGAAGTGAGTAATTCAAATGTTTGCTTAAATTTATCCATCTAACACTAGATTACACAAGAATCATAAACATAACAGTTTTTATAAAGTCAATAAACCACATAAAGAAGCCCTTTATAAAATACTGATGGACTAATTTATTCAAACCATGAGCTTCTTCAAGGTGAAATAAATCAGTTTAGTTCTCTAGAAGATTTATCATCAAAATTAAATAATTATATCGATTCATATCTATAAGAATTGAGATAACCTTAGTAGTTTTTAGAATAACTTTCTTTAAACTAATCTGAAAGTTATGAAGAAGACTCTTCAGAAAGTCTTTGTTAAAGAATTTATTCGGTATATTTTAACATTTAAATTTTAGAAATTTGTATCTTAGTTAAACTTATCAGTCATTTAATCATATGACTAAATTTCTAGTATAGATGAGTAAAACAAAGACGCAACACCATTATCACTCTCCACTCCTATATTGAAACAGAATGTTGAAATTCCTCCTGAAAAAAGCGGATCAAAACAATTATTTTTTTAGGATCACATTCATTTAACTTACAGCTATCCTTTAAGTTAGGCATGATTTATTATATTTTCCTGTATTATTTCTAATATTCTTTGATTTAATCATTATTATTGATATGTTTTGGCTAACTAATAAATTTAAGTATCAAACATTTATGTAATTAGAATCAATATCAGCTTTTTAACTACAAAAAATCAAAGGAATTTAGACAATATTTTTAAAGGATTGAGAAATTCCTCTTAATAAACAAAAGATACTATCTCGAGGAAGAACAAAAACAAAGTTTAGAAGAACTTCTTTGTCTGCATAACTATTTAAATGATGCAAAAGTAACCCTCTATCATTATTTATTCAAACAACAAAAAAATGATATTTTCTTCTTATGATGAAATGCAAACCTAAAGAAAAATTAAATTATTGTAGAATAACATACAATATTAGAACATTTGTCATTTCCCTTGAAAGGATGATAGTTTGTAACTCCTTAAGAGATGACCTAAAATTATGGTATTCTAAAATTAAACTAGAAGATCTAATTTTAAGAAAGCCTATTATGATATTAGTCCTAATAAGTTTAAATTAGAAGATGAATTAAATCATGTAGAAAATAAAATTGCTAAACTAAATCGAATTGAAATTACAAAAGAATTAGTAGAAGGATTTATAAGAGAGTATAAGTGAAGACAACAAAAACAAATAATATCATGTAATTTTTCAAAATAAAGATTAAGCTGTGTAGAAATTATCAGTTTTAATCAAACAAAAAGTTTAAAAAACACATTATTTGTCTTGAAATTAGAGAGAACAGCAACTGTTGATTCAATTTCTAGTTGATTTAAATTATAGTAGATTGTCACTTGATTAAGAAGTTAGTTTTTAACATATCCCTAATTAAAAATTTAAGTGTTAATAAAGATTAGGGGCATTAAGTCTTAAAAATAAGATTTTTTCCTAGTTTAAAAAGTGAATCTCTTGTTTTCCTTAATTATTAAATAAAGTTTAAATTATATATTTTGTTTTAATAAAAGAATATCAATACAATATTACAATATGTTAATAAACGAGATATTGTTATTGATGTTCACACCCAATAATTTAATTGAGATATTTTTTGCCAATTATTATTTTGTATGACTATGATAATTGTATACTAAATTATTAAATTTTATGAAGAAAAAGCTTTTTAAATTGTTTTATTCAATGCAGATTAAAATTAACAAAAGAATATTGATGTTTTTAAATTAAAAGTCTTTTTCAATAATCAAGAAACTTATGGTTAATAAAATCAGGAATTCATGGTTTGTGCAGACCAACTTTGCAACCAGAGTTACAATCTCGACATTGATGACAACAAGTGAAATATTCATCTGCTCCACAAGTTCTACAAGAATAATATTTTAGTTTGCCAGAATGATAAATACAAGTCTAAAATTATATAAAAAAAGTACTTATTCATTTTAACCTTCCTATAATCTTTTGCTACATCGAATGCAAGACCAAAATTATTCATTCATGTTTAGGGCTGTAGTTTTATTCTAGATAGTTTATAACAAACTTTTTAATTGTAATATTTGTTATTCTTCCATCTAAATATTTAAAAGTATTTCCATTCCTACTTTTTGTTTTCTAGGAGTATAAGTTTATAAAATGTGGGTTAAATTTATTTATGAATCACCATCAAATTATAAATTTTATTAAGTTACTTCAAGAATTTAAATTAAAGAATTTAGTTCGCCCAGAATTTATTATTTTTCCTTGATTAAATATTAAAGTTCATCATTTTCACTTTTTAATGCTCTTTCCTCTTTTTAAATTGTACAAATCTAACTTTTTAGGCATTGCATTTTATCTTTTATTACTAAAAACATTTTTTACAACTCATTTTATTCATATTATGTAATTTCTATCTTAATCAAATTAAATACCTAAAGTATATCTAATGTTGTGATATACTTTTTCCATGTCAATCCGATCGTCTTCAATTAAATATTTAAATTTTTTCTTTGCACATTTCATTTTATAAAAATAATTATTAATATCAGATTCTCCATTTACCATAAAGAGAATAATATCAATTTAATTGATTAAGAGATTTAGTGTTTAAAGGCTATTTAAAAGAAGAGTAAGGCAAAATAATTCATCTTAATATAAAGTAATTCATCAAAAGGATAAATTAGATAATTCTACTAGATCAATTCAAAGTTTAATTGGAAATGTTATTTAATTTAAAAAAATAAATGAAAATAGAGATGAGGAATAAGATTTATTGAAATATAATTATTATTATTATGAAGATTTGGTTGATATAAAAGTTATAAGTATCTGGATAAGATTGTTTATAATATTTTAATGTCAATCAATTTTCAACTGCCATATTTAGTAATTTTTCCAAAACAGCAAAATCTTCCCTTAATTTGGAGTTTAATTTTACTATTTGTTAGAGTTCATCGTATTCTTTAAATATTTGTATCAAGCTCTCCCTTTGTGGTTGCCTCGACATTATTTACTTGAATAATTCATGCTTTTTCAACAAAATTTAAATCAAGCATTAAGAAACTAGATAATTTGTTTCTTTTTATATGTTGCTTTGTTGCATTAAGTGAATTTTTTAATTTAATTATTAATTCTTTTTATGAATTCATTTAAAATATGTAAAATCAGTCCAAAAAGTAATTTTTCTTTATGTATTACTTATTTAATAAAATTTGAAAGGTTCAATATTATTTTTTTTCTTGATTTTAATACCATTGTTACATTATCTCTTAACATCATAAAATATATGTGTCTTTGTTTATTTTTGAAATCTGATTAATTAGGTACCTAATTAATCAGATAAAAATCTTATTATAATACAAACTTTTTCTTGTACCTGTATTCGTTGCATTTGAAAAAATTGTTTAGAAAATCTTCTTCATTTCAAGATTGAATAATAAATAATGTTTTTTGATGATGTGATAATAATCAGATATCTTCTGGAGGGCCATATCTATCTTTGGAAGGCTGATTATTGAAAAATCTTAGAAATTCTTATCCAACCACTTTGTAGGCATTTGCATAATTTTATTAACATTACTTGAATAAAGCTTCTTGATCGCCATTTGGTTGAACATCTTATACAGCCTTTACACATAATTAAAATCCCTATGTAGCAAATAAATCCTTAAAAATATCCATTTATTTATTTTAATAATAATTATAATTTTCTTTCACATTACAAGAAATTCATCAAATTTAGGTGAGCTAACTTTATATGAATAAAGGTTTAAATCCTTTTCATTTAAAAGAAAAGGGATCTTTTCTTTTTCAATTATTGCTTAAGCAATAATTCCATTATCATCAGGCATATTAAAATCAGCACCTATAAACATTGTGAAATTGATACCATATTAAGTAAATAAATTAAAAAGCTTAGGGTTTTTTGATAAACACGCTTAATGGGTGGCAGTTTGTCCTTGTGAACACTTGATATTGGGGTTTCCTCCATTTTGCAACAAAAATTAGCATAATTCATAGAGATTCTAAATCAAACTTGTTTTACATATTTTGCACAATAAAATAGAGGTGTATTTTACATTTCATCCTTGTAATTGTAATCTTCCAAACCAAAATTAAATCCTGAATTTAAAATAATGTTGATATCATTCGATTAAATGGCCTACTGAATTTTTTTTTATTTTGCCAGCGAAAGCTTTTCTTGGTAACCTTGCTTACAAAGAGACTTTTGCCTTTATAAAAATGAAAGTATGTTTTTTTGAGTAACCTTGACAACGCCCTTCTTCTATTTTTCTTAACTATTTGAAGTGTTATTGGATTAAATTCCTATTCTCTTTAAATCTAACTTTAAATTATGAATTAGAGTTTTTGAAGGCTATTTTTTATCCAATATCCTAAGGCTTTATTTATTTTATAAATATTTCCTAAAATAATTTTAGATAATTTTTGCTTTTTCTATTTTTTCTTGAGATAATTAATTAGACTTTATTTATTAATTTAGTCTTTAAGAGTCTTAGGTTTGTTATTAAATAGCACTTGAATTAATTTTAAATTTGTTTTAATTCTACTTAGAATTTACAAAAATTTTGGTTTATATTAATTATTGTAAATGTTGGCGTTAAGTATTTTTATTGTGAATTTAAGGAGATTTTAAATATTACCTAGATAAAATGTTTCTTTAAGATTGCTTATTGAATAATTATCTTAGTTTATAAGATAATTCGAGCAATTTAGAATGTATTGATTCTAATTTTTCTTCAATTGTGCTTTCAATCTATGTGTAAAATTCTATATTTTACTTATCTAATTTTTTCAAGCTTTTAAAACCTCACATCTTAGAAGGATGCTATTTTATTTATTTTATTTAATATGTTAGTTTGTACTCTCGAAAATTATTTATAATAAGTTTTAGTTGGTTTAATAATCTACTCTTTGAACTTCAATTTTCTCTCCTAATTTTAGATATAACTTATGTCTTAAAGAAATGTATTTTCGCTCATATTTATTATGTAATTTGATTTATCTTCTTTTTAAGCTTTAGAGTGTAAAGATATCCTAGTTGAACTTTACAACTAAAACGACTCTTAAATAGATGTATTCACACAATGAAACTTTTATACAGAATTTATTTACTTTTTCATATTCTTTTTTTACAATGTTCCTTAATTCTTCAATATTAGCAGACACTTTAACACAATCTTTGAATTCAATTTGTAATAATTCTTCTAGTTTGATACATACTTTTTAATATATATCATCCTTGCTGTCATCTTCCCAATTTATCATTTTTTTTAATTGATTTGGAATTTTATCTAATAAAGTGTCATGCTCCTTGCTTATCTAAATTAATTTTGCAGCTCGAAATATATATGAGACGAATATCTATATTTATTCGGAAATACTATGCCAAATATAAAAGGAAATTGGATCACCCTCTAGCTTTTATCTGTCAGTCAGACATTTTCTTTCATGTATATTAATCATATATTATTATTATTTATATGTTGGGGTAGTAGCTCATTTAGTAGAGCGCGTGATTTGCATTCACGAGGCGCCGAGAGCGAAGCTCGGCTACTCCATTTTTATTAAAAATATTATTTTTTGTTAAAATAATCATCATTAATTAATGAAAAATAAATTTATACTACTAAAGGAATGCAAAAAAGTTCATTTAAAATGGTTCAAATATGAATAGATAGTAATTTCATTTCAGGTGCAAAATTACTTCAAAATTACAATAGAAACAACAATACCCTGTCTTTTTTTATAAGTTATTCTTTAATAATATAAATAACTGTTTTGCTTTCAATTGATTGGAAATATCATTTTCAAGAAGAATCATATTTTATTGATTAGTTTAGCATAAATAATTTTTCAAGTTGAAATAAATTATGTTCAATTTATTTTTTTTTAAGCAAGATAGTTAATTATTTGATTTTTTTTTTATATTTTCCATTAAATTCAGTTTAAGTAAATTTAATATATTGAACTTAACATCTACATTTATTATGCTAGTTTTTGATAACTTCTCATAAATTTAGTTTGAATTGAATTTCCTTGGAGATGCTCAAATCAATTTAGAGATATAATTTGGATAAATAATGACAATTATAATTATATAACGCTTACATCATTTTAATAAAAGACTTGATCATCAAAAATGATTTGAATGGATAAAAACCAATAAATTAAAGAAAGAATTTCATAAGGTGTTGGGAACAGCTAAAGCATCTGCTGACTATTATTCATTATGTTTAAATATATTAAGAATATTTTTATTTAATGTACACATAATATTTAGATACTCATTATCTACCTCCTTTGAATCCACCTCTATTATTATTCTTTTTATTAAAGTTCTTTCTATTATTATTATTATTAAAGTTATTATTTTTTTTGAAATTCTTCTATTTGTTTTAGTATCCTCCTTTGTTTGGGTGATTTTATTACCCTTGTCCGTGTTTATTTGATTATTAGAAAGGTTTTTATCCTTATTTAAATTATTAGTTTCCTTAATGTTATTATTTTCTGTATTATTATTATTAGTGTTAGGGCCTCTATTATTAATTTGATTATGGTTTGACTTGTTATCCTTAATTTCCTTTAAGGAATTTTTTATTTTCTAGAATTTTTAAACAATTATTTTACATTTAGGTTCATCTTCATCTTCTTCATCATCTCCATTTTCTTCCTCATCTTCTAAATCTTCTTCTACCTCCTCATCATCAACATCACTTTGGTCAAGAAGTTCTTCTTCCTCTCCATCTTCATCATCATTCCAATCTTCTTCTACCTTTTTGGGCAATTATTATTGTGGTTTTTAAGCTTTATCTTGAGGCTTAGCTGTTTATTATTATTCTGGTTGTTGTTTTTATTGTTGGGCTTGTGGCTTTTGTTATTATGTTTATGTTTTTAATTATTAAGTTTATGGCTTTTATTGTTCTTTTTGTTATTATTTGACTTATTCAGTTTATTTAGATGGTTCAGGTTTTTTAACTTTTTATTTCTCAACTTCCTCACTCTCTTCATCTTCTAAATCTAAGTCTTCGTTCTAAAAAAAATTATTTGAATCTATACCAATTCTTCGTCTTCTGGTTCAATATAGCCTGAAAGATGAACAGAACCTTTTCCTTTAAGTCCAATTTCCACCTGCTAATCTACTCTAAAGTAAAGATCCAAAAATGCTTATTCCAACTAATTATAAAAATTTTCCATACCTTATTTTTTTCGAGGTTGGCAAGTACATATTCCTTTCCCTTTACTTTTGCATAGACTTAAACTTTGTTATCACCATCTGCTAATACAACATTTGAGACATGAATCACTGTAGCTTCTTCAGCAGTTAATTTATATGATTATCCTTATGTGACTTGAGTACCCCAAAACATTTTAAATAATTTAATTTAAACTTTAGATATTTTAATGGGAAATTGTGTTTAAGAGAGAAAACCTTAACATACTCTTTTTGATGCTCAAGAGTGGAAAAAACTAAATCAAGTTTTGATCATTATTGTGATTTATGAACTGAGTATCATTTTTATAATCTTTTAGTACTCACAAAAATTTACACTTTTAATAGTAAAGCTTTTGAAGAAATCTTCATTGAGAATGCCGAATTTGGTAGAAAGTTATTTCGCTTTCTCGAAGAACATGGTGAAGAAGAAAAATACATACATAGAGATGTGTTGTTTTACATTTGCAATTATTATTTTATAAAGAATAGTGGAGGTTCTATTAAAGGATGCCTCATCTGTGAATTTATTGAAAAGCTTAAATAAGGACTTTTCTCTTATAAGCTTAAAATAATCCCAATATATTAAAAATAAAGAAGAATTACATTGTAAGAAAATAATGCTAAGAACAATGATGATTAATCTTGTTTTTATTCAAAGTGAAGGGTCTCATATATAAAGTTTACTATTTAAAGTGTTCAAATTTTAAAGGTGAATTTTATATGATGCTTTATTCTATTTTAGTGTTCTAGTTGAGGAAAATTTTAAAAGATTTTAAGTTTAATTAAGTGTAATTTTAATGGGTTCACTCTCAAAAAAATCTATAATTTGGAAGCTATTATTAAAATCCATAATTTTTAATAGCATTTCCTATATCTTCAAATTATCTGCATGTTCTGATGCAACCATTCCGCAAACTGCTACTACTGACACATATAATTCATTATTTCGATATAGTATGAAATACTACCAAAGATAACTGTGAAGCTAATGCAGATACAAATTGCACTAGTTTTCCTACACAGGTATAAGGATGGTGTTGCTATTACTTTAGTCAACTTTTGGACAGCTTAAGAAGGCAAAACAAAAAAATATTTTGTAAAGCTGGAACAGATCTCAATTTTGATACTGCAACATACGAGGATATTCCAAGTTCATTAAGCTACATCTATATTTGGTTGTTATTCCTTCTGCTGTTACTTAACTAAGTGGAAAAAAAAAATTCTTTTAATCTATCATTTAAGATGGAAAAACTTGCACATATGATGAGATAAATCTTTTGCTCTTGATAAATGTGATACTCCAGATACATGCTATTCATTTAATGGACTAACAGGTGAAGAAGCTGTTAAATATGGTTATTGACTTAACAAAGTAGATCATTCATTCAGAAATGTGCTGATACAAAAGATGCAGGCTGTAAAGATTATGATTGCTTTGATACCTCTAATTCAACATTACAAATTTTATGTGATTTAGGAGTTTCTGGAAAGACATACACTCATATTTCAGGAACCTGCTACAATACAACAGTAAATGTGCTAAATTTCTATCGGAACAGATAGATAAGAAATCATTTTGTGAATTATTAACATCTAATGGTATTAAATTCAAAGCAGACTTTTGTCCTCCAAAATTAGCAGCCTGTAAAATTATGATGTTACAGATGGTATTAATAAGTCAGCTACCTGCAATTCATTAAAAGATGCAGCCGATAAAGAGTGTACTTATGTTTAAAGTTAAATATGATGTAATAGGTGCTTGTACTATTTATGATGGTACAACTGATCCAGAATAAGGACAAAAAACTAGTAGAGAAGAAACTAAATGCAAGAAAAATGCAGATGAAACTGAATGTTCAAGCAACATTGACGGTTGCATAACTACTAAACAAAATTTCATCAAAAGACTACTTGTGCATTAGATACTATATCATGAGATTTAGCAGGTATTCCTGAAAAACAAGCATGGTGGAATTACTGATTCAAATAATAATAAATGCAAATGGGATGGTACTAAATATGCTGAAAGAAAATGTAAATAGCCAACTTTTATACTGCTTCTGATTTTAATAGTTATATGAAAACTTGTTAGTTCTAATGGTTAAAATTGTGCAGCATTCCAAGAAATAAACCTTGCTCTGATTATATAGGAACTAAAAAATAATGTGAAGCATTTAAATAATTTTCTCATGTCGATTCTGAAACTAAACAAGTTGTTAATAGTTATATCAATAATAATTTTTATTACATTTACTGTAGATTCTATGTTCTGGCTATTTAAATGGCTATGTAACATAAGGAACTGGATGTGTTGAAAATCAGCTAATTGTTCTGCTTACAAAGGATTAAGAGATTTTTGTAGTAAATTCATTTGGGTCTCATGTAGTAGATTATTGCTACAATATCAGTAATGCTACAGAAACATCCTCTTTTTAAAAGAGAAAATGCTCAAATTTACAGGTTCTGAGAATAAATATGAAGTGATGGAATGAAACCATATAAAGTCACTGATTAACCTTACTGTTTTTAGAATTGCATTGGATTTGAGACTTATGCTAAGGAGTGCCAAAAATTAAAAGGAACAGATAACAAAGATGATTTAAATACTTCCTCAAACTATATTGCAATTAATGGACCATGTAAAAAATCCGCTTGGGCTAACCAATGTGAACCTAAAAAGAATTCATGTTCTGCATAGAGTGGAACAAGTCTATCTAATTGTGTTAATACATTCATAACATACGAAATGGATAAGGTTTCATTTAAAAAGCATCGTACTTGGTAATGTATGGGGATTAAAAATGTGAAGATCTATCTGTAATTATCAACACTCATAAATAATGCAATGATTTTGATAAAGGGTGTACTACCACAGTATTAGAATGACAGTTTTTTCTGGATATAGGACTGAATCAACTTGTAAGAATGCCTCATATGTCAGGGATACTAAGACTTAAGAATTGGGAAGGTGTGGATGGGAAAATAATAAATTTAGAGAATTAATTTAACAAGATTTGAGTGGAAAGACTGATGCTGAATGTGATGCACATTTGAGTGGCTGTAAAGCAAATGGAACAGAATGTGTTTAAGCAATATCTCAAAAGTTGTAAAAAAGTTTTAAATGCATCACTTTTTAAAGGTAAATAGTGTTTATGGATGCTTACCAACTGATAAATGCTAATTATTCTATAAATGTTCAGATGCAGTCTTAAATGATTAAAATGCATGCTTAGCACATGATGGTCGTATTACTGATGGAAAAGTATGTATAGCTAAGGGTAAATGTGGTGACAACAAAATAGAAATTTGATTCAAAAATAATCTTGGAAGAGATGGAACTTTTTAGGAATGGTTCATCATGCAAATTGAAGGTATGTTCAGATCTTGTAGGAACTACACATGAAGGTTGTAAAATCTCAAGTTACCAGCTCTTGTACTTGCACAACTAATATATTTAAATGTCCCTCTAGAACTTTACTCAAGTTATACAGAAGCTGGATACTACTTAAGAATATGATTTATTTATATTCAGAATATAATAATTTAAATAAATCATCATTTAGAAAAATCTATATTGAATTATTAATATTTAAATGAGTAATGTAATAATCATCCTAATTAAAATTATAACATCTAATCTCAACAGTTTTTCTCTCTCTAAATATGTTAGGTCTAGAGTTATCGGTATTGAGAAAACCTAATCTAACTTTTTATTACTATATCCTATCATTGTCTTCGGTAATGAAAACTTGAGAGATCTTTATTAATTATGTTTTTAACTATTATTACTTTTTTTCTAAAATATTTTTAGAAACCTTATTTTACCAGTGTTACAGCCACATACTAACAATTCAAATAACAGAGAATTGAATTTATGTCAATAATTCTGTTAGCTCATGATTTAATATTTAATTTTTTTTAATTAAATCCTTCTTACTAATAGTATTTTAAAGAAATTCCATAAACCTTGTTTCATAATTATTTTTTTCAAATTTTTGTATATTTTATTGTTATAATTTTCCTTTTGAAAATAAATTTGGATTTTCATTGCTATTATGTTCTATAATTGATAAAAATAGATGAGAGAATTTCAAAAAATAAAATTATCAATATCTTATTATCTTATTTTTAAGGTTTCCAATTTTGTAATTTTAGCATTTTTTTAGATAAATCATACTTTAGTCTAACTCTTATTGATTTGATCAAATTTAAATTTAATGGAAATAACATTTAATTACAAGAGAAAATCAAATAGTATGTTCAAATGAAAATTGATAAAATTTATAATTTTAAATCCTTCTTTTTTCCTCATTTATGCCAACTTGTAATTATGATCTTATATTTATTATTGCATTTAGATTTAAAAATGGTTTCCTTTTTTTCTCTAAATGCCTACAAAAAATATTAAATTATCCTCTACTTTTGTATAATCATTTCCTTGTCTTTCTATTAGGAGTTTGGCTTTTAACACATTTTAATATTAATAAACAATCATTAATGAATAATTGTTTTAATTCTAAATTCATAAGTTACTAAATATCAAATTAATTAATATTTTAAATAGATTTAAGGTCTACTTAATAAGAATTTATTACATATTTGAATTTATCTTAGTTAAACAATATTTTCTTAGTGATGCGTTATTTTATTAATAAGCATTAGAAAAATGAGAATATCCTAATTAAATGAAGAATAATTCAGATTAAGATAATACTTTTCTTTAATATCATAACTTTGGCCTTATATATATCATTAAGATTCTTCAACATCGCAAATCATTTCAAGAACCTTTTCTTTTATATTTAATATTTATTTAGACAAGAAGATTACAATAATATTAATCTTTGTTACTAATATAAAACAGTGCTCTTGGTAGGTAACAATCTAATATAAACTGGGATATAATTTATTGTTAATTTAGATTCTCTTTAATACTATGTAATTTACATATTAATTTTATGCAAATAGAGGACTTATAATAATAAAGGAATTTATTATCCTCTCATTTTCCAAATCAATAAAGCGAAAAGATTAATCATTTAGCAGATCAATCAGAATAAAATTTTTAAAACTTATGATAATAAATTTAGAAAATGATAGAGATTCACAAGAAGTAAAATACTACATTGAGATTAAATGATTTAGAAAAATAGCCTGATATATTTCTATCTATCTTTGCTAAATAATAAAAAAACAGAATTTGAAATTATACAATCTGATTATTGTAGAAATGAAGATTTTCTTGTACCTAAACTTATTGTAAATGATATTCCTTTTAATCAAATAGCACTAAAATGATATATAGGAAATATTAAATTAGTTGATTGAGTATATGATCAAGCGATTGAAAATGTCAAACAAAAAATGCTTGAAAAATAGCCAAAACTATAAATTACTTATTTTGGATTTTAAAATTTCAGGAATTGATGGATTTTAAGCAAGTTCGCAAATATAATTTAAAAATAATATCTAATTAGGGTTTTATTGTGACTTGTTCTGCTTATGATACTTAAGAAAACTTATAATATGGTAAAAAATAATAATAAACACAATACTATAAAAACCTGTAATTAACTTAAATTGAATGTATCAATATCTAATGAAATTTTATGTAAATAAAAACAAGTGAAGTTACTTTTTCTTAAGATACTACTTAAATTAATTATGTTTAATGTCGTTCTTATACGCTATAGGAAATGATCTGATTATATTTACTCAAAAATGAAAAATCATGATTAACCATGAATTTGACTTAAAAAATTCTGAAGAATACTTCATTAAGATTAAATTAAGAACTATTTGATTTATGCTGTATGGCTAAATTAATATCTTTATCAAACAGAGTTTATATCAATTTAAGAATTTAAGTAATCTTGCTAGATAGATTAAAANTTTTAAATAGATTTAAGGTCTACTTAATAAGAATTTATTACATATTTGAATTTATCTTAGTTAAACAATATTTTCTTAGTGATGCGTTATTTTATTAATAAGCATTAGAAAAATGAGAATATCCTAATTAAATGAAGAATAATTCAGATTAAGATAATACTTTTCTTTAATATCATAACTTTGGCCTTATATATATCATTAAGATTCTTCAACATCGCAAATCATTTCAAGAACCTTTTCTTTTATATTTAATATTTATTTAGACAAGAAGATTACAATAATATTAATCTTTGTTACTAATATAAAACAGTGCTCTTGGTAGGTAACAATCTAATATAAACTGGGATATAATTTATTGTTAATTTAGATTCTCTTTAATACTATGTAATTTACATATTAATTTTATGCAAATAGAGGACTTATAATAATAAAGGAATTTATTATCCTCTCATTTTCCAAATCAATAAAGCGAAAAGATTAATCATTTAGCAGATCAATCAGAATAAAATTTTTAAAACTTATGATAATAAATTTAGAAAATGATAGAGATTCACAAGAAGTAAAATACTACATTGAGATTAAATGATTTAGAAAAATAGCCTGATATATTTCTATCTATCTTTGCTAAATAATAAAAAAACAGAATTTGAAATTATACAATCTGATTATTGTAGAAATGAAGATTTTCTTGTACCTAAACTTATTGTAAATGATATTCCTTTTAATCAAATAGCACTAAAATGATATATAGGAAATATTAAATTAGTTGATTGAGTATATGATCAAGCGATTGAAAATGTCAAACAAAAAATGCTTGAAAAATAGCCAAAACTATAAATTACTTATTTTGGATTTTAAAATTTCAGGAATTGATGGATTTTAAGCAAGTTCGCAAATATAATTTAAAAATAATATCTAATTAGGGTTTTATTGTGACTTGTTCTGCTTATGATACTTAAGAAAACTTATAATATGGTAAAAAATAATAATAAACACAATACTATAAAAACCTGTAATTAACTTAAATTGAATGTATCAATATCTAATGAAATTTTATGTAAATAAAAACAAGTGAAGTTACTTTTTCTTAAGATACTACTTAAATTAATTATGTTTAATGTCGTTCTTATACGCTATAGGAAATGATCTGATTATATTTACTCAAAAATGAAAAATCATGATTAACCATGAATTTGACTTAAAAAATTCTGAAGAATACTTCATTAAGATTAAATTAAGAACTATTTGATTTATGCTGTATGGCTAAATTAATATCTTTATCAAACAGAGTTTATATCAATTTAAGAATTTAAGTAATCTTGCTAGATAGATTAAAAAACAAGCACATCTGCTCAACCTCTAAATGAATATGTAAAATTCAATAATATTTAAAATAATGTTATAGCAAAATAAATGATAGCTATATAATCAATGAAAAAAAAAAAATTAGCTCATTTTTCTACATAATATTTTTTTTTTATTTATTTCTCTTAAATTAAAATCCTTTTTCTTCATTCTTATTTTCAATCTTATAGTATAAAGTTTGGTAAGCAATGTATTTTAACTCAATATTCTCATTTCTTGTGATATTTATTGCAACAACAGATCTCAATAATTAATTATTATTTTAACATAGAAGCTAACCATTAATAATAAGATTTGGTTTTTATTAATATAAATAAGCATTAGAATTGAGCATTTAAGTTATAACGAATAATTTTTACATGTGGACTTACGAGTAAAATATATTTTAAAAAATAAAAGGATATAATATGCCTTTAATAGAAAGTTCTGTTTCCAAAATAATAAAGCTAATATATTAAATATTTAGTGTTTAATCACACTTTGTATAGAACGAATAACTTTTACTCATGTTGAATACAAATATGTTAATATTATTTATTATAATTTGAATTTTTTCATCTCATATATTTCATTGAGATATTTAACAATCCCTTCATCATAATTAATACAATCGCTAAACAAATATATACATCATTAAATTATACCTTTGCCATTATGATAATCTGCTTTTTCTGGGTTTTTCTGAATAGCTGAATCATAATACTCCAATGCTTCTTCAAATCTTTTTATCTTTTCTAATGTAATTGCAAAGAAAATATGCATTATTAATTTATATCTTTGTTATAGTCTGCATATTCTGGGATTTCGTAAACGCTAATATAATATATCTATATTTCAATAAAAAAATCTTTATAAAATCGCTCATATTTTTTGATTCATTATAAAACTAATTTCTCTATTTGGAATAAATATGGAATTGAAGATAAAGAAATTAGTTTTATAAGAAATCAACCTTTACAAGCATTTCTATTTATTCTCTTTTTATAATTTCTGAAATTTTCGACGATAGACCATTATCAATTTTTTAATTACTTGCTGTCTGAAAAGTCAATCCTTTCTTTGAACTCTATTATTTGATAAATTATAAAAATCACTCAACCCCCATCTAATTTGTAAATTCAAATAAATTTATTGTTAGGATTCATTAATCATTTATATATAAATAAAAGATTATGCTTTTTGATATCTTTTGAAATTCTCTAAATTAATAAATTACAACAAAGTATTGGGAATTCAAATATTTACCTGAATTTATTTAAAATCACCTTAAAAACTATAAAGTAAATTATATATTTAATAGTTATCTATTTTTTTACTTAAG